AAAAAAAAAAAAAAAAAAAAAAAAAAAAAAAACCAACAGTAGAATATAGATGTTGAGTCGCCGACTCTTTCCTCATCAACCATCGGCAGCGAAGTTATTTCTAATGTGTTTAAAGAAACAGTAGAGGTCTTAACATCAAAATGTATCTATCCATTGAGGGGGCTATTGAAAACTCGCCAAGTATATTATCTCGGACAGAGGATTTATTGACCCAGAAACTTTCATTCAAGTAGATGGGCCTTAGTGGCACAGTGCCGTTGGCAAAGGGACAAGTCATGAGTCCTTGACTCCCAGAGGGTTCATCATCTCTTGCAGTGGCCTCCCTATTAGTCGAGAGCGAGGCCTTTTCATCAGCTGTCTCGTATGGCCCTCAATGGCTTCCATGCGATTGCGAGATGCCCGGTATATTCTATCCAGACATCGGGTCGAGAATCCCAGGGCAACCAAACCAATAAATAACGGCACTACCAGTCCTACTCCCAAACCTTCAACGTCATGCTCAGTGTCGCATCGATGAAACCATCAGCGACTCACAACCATTTCTAGGATTGTCTATACTAGGGTCGGAGAAGCAGACACCTGACGCCACTCACATTCACAATCAATGAAGTTCTCACCCCGCAACAACCCCGCATCTCCGTAATACCGACGGCGCGGGCTTGCATTGCTCCCTCTTGATATCCCACATGTGCAGTCTGTTGAAGGCGATGTGCCTATCCCAGACAGTGGACACTGACGAACGACCTGGAATTGTTTCCTCATAAAGAGAGGGTTTTCATTTATCAAAGATGTGTGACACCACTGACCCAGAAAAGCAGGAACTATCAATGCCCCCGGGTCATCTGGCTATGCAAATTCGGGGCACGGCGTAACATAAACGAAGTACGATTGCCCGAGCTCGGTGGAGAAGACGGGCCATCCTACGGCCCTACCACGGCCTGTCCCGGCATACAACACGACATGCTGGGGTTTGTGACATGCTCTTCTCGAGAACCCAGCCAATTAACACGCAGGCTTATACATTCAATTTGATATGCCGGCTCATGTCCTGGAATCTAACTGGAGCGCGAATAGCGTTGACATTTTTTATCCGGTTGGCAGGGCGGGGATCCTTGCCGATGAAGACACCAGGATTGTAGGCTCAGGTCAAGTAATCAATGTGCAACGTTACTGTTGATGGTGGTCGATCATTTGATCGCCTCCGAGTACATTAAATGTGTGACTATGCTCTGTTCGTGAGTTCTATGCCTCTCTCGCGAATCAATGACCCCTTGAATGCCAGTCAGTTCCTTCTCGGAGACATGCTCCAGTTTAACAACGTCTACGTCATCTGTTCGATCGCCGCCATCGGTAAGTTGTCCCAGCCGGTCGACAGCAGCATACTCCGATTAACTATCGTGGTAATTAACGAGGCGTGTAGGCGGCGGTTTGTTTGGCTTCGACATCAGCTCCATGAGCGGTGTCCTAGGCACTCAAGCTTACAAGAGATATTTTGGGAACCCCAAGTCTTACACCCAGGGTGGCATTACCTGTGCCATGCCCGCTGGATCTCTCGTCGGCGCCTTGGCTAGCTCTTTCATTGCGGACAAGTTCTCGCGAAAGATAGCACTGCAAATTTCATGTGTGCTATGGATTATCGGGTCCATCATTCAGTGCGCGGCCCAAAACGTCGGCATGCTCTGTGCTGGGAGGGTAATTGCGGGTCTCTGCGTCGGGATTGCCTCTTCGATTGTGCCAGTTTACCAGTCTGAGATTGCGCCTAAAGAGATCCGCGGGCGCGTTGTGAGGTAAGGGCACCGCTAAACAAGTGCATCTCCGGCGCTCAAATTTCCCGACCTATTTTTATCCTATTTTTATTAACCGCATATGGCTAGCTTGCAACAATGGGCTATCACTTGGGGAATCTTGATACAATATTTTATCCAATATGGAGCAGCCCAGGGAATCGGCGGCGGTCCTGACGACCCTCAGCAGCCCACAGCAGCCTTTCGAATTCCCTGGGGTGTCCAAATGGTCCCAGCTCTGGTTCTCCTCATCGCCTTGTTCTTCTGTCCCTACAGTCCGCGGTGGCTTGCCTCAAAAGATCGGTGGGAAGAGGCCCTTACTGTACTAGGCCAGCTCCACGGTGGGGGAAGCACAAGTCATCCCAAAGTTCTCGCTCAATATCAGGAGATCCAAGAGGCACTTCGATTTGAGCGTGAGGATGCTGCTTCTAGCTGGAAGGCTCTGACCAATCGACGAATGCTTAAACGCGTTGTGCTAGGCATGTCCATTCAGGCCTGGAGTCAACTTTGTGGAATGAATATCATGATGTGTAAGTACCCCCCAAAGTGCTGCCAAGGTTTGGAGCTAAAACTATAGAAAGAAAATTATTAAACACTAAAACAACTCCAGATTATATCGTTTACATTATGGAAGGAGCCCAAATCGCCTCTCCTCTGTTGACAGCTTCGATTCAGTATATTATCAATGTTCTTCTCACTCTTCCTGCAATACTGTTCCTCGACAGGTGGGGCCGTCGACCACCGCTTATCATCGGCGCGTTTCTGATGATGTCGTGGCTATTCATCTCTGGTGAGTTGGTTTCCCAGAGCTCTCTTCGTTTGTCAATATTCAGCTGCAATCACTGACGAGCTCCCACGTAGGTGCTTTACAACAGCATTATGGTCAGCCAAACACCGAGGAGACTCAAACGGACCAAAACAAGGACATTAGTTGGATAGTTAATGGGAAGCCGGCAGTCTCCAAGGCGGTTGTCGCATGCTCGTACTTGTTCGTCGCCACCTTTGCCACGACATGGGGGCCAACGTCCTGGACATACCCCGCCGAGATTTTCCCAAGCAAGATCAGAGCCAAGGCTGTTTCGCTCTCGACCGCAACAAACTGGTTCTGCAACATGGTACTAGCCTTCGCTGTTCCACCTCTCCGTAAGTTCAATCTCGCACTGGAGGCAATAATCTCATCGCTGACGGTTGCCATTAGTTTGGAATATCAAGTGAGTTTTGGGATCTAGCTCTCTGATTCAGTCTTGAGTAGACTGGCGCGACGAGACTCTGCATCTTTCTCGGGGTCATCGGACTAGATGATTTTCTGCTAACCCACGTTTCCCTCATCCAGCTATAAGATGTACTATATCTTCGCGACTTGTAAGGCGAATGGATACAACCCCTTTTCAACCAAAAGCCCAGAATTGAGGCTAACAGCGTCGCTCCTAGTTAACGGGCTCGCTTTCTTCCATATGTTCTTTGCTGCATATGAGACGAAGGTAAGCTACGCTGCATCTAGGAATTGTTATGTATATGTTTTGGTTAACGTAATCTAGGGATACACCCTTGAAGAGATGGACGACGTTTTTGACTCGGGCGTTGCGGCTTGGAACACCCGCAAGAAGGCTAGTCGTCTCGAGGAGCTTACAAAGGAGATTGAGCAAGGCAATATCAAAGTTGAAGCAAATGTAGGCCCGGCCACGACTTAAGGCGTCCACAGACGGAGAGTGGACGCACGGATGGCAGGGAATCCACGGATAGATATGCCCTCATCTTATTTAACTGTACAACTGCATAACGACCGTGGGGGCCCAGCCCGAGCTGCACTGCAGGGGACGTAGAAACACATTTTAGCGTAGGCAGAGTTATCACCGCCTGAGACGAATCAACGCGGGCTTAATTCCCGGTCATGAGCATGGTCAGGAACTAAGGCAGGTTTGCCCTTAGTTGTGTGTGGATTTAGTCTTGACTCTCCGACATCACCAAATCGTTTTCTACAGGATCAAAATATTGATGCTTGTTCATTTTAGGGCGGATGGTACGTTGTTGTTACGCAGTGGGCGATTAAATGCCCAACTTCGTCATCACCAACGCCGCGATGAAGGTATCTCTGATGTCGCAAAGTTCTTCATGGACCCTCTCATCAGGGGCCTTCAGAGTCTTGATGAGGCTCCATGTTGGGTCATCTCTGTTGTAAGAAAGGGGAAGAACAAAAGACTGTCCCTCTCCAACCACCACCAGCATTACTGGTACCACCGACAACGCCTGCGTATGCGCACGTAGCAGCAAGCCCAACCACCCCAGTAAGCGTGATCTCTATGTCGGGTCTCCGGCAAGGGTGGTCCGGGAAGTGTTTACCACCCTAACAAAGGGAAAGCAGAGGCTCAACAGAGACGCCAGGACAGGAACTTTGAGGCTCGTATGCCTCGCTTGGGCCGTGGCGATGTTGGAATGAGGCAGTGACGGTAAACTAATCTGGGCAGGCCAAGCTGGATCTACACTGGCGATACTGATCCTCAGCACCCTGTCATTCGGGACAACCCATAGGTCCAAGACGCCGCACAGGTGAGTCGGGGGAGTATGACACCAGCATCGAGGATGTACCCAGGTGCCTCGTGGATTGTGGCAGGCTTCATCGCTTGCACCACCATCTCGCCGGAAGCCGAGTCTTGTTTAACCTTCGGCTGTGCTCCGTAGGCCCAATTCCTGCGATTTAGAGTATTGCCATCCATTGCGAATTGCTGAAACCAAGGGCAGTGCTGCGAAGGAAGGCCCGTAAATCTTTGAGCCACTTAGATAATTTGGCCTATTCTCCTAATTTCTTTTCCTCCTTCCCCCAATTTTCAGTTGTTTTCATCTTAATACAATTGCATGAGCCGACCTCGCGACTCATTTCAATCGACTGCGCCCTGATTTCCAAGTATTACTCTTGGGCGATTTGGCTTTAACGGGATGAGAATGGCAGGACTGCTGGGCTTCATCAGTTCGCCTCAACCGGTGTTGCGCCAGCCGGCCAATCTGGATTGAGGCCCGACATGCTGGCACTGAGGTTTGTGCCGGAGAGCATTGAGGCCCAACTCCCTCAATGCATAGCAAAGCAGCTCCATCAACCGATGCAATTGGCCGGCCTATTCACATGGTCGTAATTTCTTGCCAAAGGGTTTCGATCCAGCAGCCACAGTGACCGCGGAGTGCCTGGTCCTGCTCCCCAATAGTTATTATTATTTCCACCCGAATACCTCTTTTCTTTCTTCTTCTTCTTCTTTTTCTTCTTCTTCTCTTTCTTCTTCTTCTTCTTTACTTTCTTTTTTAATTTTTAATTTATTTTTATTTTTATTTTTATTTTTATTTTTATTTTTATTTTTATTTTTATTTTTTATTTTTTAGCCTGTTAACGCTCGACTAGCATCATGGCGTCTACTCTTCCGCAGCATCTGCAGATTATCAACCTGTCCAACCACCACGCCGAAAATGTCTCGCTCGAGCGGTTCCCAATCCTCCCGACTGAGCTTAGGCTAGGCATTTGGAAGTCATCTCTACAGCAACATCGCTTGCTAGAGGTTGCTGTCGTGCCTAACCTGACGATGCAGAGGCCTCACCGCGTTCTAAGGAGGTTCAGCCATACTCGAGAATAAACGAGCTCAATAAGTTGGTTAGTAGCAAAAACTACACCGTCACAGTCCACGGCCTCCAGCTTCATAGCAAGCTTTTACGCGTAAATGGCGAGTCATGAAATGGCGGCACACTTGTCCACCGCCCCCATCCCCGTTTTCCTCCCCGAGTATGGGAAGCTATCTGTTCTCTCCCCTCCCTCCCTTCCCACTGGGTTTTCTTGGGAGACGGCGATTGACTCATTCAACAATGTATCTTGATTGCAGAGGTAGACAGATTCGATTCGGTGTCACGGAGCTATGCAAATATTTGAGACCAACTTCATATGACAGAGCCGGTTCAAGATTCGTGGAAATCGGAGTTGGAGTTACTACTGCCCTACTATTACCAACAGAATGCAATGATGTGTTTTGGCTTTTCATCCACTGTTACTCTCCGATCGAGCAACAAATTCCGAGAGAACTTCACGGCAAGATAGAGATATAAGTGCTTAGAAAGCCCTCCTTCAGTAGGTGGAATACATCAATGAGAACCTAAAGACGTAAATAATACGATTTTCTAATCGAGTTCAAATATAAATCCAGAATATTTTCTACATCAAGGGTATAGACGGAAGTCCCTATGTCATTTGGTAGAATGCATATGAGAGACAAACCGTCCATCCTTCCAGTACGGCGATGGTGCCCTCGGTGTTTATCAACCTACGGGGGTTAGTAGGGTCGAAGTAAATCGGGGTCGTTTGCCTCACTATCTACCAGTAGTAGTTACTGTCTTAGATTGAGCATCCTAACAGGAAATAACCGCGGCGTTACAGCCACTAGGGCTACGGAATAAGTGTGCTCCGCTTTCCCATTGCAGGAGCGGTGGGTGGGCGTAGAATTAGATATCATTCGCCTTGGCAGTTGACGCTCATCGAGCTGGTTGAGCGAGGTCCCGTCCCGAGCGCCTTGGGGAGCAACGGTAGCACTGGCGGGGAATATTCATAGTAAGGCGTAAATAAGGAAGATGGGCTTTATATACCAAGTTCTATACTTGCTTCGAAAGACTGCATAGTGGGCAATGATGCAGGAGATTTGGAGGAGGTGCTAGAATTGGATCCTAGCTCTAGACCTTCATTTCTGCGACGTGCTACATCAAGCTCCCTCGGCACAGCCAACCCTGAGCAGAAGCGTCAATTTGGGAGCTGAGGGCTGAGCTAAAAGGATGCATTCTCGAAGCCGAATAGAGTGAGGCTATCTAAGTTGCCCGCCCTGAAAACGTTGCAATGGCAAACTGCAGGCGTCGTGGAATGCCATGCAAGTAGTAATAAACCCAACCTCCGCAGCAGATAAGATCTTCTACGTCCGCTTTAGCAACAGAAGGTTGAACGAACCGAGTAGTGTCTCATGGTAGGATCCTCACCAGTTTGAGAAGGCAGGACAGTTGTCTGGCGTCACAGGACCCGCGTCGACCGTCGATCCAGAACGGCATGGAAATGCCATATACCATGGAAATGCACACCTCTATGTGCTTCATTGATTGCGTTGCATGCATCCTCGTTAGAATGTCTTGTGTAGCAGTAGACGGCTGTATCAGACGCAGACTGGGCAGTACGACTTAACTCTAATAGTATAATCATCCCCACACGGCGATGTCCCTGGTTTGGACCCTGCTGCGAGAGGAACAACCCGTCGTTTACCACTGTTAGATGTACGGTTTCTCATCAAAGCGGGGCATCGGTCGTTCGATGCAAGCAACCAACAGAAACGCCAGGAACCGGCAGAATTGACTCGGGTAGTACCTCGGGATAATCCCAGGGCCGACACCCAATGTAGGAAAAGGGCAAAATCAGCCTAGCACCCATAAGGAGCAGTTTTATGGCCTGTTCGTTGTAGCATCGAGTTTATCAAATGGATTCCAACAATTGCTAAGTATGGGATGTGGAGACTTGGGAACAATAGATGATGCTTGGGCGAGGCCGGACCCAACCAACGAGGTGCTTCACGGTAAAATTGTACCCCTCAATAAACAGAAGGAGGCGTGACAAGGGGTGTGGGAAAGTCTGTGCATGACTGGTGCATTAAATATCAGATTGGATGGCATCCATGAGTGGGCATAGGCGGAAATACTTTAAAGTACGACGCTAAATAAGGTGTGGCATCCCATCTCGTGACAATTCACGGGCTGCACTTGGCGGGCACCTCCTCTGGGCGTTGGCCGCTGCAAGGTCTGTGTAGGTCTGTGCCGTTAAACCCTGAAAAAAAAAAAAAAAAAAAAAAAAAAAAAAAAAAGGCATTATGGCCAGCCGAGGTGTGATTCGATTGATGTTGGTTGTCTTTGCCTTCACCCCGCAGTTCGTACTGCTTGTAGGAATGGAGTGGCGCGTACGGAAAAGCACCAAACCACGCCGTAAATGTGGCTGCTCATTTTTTCCAGAGCCGAGACTCCTGACAATGTACATCGGAGATGGGTCCTGGGATCGATCTGATCCGTTTTTGGCAATGGTCTCCATGCTATAAATTTCTCGTTTTCATTTTTACCAGACGGCCGGATATGCTAGTCTCATGCCGACTCTCTCTGTTGCCCCATTCTCGGTCTACGGAGAAGCGTATTGTGACGTATTAATGGGCCTTGCCGTCTCGTTGACCGGGCCGGATTGGGGTAAGTGCTGGGGTTGTGCCTCTCCACGATCATGACCTCTTCGAGCCGGACGTCTCGTCCTAGAATTCTCTAGAATCTGGCACGCTCTCACTACAACGTACCTGATCCAACCTCATGACCCCATTCTACCATTGATGAATCGTCGACGTTCAGTGCGAAGTAAGAAACCACCCTTGCTTTGATTTTTACTTGTTCCGTAGGAGAGACATCAATGGAGAGGCCCATGGAACTCACCCACATCTAAAAGCCTAGAACTCCTCTCATCACCACACCGATGAGTAGCTATTGGTATTCTTGTTGCTTTCCTCACCTACAAATAACCAGAAGTTGAAGCAGGAGCTGGGTGAGTACTACGTATTACTTCCTGCTTCATGCCAGAAGAGGGAGGGGTGGCAATAATAAGCACAGGAACGGTCAAGCCGGCGTGGTACAACATTGGCTAATTCGAACGAGATTCCGGATCAATTCACCCTTAATAAGCCAATCTGTTGGTGGGCCGAAGCCTTTGAGACTTCCTGCAGCTTAGTTAAGGGGCTACTTTAACGGCGAAGCGACCCGTGTTGGCGGGGGAGCCAATCTCGGAGGAGCCAGGGTACCTCCAAAAAAACCTTGCGCTGTCTCTCCACGATGTAACGCGCTCCACGGCTTTCGGGGCCGAGCCAAGCTTAGGTAACTCGCTGTGTGTGTCCCAAAACTGCAACGCGTCCAACTGTTGTCGGAGAAGAGCTCCGTCTTCCCTTGCCCTCGCGGAAGCCTTGCAAACCAATCTCCATCAGAGCGTCGTTCGAAACATGGTTTCCGCAATTGGACGAGGGTCGGGAGAGAAGGTCAGCTGCCTTTCTTTTCTTTTTTTTTTTTTTTCCTTCTAGTCTCGCCTTGCCTCGTCGGTTCCGCCCATCCAACATTCCCTTGCTTAGTACAAGTACAAACAGCGGACACAACCGTGTTTCCAAGCCCAAAGATGCAAATTACAAAGGTAATTATGAGTAGATTGCTTGTTAAGGAGGGAGGCAAGAAAATATAGCACGCAGACTCAGCAGATCATAAAAATTACATCAGGTATTTTCGGACCCAATTAGAATTTTCATGCTTGGTAACCCTTCCAATTATCAGTTGTTCCGGGTGGAGGTAAAATAAAAATGTCTTCCGTGCAGGGGGTTTATTCCGATGACCAAGATGACGAGCACTTCATCTTGCTGACTACGAAACATTAAGTGAACAATTAATGGAATGAGCGCTGCGACCAAAGACCGCTTGGAAGATGGGTCCGACGCGCCGAGAAACAGGGAAACAGGCAAGGCCAATGGGAGCTGGATCACTTCCAGTTCCAGATGTGCTGCGAGCTGAGAGAGGGCAGACACTGGGTGTCGTCCAACTCTGAGGGTGCGGTCCGTTTTCCATTTCCCCCCTCCCTCCCTCTGTTGACTAACGGCGAAATATTGACACGGCTTCATGTCGGGCGAACTTGGGGACGGAATACGCGTGCGCTTTCGTCCTATTTGCCGCTCTCGTACCCCTGCAATCCTGCTTTTTGCCGACCCGGTTCTTGACGACTAGTTCGCCCGCACCAGCTTCACCCGGATCCCTCCTCTCCCCACAACGACTAACCCGTCGAACGGATAATAAGGCATTGGTGCGATGGGAGAGAGGGGCAGCGAGAACCAGTACGAGAAAGACTAACACTGTACTGCAAAGTGTACTTCGTACTGGGCGACATAACTAATCTACTCAGTAACCCTCTCATCCAAGTACGAAGCACGCCCAATTACGCAAGTAAACTAACATAGGAGATCAAACCACGCGGCGCGAGGCAGGCGGGAAGCATGAATGGGGCAGAGACCAGGGGATGGGGAAAAAGAGAGGCGGGGAAGGAGCCAGGGGGTGGGGGGGTGTGATCTTGTCATTTTGATGTGCATGGATGACAAACAATTGGTGGTCCGGGGGGCAGATTGCAGGCATGGAGGTGGTGTGTGCCAACGCGATTGATGGATTGATACAACTTCATTGCTGTAAGCTGCGAAGTGCGACCGGACCAGTGCCAGTGTCACCTCGAATTTTCCCCCCTGCCGCCCTCAGGTTCGTTCGGCCCATCCTTCCGTCTTCCCAGTTTGGATACCCCAATTTTCCCCACTATGGCTAGCAATGGCAGCTCATCAATGCTTAACTGTATTTCGTACCTGTCGACCCTGTCACGGAGTTGTATTTTGCGCTCCGGATCGCCCCATGTGGTACTAGGCCGTTCCGCCACATCAAATGTACCCCCAAACCCACACGACAGGGTCGATGGATGGATGGTCGAGGGTTAATGTGCGGTGCTCCTTGGGACGGGACCAGACCCAGGGTCTCATAGATCTACAACTATATATCCAGCCGCTCCCTTGGGTATATAATTCTCAATATCTTTTTTTGCTTTTATCCTCCAGCCTTCGGCCTCAGCACCGCACTGCACCCATTGCATCGAGTAACCGAGCTTACCAGGACAGCTTGGTCTGTTGGAAATTTGGGGTATATATTTCTATACCTCCCGTCCCAGAGGTCTCTGCATCCATTCTGTGCTCTTGTTCTTTTTCACCTTGTGGCCTGAGATACCTCAATTCTTTTTCTTTCATCATACCCCAAGGCATTCGGCCCTCCCCCAGGTCAACCCCCTTCTCGAGTCTCACCACCGGGAGCCATAGCCGAAGATGGTCGCCATCGCAAACGCCGGCGGTGACGCCGCCAATGCCGCTCGCGGCGACGCCCCTCAATTCGAGAGGGTGAAGTGGACCAAGGAGCCGCATCTCCGGAAGCTCTATCTCATGAGCGTCTTCCTCCTCATCGCTTCGGCCACGACGGGTTACGACGGCATGTTGATGAACGCTGCTCAGCAGATGGACAAGTTTAAGGAATACTTCGAGGAACACCACAGCGTCTTCACCCGGGATGACAAGGGCGAATGGCAGAAGGACGAGAACCTTCTCGGCATCATGGTCAACATGTTCAACATTGGGTCCATCATCTCCTTCTTCATCACCCCCTACATGGCCGATCTTCTGGGCCGTAAGCCTACTATCATGATTGGCTGCACAATCATGATTGTTGGTGCTTTTGTCTCCGCCTTCACCAACGGATACGGAAGTAAGTTGCCTCCTACGCGGACGGTCCTTCCCTGTTCCCCAGGATCGTAAACCAGGCCTCAGGATGTCCAAGCTCGACAGCAGAGACCCTGTGCGATAATAATTACAGGCACGCACGGTGACAAGAGAAACTAACGTTATTGCTTTACCTACAGTGTGGTTGGCTGGTCGTTTCTTGCTCGGCTTCGGAAATTCCCCCGCTCAGATGTGTTCGCCGCTGCTGCTCACCGAGATCTGCCATCCCCAGCACCGTGGCCCTCTCACTGCCGTATACAATTGTCTTTGGAACTTGGGCTCGCTGAGTGAGTAGACTCCGGATCAACGCAGTCATCCCAAGTATGATGCTAATCTTTTCCTTTGATGACAGTCGTCTCCGTCATCGGCTGGGGCACTGCCCAAATTTCCAACGACTGGAGCTGGAGGTCTATTACTCTTATCCAGGCCTTCCCTTCCATTTTCCAACTCTGTGGCGTCTGGTGGATTCCCGAATCCCCTCGTTTCCTCATCAGCAAGGATAAGCCTGATCAGGCCTTCAACGTCCTCGTGAGACACCATGCTGGTGGTGATGCTAGCAATTCTACTGTCCAGTTTGAGTTCCGTGAAATCAAGGAGACTATCCTTATGGAGACCCAGGCCAACCGCAACTCCAGCTATCTTGATTTCTTGCGCACCAAGGGTAACCGATGGCGACTTGCTATTGTTATCTCCCTGGGTATCATCTCGCAGTATTCCGGAAATGCTCTTTTCTCCAACTACATCGATGACATCTACTCTAATGCCGGTATTAAGCAACAGAACCAGAAGCTTGCTGTAAGTAGTTGAAACGTCTCCATTCTCTTCTTGCCTAAATACCAGACCAATCAATTGGGAGAGCCATTCAATTGCTAACATGCATACCCTCCTTCACAGCTCACCGCAGGCAAGACCATCCTGGATCTGATCGTCTCCATTGGCGCTGCTTTGACCGTTGATAAGCTCGGCCGTCGGCCCCTGTTCCTGTCTGCCATCACCGGTATGGTAGTTTCGTTTGTATGCTGGACAATTACTGGTGCTGTCTACGAGAACTCGGACGAAACCAACACTAGCTCCGGCTATGCCCAGATCGTCTTCATCTGGTTCTTCGGTATCTTCTATGATATCGGCTTTTCTGGCCTCTTGGTCGCTTACGCTTTGGAGATTCTTCCCTTCCGTCTCCGTGCTAAGGGCATGATGATTCTGAATATCACTATTCAGGCTATCCTTGCTCTTGGTAACCAGACCAACTTGTTGGCCTGGAACAACCTTCCCAACCACTGGAACTTCATGTTGTTCTACACTCTCTGGGACTTCCTTGAGCTTGTGTTCGTCTGGTTCTTCTATGTTGAGACCAAGGGCCCTACTCTGGAGGAGATTGCTCGCATTTTTGATGGTGATGACGCTGTTGCCCACATCGACCTCGAGCAAGTGGAGAAGGAGGTTCGTCTCGCTGAACACGAGGAGGATATTAACGCCAAGAATATGGAATCTGGGAAGTCTGCTGCCTAAGCGCCCACGCTCTACATTTTCCTTCTTATCCTTATAATCCTGCGCCTGCTCGCTGTTATCCATATCCTGTTCTTTTAATCGCAAACAGAAGAAAGTGGAGTTTTGAGCCGTTCTCAACTTCGTGGTAGAATAGCACCCACTCCTCCTTTTGCCTGCACACCTTTTTCTTTAGCATTTGGCTGTTAGCGGTCCGTGTAGACGGCCGCTCCAGTCAACTAATTTTCGTTTGTTTCCCACTCTTCTCCAAGATCATCAAGTAGCCGATGTGAAAAGAAATTAATTATCTCGTGCGCAGGGTTCAGTCCAGAGCCCCACTACCCTCGGCGCTTTAGGCAGTAGTGGGTATATTCAACAGTGATGTCGGAGAATGGCCCAGGCCTCCTTTATCTCAGGCCTTGTATTAAAGTTATCCAGAAGTAAAGACAAAGAAAGTATGTGTCTTGAATACCAACATAAAAAAAAAAAAAAAAAAAAAAAAAAAAAAAAACATATTTAGTTCTCAGAAATCGGTGTAACCTTTATGGAAAGCACTATGGTGATGAAGTTCGGGGCCGTGAGGCGTGACTGCGCAGACCGTCGATAGATCGATGTTCTCAAGAACTAGAGGAGGCATTTACGGGTGCCCAGAAACTCATGTTTACTCAGCTCTGACTTGATGCATGGTGAGGCACGGAGCTTTTCCTACTGGAGATGCCTGCCTGATGGTCATTCAGTGTCGCCCTCCAGGTGCCGAGTCCCCATCGCCATCCCTAAAGAGGGGTGGCGTAGAATCACGCAATTAGTAAATTGACTGATATATAAATAGCCTTCTAAACTTATGTAACGAGACTCTATCTACCGGTATGTGCCTGCCCTGCGAGCGGCACTACGGCCTGTTGAGGTATATTTCATGGCATTGTCCGGCTCCTTTTCTCTCTTCCCCCAACACCACCGAGCAAAAGACAACAGAAGGGTTCGAATTGCCGCAGGATTGAATTTGAGCCCAACATTACTGATGATGTGCGGCCTTCGTCATGGATCTATCACCCCACTCCACTGCCATGCTCCCGTGATTGAGGACCGATTCTCTGGTTTCTAGGTCAAAGCTTTATCGACACCGCAGGCGGAGTTCGGCAGCGCCATCGTCCGTATCGCCACGGCTGGCGTACTGCCATTCCATCGGGAGGTCTGCAATGGGGATCGACCCTTAATTGGCGGTTACAGCGAGATTGGCCACATAGCCACGGTTGGGCCGGATACCGCAGTGTATGTCGACTGTGTGGTCCGCTCCCGCGACGACCCGGACTCTCTTTTCTTGATGGCGATCCACGAAGGTTTCAGAGGCGGCAGCAGAAAGCTGATGCGGGATGTGTGGCGGGACTCTGGGACCTTTGCGCAATTCGCCAAGGTGCCGCTGGAGAACTGCACTCCGCTCGATGAGACTCGGTTATGCAAAGACTTGAGATACTCGCTGCACGATCTTGTGTACATGACGCATCTGCTCGCCCCATACGCTGGTCTAAGGGACATTGGGCTCGAGCCCGGTGAGACGATCTTTGTGCGCCCGGCGACAGGAGCTTACAGTGGGGCCGGTGTGCAGGTCGCCCTCGCGATGGGGCGCGAGAGTGATTGCCATGGGACGAAATGAAGAGAGGCTAGCCGATTTAAGCAGCATCTTAGAAACGGGAACCAAGGAGCCGATATCGAGATTGTAGTCATGAGTTGGGATGAAGGCAAAGATGCAGCTGCGTTGAAAGTCTTCGGCCTCGTGGATGCTGTGCTGGATTTTAATACGCTAAAGACTGCCGCCACGTCGACCCATATTCGGGGTGCTATACCAGCCCTCCTCCGTAATGGGAGGGTCAGTCTGATGGGTGCTACACCCAACATTTGGGTTAGAGAAGTCCTGAGCAATAGCATCACGCTGCAAGGTAGGTGGCCCGGAACTGTACGACGCATGATACTCCAACCTATGGTATCCTAACTAGACGTCGGATAGGTAAACTAATGGGCGAGAAGGAAGACATTATCCACTTTGTCAAAATGTTGGACCGAGGACTATTCCCCAGAGGCAAACACTTCGTCGATGTAAAGAAGTTCGAGCTAGAGCAATGGTCGCATGGCCTTGAAGTGGCTTAGGAACACACAGGTATCGGCAAGTGTGTGGTCCTTGTCCCATAAGTGATAGCGAAGCTCCATCAACATGCTGCATATTTTGATCAATCGCTTAAGCTGCCTTTTTCTCTTATAATAACCACCGGCCCGAATCCGAACCCATCGCCTTTTTGCCACCAAGTCCGAATTCATTGACCTTTTTTTTTTTTTTTTTTTTTTTTTTTTTTTTCCCTTCGAAAATGGTCTGACAATTTGAACGCTTCCGAGGCATTTTCCTTCCTTCACTCCTTTATTTGTCGAAGGCACTGATGCTTCCGTACTCTGGAGATACACATCAGGGGTACCTACCTGGGACTGCTTTTTTCCCGATGTGGGTTGGCATGGACCATCACGCCCGCCCCTCCCGAAAGGTGCCGACACGAGAAGAGCTCATCTCTGAGGTCTCAGGGATTAAAAACTCCAACGTTTATTCCTCAACATGCTAGGAGCCGGATTCCAAAAACATTGGCCATCGTAGAGTCCTTAATCTCCTCCTCTTCAGACCAATTGGAATATAAAACTTCCAAGTTCGACGATGACATGTTGGGAGGAGAAATGGCGATGCCTCTCCCTGTACATTTTACAGCTGAACCCCTGATTTGTGCTAGGTCCTTGGCGCGCATGTAACCCCGCATCTGCCCAACATCTTCCAACCCGATCATCTCGCAGGAGAGGAGATCGTGAACCAAACCTTAAAGCAGATGGTCAAATACACCGATCTCTTCCATCCTTGATAATAATATTGCTTCGGAGCGAATATTGAAGGCAGCCCAGCCCAAAATGACGTCTTTCGTAGAGTCACTTACCGCCCTAGATGGGACTGAATCCCCTGGCAAGTACACTTTTCATTGGCTTGACTTTGCCTTCCGTATGGAATGTTAATTAGCAAACACAGGGTTTTTGAACGCACTCATCGTTCAGTTATGGCCAAACATTTGTGTCGCCGGCAGCCGAATAATCAAAGACGCTGCCGAGCCAATGCTCGCCAGCATGCTGCCTCCTCCGCTCAACTCCCTCCGATTCACGAAGATCGATTTCGGCAAAGTGCCGATCCATTTCGTCAACATCGATGTTCACAAGACAGATGCCGGAGGCATCAAGTTAGTCATGGACCTTGACTGGGATGGGGTGTGTGATATTGAGCTGAATGCTGAGAAGCTTCCGAAAATTGTAAGTTTCCGTGGTTCACCTATGGCTGCGCGAACCTGAGCTAAACAGCTTTTTGTCTAGGGAGTGCAACATGTCAAACTGAATGGCAAACTCTCCATCCTCCTTTGCCCTTTGACCAATGTCATTCCTCTGGTAAGAGATTCTTTCCTTCACTCTCTCGCTGTGAGTTGAGACTGACTCGTTCCATCATCAGATCGGGGCCGCCCAAGTCGCTTTCATCAGCCCGCCACGACTTCATCTAGATTTTACTGACGCAGGTGGCATTGGGAACATCGGGCTCGTGGATCGTGCTGTGCGCAAAATAGCGCTCAGCATAATCTCCTCCATGGCCGTGCTGCCGAAACGGTTCCTTGTCAAGCTCGATTCCAATAACGACTACTTCAAAACATACCAACACCCGCTTGGTGTCCTGCGCCTGACCATCGAGAGTGGCCAAAATTTCGGCGAAGAGAAAAAGACGCGGAATATACTCAAGAAACTGGTGCACGACGTTCCTGACTGCTTCGTCAAAGTTATCGTCTCGCCACAGGACCAGTGGCAAACGTCAACGATTAAAAACGACCGCCACCCTGAGTGGAACGAGACTCACGATTTCCTGGTCAGCGATATCGAACAGGTCATTGAACTCGATGTCAAGGATGACGACACCGTCTCGGATGACAACCTTGGAGTTGGATCTACGACCGTAAAACAGCTCCTCCTTGACGGTGGCAAGCAGGAGATAAATCTGAACCACGAAGACCAGCCTACAGATGCCAAGGTTACGCTTAGTGGACAGTTTTTCCGCTTCGTACCTGATGCAACTAGCTTTTCTGAACAGGGATCCGGCATATGCGGACTCTTGACAGTCCTGGTGGCCTCAGCATTTGGTATCAAAGGGAGAAGGCAAGAACTGAAGCCGAGCGTGAAAGTTTCTTGGGGGGAACAGGTTTTCCGCACCGCGATTAAGAGCGATGCCCCTGGCTCCGACATTGAAAATCCTTCCTTTGACCAGGCTTTCAATGTTGAGATCAAGGCAGGAATGGTTCCCGGCCCTCCGGTGAGAATCGCCCTGATGGACAAGGAGGAAGAAATAGGTGCGGTTGAAGTGGGCCTTGGTGATGTGCTTGCGGCGTCAGATTTGGCCCTCCAGCAAGATTTTGATATTGCCCAGGGGACAACAGTGAGAGCTGGAATTTGGCTGAGAGGAATTAGACAGGCCTAAGGTTCATAGAGAAAGGTCTGGGGTGGCACACATATTTGATGTCCCCAAATCGATTGTAATTGCCTCGCCGAGTCCATCTCTCACAGAATCATTAGTGTGCTAGCTTACCCTCTAATCAACTTAATTTTCTTTCTAAATTCGTCAAGTGCTAAGCCCAAGGGAAGGAGCGCCCTCTGCACCTTGCTCGAGCAATTTTAGCTGAGCAGCTCAAGCACCAACACTGCGACCAATCGCCTGGCGGGTCAATTGGGGCGCTCGGAAAGTTGGGCTACGTGTCCAGGGCGATCTTTTCTCTCTCTCTCCTTTTTTTCCCCCTTCTCCCTTTTACCCTTGCTTCTAGCATCTGCCGAGAAGACAAAAGCTACTCTTCGAAGAAGAATGATTAGAATGGCAGAGCCTGGCCCGGTCTAGAGAATGTTTCTCACCTTGATGGCGACGAAAGCCCGGGTTTAATGGTATGTAACCGTGCTCTTGACATACACTGCACGACATCCTACGCTTGAGCGCCACAAAGAGAATGGTCCACTCATCAGACCCAACACCTAATTAACTTCTCGGTTATTTACTGAGGAATGGGTAGACTGCAGTGATGGAGTGGCAGCTGGCAGAATGCTTGACCGAAACTTGGGAGGAGGCATGGGAAGTTCCCCTTGGAGTGGTCCTAGCGTCACCAGTATCACATCACGCAACGCTCCGAAATCGGGCCATTTATCTGTCCATCCTCACCGCGTTTCACTGCACTGGACCCAGCGCAGACTGTTTGTTCTCAACTCTTTCACCGCCGACCGCGATCCTTCCATCTCAAACCCTTGAAGCCATGACCGGACACGACCTTTCCGTTCTCGTTCACGCCCAATCCTTGTGTCTTGAGACAGACACCTTTGGCAAAGTGAAATACAAGCGGCTACCGCTGCTGCTTCCCGAGGTCAAGGAAGGACGGCCCGTCACTTCAACTAGTCCGCTTTTCAGTCTACCGCTTGAGATCTTAGCCAGCATTATAGATTTCATTGCGGATGACAAGCCTACCCTCGCAAAACTAGCACAGGTGAGCAGGGACTGTAGGCAACTGGCTGGCTCATGCCAGTACGCCGATCTATGCCTAGACTACAGCCAAACTTCATGGCATCTTTTGCACAGTCTCGAGAGGGAGGCTCGCATTAGGCAAAGTCCGGGCATCATTCTGAACAATGTTGTGAGCCCAACATTCATCGGACCATGTATTCGCACACTCACGGTCCACTCCCACCCGAGTAAAGTCGCCGAGTTCCACCAAGACTTCTTCGACGTCCTCCGAGCTCGTGTCCCAAGCTGCCACATCACCCCTGAGCAGATTATTGAACTGGGAGAAAAGGCACTCGAAAAGTATCTCACCAAATACCGAGCTCCTCTACTAGCGGCTATAGAATACGCAATGCCCAACCTTGAGGCGGTATCATGGTACGATGGGGTGTGCCTAGAAGAGGACTTCTTCAGGATCGTCACAAATTTGTCGATACGTCACCTTAAGCTTTCCACGGCCCATATAGGAGGTGCCTACCTTCTCAGGCCGCCACTAACACCGGTCTCGGTCCCTTTGAAGTCGCTTTACTTCGACGCCGAGCTCTGCCAAAGGGGGCTCCACAAGGCTAAGCAGGCTGAAAGCGTGTCGCCTCTTCTGGCTAGTCTTCTGAAGAGGTGCAGAGCGACACTGGAGCGCCTGACCATTGGCCCTATGCTTGCCGAAAGGCTGCTTTCATTCGGTTGCGAACCAATGATGTTCGCGAATCTCGAGTACCTCGATCTCTCGGCGACTGTATGTGCATTCGATGAGATGGGATGGCGTTCTTTTTTCGCTGCCCCATTAAAACAGATCGCCTTGCCGATTGGAACAGAGGATTATTTTAAGAATGCTATCTCGACATGTCAAACCCTTCCCAACCTCGAGACGCTCGTCGTACCTCAATTTTACCGCCACCCAGACCTCGCGACTTCGCTAGAAGTCGTCAACTTCATCTCTCGGAATTCGCACGCCAAAAAGCTCTCGGTCGGCCAGGCCTCTCCAGAACTCATGAGTTCCCTTGTGGTCCCACTCCTAACGAGTGGCAGATGGTCAAACCTCACCTCCCTCTCATTGTCATGGGCTGGACCAGGGACGGACGAAGCCACAAGGCCCAACATTGCCTCTATACCTGTAGAATCGCTGGCGGTAATCGGGTCCCTTGGGGCCCTGGAGCAGCTGAGCCTAAGCGCGGGCGAGTCCCGAGGATGGCGCCACCAGTGGTTGATTGACCATGACGCGATGCGTTGGGCTCTAAGGGGATTACCAATGTTGAAAAGACTCGCCTTTTCACGGGACACGTATGTGGCTCCCGGTCTCGAAATATCTACTCATCTTGAAGCGTACTATGAGCGCTACCTTCATATAGAATTAACGCCCGCCCAACGTGAACTTGCTCTCGATCGCCTGGAGCTGGGCGGGATTAACTCTTCTTTGCTTACAACTATTCGTCATCGTCGCCGCGGTGGCCCTCCCGAGCCTGATCACCCAGAGCTCTGGGAGCGTTACCACCGCAACCGCATGCTTCACGAGGCCGAGGAGTATGCAACGGTGCTACCGAGCCTGGAGTGGGTGTACTGTGGTCAGTGGCCTATTTCTATTAAGGAGGAGCAGAAGCCGCCGAACGGTGCAGTTCGGGTTGCTCTGCCTCTCCATTACAAGAGAGATTCTTGCTGGACAGTTCTTAAACGCATGTTTGGGATGGAACCTGGGGATGACAGTGATGAATGATTTGCAGAATTTTCCGAATGCGACCACATATTGAGATGCAGCGTAAATGCACGCGATTAGGCAATGAAGATAATGGATGGGCAGATGGTGGAAAATACCGTTAAAAATGTTACAGACTCCTGATACGAGAAGAGCGAATGGTGATGCCTTCCATCTTTGCATGCGCATCCTGCATCAGACTGTTATTAGCTGTAGTCATAGTTGAAACAAAAATCCCCGACGATAATAGAACCAACAGTCTCATGTATCCGAGCAGATGGCATGGACATGCTGACGATTACTAACGCTCTCTTGCTGATTTGCTCTCTAGAGATACGCATTACGAACCTCCATCGCCGCTGCATGATGCAACTCTTCATCCTCGCCGCCAAGTGGAGTTATTTAGTAACCAGAGCAACTCGACACCCGAGAAGGTGTGCTCCAGGTCTGCAGTAAACCGACCGACTCTGCAGAGGATGAGGGAGTCAAAAACTGTCAAAATAGGTGACTAAGGGATGCAATCGAAGGAATTCGGTACGTGCATGACATGCTGAGATCCTAAAAGCCGACAGCTTCTTCAGTCTGTCACTGAGTAGGACTCTTTGCCAGGTAGGGCGGTGGGACGCCTTTCAGCGGTCCCTCCACTGCAGTGGAGTCAGGACTGACATCTGAACTAGATTTGCACCTCCTGATACCAACAGCCAGCATGTCTGGGGGACTGCATCGTGGAAGACACGAGAGGGGAAGCTTACTTTCGGGATGTAACGACTTCGGATCACATTCAAGGTGACACGAATACACTGGGTGGTGAACTGAAGCAGGAGGTTGCAGAGGATTCTGGCGTGTTGAGTATTTCCTTTCCAACAAGCTCGCCATCGGACAAGTTCCCCCTTACACACCAAAGCGGCCTCCCGGCTTGCATGTATCGATACATATGATACCCAGCTCGGAGCATAATCTCAGCGGAGCGGTGATCAGCTACATTAGAACTCTTGGGATATACACCCATCGCTCCTCAAATGGGCAATAATAACAATGCAGCGGGTTTAATTAAGAGAGAATACGAGAGAGGCCGATTGACTAATACCGTTAATGGCTGTCATATGTTCACTTCCCCGGATTTGGCCTCACCCTCACCTTTGCCGTTTACGGACAGCTGGCTTTATGAGCAGGGGTATCCTATTCTACCGCTGGCGTGAGGCGACCAGAGGTTTCAGTTTCAAAGACAGCACCCAAACGGCAGAGTGAGTGAAGAATCGATTTAGTGTCTCGCCAACCCCTATGAAATAATCGAACCCTTGTCTCCGTAGATGACGAAACTTCGTGGAAGCTCCAAAGCTAGCCTCCAGCCGTGGGCCTAAGGACGCCCCGGCAAAATGAACTCCTGTAGAGAGGCTCGTACGACTCGCATCGGGCCAACTCTAACTTTGATATAAATTTCTCGCGCACCACCCGTCCAATATATTGTGCATCCATCGCGCAACTTCCACCCCATCAATTCAAAGAAAAACTACACCTTCTTTCTGAGGCCTTGTACTTCGAAATCGTAAGCCCGGGAGAACGTTCAGCCCTTTGCAATCTCGAGCCGCCTCCATCAGTGGAAGCCTGCAGAAACGAGCGGGGAATCACCTGGTGGGCTGCAACGTAATCAATCTGGGTAGTTGACTCTCCGAGGGAAGGGATAGACATATAAAGAACGGTTAAATTCTAGAGCGTTGGTAGGCCACATCGGTTATGGTGTGTATATGATTCTTTTTATTTGTCTAATTACTTATCATCGGATACTTGAGAATCTGTTTATTTACCGGGGAAACCCGTCGATTCGTGCTTTTTTTAGGTTGAAAATATAGATTCCGTATTACCCGAACTACGCTTCTGCTCCTCAGGGGCCTGGTCGGCAGCTATGTGCGTTTCTGGCGTTCATCATACGGATGAGGGAGACCTAGGGTCATACGTATTGGCCGCCTTATAGCTCTCGTCGTTGGGAGGGGCAGTGAATCACCATGGCGAGTGGACGAGGACCGTCTATATAAAGCCATGACATTCCCCGAGCTTCAACTGTCCCCAAGGCCCTCCAACTCTCCAAGCTCCAAGTGCATCATTGTCATACAACCCTCCTCCTCAAACATCTCCTAGAGAATTCTTCCACAATTCCCACAATGAAGCTCCTCCTCGCCCTCTCTCTCCTCACCCTCGCCTCAGCCTCTGTCCTGGGTCTTGACACGGACAAAGAAACTCGCGACCTTCTCGTCCGCGAGAGGATGGCCGTCAACCCGGAGGCCCAAGTCGCCCCCCTCCAAGACCGAGACCTCGAGAAGCGAGCCTGCAAGAATAACGGCTGCAAGTGCCAAAAGGTACCCCAGGGGCAGTACTGCGGCCTTTGTTGGAGGGGAAATGATTTTGTCGTCACGAAGCTAGGAAGTGGAGGGGGCTGGAACCACGTGTACGAGTGTAACAAGAATGGAGGCTGCTGCGATTATGGATATGCCAAGGACTGCGATCTGCAGAAGGATTCAATTCGGTGCTAAGCTGGTCATGGTCAAAGGGTAGTTTGAATGTTGAATATTATTGGCCGACTGTGAGGCGAGGACAGAAAGAGTCAGTAGATCCACAATATGCATCCGAGTTCTGGTGGCAGTAACAAAAAGAGGTGTTGGTGCCCAGATTCACATTCTGTAGACTGTCACGGTGTTATGGTTCTTTTCAAGTTCAGCCGTTGACAGAGTAATGGTATTAGGATGTCTTCCACTTGACACGTACATAATTGTATGCTAATGCTACGACGAAGACGTCGCGGTCTCCCAAAAGGATGACTAAGGTTTCTAGCTTCACCACTCTCGGCACGTATTGATTGGGAATAGAAGAGGGCGGCGATCTCGAGAACATACAGGGCCACTTGAGACAGGCGGGCCTCTTCGAATAGTCAACCTAGCTTATCGAAGCTAGTGACTCTACTAGTTTTATGGCCCAATCGAATTGACGTACCTGAACGGATCGGATGATGCCGTGGTGTATTCCGGTTTCTGCAGGAGAGCTAGGTGTAACCTTTGAAAAGCCTAGCTAGAGGTGGTGTGCGGATTTAGTAGAGACTCTAGCACTCGGCTTGAGTGACGTTCAGTACTAATATCCTCGCATTGGTTGCACTTTAGGAGCACAGGACAATCTTCTCAAATACTCCTCTCAAAAGTAATAGGTCATGTAAATGCGGCAGGGATAGTGGTGACACTGGTGAAGTTGCTTCCGGGCCGGGCCAGCTTCGACGAGATTTTCTCTGGATTATATCATTATAGTCGCACCATCAATCAACGTGAGGCTAATTCCGCCCACATGCGGAATTATCGGGAGAGATCTGATGTGGGGATGATTCTATAACGGTATCCACCACAAAATGCCAACAAATGAAAGTAGAGACAAGTAGCGGAACGGCTGGAAGAGGAGACAGTGAGTACGAGACTATGTTGATCAGAATCTCGCGTGGTTCCAGAAAGTCCAACCACCCATCTTTTAAACGCCGAGACAGATGGGACTGGTCGGTTTGGGCCATCACCACTATATGAAGTAAGGCGCCATTATATCAGGTAAGGGAATACATCAGTCGATAAAGAATTATCGTCTATTTCTCCAGACATGCCGACTGATGAAGAAAAATAATGGTGGGCGCACTTATATATACGGAAGACTCAGCAGGTCTACTTGAAGCTGGTCCATTCTTGAGTGAATACCTCTGGAGAGGGTTTCTAGCGCTAGTGAAGGGATTTGTATTAAAGTGGGGTGTAGTAATTAATAGAGCATTAAAGTATTAATTTCAAATCAAGGCTTAAAACCTCCAGTTCTCTTCTTCCACATTCCTTCCGCATCAACGCTCTGGGCAACGGATTGAGCAAGTTCCCGCTGAGTCGCCCTCAACCGACCAAAGATGTCTTGTCGGTAATACCCGTCATTCATAAACAAAGGAAGGTATGCGTTGGGAAGCTTTCCGCTCGCCTGGAACCCTTGAACAAGTGTATTGATGCCCTCATACGTTCGCATCATTGCTTTGTCAATCTTGTCCCTGTTCAGCTTGAACCAGTGGCTGTAGTTCAGCTCAATAATGATGCGATCAACGTCATCGTCCAGATCCAGCAAATCGCCACCCTTGGCCCGCGCGATACGAGCCATCTTCTTGGGGAAAGGTTGGTAGGCAATGTTGGCAATCACACCCGGAACCGATTGCACGCTCCCACTAATACCACGCCAGTGGCGGTGAATGGTTTCCATGACCTCGGTTCCATGTGTTGAATTCGGGAGAGGCATCGTCTCAGTGCCGATATTGTAGATGCTCCCCTTCACAACGGCGGCGTTGTTGCCTGTCAGAAGAGCGCTGTACGCCTGGGTCTTGCACGTGTTCAGGAATGGGCCAACGGAGGTGAAGTTGGCGAAGACGTCGGAGGGAACGGTCGGTCCGTCGTAGAATGCAAACATGACCCAGATATCGAGCAGTCCGACAGCTCTCACAGAAGTTAGGATCAAGCCGGCCTTCTCGTCATCGCAATACTCGGTGAAATCACGAACAGCCTTCAGCAAAGCGGATGCCGTCTTCTCATTGTCTAGGAAGACCATCGTTCCTCCCCAAATGTCGCCTTGAGGGTAGGCTTGTAGGAGGAACGAAGTGACAATTCCGTAATTATTGCCACCCCCGCGGAGGACGGAAAATAGATCTGAATTTTGGGTGCGGGATGCCGTGACGATTGTGCCGTTGGCAAGGACAACTTCATACTCCAAGATGGAATTGGCAGCCCACCCGTATTGGGCGCTCAGAAAGCTTAAGCCACCTGCCCGTAGTTAGTATGCCTCCTATTCTGAATGACGAGAAATGCCCGAGCTGTATGGGTTGAGGTTTGGGGGCTACATCGCAGTAGCCATTGGTTCACGTTACCTCCAAGAAGGAACCCTCCAACACCGACATTCCCCACGCGGCCTCCTACCACCACGAGCCCAGTCCCGTCGAGGGCGCCGAGGACATCCTCCCAGCGATTTCCGGGGCCAACCCGAACAGTCCTCGCTTTACGATCCAGCGTTACCTCATTGAGCTGTTCAGTCGAAATAAGGGGCCCGCCGTCGACACTAGAGAAGTAATCGTTGGGGTTGTGACCGCCGGACTTAATGGCGAATACCTCGTCGTTGGTTTTTAGAATATTGACGATCTGAGCCACTTCATCCGCATTGGTTGGATATAGGACGCAGGATGGCTTCAGCGCGCTGCACGCAGTGGACCAGTACTCGCTCTGTTCGACCGTGTAGGCTAGCTCGAAACGCCTATGAATCTCGATCTCTGTTGTAGAGTCGATGATCTCACACGTATCCGCAGCTGCGAACGCCGCTAAAAGCAACGAGAAAAGGGAAATCAGCATCATCCTTGCGAGAACCTGATGAATACCAACGGGAGGCGGGAGGTGTGACCCTGAGTAGGGAAGTTCTCCTACATTATGGAGGAAGCCAGTCCATTTATGTCTCGTCGCAGGAGCGGCGCCACACCCGCATCCGGAGACGATATAGATTAATATTTTTCTTCTTCATTTGACACGTAACACCGCCCACTTCAGGTGGGTGTTTTGCTTACCCTTTCTTTTCAGGTGGACGTGTTTTTTATGATCCTTTTTTTCTTTTTTTTTTTTCTTCGTTCTTTTTTTCATCCAACTTGGAGCTGAGAGCGAGAAGGTGGGGTATAGCTAGTGTTCGTATCTGCTCGTTCCTGCGTCCTGCTCATTTCCCTTCCTGCCGATCGTGAGACCGGGGCAGTGGAATCATCATCGCTTATCGCGAGCTAAGCCTAATTTGGCTCGACTATTGGACGGGACCGCAGATCGCTCCCTTTCCTGGAACGTCTTTCTCGGCAGAACCTCCCATCACTCCCGGCCCCGGCAGTCATCGGACCGCGTCAATTTTTTGGTAGGAAAACAGACAGCCGCGCCAAGACCTCCAGGGTCTGGGCCCAGGGTCGCAGCTCTTTTCATGAAATTGAAACCACCGAGGCATTAATTGCGGTGTGACGCAGGAGTGGCGCCACTGCGATCACTCAAGCACCATCTTCTCTAAATGATACCAGCAATAGATGCTGGATGGGATAGGAAAAAGCGGAGGTAGATCAAAGATGGGATTAACCGTGACCACGGGACTGACAAGCTATCTTTAACATAAAGAAGGTTCCACTACCGGATTCAGTCCTGCTTGACGTGTTTGTTGTGACCGGACATTCGAGAAATTCCGCTCAGTGCTTGCAGGGTAAGGATACTGCGCCGTCCTTCAAAGTCGACCACATTTGACAAGCGAACTTCCGTGAACTCCTCGCTACGAAGTGGGTGAGGGAGGTTGCCATTCTCCATGCGCACTCTTTTTGAAATCGGAAAATAGGGCCCAATCCTCTGTGAGAGATAATTTCGCCGCCGCGGCTATGATTCTTGCCGAGTTATTCGAAAATGGATCAATCCACACGTTTGCAAAGTCGAAGCGATTATTATTATGTCTTATAAGCTATTTATGTTCTTGAAAATTATTTCAATAGTGAAATCGTTAATCCTTCCTACCTGTTGGTTGCAAGTACTCATAAAACGCGAACTCCCCCAACTACGGGCTTTCATCTTAGATGATTCCCAATCAGTTATAGTACATCTCCCGTTACCATCATCTTTGTTTTCACTTACGACTCTAACAATAACGACTAAGTGCTGACCGATAGGAAGCCCAAGAGCAGGGTTTATAGCTGCCGGGATAGTTCCGTAGGGAGTCATAACACAAACGGTAATAGTACTGTTGATCGACACATTGATGGCGGCAGATAATAATCTGTCTTAATTTTGGTGCGATGCGGGAAGGCATCTAGTTCTAGAACATCCATAGATCTCTTAAACAAGTTAATATTAGAAATTTTTGCTAATTCTTCATCCTCCGATTCTATGCCCTGAATCTGAAAGTATTTCGGGCATCTCGCGTCTCGGTCGGCTCGGTGTTGATACAGCATTCCCCAACGGAGCGAGAGGAAAGAAATAGCTCTGGTCCAGTCCCACTCGATGTACCTAGGATACTACCGTCGGCTGTTTTCTCGAACAAGGAGAATGCCTTTGAATATAGCTGATGATCTGGGATAAAGTTAAAGAGATGATATGGAGCATGCGAGCAGCAATGGAAAAGCAGACGGGCGCAAAATCTAATCCGGCACTGGAAGAGTGTAAGACGCCAAGAGCTCATTGCAGATCGATTGATGAAATAGACTTTTCGACCCTTTCTCGAACTCGGCAAGGGACGGCACGAACTACAATGAATAAGATTCAGCGAAGAAATCTCGGAGCTTAGGAGCGTGGGAAAGGTGAGTCGAGACGCTGTACGTTCTTGTGGTTTCTCTAGCGCGAACGGAAAAAAAAAAAAAAAAAAAAAAAAAAAAAAAATGAGAGAGAGAGAGAATGAATCATTTAGCTGCGATAACGGCTCTTTCTAAGTATTGTGGCTTGAACCTAGGTATGCGAGGAATTGTTGACAGTATGGCCGTGTCCCATTCTAATCGCGAGGTACGGGAGTAAGAGTTTCACGAGCCCTATCCACGGCTCGCTCATGAGCCAAGTGGGCGTCGAAGCCCCCGATTTGGTCCTCCCGGCGGGCCTCGAAACCCATTTCAAGGGCTGCCTTAGCCGCTTTCATATCCTCGTGATCGTCTGGAAAGATAAGATTCCCATCTAAATCCGTCTCAGTACGGCATTCCTCGAAGTCATCCGCTATAAGCTGGTAGAAATCATCAGGTTCTGGCTGCTGAACCCCCGGCTTCATCAACTCCACATGAAGCTTAGGACCGTGATTAAAGAAGCCTCGTGTGTGGAGCCGCGGCCCAACCCACTCGACGTTCGGATTGAAGCTGGATAGATTTCCTCCTCTGCAGTCGTTGAAAGAAGGGTTATACGTGGCTGGTTGCTTCTCCACGTAGCGTAGGAATTCATTAAAGTTGCAAAGTCCATCGGGAAGGCGGCCAATCATGCCAGGCGCAATTCGAGTCTTCCCAGGACCGTATAGAACGAATTGCATCTTGTAGATGTAGTAACAATGCACCATATCGTAGCCGATTACGGACTGCATGGGGGAGGAGTTAATAGAAAGATGCCCGGAATACCGTTTCTAAGGCAGAGATTGCAGATGCGATAGCTTCGAAGTATAATTTCGGGTTTGCGCAAAAACGAATTGTGTAAAGGGGAGAAGCGTTTCAGCTGATGGTGAGGTGTGTTCTTCACGTTCTCACGAGGTGGTAGTGCTGCTCTGGATGTTTGGGGTATCGTTACTGGTGAAAGAATAGAGAGGAAAAGCCTCATCGGGGAGAGGTGAGCGACGGTATTTATAATTTGGTTTCCGCAGCTGCTGAATATTCACCTGGCCAGCTATAGCGACAGCCTCGTCGTGGCGATTCACGTATCTGCCCAATTGCTGCTAGAACTGGGCAATTGGTATCCAAGTCCAGAATCAGCGTACCTTTTGCTCATGATATTGACGCTTACCTCGTCAATGGAGCAGACCAACTATGGTTCGGTCCTTAATCCTTCTCTTGATTCTTACAAAACTTACCAATTTCAAAAGCTGGGTGTTTTTGATAACAAGGAGTGTATTGAGATTTCTCGAGAGCTGAACTAAACGTCAAAATATCCAACTGGCATAAGATTTTGTATCAAGGGTTCGTCAGTTGCTTGTGTCATCCGTGACCCCACGCTCTGGCTATGAAGTGTTCCAAAATATTCAACAAGGCGAACAATACCTTTCGCGTTTTATTCTTGCTTCGAGTAAAATAACTCATTTCTCTTGAGACTTTTCCTGCCTAGGTTAATTAGAATCCCACTCATTGTGGTTTTCTGGTTGTTCATAAAGCGTTTAGTAGAAGCACGATTCTTGTAACCGCCTGGTTTAACTACATACTCCACCTTGGTTCCAATTTCGATCATCGATCATTGAAAAGAGAGATGCAAAGTCAACGCGGGGCCAGCCAAAAGTAAAGACAAGCGACTGTCGTGGACTCGTGGGCAAGCCTGAGAGAGTTCGACGCGGATGATTTAGACGACGTGGGATCCTGAGTACCCCGATTTAATGTTTTGGTAAATGTGTATTTACCAATCTCTTCCTACGGCGGCACTCCCCATGGTGTAGTGCTATAGAAAAAGGCCGGCTGGCTTTACATAGCCTTGATTACGCGTAGGGGCCTCGTTGCCAGGAATTACAGGCGAGGGAAGAGAGTCTTGAGCGGCAGTGCATTTCCCATCTAAGCGACACCCTCAAGATATTACGCTGGCCAAGCTCCGATAGGGGAGTTACAGAGACGAACTGTATCTGCTACTGGTCTGAAGAAACATATCCAAGGCCACCCTCGAACCATCAGATCTCGGCACCTTCACTTATACATGTGGAAGGTGAACACCGTTGCAGCGCAACACTCGCAGTCGGCAGCGGGATCCACAAATAACTATGAAGCGAAACTGCCTGATCCGAGTGGAGGTCTATGATGCCCCAATCACCCCTCCCATTTACATCTACGAACTGCGCGAGGAAGCTCGAAGTTACTCGCTTACGGCCTCGGAGCACTCGGCATTCTGCGAAAGAGAAATTCAACCACGATCAGTGGGACTTTGGTAAAGGAGATGGAGTCTAGAGCAGTCGTTCTCAACAACTATTAATCCTCACGGCATTTCCTCAATGTACCAACATTTTAACTTAACGGATATCATAAAGCTACCCCGCCGCTACAAGTTTACTTCCCGCCCACCTATCCTTGATCAGACAGCGGGTTAACAATTCTGCCGGGGCCATCCTGTCCCGTAATGCTGCACGAGTCCAGAATGACGAGAGTTGGGGAGCTTCCTTTTTTTTTTTTTTTTTTTTTTTTTTTTTTTCTTTTTTTTTTTTTTTTCGTGAACCCCTTCCAAAAACTACACACGGTCGCCATCCATGATCACTATCGAGATATCCTATCCTTCGGGCTCCTCATCGGAATTTCACAGAGGAAGACTTGTAGTTGCTGTGAGTGAGTGAAACTCCAAGCCACCATCCACAAGCACGTGATATTTACACAAAGGCTAATGAGTCAGCATGGAGAAATTGTGCGAGCAAAATCAACAAAGTGATTGAGCAAATCTTAGAATTTGGTGAAACGAAGGAACTGTTTGGGTAGTTATATGCCCTAACGGCATACATTACAGTTACAGAAATGAACGTGAACCCATTCAGGCTCTTTTTGAGGCCAGAAGCAGAGTGGTTTTCGGTCGGGATGGCATCCTCATTTCCCGATCTGGGCCTAGATGATGGCGATCTCTTGATGCCTCGGCCCTGCAGCGATGGTCTCAAGCCAGGGTGTAAAGTTTTCTATTCTCCTACGACGGATAGCTCGCAAAGATCACAGCTATCGGTTGCGGATGATGCTTTTCTCGCGACCGAAAAAGGAAAAGATCTGAAGGATCAAGTTCTTGTTTTCCAATACAGGGGCAAGTTCCACGCCATTGACCATGTAAGTGTATCCCTGTGTGTCAGCTGCCAAACTTCACCGGATATGTTCTGTCTATGACAGCGAATACTAATCGTCTATTGCCTAGCGCTGTCCACATTCATCGTACCCCCTCTCTCGAGGCACTCCTTTTGACATTGAAGATTTCGGAATCGCTCTAAGTGCAGGGCTAACATGTCCTAAACACGGCTGGTCTTTTGACATATTTTCAGGCATGTCTGATCGGGGACATTACAAGCTCGGTGTGTGGGAAGTACAGCTACGTGATATCCAGGACGCTGCTCCGGGGAGCACAGATAAGGAGGTGTGGGTAAGAAGAAAGCAAAGGATGGGATAGAGTTCTTTCGGAGCCAAGGACTATTGATGAGAATCACCAAACAATCCCGAGATCAGAGTGATGCTTTGAGAAGTGATATCGACGCGGCGTACGTGGTGATTCTCTGATATGTTCAGCAGCATGGGCTCCGCCCGCCGGGATGTTCTGCGAACGGCTGCAAGCGATTCTCGCTGTCGTTACCGCATCGAGCCAACCCATTTCTTAAATCATTTAATGGTACCCCATATATGACCGCTTCCTCTCAAGATTCTGTAATCTTTGCACTCATGTGTAGGGGGAAGCACCCAGCGGGCTCTTCAAGCATACGCCGGGGCAACGTGTGCTGAGCTAACTCGGAAATCTGTCGACGAGACTCCTGTAATATGACCCTCGTTTCGGTCGCTAGGACTGCCCACTCCAGTCTTCTTCTATAGAAAGTAGATCCCGACTCCATCTGGGTCGTGGGTGTTGTCGTGTTTCCGGAGCTGGTTGTCGCGTCACTGTTAAGTGTATTGCCGGCATCATCTAGCCAAGGATCCATTGCTGAAAGAGAATATCGACGAGCAGATGAAGTGTAATCAACCTTAGATCACTAGGTGCAGTAAGGAACACACGGCTGGGTGAGTGCCCACTTGGGGGCAATCATTATGGTTGATCTTTTGCTCGCTAGGACGATTGCCTGGTGGTTCGGTTCTACAGCTTTCCGGCCTATGAGAATGAGGAATTAGTTAAACTGTGACATAATTAACTGTCACTAGCAAGCAGTATTATTTGCTGATGTCGAAAGGAACACAACAGGCTCGGCTTTTGCTCTTGTTAAGTGTCGAATCAGTTTAAGATCCATAATGCAGACCAGAGTGGCGCAGTGGATGCATACAGCTTCGGCTGTGTCTTGGTGGTGAGAGGCGTGGCCAACTCGTCAGATTGTTAGAGCCGCGCCACTGCCCCGCCAACTTCCCAAAAAGGAAAAACGCAGCGCTCGATGGAAATCTCCCGTTGTGAAGGCCCCCCCCCCCCCCCCCCCTGACGACATCTATTAAAACAAGGGTCTCTTCCGCGCCGGCGAGACATTTTTGGGCATTACGTTCGTAACTACAGATACCCTCATCGGGCACCTTCTCCCATTTCCGGAATTCAAGGATTCAAAATATCAGATCTCTTGTGCATTCCCCAAGTTCAACGACATCACCAGCAACATATTATGGGCTCCTCAAACTCCAAACTCATCCTTCCTCAAATATCAGAGCACACTGCAAAAAATGGCATGCCTCCCGTGATCCGCGTCACCCAGAAAAAATCATGGAAAGAAATCATATGTTTCCTCAGCGAGCCCGGCGCTGATCCTTTATACTGCATCAACCTCCCCGATGGTTTGTGGGGAAACATGACCCTTCATGACGGACCCGACCCTACGTCTCCCCCTCTCGCCCACGCAGTAGGTGAGGGAAGGGGAAGAGTCGACTCTGGAATTACTCTGCCTGTGTTACCAGGAGCTGAAGGTGATCCTACGGCCAACAAAGAGATCCTGCGCTGGAGGGTCGGAAAGAAGGAGACCTTCTGGTTTGCCATGGATGTGGGTCAGGGCGCTGACCGGCGACTGGAGCGTTTCGAATGGCGACGTTCTCACGGAGATGAAGTCAAGAGTATCGGCGAGTCTAGCTGGGGCTGGAAACTTGTTCGGTTGGGAGCCACAAGGGCAGGTGCCGGGAGTCATGATGATAGCGATCACGGCGATGTCAATCACACGACAGGCAGAGCCAGCGATGGCAAGGAGGTGGTTGCTGTGTGGGCGGACAGTAAAAGCTGGAAGACACTCACCAAGGTGGGCGAGCTTCACCTCTGCGGGAGCGGTTCGACGGGTGAGTTGGGAACGTCCTGGGCGCTGATGGTTGTCATGAGTTGCATGTGCATCTGGCAGAAGATGGTGCAGTTAGGTAATGCGACATGATTAGTTTTGATGCTAGGGGGGGCAGTTGGGAATGAGATCACATACAAAGAAAATACTCCCGAATGGACCAACTTTGTTATATCTCTCAACCTTGCATTCATGCTTTCTTATTACTTCAGGCCTTCAGCGCCGATCGGGGCGGCCCACGCAGCTATTAGGCAAATATCTCGGGCGGCCTGGGCAGCAGGATTATTCGAGGTCTCTGCCACCCGAATCTCTGATTACCTTCCCATGGCTTCTTCCAACTATAACCTGCTGAAGCTGATCTCTACGTGGCCAAGGTTATATTATATGTCTGGCGGGATAAGGAATACTTCTTAATTCTGCGATCTCCCTCCAGAGCACTTTGAAACAAGGAACTAGGCTTTAACGTTGTTGGTAAGCAAGACACCGCTGGGAAGAGTCAGGCAGACGGTACTTCCAATGGGATTTCCAATAGATCCACCTATTTGCAGGACCCACGGCTGCCAATCCATACCGCAAAGGGGAACATTCGGTTTTATTATGTAGTAGGAAGAAGGTCCGCCTACTGCCTGGATGGAGATACTTTAACTCCGGGCCGCTGACAAGGACTGTATTGTTCGGTTAAAGCAAATCTTCATATTATAATTTTTGCTTCCGAGGATTATTTCTGAATGCAAAATAATGGGTGATATGAACTGAGCCGATTTCTATTGACATTGAAGAGCCCTTGCGTAAGTTGTTGGCTTATTAATTTGGTGATAACAAGTGCCAGCTCCAATTTCGTTGAGACAATGAATGATGCGACAACTTAAGAGACTTAGACCTTAGATAACGGCTTTGAGACTTCGTAAGCATCAACACATAATCGCGGAAGTATTCCTTTCAGTCAGGTGATTTGGCACAATTATAAATCTCCTTGCTCCCCTCCCAAACCCCAACTCCGCACTTGAGTTGAGGAGGAATACACTTTGCAGAGGTTGCCCTCCCTCAATACGATGCTGACGATTGGCATATTCCCAGCCTCTGGTGGGCTTGGCACCAGTACCTACACTCATCTCCTCAAGAATGTTCCCGGGAATAAAGTTATCTTGATCAGCCGTTTTCCTGACAAGGTTCCGAACACGTACGTCCAAGACGGAGTACGTCTTCGTCAGGCAGCGTACGAATCCGATCCTGAAGATATAGAGAAGACCTTCGCCGATATCGATGTGCTGTTTCTCATTTCTTACCCAAGCCACGTCCATGAGTACCGTTCGAAGGCAAGTTGATGTGACTTTCTCTCCTGTTCTCTCCCGCATTCTTAGATGTCACGATGAATTGGTTTGGTCCTCAAAAGAATCTAAGATCGTGTGATAATTACAGGTCCAATTGCCGGTAATAAACGCTGCAGTTCGCGCTGGGGTAAAACACATATTCTACAGCTCCCTTGGCTTCGCCGGAAACCTCACGGATCACTCTTGTGCCGTTGTGATGCAGGCTCATCTTGATTCTGAGCGGCATCTGGCGAGTCTCGCCGCCTCCCACCTCGGTTTCACCTACACCAGCATCCGGGAGGGGTTGTACTCGGAGTCCTTTCCCATATACACCGCATTCTTCGATCTTCAGAACCCGTCGGATGAGATACGCATTCCACATGACGGCTCAGGGCCGGGAATCTCTTGGGTGAAGCGTGACGAGCTGGGCGAGGCCACAGCTAAACTGATCGAGAAATATGCGTCGCAGCCGGAAGCATTTCAATATGTGAACAACAAAGTGCTATTGACCGGAAACAGGGCTTGGTCATTAACCGACACCGTCAAGTGTCTTGGCCAGGCTATCGGCAAGGATGTCAGGATCATCAAAGTGGATGTGGACGAATACGCTAGCCAACCCCAGGTCGTTGGGCGCTTTGGGTCAGTGGAGATGGGAAAATCGTGGGCGACGGCATGGGAAGCAATCCGAGATGGAGAGACAGAAGTTGTGACCCCCACACTATTGGAAATACTGGGCAGGGTGCCTGAGGAATTCGACAAAACGATCAGGGACTTGGTTACGAAGGCTCATGAATGAACTGGGCGATGGCAGTTTGCTCTAGACGAATGATTCTATTTATATTCAGAGAAGCTACGCCCACTCGATACGGAATAGAAGGTACCCACTTTCGTCCTCACGACCTATACCCTTCCGTTTCTCTAGCTCCTCTGTACGTAGAATCTTTAATCTCCGGCCTTCGCTGGTCTGGGGCGAGTCGGTGGACTCGAATGCTGTCTTGACGGTGGCACTGATTCCGTTGAAACGTCCGTTCTGACGGATAGATGCAAGGAGCCAAAATATCCCGTCTGGCGCCAGGAGGCGAAAAGCGCAATCTCGCAGTAGTGTCGCATGCTCGGGCCCATAAACAACATCGGCAGCAACCAACATGTTGGCAGGTCTATTAAGCGGCGGATCCAGCACGGGAGACGACCAGTCGAGGAGAGCCGTTTCTACCGGAAGACCGTTTTCCTCAATATTAGACCGCAGGTTTTCGAGGACTTGGGGGTTATAATCTGTTGATATCACCGTGGGGTCTACGAAGCCAAGTCGAGGGAGGGCAGAACTCAAAACCAGACTAACAAGTCCTGTTCCTGCACCCAGCTCGATAATGCGAGGGGAAGGACCTAGTCTGTCCCTGTCGAGGCCCAAGGTTAGGGACGACGAACAAATGAGATCAGAGAAGATTATTGACGCTCCCCAGATTTGCAAACCGACATCATCATGGTCGCTGGCGTTCGTACCAGCTAGTCTGTCGCGAAGCCGTATATTGAGGGGCCCCGAAGCCGTCCGCTTCGGAAGCACGATATCAAAGTTAAACTCATGGATGAAACTGTCGTCCGAATCCTCTTCCAGCGGGTCTTCAGACATGCTCATGGAAAAGAGCGACTCTAGTATGCAAGCGGCCTGGTCGACGACAAATTGGCTTGTAATCTCCTCCCCATCGCGCAGCAGTGTATCGGCACGGCCGATGAAGCCCGTTAACCACCTCTCGGCGAAACCACGTTCGAACGCATCAGCTCTTAGTTTCTTAAGCGTTTCTTCTCTACTGGCAGAAGGTTTCTTTTTATTGTCGACTTCAGAGGCGTAACCCGAATCGACGGCTGGTGCTGGGCTTCGTGAGACAAGGCGCGACGAGGAATTCCGATCCAGTGAGACAGGCACGGGCAGGGGGCAGTAGATGGCAGATAGATTCTCCAACGCTGAAAGAATCTGGTTTTTGGTAAGCGATTCCGTAGCTCGGAGGGAAGGTAAACTGCTTGATGGCAGTTGTGGGTGTTTCTCAGCTTTCATCTTTTCTTGGTTCTATCCGAAGCTGGACGTCTGGTGGTGGTGATATAGGGAGTGGCGTTACGTTGGTCGAGAACACTAGAGAACAGGGTGAGGGACCAAAGTGGGAGAGGACGAGAACATAGAACGACACCAGAGCGAAGAGCAAGAAAGAGGGGATGAAAACCACCATCGCCTAGTATTATTAGAGCACTTCAATTGGACCTTGTAAGGTTCATCCGGAAGAAGAAGTTGAAAATCATCATCGCCAAGTAATATTAAAGCTCTTGGATTGGACCCCTGCGGTATCATTTATACCCTAAGGTGAGCTAGGGCGCAGACCCGCCCGCTTAATACCCACTTAGTTTGGGTTTGATGCCATCGTGAAAAATTTGCTACATCTCGGAAAATTTTTTCAAGCTGAAGGAGAAACAGAGTGCCTTTGTGCTTGACTAGTACACCTAGGAAAGATGGACGAAGAACCAATAATAAGGCCCAGGATAAAAATAGAAAATAAAATAAAATAAAATAAAAGGGTCTACTGGAACGCTCTCCGTTGAGTCACGTCTCCGATAAGATGCTCCCCATGACCCCCTCTGGCGCAGTTGGTGGATTCTTCAATCCCCGAATCTGATCCACAAAAGTAGATTTTGTCCCTTCGCAGATTAGGTCCAATCACTGAAAACCTTATCCCCACGCCGGATGGCGACAAGGGCCTTGCGGATATGACGTATCGAGGTATACTCCGTCTGGCAGGTCAATGTTGGTCACATCTTTTGAGGCTCTGGGCTGTGTCGTTGGAGCAACGTGTTGGACTGATTGGCAATGATGTCAAAAAGGGCAAAACTAGCCTTCTAGAAACTTTCCCGGATGGACCAATTACAAAATGCCTGGAGTAATACGGATGGATTCCACTTTGTAAGCTATGGAGTACACCATATAATCTAAATACAAGGCCTTGCCGACTTCCCTTTCAGTTCATTTTAGCATCCGGTTCCCCTTGCTAATTCCTTGATCCAGCCTTTCGCGGTCCACCTGCCAAAATCAAATGCTGCGAAAGTTGAAAAGGTAAAACTAGTGAAAAGGCGCTTCAGGGCCGCCAGGGGCAATGCGCCGCGTACACAACTCTATGAACATCGGGTCCCCACTCTGTGCTGATCTAATAGTAGATTCTGATCTTGGTGGACTCAGTTCTCTAGCAAAGTCAGCACAGTGAATTTCCGATGGCCGGAATGGTAACGATCAACGAGAACTCTGAAATATTGGCAAAGAAACAATCCTACGGGCCGCCGCAATGGCTGCACACGATATGATTTGGGAATGGGAACTACAGAACCGGCTGTGATAACCAAGGCTATCATTCAATACTTCTAAGAACCTGCCTCTCGTCGAGTTTACGGTCGAAGCCTCGGCCATGCGAAAATAATGATCCTTAGGCAACATTCACACTTCACTTTATGTCCTTGAGTGTGAGCCATGATACTATCAAAATTTGAACTCGATGGTAGACCCACGAAGGCTGGATGAGATGAGCGGAACTGCCGACTCGGCATCTGGTATTCGCAGGTTCGGAATTTCAATTCCCCTGTTCTAGCGGGGGCTAAACACACTTTGACCCCTCCCCGCCTCTGCGGCATAACGCAGAGGGGCACCTAGGAGTACTTCCACCCCGCAGGCAGACGGGAAAGACCGGTACCAGTTCTTGTCTCGAATTATTTTCTCGCGTCATCGCTTAAGATATAGCTAAAACAAAGGCGTCATCGGCGAGAACCCGGATTTGTCGGGATTGCCTCTTTCACCACTGCCCCCAGCACACGGCAGTCAGATCCCGGGTGCTGGTATTGACTGCGTTCCTGGGCATCATTGGCTCCTTCAGCGGGGCTGGTGGGCACTGAGCGTCGCGGCTGGGGATCAGACGATGATTTCTTTCGGCATGCGCATCCTCCCCTTATGATGATTATGACCGGTCCGATAACTCCCCGTCTAGTCCTGGCAATGAATCCTGTCTTTTCTCCTGCGGGAGGAATAAATATAAGCTGGACGGCCATTTCTATTCCGATTTACCTGTGTGGAAAATCCAAAAGGTCTTAACTTCTTACCCAATCAAGTACCGCACAATATCACACACCAAGATGGCTCCTTCACTACATCCACTCATTGACAACGGCATTACCAAGGGGAAGGAGGATTTCCAGGGCGGGAAACTACGATGCCACTGCAGCACCAATCCTGTTGAGGTTTCGCTCAAGGGTAACGTCCTGCATAACCACGCCTGTGGATGCTCCAAATGCTGGAAGCCTAAGGGAAGCCTCTTCTCCATCATTGCCGTCACCCCTACCGACAATCTCCAGGTGACAGCAAACGGGGACAAGCTATACGTCGTCGACTCCAATGCTGCCATCCAGAGGAACGCCTGTAATGAATGCGGCGTACATCTCTTCGGCCGCATCCACAATGACCACCCGTTCAAGGGCCTAGACTTCGTTCACGTCGAACTATCCGACGATGAAGGGTGGCAGGAGCCTCAGTTCGCCGCTTTTGTCTCTTCAATCATCGAACAAGGTTTCCATCCCAAGGGTATCGACGACGTGCGTGCCAAGCTCGAATCTGTTGGCCTCAACACCTATGACAGCTTGTCCCCGCCGCTTATGGACGCCATCGCGACTTGGAATGCACAGAGGGCGGGACTCTTGCCCGCAGAGCTTTAAATTCCGCCCCGTTATGGACTCGCTGGAGTTGGGCGTTGGAAATGGTGTGGAATCGGTGAAACAGTAGCATGGCATGAGGAGGGATCCGAGGGAAAGGAGACCGAGGGGGACGGAGTTAGGATCGACGCCATCATGCGGAAGTCTATTCTTGGGGGAGTCTGTCTTAGCCGGGTGTATACTATAGAGGAAAAAAGAGTACTTTCAACTCGAAACTATCTTTGCATCGCCACTCTATGCTACCTGAAATAAAGCGGACTCATGAGGGCTCCATCGCGGAGTCCAGCTGTGGCCTTCCGACGTCTAGTTGTTGCCGAGGTATCAACCGCAAGATGGGAATTCTCTTAACGTATACTTTGCTAATGGCAACTCTCTGGAACTGGATGTGGTGGATATTGGCGGCGCTGCTTCGTTTGATTATGTTGTTATCCTTCTCCACGATCCTCTACATCGCCGAGCGGGGCCGGCTGAAGCTGTTTTAGCGGGAAGATGTATTATCGACCTGGTTGGAATTTGTTCATAGGGATCTGTGAAGTATAAGTTGGAGGGTCCCACTGATCCAATATATTGGAGAATTTCATGATATCGTTGACGAGCTATTCAGAGGTAGAAAGATTCAGGTGTGAGAGTCATTGCCGAGAGGCTTTGAGTTATAATAGGAGCGACTCGAGGAGGGTTACTGGATCACCGCCGGGTAGAGAGCCCGGTCCCGTCGTAGCCTCTGACAGTTCCTATAAATCCCTTCTAAATGTGGCCATCAAACTCTGCACAGCCTCCCATTCTGAGTCTGCACCCCGGCAATCCCATCTCGAACCTCCCAGTCTTCACTCCCCACTGCTGTTGTCGCGTAGAACACACCTCTAGGATCCCACTTCTTCTTAATTCCTAACAACCGCTGATAGATCTCTTCCCCGTAAAAGTCTGCCTGCCATTCTGGTTCCATAACATTCGCCTCGTTGAGGTACGAGCCCCCACCTTCCGTGTGAGGCGCGATTTCCCTCCACGGCCCTAAAATATCGTATGTTAGTCTCCGCGACGCAGTGCTCATTTCTTCAGAAGTCGCATCGGGGGAAACGGTCGCGGATGATATGAAGAAAGCGATAACGTTGCGCCAAGCCGGAGATACAGCGTTGTCCGCGTTGGCGCGGTTCTGCGGTGCTTGATGGTATCCTCCCCACCGTTGACCTGACTCGGATAAGGTGCGGAGTGAGGTGATGAGCTTGCTAAACTTTTCTTCAGACTCCCATACTGAGCGAGGAAAGAGCCTGTTCCCCGGCAGAGAGACAACTCCACCTGCCGAGTTGAGCCCGGCATTCTGTTGCCATGTGGACGAATAGGCTGAGTAGAAGTTTTCGTGAAATTGTGTATCGGGGGTAAATTCAACACCAAGAGCCTTCATTTCGTCAAACCAGGGTTTCACCAGGGCGTTAAAGGATTCAATTGTGTAGTTTGGAGCAAAGAAGGGCTTCATGTCGAATGTGTACGTGCCATTGGTGTTATAAACCCAGAAGAAGGAATAAGTGTGGGCGTCGGTGAAGGGGATGAACATGGCGAGATACTTCCGGACTGCAGCCCAGAAGCGTTCGTTGCTGAGCTTTTCCGACGTTGAAAATGTGAAGGTGGATGTCACGGCTGGCATCTTTGGGTGCACACGAACGATGAGAGACGTGACAATGCCGTAGGTCCCCCCTCCTCCCCCGCGAAGGGCCCAGTAAAGATCAGTATTGTTCGTAGGGCTGGCTGTAACATATTCGCCTGACGCTGTCACTACTTCAAGAGCCATGACGTGGTCGGCAGCCATGCCGTAGTAACCAGACATGGGAGTATGGCCACCTCCAGCAACGTATCCGCCAGCAAAGCCGACGCTCTAGAGGAAGTCAGGGGCGAGACAATACGTGAACAAGAAGGGGCAACAGCCCGTACCTGGCAGATACCTCCTAGCACGGTCCCTCCTACTCTATCAGCTGCCTCATACAACTCCCTAACCGTGACTCCTGCTCCAACCTTGAAAGCCGGACCTTGGTAGCCTGGACCGTCGTAGTCAGGCAGATACTCCAGGTCCTTCAGGTTGTGCGTCCAGATAGATAATGCTCCCGCTCCAGATGACTTGCCGAGATAGCAATGGCCAGTGTTCTTAATCACAAGTCGGAGATTGGCATTCCGTGCAAAGTTGACGGCTAGCTGAATCTGCGACACATCGCTAACGTTTACAGCATACTCAGGAAAGCCGCCAAGAGTACAGGTGCTCGTCTGTCCATCGTTGGGCATGCAAGTTCTGCCTTGGAAAATAGGAAAGAAAATGGAAGTAGGGTGATTTTCGCTAGGTTAATTGTCAGTATTAGCTCGTGTTCGTCTGGCAGGAGCTTTAACGGAAACTAGGCCTGCTGCTATATGGAAGGAGTTCATACTGGAAGTAACCATTCGTCCAGTTAGCTTTGATGGCAGCACACTCATCCTCACTATATAAATCCCAATCCCTGAAACAAGGGGCTCCAATGGGGACCGTAGGGATCAAGGCACCTCGAAGAGCCTGGTTGAATGCATCCCAGACCTCGCGCCCTGGCCATGAATCTTCCCCGGGGAAGCACCTGCATGACCCGCTTGCGGGAAGCGACTTTTCAGAGCCATCATCGAATCCGAAAAGAGCTGCATGTTCCCAGACGCCCTCCGATTTTGAAAGGCCTTCTAGAATCTCAGATGTCAACTGCTGCGTCTCCCACTCAAACAAAGGGGTGCTTGCACTAGACAGCGGTGCTTGCAACGCCGCGACTAGGTTAAAAGAACCCGTGAAAAGAATAATAAGGAAGGCACGAGACGAAGCTCGCCAAAGACCTGTGTAATGTGCCATCTTGTCCAAACCACGCAAGGGGTGACTGACTGCCCAAAAAAAGAAAAAGAAAAGAAGGAACCCCAGTCTTTGCACAGACTCCAGTCCCAAGTAGCCAGTGATAAAGCATGCTTATGACTGGGGGACGGCTCGAGAGCGGTTGCTCTAGTGTACATTCGCGATGCTTACCGGGCATTTTGATGGATAAAGGCGGAAATTTCGGGAACGCAGCGGTAAATGTACGATTGGCGGTTAGGTCATTTCCAGCGAGAGGGGTGATTGAAGAAGTGGTCAGAGAATGTTCTGGAGAGAAATTGAGAATAGGACGGCGATTATTAGGGGAGTGCGGAATGCAAAAGTGCTAAGAATTTCTCTAAAGATATTTATACTTATTTATAGCCAGAGCAAGTAAGTAGACTTCTCTATTTATATTTCATAAGTGGAAGCTAAGCATTGCTACTCGAGGCATGCCTTAAGCCAGCTTGAAGTAACTCTCTAAGTATGCCCTAAGCAGCTCTGAGCTATACCTGAGCCACATGTGGAGAGGGCTTGATAAGGTCAGCTAGCCAAATAAGGAAGTGCCGAGGGGAATCGATGCGACAAACAACCGATTAACCTCAAGTTAACGCCCTAAAATATAATGAGGGTCGACTAGTATCTTGGCTGAAGAATCCCAATCTCGTTGGCGAAAACGACCAGCTCCTCTTAGGGGTCTGGCTATGACATCCTTCCATATCGCTCTCCCGGAATATGATATTCCGATACAGTTCATGAAGAAGATATATGGCACCTACAGGCTACGGGAACTTCTTTAAGATCATTTCGAGCCAAGTCATGAACGTTTGCCCATCCTGCGCGGAACCGACCCTCACGGACGACGACTTCGTCGTCCAAGAAAATCCAAATCTGAGAGATTTTAATTAGATCCTATTAGCTGGGAGTAGTTCGAGTCAGTTGCCGGGCCGAATCTTGTGGACTCTAGAGAGCAAATGGGTCTAGTTGACGATAAGCCTTTCGACATGTCCGACCAGATTCAGGAGGGCAGTGCAGACGATGGGTTGTAAGTAGGAGGAGAAATTTGTATTTGAGTAGTAATGGGGAACCTTGGATTCCCATTTCCAAGACTTTTGAAGGAGATCACGAACAATACACGAGGGAGATATCACCTCCGCCTCCGAGGTTCGCTGTTCGAAGCGGCATTGCCTCTGGTAAATTCAGGACAACAAGCCCACCATCCTTTCTAGAGGCCGGCCTTTATATTTTCCGGCTGGTATATGGGATATTCTCTGCACACCGTGGTTGGGTGAAATGAGATCTATCAAGTGGTGTTGCCATGACTCTCGAAGCAGATCAGAACATACTGCGAAGGATCGATCTCCCGACAACGTACTTAACATAGCAATCTGTGTTCTCTTCTGTTTGACTCTTAGTCATCTCTCAAGAGTCCTCACATTTCAATATTTCATTCCGATTCGCCATCAACTATCGGTTTTGCGTGCTATTTTGTCCTCCTATTACTAATATATGAGGGGTCCGATGGAAAGCACTCGAATCAGAGATGTGTTCACACAATTCTCGCCCTTTTCTTTCTCCAAACAACTTACCAAACCCGAAAACAGGTACGATGACCGATGCGGGAGGCCAACAAGAGACTTGGCGATATCAGAAGGAGCTACCGGCTGATAGGACTGGCCTCGCAGAAGCATGGAAACTACTCGAGTCATATAGTGGAATTCCTTATGGCAAGATCGACGAGCACGTAGCCACAATCGTGAGCCTCACCTCGCGTTAAAGCCTCGATATAGGCAGCTAGAGGCACCTATTAACAAGGAGAGCAGCGAGACAAAGCGTTCAAAGTCTTCAATTACCCCTGCATCGGCCGCTGGCGTTTTCTGGATCTTTACATTTCATCTTCACCTGAGTATCCCGCCGTCATTGCTCGTCTGAAAAGCGGGGATACACTTCTCGATTTGGGCTGTTGCTTCGGCCAAATCTTACGCAAGCTTGCATTTGACGGCGCTCCAGCTGCCAACCTCACTGGTTCCGATCTGCGACTCGAGTTTATCGAACTAGGCTATGAACTGTTCCGCGACAAAGATACATTTAATGCACAGTTCATAACAGGTGATGTGTTAGACCCTTCTGATACGGGAATAGCACTTCTAGATGGGAAATTTGATATTGTGCACGCGGCGAGCTTCTTTCACTTATTCGGGTGGGATGACCAGGTGAAAATAGGAGAGCGGATCGTGCGATTTTTCAAGCCTGGGTCCAGGGCGCTGGTGTTGGGACGGCAAGTAGGATCCTTGAATCCCCCAACTCTTGAGGCACATCATCTCGAGCAAGGAGGGAAACCGTACCACCACAATCTCGAGACTTTGCAAAGTCTATGGGATACGATTGGCATTCGAACAGGAACAAAATGGACGGTTTCCGGCGAGCTATTCGATTTGAAAATTGATGATGTCCCAAGGGTCATCATTAGATTTGCTGTATCTAATGTGGTCTAAGATCTAGGCCGGAAACTTCAATTCCTCTCCTGTGTTTCCTCCGATAGTTCTAGTAAATTAAGAGTCTTGTTCCTCGAGCGCCACGCCCTAGCTTAGAGGCGAAGTAATAACGAGGATCACCTTCTACATTTGGTGCAATCAGCAGGCTGTTAAAGGGTTGTATTCAATTCAACGATCGGATTCTTATACCGACGCACTTTAGATCGGATATCTAACATGAAATGCCGACTAGAGTACCCCATGTGGCGTCAAGGTGTTCCCGCGCAGCAGCACACCTTCGATTGATTAAGCTTTCTTCGGCTTTTGATTCCGTCTCACCATACGAAATTGCGCCGCCTGTGCGAGAAAGGAATTCTATTTGGTCCATTTCTCGAAATTTCCCCGGCTCGGAATGGCGCTCCCGTTCGAGGACGCCCAGGTAGTGGCAGAGTGGAACCCAAAGCTTCCAAGACGCAATATTGGCCTAGCACTGCATCTTCGAAACAAACCTAACAACCTTCGATACTCTGGCTACCATAATATCTACAGGATAAGCTACTAACACGGCCCTTGTAAAATAACACCCGTAGCGCGAGAAGGCACGTGGTGGGAGGAACGATACCAACTCCACAGCCTTCGAAACGGCTTCTTATACACTTCAATCAGCTAGCCACGGTTGAAGTGCCAATTCCAAACTAAGATCGTAGGCAATATCGACACAACCGTGGCTTCTATGGTTTCCTCGATGTCGTGGTCATCAACGCCAGGATGACGGACCCCAAAGATGATAGTGGGTAGTGTCCGAATGAGAGTGAGATCTCGCCGTGTCTGGTTGGGACTTGGGAAGCAAGGAATAATAAGAATATAGAAGTGTTTAGATGTCATGAGATCTAATTCACCCAGCTCCCATATACTGCGAGCAATGGTAGTATCCTTGACATGGCCGGTGAATTGTTCGTCCTTAACGCATGGTTAGCAGGCTCGCTATGGCCGTCTCCCTTCTGGCGGTTTCCGCGCTATCCGAACCATCCGCTCCTTCCAGCATAATTTCCACGTTTTCAGGTTCCCACCCATTCCCATAGTCCAACCATTCCTTGCTGATGGCAAAGAGAAACGACTCCCGGGCGAATCTCATGTCCCCCACGTTGGCGAGGCTTGTAGACTGCTCTGGGAGTAGTTTTGCTGATCATGAGAACCAGAATTTGGAGCACAATGAGGATCTCTTGGGTCGGTGGGGGCCTAAAGAGAAGTGTAGGTTTCGGGGCGGAATGTTATGGGGACTAGGATTCGCTGCGTGGCAAGCTCGCTGCCGACTATCCGGTCATCCGATAGCCGAAAGTTTATTGTGGCAGCCACCCCAGTCACCATCCCGATTTCCTGGCGGTGAGTTTTCTCGGACCATGGCATTAGCATCGATTTGGCTGGCGTTTTGACCCTGGAAACACCAACACCAAAGAATATGTAATAGCTTATCTTTGGCACACTTACCGCCGGACCCCCAGAAGAGCGCGTGTCGTTATCGTGGCAAGCTCGGAAATTTAAACTTAAAGCTAATGTAGCCCAACGTGTCATGAAGCATTCGATTCTGCATGACGCGTGCATACTAGAATTACGTAGGTGGATATATATTACGACGCGCCACTGAGCTGAAACACATCGTCGGGTCATCGTCACGTCTGCCAAGAAGGGGTATGCCCTGGATTTGGGAAAAAGAACGTCTTGACCGGAAGAGACTGTTTTCTTTGAACCCAATCTTCCCCCATCCGTTAGCCTCTTGGCAAATATGCGGTGAAAAAGTCAACCATGTGGTCGCCGAAGCGAATCTCCTTGTGACCTTGGTTCCAAGATGCCGATACAGGCACGAGTCGATGTGTATTCACCAGACTACTACAACGAAGACAAGGGACCTCTTATAATTTATGTTACCGTACCTATGACCGGGGTTGCCATTCTCTTCATCGTTGCCCGGATGTACAGCAGGAGCTTGTCCTTGAGGAGACTACTTATCGATGACTACCTCGTTATCATTTCAGGGGTGAGACGACCGCTGCTTTATCTCATTAGAGCCTATTAAGACTTCTACTGACGTGGCCTACATATGCCGTGTGAAAAGATGTTCAGCGTTGCCTACATCGCTCTGACAGCGGTCGCTATTAGCTACGGCGGCGGCAAACATTCCATTTCACTGGAGCCTTATGAGATCAGCCAGGCCATTCTATTCGTCCTTATTGCCTTCATCCCGGGGCTGCTGTCCTTTACAATACCGAAATTCGCTGTAGTCATACTTCTTTCGAAGATTTTGAACCCCGGGCCGATGCATCGAACTATAATGTGGATTGTGTCCATCGCCTACGGACTCCTCGTTGTTGTGACACTGATTATAAACTTCGCTCAGTGCTCTCCTGCGGCGACGCAATGGGGGAAAGCGCAGGGGACCTGCTGGGACCGCAGGATTATCGTGGATTGTATGCTGGCTGTAGGAAGTGAGTTTTTCCCCCTTCCTCTCTTGTACGCTTCTTTATTATTTTCCCCCTCCTGTACCCAGGATCTTTTACGCGCGAGGATTAACCTTAGAAAGTCACCTCTGCTGCCTTCGACATTTACCTCGCCTCGTATCCCACGTTGGTGCTTTCATTCTTGCAAATGAATTGGAGGAAGAAATTGGCATTGTCGTCCTCTCTTGGTTTCGGATATTGGCAAGTATCCCAGAGGGATAAGGCTCGAGCAATAAGAACTAACTGGTCGGATCATAGTGGTGCAGCAGTTACGATTTATAAATGCACTCTTCTGCCTGATCTTGCAAACCTGGGCGACTTTCCCTGTATGGCACATCTGAAACCTCCGAAATAAAGGCCAGAAGACTGATCTTGCTTTCTTTTTGAGCTAGATTCGGTTGACGAAATTGTAACATGGACAAAGTAGGTACCTCGTGAGTTAGGTCGCCGGCAAGACCAACCATGATCTAGCATAGGATAGCTCTCCTGACTTACTATCCTTCTAGCATCGAGGCCAACTGCGTAGTGATCGGCGCTTGCATTCCGACCCTCTATCCTTGCGTCAGGAAAGTATTCGGTGACAATATCCTAGGAGACAGCTTGCGACTGAGACGGATCACGCCGGATAGAAACAATTCTGGAAGTCAGAACAATCGAAACGAGAACCCTACGTCGGCTACATTGGGAACCATGGGATCATCTGTGACGCGCGTTCAGCCATCTTCATCGTCACAAGGTCCCACGGCCTCAGGCCCAGGTGAGAAGGTTCACGACGGATTAAGACCGCCTCAAATACCAGAGACATGACAACAGGTAGAGGGCAAAGCAAAGATATGCAATTTTCACTATTATTCGTTGGAAGCGCGATTCCGGTCCGACATGGGCTAGAGTATGAGCAGATAGAGGTTTTTGATGTTGCGCCATCTGCTTCAACGTGTTTGACACATAATTCGCTTTATACTCGTGATGGCCTTCCCTTAGCACTCGAATACATACATAAATCTAATTCATATTTGATATCACCCCAATGGGCGGACTAGGCGCCGGGATCAAAGTCATGGCTGCGATTGGGAGAGCAAGTCCTCGGATGCTACTTGCTCCATGTCCCATGTATCTATCCATTTGGCTATCTCAGCTACTTATCCATCTATTGATGAGTCTATCTATCTATCAATCTGTCTATCCGGGTCTATATTGAATAACGGGAGGCCAGCCCATCATTCCTCGGTTATGTACACTCTATCGGTCTATTTTAGAATCTCAGCCACCGCGTGGGCATCAAGCCTTCTGCGCGATTTTCTTCTCCTCCTCCATCTTTTTCTGCTTCTCCAATCTGGCAGCTCTCCATCCCTGCCCCAAGAACCAGTTCACCACGGCAAGTGGTGCCACAGCTACTGTAATAAACGCTAGGCCCAAGAACGCCGCTGGCGGACCAACATCACGTATCATGGTCTCGACGAAAGCAACGCCAATAGCGCCCAATCCGCAACGAACTAGGTTATTGAGAGCCGTGCTGCTCGCGCCCTTACCCGGACACAGGTCGGACACGAGCGTCTGGTTGACTGCGAAGACAGCATTGCTAGTCGCCGCGATTAGGAACTGCAAAGCCAACGGAACGATGATCCAGCCCGGCTTGGATGTCAGGGTAGGATCAGCGAGCGAGAAGCCATAGAGGGCTGTTGAGGCTGTGAAAAGGCCTGTGACCCATCCAAGGCTGCGAAGACGAGCATGCTCGAGTGGGAAGTCCGCCGGGAGGTTCTTGTTTGGGAGCTTGTGAGTCATTTGCAAATTGTGTGTGATCTTGTACGCCACCTCGGCGGCTTTATAGTCATTCGTCATGAGTTTCCCAACGATGACAGAGCCAACAATCGTGCCGAAGCCTAGGTAGTCCAGACCAGTATTAGCTGATGTTAGGCTGGAGCTCTGGAAGATGGAAAGCCTACGTACCATTTGGCAGGAACGCTAGACCAAGGAGAAGTTCATTCAGACCAAACCGTGACTTGAAGAGGCCGGTGGTGCTGGCGGTGACCATACTCCAAATGGCGTACACGACGCCACCGAACAGTAGATTTAAGAGAATGTCCTTCTCGCCCAATAGCTTCAGCGGCTCAATAAAGGTCATGGGAGTTACCTTTTTCCTCTGGACCGTACCATCCAGTTCCTGCATGGAATCAGGCTCCTTGAGGAATCGGGCGACGAGCGGTTGATAGATACCAGTGAGCCTCACGGAGCCGTTGCCCGCAATACTACGCAGTGTCTCGGGTAGGAAAACAACAATCATGATAATTACAAGGGACGAAAGAATGACGAGGAAGATGAAGATAGATCGAAAGCCGAAGAAGTTGGCTATCAGGCCACCCAGGACAGGACCCACGGCGATACTAAAGTTGCGAACTGGAGGCGATAATCTACCAGTTAACAATAACCACTTCAGGTTCATGAAGGTCTTGTACTTACTAGCTTGGTAGAAGCCGATGTAAGCACCCCTTTCGGCTGGAGGAGAAATGTCCTGAATAACGCCGTTACCTTCTCCATCTGTCAGATACCGTAACCCTACGAACTAACTAGCAGAAGTGACGGAGTAGTTACCTATGCTGACAGTAGAAGCACTGCCCGCCGCTTGCAGGCCTCTGAAGACGAGGAGGATAGCGAAGTTTGGTGAAAAGCTAAGGGCGATGTTTGAAATAATATAGACCGTGAAGGACGCAATGTAAATCGGACGTCGCCCGACCGTATCCGACAACGAGCCCCAAAACAATGGCGATAGGCCCTGAACGATCAGGTAAGACGTGATAGTTAACGAAACGGCATCGAGGCTGACGTTGAGATCCTGTCCTGTCGTTAGCGATTGCAATAGTCTCACGCGAGAAATGGGTTTTCTTGACTTACCTTCGAAATGGCGTCTAGCGACGGGAAGTAAATGTTCGACGAAAGGCCAGAGAAGAGACCAGCCACACCAATAATGCCGACCAGTAGCCTTTTACGGCCCTTGGAGAAGACATGATACGGCTGGTCCGGCTCAGGGGCAGGGAGTCTCAGCTTTTCCTCAACACCCTCTCGTGGCACCGCGTTAGAATCGGAAAACGGGTTTTCGCTCGCCGTTGTCTCAACCCTGTAATCATCATCGAATGGATCCTCGGACATTTGTAGCTGATTTCCCTCCAGGTTACCGCTCTGCGGTATGGGGTGTAGTGACGGACTCTGAGTTTGCCCTCTTGGTCGAAAGAGTTCGGCGTTGGGGAAGTAGTTCCCCCCAGACTTGCGCGTCGGGACAGGCATGTCACTGCAATACGGCCTCGGACCGTGTTGAAGATCGATCGACAGACGGGGAGCAGTCTTTGAATCCGAACCGTTTCCGCCGCCAATCAGGCCAATGGTTGTTAGGCCACTTGCATGCGAAGTAACGGCCTCAAGAGAGCTGCGGCGGCTTTGATGTTCCATGTTGACCACTAGAGTCTGCCCGATATGAGGAACCTGCCCGAGGCAGATTCGAAGGAGCCGTGATATGAGGCCCTATGGTATCTATAAGGAAAACGACGTGTCGGCAAGCTTAAGCTCGCCGAGCATCCTCTCTGGCGTTGAGCTATCGTCCAAAGGAAGCTACTCACAATAACCTGTTTCTTTTTTTTATCACTCGGGCAATGCTAATGTATCACCCACCGATATGCTACATGTATTATGGCGCGAAACAAGATCCAAAACTCGGGGCAGCGTAGCGCTGGATATAAAAATAGATCCGCCCGAACTTTTGGCTGGCCAGAGCCCTGACACTCGAAACTTGTGGCGTCCAACTCAACATTTGAATGGCAAAAAGTTTACGATCGATCCACTCTTTACTTTTTGACTGGCCACGACACACGCTACCGGTTGACGCGCCCTATGCTCGCGGACAATGGGAGCCGCTACGAGAGCCGCACAGGGCGACTCAATGCTCATAGATAACATGCTCCGAGGCCCCTCCGAGATCGACCACAATCTACTGAGAGTTTCTGAATCACTCTCTTATTCTGCCCTCTAGTCAAACCCACTGTTCTAACAGAAAAGGCAGTAGCCACTTAAGATCCATTTGTGCCAAATAACCTTTGAAATTTGAGAACGAAAAATACATCCCAGACATTTTTATCGCAGCACAAAATGGCCGGACTCTCAAGGCTTCGGCGGAGAGAGCCTCCGCCCCCGATCGATGTTCGCGACGAAAAGAATGAAGCCGGTGTCAACGATGATGACAAGGGACGACAGCCATCGCCCACGCGGAGAGCCCCAAAATCACCCACGAAGGCGGCTCAGTCCAGCACCGGGCAGACACGTACGCTATTACCACCGACCATATCGACGACTCGGATAAGTACACCGAAGACAGGTGCTCTACTTCCGACGACGATAACGACGGCTCAGAGAAGTACAGCGGAGATGGGTGATCTTCTCGCGACCACAACAATTCGGTTCGCCACCACTGAGGGAAGTGCAGCACCGGCTGCGATAACCACAAACTCCAGTCAGATGAGCGATGCGGTAATCTCGGGACCAGGCGCTGCTTTCATTGGTAGTGTGGGATTGGCAGGTGTGTCTTCCCTCTTCCCCGAGAACGGTCCTGGTGAGAGAAAGGTTGCTGTTGACATGCGCTGGCAGCTGGATTATCGGCTCTAGGCATGACTGTGTTCATCATTTTCAGCAGAAAGAGGGAGAGGAAGAGGAAGAGGAATCAAGAGGGACGTAGCCAGTAGCCGTCAGTGGGAACTTCGGGCGATTGAAGTTAATTAACAGGGGTTATTCTTGTTGGAAAAGAGGACAGGATTTGATTCATAGCACAAGTTCCATCGCAAACAGAGAACATGATACGAAGTAAAGAGCCCCTGAAGTTTTAAGGAATCATATGAAGGCAAAGTTGAGACTGCACTGTCGTTGGTAAAGGGAAAAAAAAAAGGTTATCTTTAAACTGCATGCTTAACGTCTTGATCGGCAGTCGCAAACTTAACTTTGGAAAGGGAACCATGCGACAGCGGCGACGCGTCGTTGAAGACGGGCACCAGAATGAACCTTGTTTGGGCGGCTCGCAGCTTAAAAACCATCAAGTCTTCCTTGGTCTAGTGGTCAGGATACCTGCTTGTCATTGAGCAGCTCGCAGGTGGCCGGGGTTCGATTCCCCGAGGGAGAGCTTAATTTTTTTTTTCTTCCTCCCTCCTTGCCAGTGTTGTCAACTTTTATCTTAATCAATGTTCCTTTTCATTATGTCACTCACATTGACCTTTAATTTATCTTTCTCTTTACTTCGTAGTTTATTCTAGCCAAAGATGGCTCGGAAATGACGACCTGCTTATGAATAAGGCCATGTGTTCCATGTTGACAATAGTCGAGGGCCGACCCTATCCGAGGTCGAAAACACTGTTGCACGCTCAATGACGCCTCGGCATTTTCAGGGTATCCAAATGGTGCTCCTGCTTCATAGTCCACTATTAACCTCTTCCAACAAATAATTGTCGCCGAGCAGCCAACGACACCCCTTGACAGGTAGGCGAGCGACGGGTTCTTGCGTCACGAATCAGTTTCTTCCAGTCGCCCGGAAGGTGTACAGCCCCTTGATTCTCACGATTATTTTAGGGCAGTGGGGCATCCCCCTTTTCTACGAACAGTTTTGATCGGAACTCGGCAACCTGTCACAATTATGGGAGCCACACGACATTCTATTCTTCTTCTCGATGGCTGGTAGTATTACCGGGGGGTCCCCGATACATGTGGAATTAGTTTCAAGGAGCACGGCACGGGAGAGGGAGCTTGCGTCACCAAAACAAAACCCTTGGATGATTGTCCCTAATACTTGGGGTCCCAAGTTGGTCTGTGGTCACGGTCAATCCATCCTCGTTGCCACAATATCGGACTGGAAGCCCTCAACAGACTGGAATTCGGCACCCCTTGACCAAGTCATGGCTGGCGGCCGGGGAGAGCTTCCTCCGATCGACATCGCCCTGACCCCTGGCCCTGACCGAACCCAGCAGGCTGCGATACTTTTGTGGACCCACGCATGGCAGTTGCAGGACACGAACTGGAATATCGCGGATGGCGCGTTCCCTCCTAAGATGTACGCGATCCGGTTACAAAATAGCACCTTTCCAGTCACCGAGGGAAAAAATCATCGAGTTTGCGTTACTGGCATTCGTTTCAACTGCCCCTTGGCCGCTCGCCATACCCGCGGCTCGAAGAACGGATCCGGAAGCGACCAGTGGGTATACACGAGTGCTGGAAAAGAAAGGATATCGACAGGCAGGAAGTCGACGGGGATGCATGTGATGACACAGAGACGGGGGTTTCGGGGCGTCGGGAGATGGCGCCACTCAAGGCTTAGCTGGCGAAGAAGAGATGCTACTGACCTAGAGCGTTCTTTTAGCCTGTCGCGTTTTACGCCTTTAGTGAAAGACGATGCCGTACCTCCGAAATCATACTCTGGCACTGTCGGATTCTTTGTCGATCTGAACGATGGAAGGACGGTCCAGCCGGAGCGGAACATTCCCCTGCATCCGTGCCAGGTCAATCAAGGAGTAGCTAGGTTTAAATCGAGCACGAGGGTTTTTTCTTCTCTCCCTTTTCTAGGTTACGGGAGATGGACCAACCGACTCGCCCGATCTCAAAGGAGAACCGCCTACGCCGCAATATTATATCGAAGTATTGGCGGGCAACAGCAATCTACGTCCATGGGAGGCGTCTCAGGACTCTCCTGGTCACCTATTGGATCGCGGTAGAGACGACCTAGGTATAAAGTTTGTGTCGCCAACGGCCGGGACTGGAACGCATGAAGGCCTTTCGTCGCAGGCATGGGAGTCCCACGAGTGTTCGATGGTCTTTCCTGCGGCAGTGCTGCCTGCAAAAGAACTAGGGGAGGAGAGTAGGTCAAGTCTCGACCAAGCCGCTCCTGATGCTGTTCCAGCAGGTGGCGAGACCATGGACACCCTTGGAGACTCAGGAACACACTATCGGAGGATGCAATCGCAAACCATGTTAGGGTGGTGTAACCGCACCAGCGCTGCTCTCTCCCTATCCTATCTGCCCAATTGGGATTAAGTGCGTTTGCAATTCCGTAGCTTGTGCGTGTCGTGTCAGTGTCCGTCACCGATGTCGTTGCGAAATCTAATTGAGAGCGGATTGCTTGCATCATCGTACCGCTATCGTGCCGATCTTGGATTTGCGGGTCGTTCGGGTTGGATCCGAGCATGTCCCGCAAATCAACATGTGGAACCGGGGCACTTCCGCCTTGAGCTTCACAAAGAAGAGCAACGGTACCGTTAAGGAATATGATTGCACATCGGCTTTCCATCAGCACTCACTCCCGGGCTGGAAAGACTCGTGTGCGATAGATATACAGGCAGGTTTCCATGCGAGAAAGAACAGATTTTGTAATAACCGGGCCAGAAATCAGGTGAGCGTAACAGCTTAGTCGAATAACTCCTACGGTACCCCTGCTTAACCCTGTCCTCTTATTTGTACAAGAATGGGTAAGGGTGCCAAGACTGTAGAAAATCGAATGCTGGACGTATTTCGAAGCATCTTCCACTGAGGTGTAGCGTTGATGAGCCATTAGACAGCAGCTCCAACTGCGAGGAAGCCTCTTATTCCAGCTGTAATACACCACATGAAATAATCAGACTTGGCTAAACACTGGCACGGAACTTGCGCATTGGCGGCGTATAAACCCCCCAGGGACTGATTGTGGTGTTGAAGCGTAGCTCCGTTTAGAACCTGGGAAATCAGGAAGACCTGAGAGAGTCAAGGCTCCCAGAGGAGATAAGGAATTGGGAATAGGGGCGGAACCCAATGCCTGAGTGCCTCTCGAGACGGGGCGTACTAACCCTGCGTGGCGCTTCGTACCACTACCGGTGCCGCACCAGCTTCCTTATTCTTGGCCTCGAAGGGGATATGCCCAGGGAGATTTCCGAAACAGTTTTTCGCCAGCAGGGAACAGGTTTCGATATTACGATACATCTAATCTACCCGTGAGTTGCGCCTGAGAATACTGGCAGTGTCTTGACGAACAAGTCGGTGCTGACAGTTGTCCGATGATGTAATCCTGACCATATCTCTGGGAAGAAGTACGACAGTATTTATTCCCCTCACTGGAGCCAATTCCACTTTAAACTTGAATGAACTCATTCATCCCGAGATCAGGTAACTAAACGACCTTCATTCTTCAACCGCTTGTACTTGCCGTGGGTTGGATGGGATGATGCGGCTTTTATTTAGTTAGGCTTATCCCCTAGCAGCCCGGTAAGACGGAACAGCTTTTAACTCAAACATCGACACCACCCCTGCTCATTCTCAATTGCCGTTCTCTCGTGATGGAGCTAGGCGAGGTGTGGAGGGGCTTAGCGGGGCAAGTGGTGGGGTGGCATCAAATTTTACCCCGCGCCTGAATTAGTTCCAGAGCAGAATCTGCAAAGAAGAGAGGCTGGGCGACGGTGAAAGAGTGTGAGGGAGAGAGGGGGAGCCTGGCGGGTCTGGAGTAGAGTCTACATAAGAAGCGGTTCTGATTTTGTATTATCTCGCGGAAGTCGAGTCTCGGAGAACATATTCCTGGAGCACGGCGGTGTACTGGTACAATCTACGGGCCTCCGTTACCCCAAACAGATCAATCGAAGCTCGCAAACCCGCTCTTTGACGACGAGCTTCCAAGCTCGCCCACAGAACCAATTGGGGGGAAATGAAGCATGGGACGGTTGTTAGTGCGGGGTCTCAGCCTATGATATGGATCATACTCTCGATCCATGTCCCGCGCAACCCGTACCTCCGTGAGGCGAGATGAGCACGGGTGGGCACGTCCGCGTGTTATTGTGAGCGTGCGTGCCCCGATTAACCATAAATTGGTACGTGTTGAGCGGGCAGCGCTATGCTGCAAGTGGCCAGCTGTTTGGCACATTTGATGAAAGGTACCCGAGGCATCTCGAGCCTTCGTTTTGCTCCTTTAATCTGATTCTTCCATTGCTCTCCTCTTCCTCAATTTTCTGTTTCCTTACCATCTTAAGAGATACAGGGCTCTCTATTTCCTCCCGTGAGCCACCATTGCCCAGACTTCGTTCGCCCTCTACGCTTGATCCTCCAATTGACATCTTCTTGTCCTTTACCGTCCACCATGAGTCCCGCCAGACTTCCTTTCCACGCCGACCAGATCGGGTCGCTGATCCGCCCCGCATCACTCGCAGCTGCGCAGGAGCAGGCAGATGCCGGCCGAATTACCCAAGAGCAGCTTTGGGAGGAGCAGAGCAAGGCAGTGGCTGATATTGTCAAGAAGCAGCAGGAGCACGGAGTCCGCGCTATCTGCTCCGGCGAGTTCGATCGCAAGTGGTACTTTGGAGGCTTCTTCGAGAAGCTCGAAGGTTTCCGCCAAGTCATCCCCGTCCCCTGGGAGCTTGCTAGGTTATCCGCGCCCCCGATTGCTGCGTTGAAGAAGGCCGGCAAGCAGTACCCCATGGCGGCCATTTGCGAGGGGAAGATCAAGTACAACCAAAGTCCATACCTCGAGAACTGGAAGCTCCTTCGGTCCAATCTGCCGCTGGAGCAGTGGTCCGAGGCCAAGTTCACCATGCCCCCTCCTTGCTATTTCCACCTGCGATTGGGTCCCGGAAAGTGCTACAGCAGTGATGCGTATGCCAATGACAAGGAGTTCTTTGCCGACCTCGCCAAGGCCTACCAGCAAGAGTTCAAGACCCTCCACTCCGAGGGTCTCCGCAACATCCAGATCGATGACCCCACCCTCGCTTATTTCTGTTCCGACTCTATGCTCCAGGCGTTGAAGGACGATGGAGAGGATCCCGAGGCTCTTTTCGACACTTACCTCCAGGCGCACAATGATTGCATCGCCAACCGGCCAGAGGATCTCCACGTTGGCCTCCATATCTGCAGAGGTTAGTGTTCTAACGAATTTAAGAAACGAAATGAGGAAAGAAAAAAAAGGTTTCTCAGAGACTTGACGAAGGAGGTGTGTCTTCGAAACAATTGCAGTGCTAACAATTGCGACTCTTGTCCTGCAGGAAATTTCGCCAAGTCCATGCACTTCAGCGAGGGCTCCTACGAGAAAATCTCCGAAAAGATGTTCTCCACCCTCAACTACGATACCTTCTTCCTCGAGTACGATAACCCCCGCTCCGGCGGTTTCGAGCCCCTCCGATTTCTCCCCAAGGGCAAGAACGTCGTCCTCGGAGTCGTCACCACCAAGGATCCCGAGCTCGAGGACGCCGAGGTGATCAAGTCCCGCGTGAAGCAGGCCGCCGACATCATCGCCCAGGGCCAAGGCGTAACCATCGAGGAGGCCCTGCAGAGCATCGGCATCAGCCCCCAGTGCGGCTTCGCGAGCGTTGCCGTCGGTGCTGAAGGGATGACTGAGGAGAAGATGTTTGCTAAGCTTAAACTTGTGAAGGATGTTGCTAGGGAATTGTGGCCTGATCGGGCGTAGATGCATTTACATTGCTCCGCATGTTTCTCTTTTCTTCCTTTGCTATAGCGATGGATAGTATTGGCCTCTGATTACATATTGCTTTACGGATCAATTACCCTCGCCGACGCCGAGTCACCCACACCACCCGGTTCGGGCTGTGACAATCCTAATATGAGATCACCCCAGGTTGCTTGGGAGTAGGATCATAGGTGCTTGCTATAAATTAAGCGGGGTAGCTAAGTAGCCCATTACAGCCTTATAGATGTATATACCAGTGCTGCCTGCAGCCGTAGTTGAGCTTGGTTGTCTATGCACCTTTGAGGCAGAAGGAGAATACCGCAAGAGTTGCGCCAGCTATGGGGTTGGGGCAAGCTCATCGATAGTGAACGGACGTCGTGGCTCTTTAGGACCGCTCAGGGCATCAGTCCGCTCAGGTAGATCGTGGCCATCCTGAGGACTAGTGGTGCCTGGGCTGTCTGTTGGTTTGGGTGGCAGGGGCGGATTGTCTGGTAGCCCGTGATGAGCCATCATCAGCATCTTCTTATTCTTTTGCTCGAGGGGCGCCAACTGTAGGCCATAGTCCGGCGGTACGGGCATGATAGGGTTGAATAGCCCCCCCACTGGTTCGGCCTGCACTGGCAAAGCATTAGCCTCTTGACGGGCCATCATCAGCCTCTTCTTGTTTTCCTGCTCTAGAAGCATCAACTCCAATTGAATATCCGCCGGATCCAGGGCGGAAATTGGCCTTTTCTTGCCTGTTTTACGTGCCCGAGAAATATTTTGAGGACCTGGAGGACTACCAATGGTCTTGGCGGTGGCGCGGATTCTGCTATGTCCCTCTTGACTGTCCGTCGTTGCTCTTTCCCGACTGGTGCTGAGATCTAGGGCCGCGGCATTCTTCCCCAGCCCCTCGGTTCCTACCGACTCGGGGCGTGGAATGATTGAGGCTTCAGTAAGACACCTGTCTCTCTGGTTCTGTTCTCTCCTCGTGGACTGGTCGCTAATATCTTGTACGAGTTGATCGAGCCCCACCAAACTAGTGCTTAGCGCGAGATGATCCACCCGACCAGAGTCCCTGCATCTCCATTCGCATTAGTTGCTTTCTAGGACACATCAACTTCAGGCTCATCTTACCGCGACACCTCACCAACTAACGCCTCGATCTGCTCAATATCTCGACGTAGAGCCTTGCAGAGAGCCTCTAACCGTCCACCCGCTAAAGCAGCAGCCTTCGCCTTCTCATAAGCCGCCTTTAGGGAATACTCGCTGCGTCCTATGCTCAACTTCCCATCATTCTCCGTATGTATCTTGCTCAACTCGTCATGCAGCGTCGGGACTCTTTGGTCGGTGATCTCCTCCGTGATTGAAGCAGATTTTCCAACGAGGGTGATGGGATACGTTCTTGTGCGAGGATGACAACCTAGCATAAGAAAATGAACGCATTAACAGGCCGCCCATCGCTTGTCGTGGGGGTCAAAAAAAAATACACAAACCTTCATGAGGTGATCCGCGAATGCTCTAGCTTCCCTGCAGAGCCTGTCATATTCATTGTTACTACCACATCGACGCTCAGGAGCGTTGCTCAGCTCTCCTGCAACCTCACAGGCCCTCAAAAGCTTGGTTACATGGGGAAGGAAGGCAGCCATATTTAGCAGGAACAACAACAATTAATATGCAGGGCCGATGCGTAAGTTTCAAAGCGAAGGTGGCGCCCGGTACATTTGGCAATGCAGAGTCACCTCTTCAGTTTCTCGTGAAGGGAAAAGTTGGGTGAGGGGAAGACCAATGTGGCCCACGTGATCAAGACATTTCATCTTCCCCCTTATTCGTTCATGTTCACGAATCACGAGATCACACTCGATATAACTCTACCCTCAGTGACAGCCGACAACCTTTCATTTATTTATGTCTGCGACGACGGGAGAAAGCACGGCGGGATGAGGGAATAAGTGTCGCCACCAATAGAACACGAGGAACCCAGTCATGCCCAACCGTTCCTTATTCTATTGTAAGATGCGCCGAGAGTTGAGAGCATAATCCATCGCCTTTGCCTGTCTGTTTCGATGAGATCAGGTCTCTTGGAGCCTAGCGGCTGGCTTACGAAGAACGGTGTCTCCTTCCGTCAGACCAGCCCAGTTCCAGCAAGCCTCCCAGACTCTCCACTGGGACTCCTCGTCCAAGCTACCTTCCGACGATTGGACTGCCTTCGTCCCTACATAGTAGCCCCTCTTCCCCTGGAACTCGGGGCCAACGGTCAGCGCCACGAGATCGCGACCAGAGTCGGCGCTGGTCCGCGCTGCCTTTGTGAAATGCCTTAGAATGGGCATCATGACGTTGACCGTAGCGAGTATAGCCCTGAGAAGTAGCTTTTGCTCGACATGGCCGCGTGAGTCGACGATGCCGCCCGGGTCCATAGCCGTTACGGTGATATTGGACGGGTGTGGGTCCTAGGAGGCTTGGCATGTTAGTATTATTTCACTCGGCTAGGGATTTTTGTTCGACGTTATTTATGTACATACGGCTTGGAGTCTCTTATTGAGGTCGTGCATAAACATAACATTGGCAAGTTTGGCAGTGGCATATCTTTGGAATCCTCGGTCGTGCTCCAGGCCAGGACTATCCGCCAGAGGTTTGATAAGGGTGTTAATGTCATCGGGGATCTTGGCTCTGAGGCGTGCTACCATATTATCCTTCTCGGTATAATGAGCCTCAGAGCCGAGCATGATAATTCGACCGGACTCCTCATTTACGGATCCCAGCAGCGCCATAACCAAGAGAAAATGCGACAGGTGGCAAACCTGGAAAGCTGCGTCGCGGCCATCGACGGTAAACTTTTGGCCGCGCAGAGACCAGGAGGAAGCGTTGCAGACGATGGCATCGATACGCGGAATCTCTCCCTTCGTGACGCGTCCTGAGATCCGCGATGTGAATGAGCGCACTTCATCCAGACTGCCAAGATCGAGGCGCTCGATGATGACTTTGTCTTTTGCCTTCGGATTCAGGGAGATGAGGTTGTGAAGTCTGGCTGTGTTTGGGTCAGATGTCGAAGGGTCGCGGACTGTTGCGATGAGGGTGTGGTTGGGGTAAGAGGAGAGGAAACACTTGACGAAGCCAAGGCCAAGGGATCCATTTGCCCCGGTGAGAACAACCGTGCCAGCCATGTTTGTTTTTCAGCGGTGATATGTCACACTCGGAGTCTTTACGGTCATAGGCAGGCATCTCTATAAAATTGTGATTTTGGAACCAAGGCTATGCTCATTTATTATGCGCTATTTGCCAAACCGGATGGACCGGCAAACTCGACACAGAAACTGGGCCGAGACTTTGACGGGATTCCGTTGATTCACGCTTCCGACTTTCGGTGGTTAAGTAATCCGCCCGGTGACCTCAACAAGCCGAGTGGGGAAGGTGTCGGAATTCCGACCAACCTCAGAAAATCTGAACAGACGGGCAAGTTCCCCGTTTCAATATCGTCTTCGAACCCTCCAAGATAGCAATTCCGACAATGGAGCAATTCCAAGAGCAATACCAAAACGAAATAGGCTGCAATACTTGTGGCAGGAAATTTCCCTCATGTAAGACATTACTCCATCTTCCTACACCCCCCCGTTCACTGCCTTATTCTCCCCAAGATCCGATCATATTGTACCTCTAGACCATAAGCTAAACTCACTCCCTGCCGTGGGTCGGGATTATGGTTTTTAGCTACGACGCGAGACCGACATCGACTACGTTGCAAGTCGCGCCCCAGAAGTCGCAAGAGGGCATGCGCGCAGTGTTCCCGATCCAAGGTGCGCTGCGACAACCAGGCCCCGTGTTCTCGTTGTGCAGTACTGTCCCTGGCCTGCTCGTATCCACACAGCGAGAACGGGCCAGCCAACAGTTTGTCAAGCGGTAGGCAGCCCCCCGCGACCACCTTTTCGGCCTTTACTCCATTGTCCGACGTGCCACCTGGAGCTCCAGACCGCGATGTGGCAGACCAGGGTTCGTCATCGGATAGCCTCATCGATGTGCTCTCGCTCGATCTGAGATTCGACAACGAAGAAGATTGGCAGACTCATACTATCTCCTTTGATTTTCAACATGATTTTAGCCTCGATACTACCCCAGGCGGCAGTACAGACCCACCCGAGAAGCCGAGCCCCCAGGTCACTACCTCGATGCGTCTCCCCGAATCGGAAGGACCAAACTCGGGATACTCGAAGCTGTCCGCGTGCCTCACAAAGATCTGGCAGAGTTCCGAGCAGGGCTTTGATTTCCTCGATTCTCTCTTCAGGGGATTTCTCGATCTCATATCCAGTAGAGGCAGCAGACCTCCGTTCGTTCATTTTAGACAATGGGAAGTTTCCGTGAGACACCATACTCTTGCTGCCGTCGAACCTATCTGTCATCTGTACGCCACATGGACTCCAGAGTCACATGGGGTTATGATGGGTGCTATCGAGGGGCAACTTCAGCAAATCCAGACACAGGTAAGTGAATGGAGAGTGTGCCCGGGTACGGTAAATGACCGGCTTCCATCAATCCGACCTTTATTGAGTAAAGTAGTGCACTAGGTGTACGAGATCCGATGATGTAGCAGCGATGCAGGCCATCACGTTTTACACGGTTATGAGGACATATCATGCGTCAAATACCGACCTAGCGATGGCGGATCGCATATCATCAAGGCTATCCCAAGTATGTTAGGCTTTGGCCCCCAGTCATTTATGCTGATGCCTGCGGCGTATGCGCTGACAAAGGAACATAGCACTTCCTGAGCAAAAACGTACACAGGATAACGCCGTTGGTCTCGGTGCAACCTAGCGACTGGGAAGAGTGGATCATCAACGAGTCCATCCTTAGGTACATCCCCCATGCTCTCCTTTCCTGAAAGCTACGTTTCTTCCCCTGTCGGCACCTATCCCGTTATTACTTTCCGCTTGAAGAACCGAAGCTCACTATGGCAGGACCTTTTTTGCCATCCACACTCTTGACTATGTCCGCCATGCCCGCAAAGGCCACCCCACCATCCTCTGTGCACACTTCGGAGATGCGCCCCTTCCTTGTCTGCGCCACATATGGGAGGCTCCCACGGCAGAAGAGTGGGCCCAGAGATTCAATGAAACTCACGGCTGGGAAGGGTCGGCTCTTCTCGGCAGCGATATCTTGTCCTGGATAGAGGGGAAAGAGACAGGGCGAGAAGAGCTACTGGCGGAATGGTTTGCTGACGCCGGAGATTTTGGTAGCATGATATTCATTTGCGCGAGAGCGCAATCAACCCTATAACCCATAATAGCTCGAGGGAGGAAATTTTAGACGCTTTTGACGTTTTGCCCCGACGAGAAGAGTTTGGCCTGGAAGAAACGAGATTTCCGAAAGTAAACCCAGGGATGGACAGTAGTCCTCTCCAGATATTCCTAACGTCCCAAAATTTTCTAAATATGTACAAGTTGAAATACCAATCTCCCTATTTTCTGCAGATCAAGTTAGGCAAGCCTGAATAACTATATACAAACTCCATTCCTTCTTACTCTGGAAGGGGGGCCGCGCAAACTTCAATAGCTTCTCCAGCCTCTAGCTCGGCAATCATTTCGTCCGACGCCTTCTGGCTGATCATGAAAGTTGGTGCCGACGGGAAGATACCCGGGATCCGGGCAAACGCACTGGCATCAACAACACGCAGACCAGCGACGCCTCTGACGCGGAACTTGGAGTCCAAGACAGCCATGGGATCATCGTCGGCACCAATCTTGTTTGAGCTGGTGGGGTGGTGTCCAAAGGTCTGCTTGTGAATCCAGTCGATATCTTCTTGGCCACAGCTGCCATTCTCATCGAGCCCGGCAGTGCAGGGAGGCTCGGTAGGAGTGATACCGATGTCCTTGTAGATTCTGCGAATGCGGGCCACGGTATCCTTCATGGCGTTGAGGTCAGCCTCGGATCCTTCGGCGTAATGGTTAAAGTTGATTTCGGGCGTGTCCTGCGGGTCGGCTGATCGCAGCTTGACCCAACCCTTGTTATTGACGGAAGAGCCCTTGACCATGCTCACGCCGTAGGGCATTTGAGGTTCTCGTGGTTGAGCAACAGGGTTCATGGGCCAGAAGCCACGGAAAAGGAAACCAGGTCCGCCCATGAGGAACATGTCACGTTCGTCATGAGCTGGGAAATTGGTCTTGAACATGGCGACACCGGTAGTACCCGAACCAGCAGACCCGGTGCCAACGATCGGCATCTCCTGGTTGTCCATTAGGTGCTGGCCAACCCCGGGAAGATCGTGAATGACGGGAATATCGAATTCTTCCAAATGCTCCTTGGGACCAATGCCGCTCAGCATGAGTATTTGAGGAGAGTTGAAAGCACCGCCCGAGACAATAACCTCCCTCTTTGCCCTCACCGTCTTCTTCGTTCCTGTCGCGCCTTCTTGGCGGCGAGAATCTCCAGCATAGAGAGACTTGCCCTCGAGGTACTCAACGCCGATAGCTCGAGGCTTATCGCCGCAGTCCCCGCTGGTATCAAACAGCACTTTCGTGGCGAGCGATGTCATGGATACGGTTAAGGGTTCACCGTCTCTGACAGCCGCTTGGATATAATCGCGCGAGCTGTACCGGCCTCCGTTCGCGTACTGGTGGTTTACAAGACCGAAGATGCTGGAGATTTGATCACGGTCAGGGACCATTTCGTTGGGGTCCCTGGTCAGGAGATCAGACATGGACCAGTCGCTGACACCAAAATCCTTGGCGTACGCCTCCATGACCTTGTTGCCTTGTAAATTGCCGCCCCTGGCCTGGGCCTTGGCACCCATGTTGGTTTGGAAATAACCATTGAAGCCGTGTCCGGGGCTTCCGGGATCGGCGTAGTTGTTCTTCTCGATCTTTTCGAAAATTTTGTGCATATTCTCGGCTCTGAACCACGGTTAGAATTTGGGAAAGACTTGGCGTGAGGAGCAGAACATCCGGGCACAACTATAAGACGATACCACTTACTTCCAGCTTTCATCACCAGTCACATTGTAGTGGTGATTCCAGTCACTGTCACTCGGCAGCCAGCACACCATGGCATTAACCATAGATGATCCACCAAGAGTTGCGCCGCGAGGATAATAAACACCTAGGAGCTTAGAGCCTGCTGGCGCTCCGGTCTGACCGACCCAGTACCTGCCTTCTGGGGTAAGCCACGTAAGATGGCTATACAGTTCGTTCCTTGGATCGTCGTCAGGGTAATGCTTGACATAGAAGTCCCAGTGGACAGTTGGTGTGTAGACACCGAAGCCCTGCCCCGGGCTGTCGTCTCCGGCCTCGATCAGAAACACCGAGTATCCGGCCTTAGCTAGGTTGGCTGCGAGGGGTCCACCACCAGGGCCACTGCCAATAACGACGTAGTCGTACTCATCCGCCGCAGGTGCAGCAGGGGCCGAAAGCACCCCGCCGGCGAAGAGAAACGCGAGAGATAGCCACTTCATTATCAAAGCCGTCAAAGTCAACGAAGATGGTCGTAGCATTCACCGGGACAGCTTCTAGAGACGTTTTGCACAACAGGAGAGACATGTATATCCTAGATACGGTCTTCTGGAAGGATGAAAGTTTATGTATTGGATCCGGAAGCGAGCTGTCAAATCTCCCCCCGACAGGACCTAATAATCATAGCATGATAAAAATCCGAGCTCTTCCGCTACAATTTACGCGTGGCCTTCATGACATTCAATAAAGTAAATCAGCCGTGGAGATCCCAATATGAGTTTAAAGATATTCGATGACACTTCAACCGGGCTATAGGAGACTGCTAATTTGGAGCGGATATCACACTGGCTAACACGGGGAGCCATATTCAGTGAGTTCCCCGCAGGGTCTGGTTCCGGGTATATTACCGTTATGATTGGCAGATGGGATGAACTTTTATGAAGTTTATTTAGCGGACCATTTGACACTCGCCCGATTGAATCGGAGCCTGGCGGATAAATGATGTCTACTGTACAATAAGTCCGCATGAGGCCTCAGGGCTCCGGTGGCAAGGATAGATAGGATTTGATGGCACCAGATGGGTGACGCAGTGGCGCACTCCTACTACAAACATAAAGGCAAATCCATTGCCAAGACATTATCAGATGAAAGGAACAGGAAATCGGCAAAGGGTGGATCAAACTTCCGGCTAACCTGTGAGTGATCACAGGGCCCTTGAACTGGAGTGAGAATAAGGTCAGAGCCAGAGTTTCCAACTCGCTCTGTTTTTGCGTTGCTATAATAGGGTTGCCGACCTTTTTTTTTTTTTTTTTTTTTTGGGGGGGGGGGGGGACTGTATATATTGAGTAGAATGTGGCCCGGCTGAATGAGCTCCATGCCCTTCAGAAGGACGACTCGCGCCGCGAATACCAGCTAAAACAGGACCTCAGCAAGCGTTACCGTGAATCTCTGACGGTTGATCTTTTTTTTTTTCTTTCCTTTTTTTCCCAATCACGAATGCCATTACATTGACTCCAGATACCATGTTATGCATTGTGTAAGACCGAAACTCCACATTGGCAAGGTGTTTCCTCACTGGAGCAGGTGGCGTTCGCAACAGATCTCGGGGGGTAAAGTTCGAAAATCGACTAAATCGGTATTTGAATATAGAAAGATAGGAACCGCTTTATTAGACAGGAAGTTGGGGGGAAGGGGAACTGGGCGTGGATTCGATGATTCGGGCAAGATCTCGACCTTGGCAGTGATGCTTTGAGGTTGCGAGTCAATTTACCAACACTTTCGCATCTGGTCCACCAAGCAGAGAATCCAGCAGTGGCTCTGTCTGAAGACATAACGATGGCCTATCAAACGACTCCGGCAACAATCAACGGATCAACGAATGGTCTCTGGGATAAGCCACCGGAGGACGTAGAGACCTCCATGCTGTAAGCTATATGCTACGTGACTTGGCGAGATACTCGCCAAGAATTTGCAGAGATGATAGGGAACAAGGTGGTGAGTTGCAAAACAGACTGGCACAACCATTCCGCTGTCTCCCTCGAGGTCTGCATGAGACGTGGAACAAAACATTAGGCACTGTAGAGCGACGCTGAGCTTGTCCATGAGTTGGGCATTCCTGGAACACAGCTTGAGGTGCGACTAGAGATCTGCGGCGGACAAGTCGGCAACTTGCACGTACATTCCCGTAAGCTTGATAGGTCGTGGCTTGTCCGAAAGCCACGGCCAGAATTCCATTTTTGCTATTAGGCATGCATGAGAGGGTAACGGTGGCGACACACATCAAGGGCTTTAAGGCAGACCTGAGTGACACATCTGTTAGAAATATGCACGTCGACCCGATATGGAGACCTGACAGCCAATCGTTCTGCCCGAACAACAGTTGCCTCATTTTATCACAGTGGGAAATCACGACACCCAGTGACCCAGCTCATGAACCTGGTTTCGGGTTATGGCTGTCCATTCATGCCGAATCTACGATTCCGTCATCCCTAGTTGTGCCTGGGCGCATCTTTTTTCCCTTTGTTCATCACCCTGATCGATCATATTTTGCACCTTGAACCTCCATCTCTCAGTCAATCTATTCACGCACGGATTATTGTCACCTCTCCGAACGACGATACACAACAGTTGTCTATTCCCCGCATAGAAATGCCCATGTTCGCCCCTCAACGTTGGAGATGCCCCATTCCCGGCTGCGACTCGGCCGATAACCCCACAGCGGGAGGCCACTGCCAACGTCATGCCTGCAAACGAGCGACTTGTCCCTGGCCCAAAGTCGAAGGCAGCGGATACTGCGCGCAACATGCCTGCGACTTGATGGCATGCTCAAAATCACGCCTCGATACGAGCGCGTTTTGCAATCTTCACGCTTGTCAATATTCCGGCTGCACTGTTTGCAAACGCGGAGTTGGAACCGATGCCGGAAGTTAGTTTTCCATTTTCCATCTTCCCCGGAGGATTTTTTTTTTCTTTTCTAGTTGAGAGATTCTCTGCTCGCTAACATGACATAACTGATAGTTCTCGGCGACGCCTGCGACGAACATACCTGCCAAGCAGAAGGCTGTCCGAAATCACGACGACTCAAACGACCGTATTGCTGCGAACATTCCTGTCAGTGGTCTGGTCGACTCCCCTGCAACCAAGCCGTCGAGTCCGGAGCGATAGCCTGTCGAGATCATGTCTGCCGGTTTATAGGAGGATGTGCGAATGTCCGCAAGATAAAGAGCAACAGCGAAGCATGCGACGAGCACACATGTGCCATATCGAGATGCTATCACTCCGTCGACCTTCGAGGAAAATATTGCGTGCTTCATACATGTCTCTGGGATCCGTGCAGCAAACGGGCCGGGTTCAGGGGAAGTCCCTACTGCGAGACTCACAAATGCGGGGCCGAGACCTGCCCGGCGCCTGTCATGTCGAAGATTGACTGCTTCTGCGACCATCACAAATGTCGGTATAACGGCACCGACTGTCTAGGCGGATGGACAAAAACACCACCTTACTGCCAGGACCACACCTGTGCCCACGACGGCTGCAACGGTCCGATCCGTCGGGGTGGGAAGTACTGTATTGAGCACACATGCGCGCTACGGCTGGAGGGTCAACCCTGCACGCTGGAACGGAAACCCGGCGGCCAGTTTTGTGTTGAGCACAGCTGTTCTAAATGTACGGAACCACGGGAATCGCCGGACACGAAGAGATGTATTCGTCATCGCAAGGACGATATCCACTTCGTCTATGCCCCACGGCACTCGAAAGCGGATGTGAAGGAAGCGAAGGAAACCAAGGAACCTAAGAAAAAGCCCATGGCTGCCCGTGACGGGTCCGGACCCGAGAAAGAACACAGACATAAAGACTCTAAAACCCGCCATCTGAGTCCACGGAGAGCCAAGGCCCAGGCTCAGGCCCAGGCGTCAACGGTGGCAGCAGCAGCGACGAAAGTAAAACACATACAGCCGCCAAATATGGAACTGGGTGTCAAGGGTACTCCGTTCGCAGCACTCGCAGCAGGACCAGGAGGCAAGCACAACCTCGGGTTGATCCCACAGCAATTCCGAGACGATCCCAATCACTCTTTGGCTTACTTGTATGGTTTCCGCGACGCATGCCTCCACATGGCTGGTGTGACGACGGAGCAGATAGCCATGGTGCGGCCATTATCTCCGTCGAGGCACATTGCCGACATCGACGGTCCGAGGTTTACGAATCTAGACGACGAAAAGGAATGAGATTGTCTCGAATACGGCGCAGTGGGATAAAATTTGTCATGCATGATACGCTCAACGACTTCCAGTTTCATGTTCTAAACTTTATTTATTTTATTTTTGTTTTATCTCTTACCTTCCTTTCTTTTTCTTTTGCCATGAGGTATGGTAATATTTTGTATGGATAATGTTATGGGGATGGGTCGTTCTCTGGAGGGAACTCTGACGTTACTGCTCACGTGCTCGACGCAAGATTTACTTTTAATGTGGTTGTTCTTTTGATTTTTGTAATTAAAGAAGCTTATTATATCTTTGCATCCTGCTGGTAGACTGATTTTTGTGTTTCGATGTGCCGATAGTAATCTATCGACACCGTAGTCAACGAACAAGACCATGATTCCCGCCAAGGGGAGGCTATCTATCCCGTGCCCACATTCTGCCTTTAATGATGCTTCAACTATCGGACAAGGTATGCGTAGCCTTTGGTCCCGTTATCTGAATGGGGATCTGCATACTGGGCGATTGCCTTGGGTTTTCTTGCGAATTTGTTTTCTTCCGGCGGCCTTGCTACCGCTTCACGCACTTAGCTTTGAAGCCCTAGCCTTTGCTCTATAATCTTGACGATATCCGACCACTCTATCATGGCTCCGGAGCCAACATCCCCACACGCAAGAGCCTTCTCAACCGGCCTGAAGACTTCAAACCACCCCGTGCGAGGGACTATTTCACCGTTATCTTTCACTTGCCCCTCTGAACTCCCATCAGCCTTCACTCCCCATTCCTCTTCGAGAACTCGTACATGTCGTGCCGTCACTGGGTGTAACCACATCGCAGTATTCATGGCCAGAAAAACGAGAATCCTGGAATTCTTCCCATCGATCAAGCCCGTGGTATCCCATGCCCTGATTACGCTCACCAGCAGGGAATCCGACATGCCATTGACGACCTTGGCCAATGTGTTCGCGCTCATCGGAGCTACAACGAGGATGTCCGCCCAGCGCCTCAAGGAGATATGCAAAATCTTGGCTCCGCGGGTCCACGGCTCAGACCACTCGTCCTCGTCTTCATGAACGCCGTCAACGTTCGGCAGGGATGATAGCGACGACAGCGCTGGCTGCTCATCTGATTGTCCGGCAAGGAATTGGGACGCTGGTTTGGTGAGGATGACGCGGATGGAGACGTTGGGATACTTGGCGAAAGATGAGATGATCAGAGGAAGCTTGATGGTGGCGACGGATCCGCTGGCGGCAAGGAGGAGATGCTTCTTGTCATCGTGGAGGGCCGCCTCGACGGCTGCGGCGGACGATGCCTCCCGCGACGTGTTTTTGACGGCACCTGTCATGTCAGCTGAATCGCGACGGTTGTTACGTAGCCCAGTGAGTGTCTTGGGAAACAAGGGTTGGGTTGCATGGATAAGATGGATAAGATTGATCTGGGTCCGCAGATGGTCATGGAGTGATATTGGCTTGGGTCCGCTTTTCCTGACGCCACTTGATGAATGTGGCGTGGGGCTGGAGCTAAGTACCCATCACTTAAGTACCGGTTCAAATGTTGCAAGCAGAAAGGATACATTACAAAATACGAAATTAAGGTACCCCTCTCGCCGCCACACGGGGGGGCCGAGGCACGTCGTCGGCGCCACCAGGCAAGTAATTAGCGGCACGTGCTCCATCATAATTCCGGGGTTGGCGATGCCTAAGCTCTGGTCGCAGTTGCTCATCTCAGCCCCTGGCGTTGATCCTTGAGCCGAAATTGAGAAGGCACACTGGCACAACTTGTCGACATCGCCATCAACAACAGTGAGAAGAGGGGCCTCGACAGGCGAGAGCGACAATCACTGTTCGGATAGGTTAACAATCCTTCGGCCTGGGCCGCAGACCGCCTTTGACGACGCGTCGTGACAGGGGCACCTTAAGCCGCTAACTCGCTCACTCGACGAAAAAGCCTCGCTCCTTAGATCTCGGAGGTGAACTTAAAAGCCTGTCGCGACAGATATTTCCATCCAAACAGCCATGAAGTACTCTACACCAGATAGCCCGGAGTACTTCCGATCCAACCCCTGGTGTGCCAGCTACCTGGACAGCCCCAACATCATCATCGAGGTACCGCCTTGTCGCGAGGAAAAGCCTGGTCGTGGCGACGCCCTCTTCGCACGCACGCTCAATACCCCCGATACGGTCGCTAGCTTCATCACCTTTTACAAGAAGCCTCATCGCAAAGGAAGCCTCATCCCCCAGATCAACGCCTTTCTCAGTTTAAGGCCAGGACTCAATGGTTGGGTTGGTGTATGTCATGGTGGCATTGTCATGACCATCGTCGACGAGGTTGCAGGACAGCTTATTGACGTCAACCAACGGAACGGAGCCATTCCCCATCCTATGCTCATGACAGCATATCTCAACACTGAATTTTTGAAACCGGTGGCGGTTCCTTCGACGATATTGGTCAAGGCGACAATCACGAATCTAGATGGCCGGAAATGCTATGTCGAGGTTGTCATTGAAAGTCAGCAAGGGACTATTCTTGCGGAGAGCAAGGGGCTTTTTATTGCTGTTAAGGGGCGATTATAATGCGTCGGCACAATAGTTGGTGCTGCGAGGGCATTCAATTTTCTCTCAATTTCTTTCACTTTCATATGTATGTGTGACGGAGGAGGGAAGTTTGAGCGTGATAGAGTACTAGATAGCGGAATAGAAGGGCAGGGGAAATAAACATGGCGTGTTCTTCCAACTTTCCAGAAGAGCTTGAGATCTTCTGCTCTCCGCGGATGATCCGCCCAACTCGTTCAAACATCATCGACCTTGCATGGAATACCGCATTCCAGCGCTGATGCAACATAATAGTATGTTGCTTTTGAAGGATGGAACGGTCCATCTCGTGGTTGACTCGAGACAGCTGGTTCGCCACATTATATGCGCGAGGGCAGCTGATCAATAATGTACGCCTGGATTTTATTACATGACTCGGGAAGAGATTGGCTTCCCAAGTTTGAGACTCGCGTTTGTGCAAAAACGTGGGAGGGCTTTTCGGTCGACCATGACGATGAAGAAATCCCCCTCAATTGTGACCATGCAGTTGTCGCTTACAGAATGCAAAGGAGAGCTCTTGGCATGATAAAATCAACTTCTTCGTATTTGACTGCGCTTTCAACATTGTTCCTAGTTCGGCGAGGATGCCCATGCAGGAATCTTTGTCTGAGCCCAATCGACTGAGCAAGCCAATCTACTAATCAAGAATTCTGCAGTCTGAACCGGGGATCGTACCCACACTTATCCGGCACCATGAAGAGATTTTCGGAGAATAAAAAAGATCCCATTCCAATACGAGCTTCGTCGTAGGCCCCCCGCAAACATTTCGGGTCATCAACCCAACCTCCCCGACTGTGCCCCCGATCGGCTGCAGAGATCTGCATATCCGTCCCTCGTATTGACGTAGTGTTGCATCCTTGGTGCAGCCTACGTCATTGTCTCGCTTAGAATCTCGCCTTTGGGTGCTCAATGTCTGTGAACCCGGGTCCACCGATGCTCCACATCCCCCAACTTCTGAAGCGGAGACTGGTTCTTCCAGAAATGTGCTGGTAGCGGGAAGCTGTGATGCTAGCTTACATTCCAAGACATGAGTGCCAAGCCGTCGTTCTTCGTATTCCTCCCCAAAGCGGTAATTTTGGCGCCAAGCATGGGTCGAGATCCGAGTCCCGCTGCGGTGAGCGGATCTTCCCTCATTCTGACACCCGAGAGCAAGCCAAAGGCTGGTTTCTTTCCCCGGGGAAAAGCTGACTGTGCAGTGCTAGTACTGTTATTATTAGAAATTCGGTAGTCGGCTTGTCTTGCGCCTAGCCAGCTGACCCCATCGAGCGATCATCGTCAGCCCAGACCTCGAAGTCGAAGGCTGCTCCAAAGAAGTAAGCAGCTCGAGAGATCAGCACCGTCAATGCAGGTTGCATTTCTCCCTCCCTTCTTCTTCTGGCCCCAGCTGGAGGGAAAATCTGGGCAACGATTCTGGCTCGAGTCATGTGGTTGAGTGATATGCATCCGACCTCACATCCAAGACCCAGTATAATCGACTGATCCATGCTGACGTCGGTTTGAGCATATACGAAGCGTAATCAGATCAGGAGCGCGGGCGAATTTTCGTCCTGTGATGCGGAGTATACAGTGTGATCCCCCGGTCGAAGTCAAGCATATAAAGATGACGATGCTCTCCGCGATTCCACCTGTTGTTTCCCTTTCCGCCTCGCGGTCTCATAATCAAAGCCATCAATAGACATTAATAGCCCATAACAAGCTCACTCCAAGAGCCCTAGAAACACTTTAACTATTCCATCAGTCTCGCAAGACTAACTCCTCCCAAACCAACAACATGCGCTCTTTCGTCACCTTCGCGGCTGTCGCCCTCTCCTCTCTCACCGCCGTCTCCGCAGTCGGTTCCGCCCACGTCGTCAACAAGTGCGATTTCGCCGTCTCTGTCTGGTCTGTCGGTTCCGAGGTCGCTGGCCCATGGCGCCTTTCCGCCAAGGGCGGCTCCTACAGCGAGGGGTTCACCCGTGACCCCGTAACCGGCGGCCGCGCTCTCAAGGTGACTATCCCCGAGGATGGTCTCTGGACCGGCGCCCCCCAGACCAACTTCGCCTACAACCTTGACGGCACCAACGTCTGGTACGACCTCAGTGACGTGTTTGGCGATCCCTTCTCTGGACACAAGTTGTCCGTCGCCAGCGCCAACGGCGGATGCACCCCCATTGTTTGGAACAATGGTGTACCCCCCGCCGGCAGCCAGGTTAAGGTCTGCACAAGCAAGGATGACCTCACCTTCACTCTTTGTGCTTAAGGATATTGGCGGGAAGCGGCTGAGATGAATGACTTCGATGATTAGAAGATGGTCGCAAACTGTTGGAAGGAATCAATGGTGATCATATTTGTTTCTTGTACTTAGATATTAAGCGGGTAGATCTACAGTTGAGACGCCCCGAATAAGATGATTTTAAAGCATCGGCCCTATAATTATCGTTGACGTGATGTCCCAATACCGCCACAATCGTTCAGCCATGTGCCTTGTGTTATATAACTTCTATAATATGGCCAGCTCGTTAGAGGGATAAGGAAATTGGATCGTGACTCCGTCAACACGAGGTGCGACTTGATTCGTCGAAGAAGGGGATTTGGTGAGGAAGGATGACCACGATGATGACAGCAATATTAAGAACAAAAGAGGAAATATACGAAACTACAAATATAATGGAGATACTTTCAAAGTGTTGGGCGTTGCGTGCGACAGGAGCCATTTGCGTTCAACAGCTGTGTCGATGACGGCCCGCCGTTGACGGGCGGCTGTGAGTTGGAGCACAAATCAGAATTACCTCTCGACCTTCCATTCCATCATAAGATTACAAGATAGGTTAATAACGGATTCAACCAGATTCCCTTATACCTACCCGCTCCGCTCCTTTTCAACCACCTCCACTTCTTCGATGGAAACTTTATCCTTCTCAAGATCCGCAAGATGAGTAGTACACTTGTAACTCTCAAACTTCCGTGCAGAAACTTTGGCCAAAAACTACTCGGAGGAGAAAAATGTATGTGTTAGCTCGTTTCTTTCTTTCCCGAGGGTTTGGTTATTGGACGTACCATCTCATCGATCTCCTCCAAGGTGCGCCCCTTTGTCTCTGGGAGACAAAAGTATACCCAAATGGCTGCGATAGTGGCTGAAGGGAACCAAATGTATCCATACCGAGGACCCCAGTTGAGAGAATCGGGGTTGATGAAGTACGGTGCCGTGAAGGTGGTCAACCAGGCGAAGAAGAAGCCTACCGCAGCTGCTAGGCCAAAGGTATAACTCCTCAGACGCTGAGATGGAGCCTCGCCGCCGACTACCCATGCATAGGCAGCGACCATACCCTACGAGGAGGAATGTGATTAGTTTTGATTTCTGAACCATTTTGTCACCGGATAATAATAGGAGATGGACTTACGCAGTAGGTCATCATGTACAGACTTATCAGGGCGATTAGCACCTTTCCAGCCACCTTCGTATTTGGCACCGTGTCATAAACGACAGCGACAATGAGCTGCAAGATGCCGCAGATCGTCATTCCGTACATAAGCAAGATACGGCGCTTTCCGTACCTGACGACAATGCAGGTATTCACGATGATGGCGAAGAGGCCGACGGCGTTGACTACGCAGCTCATGGCGAACGCGTCGGGAGTTTGAGCCATTGTGAAGAAGTATGCCTTGAACGCTATTTGCCGAAGGGAGAAATAGAAGTTAAAATACTGAATTTCTTTCGCGAGCCTGACCCAACGGGCCAGAGTGGGCTTGGATATGGGAATCAGAAAGGTGTCTCACCAATGATGAACATGGACCCAGTGGCGGCCTGGAGCGTCACGGCTCCGACGGCAACAATGGTTCTGCGCCGGTCGACCGAGTTGTTGAACATGTCAACGAAGCCAACCCCTTTGCCAAGCTCCTTCTCCTTTTGGATGGCGTTCGCGATATCGTCCACTTCAGGGTCAACGTTGGTGCCTTTTGGTCGGAGCCATTGTAATGCCTTGCGACCATCTTCGACGCGGCCCTTATGGACGAGCCAACGTGGTGACTCGGGGATAAACCACAAGGCGACGGTTATGAAGAGGGGGAATACGTAAATTAAGCCTAAGGGGATAAGGTAGGCAGAGCGGTCGGGACGCTTGGCCGTGGCCCAATCGATGATTGTTCCGATCAATGATCCCTAGAGAAAGTCAGCCGTCCACTCTCAGTACGTTTATCGATTCGGCGTCTGCGTAATACTAACAAAGGAAGTCGAGAACTGGAACCCGGTGAGGAAGAGGCCGCGGTACTTTGCTGGGCTACTCTCCTGGATATAGAGCTGCGAAAAAGTCATAAAATATCCGTTTGCCAAACCGATTAACAGTCTCCCCAAATACAACGCGCCGATATTAGTCGTTGCCATCATGATGATGTTTGATATCGCACAGAGGAGACACGCGAACCATAGACACGCCTTTCGCCCAAACCAGCTCGCCGTTACTCCGGCAGTCCCAGAGCTTATGAAGGCACCGAGGGTCATTAGAGAGGCAATTAGTTGCTGGCGTGTGTGCTCGATGTTCCAGCCGCTGGGGAGATGCGGAGCTGGGTATCCAAAAATCTGCCATGGCAACTAGTTAATAAATGGCGTCCGTTGTGACAGCTTTCCATTTTAGTGAGGATGGATGGCCAGAAACTTACTTTAAGGAATCCAACCATTGCCTGAAGACCACCGATAAGACCAAAGTCGAGCCCATACTGAAATGGTGCGAGCAGCATGATACCACAGGCCACGAAGCACCGCCAGTTGTCTTGAATGGTTTCCTTCTCGGCCGCCGTCCGGGCCTCACGCTTACTCTTCCACAATCCGAAAGCCATTTTTTTTTTTTTTTTCACGAGGTCCTCCACAAGATCACAACTAGGAGTCCGGTTTGTAGGTGGCTGGTGAGATATTTCCGACCCAAGGTCCAGGCGAGCTTCGGCGCCGATGGAATGATGGGGCTTAAAAAGGGGAAATTGTCTGCTGCACAGCGCAAGAAAGCCGGGACGCAGGGTTAAGTAGCAACTGTGTCTGGCTTTTACTTACCGGCAACGAAGTATTTCGTAGCTGGGGTACAACCGTGCCAAGTTTCGTATACCTGCAGGCCCCCGAGGATGCTATGCAAGTGGTCCCAATCACTTTCAATAACTGCATATTACTGCATCTACTTGGGATCGGCGAAGTAATAATGGTATGGTATATCTGTGGCGCTGGATTTTCTCACGAGAGATCTACACACTTCGGACAGGTACCGTGAATTCTAGGGACTGTCCCTAGAGGCGAGATAATGATGAGTTGGACTACTGCGCCCAGCTGCCCGTGTATCCGGATGGTATATCGTAGATTACAACACGAGAAATAAACAGCCTACGGCATGTTTTGCATTTCAACCTCATACCTAGGCACGCTTTGGTTGGATGAAAAGCCGGCCCGTGTTTGGCTAAGCTTTCCGTGCGGAGAAATGGTGCGGGGGCTTCGGAAACCCGGGACGCCCACAGAAGTGGACGAGAGAGGTGAACCCGCCAAGATACAGATTGAGGTGTGGGTAGTCCTACTGTTACCATCGGTAGATCCTAGGTGCTTCCTATGTTGCTTTCGGTAATCTTTTATTGGGGGCTTTTTCCATCTCTCCATACTCAAGATCGAGATGCTGATATCTTTATACTCCAACAGTTGGTTTTATTAGTATTAATGAACGCCGCTCGATATCACTCCAGCCCTCGAGGGTCTCGAGGTTGAGACACCGATAACACATGAAAGTGATATAATACGGATACCATGGAAACACAAGAAAAGGGGGAGTCGGGTGTGCTTGTGCCAGAACTCGCCGCCCGGCGGTCACTCGGTCGACGGATAAAATGGTGTGAATACGTAGTGATAGTCCGCCGCGTTAAGACCCAGCTATTATAACCACACTTTTTCGGATTTAGGCATATGTGTTGTTCTTTGAGCCTGAGGTCCGGGTGACACGCTAGAGCAGAACTGAGTTCTCATTCGGGAAACGGAGGATACGGGTACCCGACCTTAGGGGACCTCCTCGCTTACACTCTGAAGGGTGTCGAAGCCAGCAACCCTTCCGATTGTTGCGAGGGGCGATCCTTCGACGGGCAAATTAGGTTCCCGAACGTTACTCAGTCATGCTGCAGGCGCCGGAAGGAATGCAGGCCTATCGCCGACAAAGGATGACCTGGAATCATCGCGTAGGAGCACCAAATCATAAAAGCAGGGCAAGGATTCTGGTTTTTTGTTAACCCCCACGACCATCATATTAGCGATGGGACTTGCATCGAAATCGTCCATCTATGTCTCGGATAATTTTGGGGAATAAATCTAGCAAGGTGTGGCACCTAGTATCCTAAAAGCTGGGATACTGCTCTGATCCGAGACAACATTGACAAGACTCAAATATCCGTCTCCTTGAGAGGAAGTACGCCAGGAGTCAATCATAGTATCCGTTCTAACAAAGCGAATTGTGCCTTGTGTTCTAAGCCCCATTCATCATCAGCCCTCTGCCTATACGCCGCGTGATCCGAATCCCCCAGAAAAGCACAAAGAATACAACGTAAGTACCACGCTGAGGAAATAGCCGTCACATCATAAAAAGAATACGCACGATTGCCACTGTCAATCTTATCCGGACCAGCCACCTTTGCGCGACAGTCGATCTCCGCCTGCAACAGGCATGTTATCCAACACTCCACTGACAAATCTCAAATGCTCATTCATACTCGCAATCATGCGGTTCAGCTCATATTTCAGTTCATCTTTGGAATCAAGGCCCTCCATCACTGCAACCGCCGGTGGTAAGGGGAGGAACGGCATCTCGGGTACGGGCTGCATCGCCATTGGAGGATCGGTAGCACGGCGCGGCAGTTTAGGCTCGGATGGAGGAAGGTTCGGTTTTGGTTGTTGATGGGGCAATTCCGTGCTTGGTATCTCAGGCAAGGATCGTGCCACTGTAGCGAGTGCATAGTTGGTGTTGTCTTGCTTTGGGTCGTCATCAAATGACACGTAGATCGAGGGCTCTCTGTTTGACGAGGGGATGAATATGGAGGCATGACGTTCAAGGTCGAAAGGAGTTTTTGCAGGGTCCGAAGACACAGACATCCGATCTGAGTCAGATGTAGAGGGTCGGGGAGGATCGACATCAGTTGCCAAACTTGCATCCAGATCGATCAAGCTAACAGTCGATACGCGGTTCGCCTGCACTGCAGGTCCCAAGAGGCCCTTCCCTAGCCGCGGTGTCGGTTCGCCACCCTCGTACATTTTGCCATTGGAGACGTCATCTTGGTCAGGTCGAAAGCGTGTGCGGTCGAAACCGGGGGAAACCGGCGACATAACAGGAAAGATCCAGTCTTGAGTTCGCCGATTACTCGTGTCCTTGGGCTTGGATTCCGCAGGGAGAGTTTGTTTACCGCCCGGCCGGATAGTTTCCAAGTCATCAAGCTGGGGCGGCTTGACGTTCCTCTTCAGTGATGATGCGTCGAGATCGATTAGAGACTCCCTGAGCTTTGATTGCTGTGTATCATCTCTCAACGGGAGGTCAGACGACGACTTTCGCATCTGCTTCTGGTAAAAGTTTTTCACGTTATCCTCGTAATTTGATATTGTGTCGGGGTCGAATATCTTCTCGAGCGGCGCCTTGACTACGCGGAGATTCGGTGGTGGTTTTCGGCGTCGGCGGTTAGGTGCCAGAGGTCCTAAGGGTTGCGCGCTCATGTCAACGCTAGTGCCGTACGCGTCATATACAGCCTGCGTATCGGAGTCGTCGAGCGTGATGGCTCCCAAATCATCGGCGATCCCAAAATTCCACTCTTCGTTTTCATAAGTGGTTGGTAACGAATAATCGCCAAGAGGCCCCTGTGCTCCCCCAGCTGCAAAGAGAGACTGCCTATTGCCTCCTTGAGATTCCCAGAGCCGGTATGCATTGACCAGTTTCGACAGAGATTGTGTCGGGTACTCGATCTCGCTATTAAATACGTAGCGATGTCGCTGAACCATTTCGATCGTAGGCCGTTGCCTCGGGTCATCTACCATACAAAATGCGACGAGGTCCTTTAATTGGGAGGAATATCGGTCTCCCTCTAAACGTGGGCAATGCTGCTTGAGGTAGTTTCCAAATTGCGACGGGTCGATGGCTGTGGTCGCGTTCGGCGGCAAGCCCGTGGCGACCTCGAAGGCCATGGATCCAAAGGCCCAGATATCCACCTCAGTTCCATAGGCTACATGAGCCTCGAAAAGTTCTGGGGCCATCCACTGCAGCGTCCCTGTCACCGTGCTTCGTTTGTCGAACTTGGTCTCGATGATGCCGGCGACTCCAAAGTCGCAAAGCTGAACCTGGCCGTCGGCCATCACCAGAACGTTCGCGCACTTGATATCACGGTGGATAATGCCGTGCTTGTGCACCCAGTAAATGGCAACCGCTACTTCACGCAAAATTGGGATGATCCATTTTTCCGGCAGCCCACCGGTTGGGCGCATTAAGGTGGCAACGCTCCCGCCGGCGCAGTACTCTGTGACCATCCACATGGTCTGTCCAAACAATACGGCATCCAGCACGACATTGACGTTCTTGGCGCCGCTCGTTCCCAATAATTTTAGGGTATTGACCTCCTTCAAAATGTCGCTAAAGGTATCTGCCCGCTTCGGATTGAGGAAGTCGCCTTCTTCGATGCTGATAATCTTAACTGCCACGGCTTGTCCGGATTTGCTTGTCGCCTTGTACACGCGCCCAAAGGTGCCCTTTCCGATGAGCTCGAGCAGCGTGTAGGGTGGAGGATCCTTTCCCGAGCTGAGGCATTCATCTTCGATGGATGCTTGGACTTTTCGGGCGTCCTCGATGGCTTTTTGACGGGTGCTGGAATAGTCCAGCGGGCCGGCTTGTAGGTAGGCCGCCATCGTAAGAGGACTATCTGCAATAAGGCATCGGGTGTGCGATTTTGCATTTAGCAAGAGTGGGAATGGGCGAAAAAACTGATTGAGGTCATGCTGGCCGGATAAGGTTTATATAACATCTCAGGGACGTGGATGATCGCCGGCTCGGATGTTACAGAAGGCCCGCCATGTGCCGCGTACGAGATACGTGTAATCTCTGTCATCTCTTCCATATGGGTAGACGGCAGAAAGCGGGAGAAGACTGGTTCACGTGATTTTATTAAGAAGAAGCTGAATCCAATATTGCCCATTGGAATAACAATCTGCATCGCTTGAACAGCCCATTTCATCGACCATTGAACGGCACTTCCTGACGGTTTATGTAATAGAATTTGCCATGGGCAAAGTTGACACAAGATTTCAATTTAAGTCGCCAGTATCGCCCTCACTAAAGTAGCCAAAAAAGGAGGAGGAAAAATTAAGGGGAAAGGGTAAACTCGCTGATTCCCAAAGTTATCGAACTAATAGTACCGTATCCGGCCTGCCTCCTATTTGAGCCCGGAACCGCATCCCGACCCCAACGGTAATCGGGGAACTTCAGCTCTAAGCCCTCTAATTGAAAGAGCTTCATTCAGTGGCTCTTGCGCCCAGAGCAGCACTGATCTTAGTGCTGATGGCAAAGCTGGTATATTGTAAACACGGCCTTCAAAGAGGACTAAGAGGGCCAAATGAGTCTGAAGAAGATGTCTGAATGGTACAGTGGATAGAACTCTTGTCAATTTCTTTTTTTTTTTTTTTTTTTTTTTTTTTTTTTTAATTTTAATTTTTTCGTGTATCTTAAAACTGGGCTATTATTGATATTATATACCTCGGTAGAGAATGGCCATTTCCCCGCAGAGATGGTGTTGTAACGTAGGAAACGGCGCGAGAAAGTCGTGGAGATGGTTCGAGATGCGACGAGCATAACCACTCCTAGTGAAGAGAGCCAAGGAATGAAGGTTTGAGACCTGCGTTTTGCTGGGAGTTCCCGAACGGTACAGAACGGACTGTAGCATACTAAGAAAGAGCTTTTGCTCAGAAAAGGTGGGTTTAGAGAGGTGACGATAGCAGAAAATCATAGTGCTTGAGATCGCTGAGATATACTACCCACTTCATCCTTGAAGTGCATACGCCTCGGAGAGGACAGTTGGTTTGAGACACTTGATTTGATATTGCCGTTGGGGTATGAATTGAATGCTACCGCTCCCATTTACGTGGCAAACTGGCTACTAGTTTGGAAATCGTGACATATTAACATCTATCGAAAAGGGAGAGGGTTGAAGTGATAATACTCTCTTCCGCTCTACGAGACTTGCTCTTCTTACATTCTTACATGTAGCCAGAAGCACTGCAAGATTGTCGATCAACGCAGAGATTTCCGCTGGCGTTAGAGCTAGTCATCATAGAAGGTCGACAGGTTGGGCTCGAGAATATGACGAAACTCGGTCATCCCCCAACAGTGCGTCCACACTAGGCCTTGCCCTGAATCTATGAGTTGACGCCGAATCGCAAAGCTCGTCAGAAAAATGTCCATCACACTTTCGAAACAAACCAAACCCTCACGTCGCATAGCGAGAACGACCGCAACATCTCCCAGTCGCAGATACAACGCACTCTAATGTGCGCATACGACCCCGCCCAAGACCGGGGACGTATTCCGTCAATGTCATCTAACATTAATACCCGAATCGGCCCTCTCCAACTTGCCCGACCAGACAAATTACGAAATGTCGCCAAACACGTCCAACTGCCGGGATGAAATAGATTGCCTTCGCAATTTCGCCTGGATTCCGGAGCCAATAAGTCTGCAGGTTTGCTTATGGACCAATTCTACTTAATTTATATGGGTCGGTCCTGCCCGATTTCCAGGTTTGCGGAGTGGGAGGGTTGAAATATCCCCAACTCCCGCGATCCCCTTTTCCGCAGAGGGCCACGTCGCACCTCGCATCACGCCCGCGTCCCGATTTTGGATCACCCACGAGAGCGAAACCCGGTTTTTGTCAACGTGACGCTTTCCTTCTAGCCATGAAGCTCCTGGCGACCCTTCTCGCACTTGGAGGGCCTGCTTCGGCCCACTACATCTTTCAGCAACTCTCCATCGGTGGCACCCAATACCCGCCCTGGACGTATATCAGGCGCAACTCGAACCCGGACTGGTTGCAGAACGGGCCCGTGACGGACCTCTCGTCGAACGACCTGCGCTGCAACGTCGGTGGTGGCGTGAGCAACGGCACCGAGACCGTCACGGTGAAGGCGGGGAGCGAGTTTACGTTCACGCTAGACACGGCCGTGTACCACGTAGGCCCTACTTCGATGTATGTCGTTTTGGAGACGAGAGGAGGAGGACCGCTCGTGGAGACTAACGAGAAGAAGATACATGTCCAAGGCTCCCGGGGCTGCTGCGGATTACGATGGCAGCGGGCCCTGGTTCAAGACCCACGACTGGGGTAAGTTAAACCGACCTGTCAGGAGTTTTCCGCGCTGGTGATAACAAGGCGCTTTAGGTCCGACAGGAACAAACTGGGTATTGAGTAGTAAGTAAAGGAAAGCCCGTTCCCCTCAGTTCCTTGCAAACGTGGCGCGAGTTCGCGCTTGCTGATGGAACGCAGACTCGTACACTCACAGTATCCCGGCGTGCATCTCCGACGGCGAATACCTCCTCCGAATCCAGCAACTCGGTATCCACAACCCCGGGGCCCCGCCGCAGGTCCGTATCTCTTTGTGTCCTTTGTCTTTATTTCTTTACTTGTATTTTTGCTTTTATTGCTTCGCCGGGTACTAACCTTACTGTGAAGTTCTACATTAGCTGCGCGCAGGTCAAGGTCGAGGGAGGGGGTAGTACGGAGCCCTCTCCAACTGTATCCATCCCAGGGGCCTTCAAGGCTAACGACCCTGGATATACGGCCAATGTGAGTTTGGTGCTTGCGGCATTGAGAAGAGAAGGGAGCTGACTCTCATTTGTAGATTTATAACGGTGGTGCGAACAACTATGTCGTTCCCGGTCCCGCAGTGGTAGGCAACTTGATTCCTCGTGCTAAGGCGGACATAACTATCAAATTTCTAACTACTCCTCAGTTCTCATGCTAAGCGACGTATTTGCCGGCGATGTCGATGTCTGTTCTTTTCCCTCCCCCGACTACAAAACCGGACGACAGTAAAGCACATGGGAGATGATCGAAAGGTATCCCAAAGGCGTGCGTGATGCTGTACTATATGTGGGAGGAGCTTGTGTCATCCCTTTACTATCTAAACATCAAAAAATTGGGCCAATTCTGCTTAGGGGTAGTGGAGACTTTTTTTCGGTTTATCCAGCAACCAGTCTGGAAAATCTTCTGTATAAACTTAGCAATTCTAGCTCGGGCCAGTGTTTCGTCATGTCTAACATGAAGTCTTCATAAGCCAGTCTTCTGCTCCCTGGAAAAGCGTCCAGTGCCTCGATCGGAAACAGCCAGAAGCCGATAGCTGGCTTCGCCGCCCGTTCAAGATCGTCGTTTAGAGGGTCGGGTTCTTGTTCCCAGTTCGCCTCCACCCATCTCTCGTCTTCCTTTTCTAGGAACGCTTTCGCGCTTTCGCGGTCGTAGATCCGACAAGATGGTATGCTCGGTCTGCTTGTGAGGGGCAGACGGTAGGAAATGCGGCTTGGAGATATGTCCAGCTTGTCGAGAAGTCGATTCCAGACGTGAAAGGGCCCTAGAGGATCGAACGTGAGCATTAAGATTCGGTTGAGATCCTGGGTTATGCCACGAGGATCTCGGCATAGACGCTCAAACGGACCCATTTCCGCCATGATGGGATAGGAGTGGTTGAAGGTGCCGCGGTCAATCAATACTCCTACACGACGAGCGACTTGGTGTAGTTCCGAACAGATATTTCTAACGGTCTCCCTAACCTACGGTCTCTCTAGCCTCAGCGTCGATGTAATTGGGAAGATTGAGCGCGTGGATCAGTAAAGTAAGCATATTCAGCCAGTCGCTAAATTACGCAGGCCGACTTGATAAGGGTCGTAGGTCGTCTTCAGGTCGTATACCGATATGACGTGAAGGAAGTCATAGTCGGGACAGAAACCCCTCCTGGGCAGTCGAAAGACTACTGCGGTCCATCCCATTCTTCAAAAACACGCGGGGTATACGGACTCGGAAGAATTTTAAGGCCACTTGCCTCGATTCCCTATTTACTCGCAGCAACTTGCTATGCAATCGACGTGTGTACGTATAAGGACATGATAGCCGTTTTTCGCCTCAGCTGAGGTGCTTCCGGCCGTTGGAGTGCTCTCAGCAGGGTGTATTCTAAGTATACGTGGGCGCTCCAGAATCTTCTCCCATACCATGCGCCGGAGCTCGGGGGGGAGTTGGGGAAAGACGTGGAAAGTCCTTCCGCCCTCCAGGTTGGGCGGGCCGGTATAAACTTGCACATGGGCGTTTGCATGTCGACTTTACTGGTGTTGGCGGACCCCGCCAATTTTTCAATGCGACCTCGCGATCTATTAATCATCGTGGTGCACTATGGTGTGATCCTCAGATCGGCGGAACTATATAAGAGGTGGAAAAAAGAAAAAAAAAAGGAATTGTTTCTCTCTTTTCTTCGAAGCGCCATTGCTCCTTGTCTACCGTCACCACTTATCGCAGAAGTTCAACCTAGTAGAATCTCACCAGTCCCGGAAAGAAATCAGCAAAATGAGCAGTTTCAATCTCAAGTCAATTCTCATTATGAGCCTCCTCTCCACCGCGTCGTCCGTCCCCCACCATAATCCGAGATACGTCGGCCCCGAAACCGGGACCCTAGTCATCGTCGGTGGGGGGGAACTCGACGACTCCATCTACCAACGCGTGATCGACCTGGCCGGTGGAGACGATGCCCCCCTCGTCGTGATCCCAACCGCCGGTGGGGCCGACAGCTACGACGACGACGCTGCCGGGGCCGGATCCTTCCGTCGTCTCGGCGCCAAGAACGTCACTGTGCTTCACACGTACGACCCGGAGGTCGCCGACACGGAGGAATTTGTCCGACCGCTGGTGGAGGCCAGGGGAGTTTGGTTCGGGGGCGGTCGTCAGTGGCGGCTGGTGGACGCGTACGCGGGTACACTCACCGAAAAGGCCTTCTGGAAGGTGCTCGCGCGGAACGGCGTCATCGGCGGATCATCAGCGGGGGCGACCATACAGGGGAGCTTCCTCACAAGAGGAGATACTGCCAATAACCAGATCGTGGTCGGTGATCACCAAGTAGGGTTTGGTTTTGTCAGAAACATTGCCATCGATCAGCACATACTTGTACGGAACCGGCAGTTCGACTTGTTTGATGTTCTAAAGGTCAGACCGGAGCTACTCGGCGTCGGCATCGACGAGAACACGGCTCTCATTGTGTCCAAGAATGATGCAGAAGTGTTTGGAGCGAGCTATGTGGCCGTGTACGATGGAACTTTCTGGTCGCGAGAGGGAAGCGACCTGAAGAATCTTCCGGATAAATCGTCTCTGTTCTACTTCCTCAGAAATGGCGAAAAGTATGACCTCGGAAAGAGACAGGTAGTAGTCTAGGTTGTCTGACGTGTTTCCCGGGTGTCTTTGATAACCTGGGCACTCAGAACCGGCTACTCCTAGGTAGCCCACCTAGTATTATTGTATAATATTTATCAATAATACTAAAGTCAAAAGACTTCTATTATAACATGACTAAATTATAAAATCTAAAATTGTAAGACAGTGCTGGAAAATGTCGCCGGTAACACGAGCATCTGGAGGAGTTCTTCCAGGAGAGTGACTGACTCCGGAACCTGTGAGAACCGGAGAAAGGATCTTCCTGGCCAGGGAGAGGGTAGAAGAGAGTGTCTTTTTCCATTATTATTAAGTTCTTTTAGTTTTTATCAGATTAAGAAGTTAGTTCCAGCAGTAAGGTTAATTTAACCACTTTAATATTTTCAAATGCAGCTCATCTCTTTGCCAGGTCTAATTCCAAGAAACTGGAATCCGTTTTTTGTCTATCAATTAGTGTGTCTTGTATCTTACAGACCTCGCATCACTTTCCCGTTCGATGTTTCCATTACATTGGAAGTACCCCCTTGGTATCCTTGCCCTTGTTTCTGGTCGACCAACTGTTTCGACGTCTGTCCAAGGGCTTGCAGCCGCTTTCTGGGAGTTCTGGCTGATGACCATCGGCCACCTATCCCAGTTCCATTTCCTGTTCAATTTTATGTGTGATGTTACGGCTAGGCTGCACTTGTCTGTCACACCATCTGTGCCATCGTAGGAAGAATACCATTGAACTACTTCGTAATAGGCAGCTATAGAATCAGATGTGGAGTTCTATTGAAAAAGACTATCACTACCAAAACTAAATACTCGGAGGTGGAGGTCGTTGTACCTGAGGCAGAACAAGCCTTCCGCCGGAGAGGAGAGTATTTTTTCCCTCGAATCTTCGAGCGACTCTATCCCCGCCGTCGTGCCTCATCGGTGGTATTGTACTAGCGGTATCTTGAGCACCAATCTCCAAAGAGATGCTCTGACCCGCCTTTAGATAAAAGGCTGCGGGATTAAAAGGAATTGTCAGGGTGTAAACCTTGCCCTTCTCAACTTTGGAACGTGGAGCGAGTGGCTGGAATGGCACGCGTTCATACTCGTTAAAGCCAGCTTCAACTTCCTCTCTGTGGGAAAGGCGAAAGTAACCCTTCGCAAAATGCTCGTTGGGTTCCCCGTGATTGCCCCCTAAAATAAAAGGCTTTCCATTTGCGTCTAAAGCTCGAAGGCTCAGGAATATGTCGGAATCTTCTGCTTCGGTACTGACTTGGATTTCAACGAAAGGTGTTCCAAGAATCTCGAACGGTTCTCTAAACGTGCTGTCAAGCTCAAATGTAACCGTGCCGGTGAGCCCCTCGTACTCAAAAGCCTGTTCTCGTCCTGCCTGACGTGCAAGGCTTAGCTTCTTATCTGGAGTTAGGTAAAATGACCGCTCCTCAGCATCTGGGGGAGGAAAAGCTGCCTCGTGCTCTCGATAGAAAGAACCTTCGCTGTGGTGCTGAATCAAACGAATTCGAGGTATATCGAGGATTCCCGAGTCTTTGATGCCGTGTAGAAAGTAATCGAGGAACTTTCTCTGTAATGCCACGTGTTCAGGATGGTGATACCACGCCAAATGATTTCCGGTATGCATCTCCAGCCATTTTTCTTTCGAGGATGATTTGTTAAAGGAGAGGATGTTTCCTGGAAGATGGACCTCGCTGTCTGTCCAATTGCCAGCAGTGTAGAGAGGAACGTCAATGTCAGAGAGCCTCCGTTGCTTGAATATTTTCCATAAATCGGAGTCGGGATACTCGTAATCCCGGATAAGTCCAACGTAGTCTGCCCGATTGGCAGCAAGTTGTGCCGCATCTAGTCTTCTGTCTGCGTTACCGCTTTGGTATGGGATGACGACGTTCTTGTACCAATGAGCGTGAAAGTTCTCTCCGCCAATCCCCCCTCTGCGCGTTGATTGATATATATCATGGCTTGCCTCATAGGCAACAACGCATGTCAAATGAGGCGGTTTCTGCATGGCAGCGATATATCCAATCATACCATAGTAGCTGATGCCACTGGTAGCGACTTTGCCGCTCGACCAAGGCTGAGTACCAGCCCATTCAATTACGTCGTACAAGTCTATGCGTGGTCAGCGATATGCAGCGATGGTCACCTCAGGACCGGCGTACCTTGGCCCTCCGCATCCGTTCCGACTCTCATCGAACGCTCCAAGCTAAAAGGATCGAGACGCCCTTGGCTGCCGCCTACACCGCGACCGTCTACCCTTAACAGGGCGTATCCGTACTCCTTCGTCTAGTTTATCATTAGCATAAGAGCATAGGGGAAAAAAAATTGTTGGGATCGTGTCGGAAACGCACCCAGATGAGCGGGTCAAGGAGTTCAAAACAGGCATGAGGTCCTAACGGCTTGATTTGCCGGTACATGTCGGCATACATCGTCGTTTGGGGGAGCCCGAACTCCAAAACGGGGATGTCTTTACCGTAGGGACCAAGGCTACAGATGACTGGCACCTTCTGACCCTGCTTCGAGGCAGACGGGGGCAGAAAAACATCCGCGCACAATTCGATCCCGTCGCGCATTGGGATGTAGGTATGTTTTACAACCGTGTAGCCATCCGCATCGACGACTTCGCTAGTATATTTGGGTAGGTTAGCTTTCGCCGCCATGTTGCCTCGAATGGTGGATCGAAGATTGTTAATGTGAACGTCTCAAAAGCGATATATCACTCAGCTATTAAACGGGAGTAGCTGGTAAGACCCGATAAAAGGAGGAAATATGCTGATATTTTATGATACCTGAACGAGAGCTGAACCAGTGCCCAGTCGAGATGCAGAAAAGCCGATCTTTACCGGGCGCCATCTGTACAATGAACCCCCCCGCAGAAATATATGCGGGGGATTATACCTCCGCCGTAGCCCGCACAAGAAAAATTGGCCGACGCGAGCTGCCGCCCAATACTGGTGGAGGGGCCGAAAGCAAATCTTTCCCACATATTAGTATTAACCGCCCGCAGAAAACCCATGTGGGAGTCCGAACCTCCGCTATACGCCCGCACAAAATAAATACATGGTCGATACGAGTAGCCGACTACCAGGGTACTATGGATACAAATATAGCTAAGCTCGATATTTTGCCTTATCCGCCCACCTTAAAAGGTACGCGAAGAGCACACAATCTGTGTGACTGATGGCCTACTCGAAACACTGTTATCGAAGCCATACGACCCGAATTGACTCTTAGACTACGACAATGGCGCAGGAACTCAAAGGCACCCTCGGCGATCAGCACGATTGCCAGTTTGCTTCTGATCCTCGCAGGAACGAAGATCTGGGGGCCAAGCTGCGAGATCGTCATGTGCTCATTGCCGGTGCTGGTCGTGGGATCGGGCGCGCGACGGCCGAGTTTTTCGCATACGCCAACGTCAAGTCACTCAGCTTAACGGCCCTGGAACTGGACGAGGTCGATGAAACTGCCCAATCATGCAAGAAGATCAACCCCAAACTCTTGACCAAGACGGCGGCATTCGATGTCAGGGACTATAATAAAGTGCAGCAATTTGTCGACGAAGTCCACGGCGAGTTCGGTCGGATTGACGTTCTTTTCATGAACGCTGGCCGGCCTCCGCAGTGGCTGCCAGTTCACGAATCGGACCCCGAAGTGTGGTGGGATACCGTGGCCATATCGCTACAAGGAGCCTTCAATTTCAGCCGGGCGGCACTACCACTACTGCGCAACCAGAAAGGCGGCCGAATCATTTTCACCGCTAGCGCAGGTGCCCATATGGATAGGGGGATGGGCAGCTATACGATTGGAAAGCTTGGACTAGTCCGACTGAGCGAGATCCTGCACCATGAGAACAAAGATTACAATGTTAAAGCCTTTGCCATCCATCCGGGCTCCGTTCGCACTCGATTCTTCACCGACTTTCAAGATGCTGTGGACGGAAAGATCAAGCCAAACAGCTATGTGCCATCAGCGATGGAGGGTGATAAGAAGTCCGCGGAGCTTGTGGTTAGCTTATTCGGAAATGCCGTATGGGATACGCCGCAAATGCCGGCAGGCCTAGTTGTTGTCCTTGCTAGTGGGGGTTTGGACTTCATGTCTGGCAGATACGTGGATGCCACCAAAAAGGTCGAGGACTATATCGCGGCGAAGGATAAAATCGCAGCTGAAGACTTGCACAGGGTAAAATTAGTCGCTGGTGATGGTGTGCTCTTGCCGTACAATCCGGAAGACCAGTAATAGGGGCCATAGTGCGCCGGTGATTGCGGCTCAATGCAAATATATTCTTTTTTAGGAGCGGGCCAGAACTTCGCCGAGGAGGCAAAGAGGAATTCAATTCATGTGAATCTCGGTAGTGCAAGTCGTAATCTGCTACAGCGCTGATGCTAAGCCGGCGCCGCCCGTTACTAGATTAGAGTCGCTTCTCACTATGGATGCCTCATGCCCCAGAGTTGCAGCTGGCCAAATCTACCTCGCCAATTTCTAGCTCTTTTAAGTCTTAAAGAATGTTATCAAATTCGTCCCTCGTCCTCCGGGAGTGCCATCTACGCCACTGAGTGATGGCAGGACAGGTATGTCTAAGGCCCATACCAGGTCCCTTGGCTTCTCTCACTCGCCTCTAGCTCACAGCCAATAAATGCAACGGCGTCAGTACGAAGTATTTACGAACGGTAAACCAGTAGGCGCACATCCTGTTCAAGCAGTAGATAGAGTTAGGAACAGTACGTCGGCTTCTTCTGTTCACTCGTATTTGGGATAGGCTGCTCTTGGGGGGGACCAGCTCCAGGTAGCTCTTTTGCCCCTTTTCCCTACCCAGTGTCTATTCACCATCAGAATCGTCGGCTTCCCTGGGATACCTCAGGAAGGCCATCGCTCCAGATGGGACACACCTTAGACGTGCTCAAGGAAGTGCCGGGGGCAATTATTCTAACACGTGCGGAGCCCCCGCAAAGTAACCTGTCCCCCGCAAAGCAACCTGTGGGAGTACCCCGGATTTTCCCCGCGCCTTCACTCAATCTACCAGCCCAGATGTAAATAAGAAGAGTGCCGCCCCCGTCAAAGGTCACGGAAGTAGAGAGAGCTCCTGTCGTCCCATCAGTTTTCGTGCACCATTCTATCTTCGAGCCTACAGCCTGATTTAGCATAAGACTATAATTAGACCTATGACAATGGCTCTTTATAAGAACAACATGTTTATAAGTCCGACCGTGGCCGATCCCAACAAAACTACCTTCCTCGCCGTTATCACGATCGTAATTATCCTCTGGTATCTCCTTACAAAGTTCGATCGACACCTATATCGGATTCCGGGGCCTACCCTAGCCGGTTTCACGTCATTATGGAAGACTTGGGACACGCTCAAAGGAGAATCCCAATACACAAGTGAGTCCTAATCGACTGTTAGTTTTCAGCGAAACAGTGGCTAATACGCGGTCAAATGTAGCAATCAATCTTCATCGAAAATACGGACCACTCGTGCGAATCGGGCCAAACCACATCTCAGTCTCAGACCCAGCAGCAGTGAAAGTCATTTACGCAGCAGGCAAAGGGTTTACCAAGACAGCCTTTTACCCGATTCAAACGACAGTCCACAATCGAAAACCGCTGTTTAACTTGTTTGCCACTCGAGACGAACAATACCATAGCCGAATCAAACGACCTATTGCTCACACTTATAGCATGGCTGCTTTGACTCAATTGGAGCACAAGATTGACTATGTGACGAGCATGTTTATGACGAAGCTAAGAGAAGACTTTGCTGAACGAGGACGTGTCATTGACCTGGGACAATGGTTGCAGTAAGTCGCTGGCGATCGGTCACATACGTAAACGATCGCCGTATGCTAACTTTCTGTTAGATGGTATGCATTCGACGTAATCGGAAATCTGACCTTCTCGAAGACTTTGGGATTCATTGAGGAATCTCGAGACGTTGACAATATCATCGCGAATATCGGATCCTTCTTTATTTATGCCGCCGTCATCGGCCAGCTCCCATTTCTTCACAACCTCTTAGCCGGCAATCCTATCCTACCTTACTTATATCCAGAGATCGAACAATTTAATCCGGCTGTCAAGTTCGCGTTGAAATGCATAGAGCAGACCGAGAGCTCAAAAGTCGACCCCCAGGTGCGAGGCGACAAAGATGGTTTCCTGTCCCGCTTTCAAAAATTAATAGATGCTGGCGTTAAGGGAGGAGCATATGGAGGCGAATTTGGACGGGTCGACGCGCTCAATCACAGCAGCACTAACATGCTTGCTGGTAGTGACACGACAGCTATTGCGTTAAGATCCATCATTCACCAGCTGATCACAAATCCTCTGGCATATCGCCGACTCCAGGAAGAGATAGATAGCTTCGACAAAAGAGGCTTGCTATCGGACATCGTCAAAGAAACTGAGGCAAGGCAAATGCCCTACCTACAAGCGGTAATCAAGGAAGGCTTGCGGATCCACCCAAGTGTCGGGATGCTCTTGGAACGCCATGTCCCGAAAGGTACGTTTACGCATTTGAACGTCGGCCGCGAAAGCTAACAGCCACCTAGAGGGTGTTACGATATGCGGAAAATTTCTCCCTGGAGGTACCGTCGTCGGAATAAACCCATGGGTTGTTGCCAGAGATCCTTCAGTGTATGGCGAGGATGTAGATTGCTTTCGGCCTGAAAGGTGGCTTGACGCTACTGAGGAACAGCTTAAAGCAATGGAAAGGAGTTCTCTTGCTTTCGGGGCTGGCTCGCGTGTCTGTATTGGCAAGAACATCTCCATGATGGTGAGTACTCAAATTCCCGCAGTAAATGCTAACATGGGTCTGATTTTGCCATCATTAGGAAATGTCTAAGGTCGTCCCTCAGCTTTTCAGGGAATTTGATGTATCCCTGGTCTCGCCCAAGAAAGACCTTCGAACAGTGAACCATTGGTGAGTACATCGGTCTGAGAGGGAATTGGCTAAGGCCGAGTGTGGACCTGTCAAGCTGTTTCACACTACAGGTTTCTCAACTATATCAACTATATCAACGCATAGCTAACAATCTACCTTTTGTAGGTTCACCGTTCAAAAAGGGTTGGAATGTCGTTTGACTGTACGGCAACGCCTCTCAGCGGAGACAGTTTGATTTCATGTTCGCCTTCATATTTTCGCTGGTAGACTAGCATTAGTTAGTTTCATAGGAAATGAGATCTGATCATCTCAAAATACGCTCAAAAACACTAAGGATACGGTCAGGGTGACTTCGTGTTAATTAAGCTGCTAATGGCCAGCATTCAAAGTATGCAGTGTATTGTCAGAGGATGGTAATGGCGAGACAAGAATTCGTGAAATGACTTGTTACAGGTTGCAATAGCGCGAGCCAGGAAGCAGGCAGCCTATGAAAGAAAGAGCCCACGACAGGGCGAGATATTGACATCCCGTCAGATTAGACGCACCAAGCTCTAGGAACGTTTCGTCGTTTTTCTCCGAAGCCGCAACCAGGTCGGAGTTAGGCTCATTGCCGGGGCAAGCGGAATATCCGCGGTGGCAACGGAGTTGGCTCCGCCCCATTCCATGGCGTTCCCTCGATGTCCACAGCGGGGAAGAAGAGCCTGAAAGATATTGAACAACACGTCAGAGGGCCGTCCTAACTGTGATTAGCGGGACCGCCGCGTCGAAAAGCGGAACATCCGCGGGTAGTTTCTGTCACATATGGTCGTGGTCGGCATCATGAATTACATATGCCTTGCATTTGACCGGGGGCTGCCTTTCCCCGTCGCATTGGAGCCCCAAACGATGTCGCCAATAGCAAACGGATCGAGGATCCCGCCTCAATAACGGTCACGCAGCATCCATAGCCTCAGACGTTCTCACTTAAGCCGAAATGTCGGCCGTGTAGACATCTGCGGGATTTACGCCTGAGTATTCAACCTCGATCAGAGCTTGCCCTCCAGAAGGTTTTGCATTTCCCCGAGAAGTCTGTGAGCTCGACATAGTTGTCGAGTCTAGTATGGAGGACCCTGTTAACTCTTACCGCGATCTGGTGACACGATGACTTATCTGCCTATGGGAAAAGTAATATTGAAGGTAAGTGAGCGGTCAGCATGGCTTCCCATTTTCTGTCGTCGCCCAGAGCTGTGGAAAGAGAACTAGGCTTGGTAAAACGACTCAGAAGTTTCAAGCTTACCGCCACCTGCAGCTATGGCGAATTTCATGGCTCGTCTCGATGGGTGGAGCTCTTATTACTAGTATTATTTATCTGATGTCTTATCTCCACACCTGATTTTTTTTTTTTTTTTTTTACGTGATTTTTACTCTTCTCGCAGTGCACTTGGCTTATAATAAGTTTTGAAACGGACTCACAACCATTCCGGGTCCATATTTCGCGGGATACGCTAAAGGTTTTGGAGGTTATGGCAGATTCTGCAGCTATTAGGATCATCTATAATCGTTCAAGTAGATTCGACAAGACGGAATTCCACCATGTCCCAAAGCCCAGTCGTCGGTGGAAAAGCACTTCCTCTAGCACTATTTAATTTGAGAGGCGAGATTCAGCATGCAAGGCTGAAGCGTGTATCAGTAAGCGCATACCCACCCAACAACCTGAAATCCATGGAGCCACTTATCGACGAGATATCGGATGTGTTCATTGAAACGACGAAGAAAAGGGTTGTCGAGCCTTGAGAAGAGGTGGACCTTGGAGAGTAGATCTGGTATGTCCCATGTTTCCCCACTGGGTTGGCACTGATTAAATTCTCTTTACTGCAGGCGATATGTTTGATGTCGTCCCACCTTGATTTGGAAAGGGACGGGACGTCATGCATTTGACGTCCTGAGCAACTTAAGGATATCGTGAATATCATCGGGCTCATTTAAGAAAGCAGCGCAAAAATGGATCCCTCTCTCGATTCGTTCGATAACCCCCCGAAAGTCCAGCTAAGGTCTGTTTCTACATCAAAGGATGGGATGCCGAGATTGATCTAACGGATTGAGGTGGTAGCTTCCCCGCATCGAACGCTCAGGCGCAGACTGCCCATGTCGCCATAGACATGGAAAACATTCGGTGCTGTACGCGAATCAGGGGGTGCTAGTTTAATAAACACTGCAACGTGTAGCCCAAGTGGAACACCGTATGTGCCCCCCAGGTGTGCGTTCCGTCGCCTGCCCCGCATTTTCTGCCGGTCACAAATGCCGAAACCCGCCTTTCCCCAGATTTCACCCATCCACTCCTGTCGACTTTCCCACAGCTTTGCACAATTTCAATGTCCCAAGGTTCAGGACATCACCACAGTCTGTCCCTGTGTTCCTTTTTTTGTAAACCACTAAATATGGCAACAACTGAGTCTCCTCATCGTCCCAATGCTTCGTCGTCTTCGGGCGCCTTCACTTGTGGAACTTGCTCACAGAACTTTCGCCGAGCGGATCACCTTCGGCGGCATGAACTCAGCCACGGATTCCCAAAGTACCTCTGCTCGCATCCCAGGTGCGGTATGCGCTTCCACCGGGACGACGTACGGAACCGACACGAATCCATTCACCGGCCTAACCCGTCCAAGCAACCCAGAAAAGCGCGACGAGGTGTCTTGCCTCGCAGTCGGACGAAGTTGATAATCTCGAGAAGCACCGGCAGTGCTTCGTCTGCAGAGACACATGTCTCACAGACACAGACCTCGGACGAAGATATGCAATCACAATCAGTGTCCGCCTCTTGGGATTGGAATATGGATGACGTCGACGCTTGGTTAGGAAGTGGTATTGATCTTGTCCCTGACGACTTTGTCGCACAGCGTTTCACGTCCCCTAACGTAGATCTTTCGGCCTCGGAGACGTCCATAATAACTTTGCAGCAGGTAGAGGCCCCGGGATCGCGGCAAAATCATCCTGGAATGCTAATTGTAACATGTAGTCAACATCTTTAGAAGACGAGGTGTTACGGATATGTATCGAACATTTCAAAAAGTCCAGTCTGCTCCGCAAACCTTTTCTACACCACGAAACAATCAATTCGCCTTCTCTGCCCCGAGAACTCAAATTAGCAATGGCAGCGCTAGGGTCCGTTGGTGTCCCCGAGTTAGTCGAACCAGCGAGGGCATTCTTTGATGAGGCTTGTAGGTATTTACAAGCTTCGACCCTCCTGGTAAGTAAATCAAGATTTAACACGAGTTTCCTAAAAGCCGTAGACTAAACTGTTCTATCAGCCAGAGCTTCGTCGATTACAATGCGAAGTCCTTCTCATTGAATTCGCTATTTGGATGCAAGACGACGATGCATTATTCCAGTGGGCGCTAAGAGAAGGACAAGCAGCGACTGCGGTTGGTAGCTGCCTTGATCCCTTTATATTAATTTGCCATCTCTTACTAACAGCTCTGAGACCGTACATACTCTATTAAAACAGCCAAGGAGCGTTGCCGTGGAGGACTGGAAAGCATGGATTTATCGAGAAGAGGTTAAACGGTAAAGCTGGAAGTTGATAAGAGATGTTCGGCAAATTGTAACTGACTGACAAGCGCAGTACGATCTTTTCATTCTACTCGGTATTTGTGACTGCTTCTCTGGTTTACGACTGCGCAATTCCGCTATCGTCCCAACACCTTACACTAGATCTTCCCGAGTCCGACGCTTTGTGGACGGCAATCAGTGAATCCGAATGGCAGCACCAACTGATGGCAAACGTGTCAGTGCCTCAGCCGGACGTGACATTTCAACTGGCGCTCTGCACTTTACTTAGCTGCGACACAGTCCACGGCGATACTCACGAGACTGCAACAGTATTTGGTCAGTATATCCTCTTGTGCGGCATCGCAGACGCTTTTAATACTGCCAGAAGATTGCCAATGAACTATTCATCGGCAGATGGATTCCGGACGGGTGCAATGTCGGCGTTCGGGCCTCGAAGCGTCTTCCTAGAGTCTCTAAATATATGGAAGACTTTATGGTGGAGCAACCTAGATTGTAATCGGGACAAGGCGTCATTCGCCTTCCCCGGGGATGAAAGCGTGTTCCTCCTGAATCATCTATATGTCGCCCTCTCTCGTAACTGCCTGGAAGTATCGCACATCGCCCGGGAAAGTGTTGCTGCTGCGATCGAAGTATTTTGCGGCGCGTCCAAAGCTGGGTTTCTCGAGGTATGTGATCCCCCATTATAGCTCTCGGAAAAGGTGTTTACTGTAGCGAAGGTAGAACAATATGCTCGGCGGGCATTTAGCGCCGGGGCTCGCAAACATGCAATGGCGTGTGCGAATTTTATGCTGGACTGGTTGAGGTTATTAGTCAAGCATGGACCCGACGAGTTCCTGTTTTCAAATCACGGTGAGCTATTATGCGCGGTGCGTCAGAGCGTGAGAAGGGGTTCAAGACAAAATGTGAATCCCGCAGGTGGTCTCGGCTCACCCGAACTTCTACGGGCACATGTACAGGACCTCTGGAATATACTGTTTGGCGGCCATGAATGGGTTTATTGTTCATCATGAAGGGAAAATGCTTGCGGATGGGTGGAAGGTGGCAGGAAGGTGGCCATGACAATGCCCGTAATAGAGACTGATACGTGGACTGTTCCAGACTGGGAGCTAACCTACTGTGTAGCAACAGTCGGTATTAATTCCAGACCTATGACTTGAGGATTCTCCTCGGCCAACTAGCTGTTAGACCTCGACGCACAAAACTTTTGTTTTGTCAGCGTAAAGGGTGTGTATACGATATCGTAACGGCCGCGATGATGATACAACTGATCTTTAGGAGTGTAAAGTGGGCTAGTGATAATCCCCTTACATGTCTGGACGGGTGCCTTCGTACCTATAGTAATCAGGAAGCATATGCGGGCAACTCACTTAACCTTCGCCCCCGCCTTTCGAACCACATAACATCTCCTCCATCTAAGAGTCGTGCGGGCCCCCGCCGACAGGAGACAGCCTATATCTTATAGCGGGGGCGGAGTCAAACAGTTGCGGACAATCTCTATTCGTTATTGCGGGGGCGGGCCGGGCGGGAGTTAAGACTTATTATGGGGAGATCAGCGACGGGCGAATCCGCCAAACTGTAGGGAAGACAATCGACATATATATCATTAGGAGCTTCAAATTCGAAGCTTTCCTTCCATCAATCAGCACTAGCAGTTCTCCAGCGCAAACGTACCTAACTTACCGAAGTCGCCTCACCACCATCGCGAAGAATCATGTCTTCAAATGCTTCCATTACTGATCCCCCGGCGTTGAAGGACGTCTATTCTGGCGTTCCTCTCCGTGTCTTTCAGGAGGCTAAAGAAATGAAAACCCGTCTCTATTCTCACCCAGGCAATACCCCTCGAGAGTCGTACTTAACCCAGGCACTTCCTCCATTCACGTCCGCTTCTCAATTCAACATCGCGATTGACAAGCTCCGAGAGATAGTTGGCGCTGCAAATGTCGAGCTTGTTGGGGGCCAAAAAGTTCAAGACGGGTGGTATATGGAGCACCCCAAAACGCACGACGCCTTTTCCATCTTTGACAGAGGTGATTTGGTGCCCTCGTCTATAGTTTCACCAGCCTCTACTGCAGAGGTCTCGGCTATTGTCAAATGGGCAAATGAGTTCAAGATCCCTATTTACCCTATATCTCTCGGCCGAAATTGGGGTTACGGCGGTGCATCTCCTCGAGTACGAGGATCCGTTGTTGTGGATTTGGGCAGAAGGATGAACAAGGTCCTGAATATCAACAAGGCCTCTGCAACCGTTCTCGTGGAGCCTGGCGTGACGTACTTCGCGCTTTACGAAAAACTCCAGGAGGTTGCGCCAGAGCTGTCAATGGATTGCACAGACATCGGCGGAGGCAGTGTTCTTGGAAATGCCTGCGACCGTGGATTAGGGTAAGTCCTTTCAGTCCTTCCCTAAAAAAACTTGATGTGGCCTCACGAAATTAATGCTGTGCTAAGGTGGACTGCCATGGCTGATCATTTCGGCTCTCATTGCGGACTAGAAGTCGTTCTCCCAAACGGGGAAATCATCAGGACAGGTATGGGTGCTATGTCGGCACCTGATGGCAAAGATTTCAGTGAAACTTGGCAAGCAAACAAGTATGTATACCCGAGTGTCGTTTGAGACCGAGCGAACTAACTCGTCTAGATATGGTTACGGGCCTTATACAGACGGTATTTTCAGCCAGGGAAACTATGGCATCGTTACGAAAATGGGGTTTTGGCTCACGCTAAAGCAGCCAGCTCAATCCTTTCTTGTCAGCTTTGAGCGAGAGGAAGATTTTCCCGAGATCAATGAGCTGGTGAAGGACCTACTGAGGCGTGGGTTGGTGCATAGTGTCCCACAGCTAAGTTCAGCGACCCAAGATATCATCGCCAATCATTATGTGAAAAGGTCAGACATCTATAACGGGGAGGGTCCTGTCCCGAAGGAGGTATGGAAAAAGGCGATGAGAGACTACTCGTTTACCGGTGAATGCGCGTGGTTATTCTTTGGTCAGTCCCTCAGCTACAGCACTTTGATGCCCGACTTAAAGTTAACAACACATAGGAACGGTTCTGGGTACCCCGGAGACTACTTCGTCCCTTATCGCTCAGGTTCGAAAGGAGGTGTCACGAATTCCGGGTACCAAATTTTATCTTTCCCAAGAGCTACCGGAAACACATTACCTCCATGACAAGAGCGGGATACATCAAGGCATACCGGCCCTTCGAGAGTTATTTTGGCTCAATTGGATTCCCAATTGCGCAGGTCTGTTCTTCTCACCCATCGTGCCAAATGGTGAGAAATACTCGAGATTGATCACGAACATCATCGATTCCATCGTCGAAAAACACGGATTCGACAACTCCAAATCGTGGTGTGCTCTTCCACGAGAGACACGCGTGGTTGTGGGGCTTTTATACAACGTCGAGGACAAGAAGCAAAAAAAGAATGCCTTTGCATGCATGCGAGAGTTGATAGAGAGCTGCAGAATTCACGGCTTCGGAGAATACAGGTACGTGCGGTTAATAATTAACGGAATGCTAGCCGCGATCTTGGTCTAACAATTATCTGTTCCTCGTTTATAGAACCCACACTCTTCTAGCGGATCAAGTCGCGCGCTCCTACAACTGGAACGACGGCGCACAGCTAAAGTTCCACGAGCTGCTGAAAGACTCCTTGGACCCTAATGGAATACTGGCCCCGGGGAGATGCGGAATCTGGCCTGCAATTTACCGCAATGATAAGGAGCATAAGTGGGCGATCACCTACGATGACGGCCCCGACGTTGAGAGCTCGGTTAGGCCAAGGATGGTCGGAAGCCAAATTTGAACTGTGGGTGTCAAAACAGGCACCTCCTTCTGCGTCCTATTGGTACCCTCTAGGTTAGATTGACATTTAGTTACGGAGCAGACTTAGTGGTTCGGGTTACGTTGAGACCATACGTTTTTCTTTTCGAAAAAAGGTTTGGACGCATATTTTTCCAGTCTTAAGGGGCTGTGACGAAATGTAAAGGCCTTCAGCCGCTCTCTATGCAATATTACGCAACACGTTCGACTTCGTTGAGATTGAAGACATTCACACAAGATTCCAATTTAAGTCAAAGCGTAAACTTGATAATTCCCGAGGTTATCAAACTAATGCCGTAACCGGCCTCCAATGGTGTGAGCCTGGAACAACATCACCAACCCAACGGTGGTTGGGGAGCTTCAGCGCTGAGGCCTCTACATAATTGAAAGAGCGGCACTCGGTGGCTCTGGTATCTAGAGCAACACCACTGATATCAGTGCTGACGGCGGAGCTGGGATATAGTAAACTCGGGCTCAAAGAGTCCAAATGAGTCCGAAGAAGATGCTTGAATGAACTTAGTGATGAGCATTGTTAATAATGCCCGCTCTGCAGCTCTAAAGGTCGTGGATTTAGTTGAAGAGCACACTCAATATTGCAAGCTATTAATGCAGGAGATCCCTTGGCTGTCTCTATCCATTTCCTTAGTATCCTGGGTTGAGGACGTGGGAAGATCCTAGAGACAGAGGAAGACGAACCTGGGAGGAAGGCACAAGCGACGACCACACTCCACGTGTCTTCCCTGCAAGGTATCTTAGGTTCAGTGTGGGGGGAGTCTCAAGATGCTGATTCCCTATTCTTTTTCAAATCGGCATGGGACCTTACCAACGGCGCCGATACGCACGTGCACATCGAGGGGGAAGTGTCTCTAGACAATTTCACCGACAAATAAGGCTCGGAACACAGTATCTCGAGTTCAGCATCGCTCTAGACGGGAATATACTGGACATCGCCGAAGCAATCAGGAGCTGTGACTACCAATCCACTGCCAATATATCCCTAGTGCTCAGGACTCCGAGTTTCAGAGTTGTTAACTTAGGGGTATATCCGGGAAGCCTTTTTCCTCGAATTAAAGCAAGCCTACATGAAATTGAACTCGTCGGGCCGTATCGAATGTTAGTCCGGCATCAGAGGCACCTTTTAATAAGGGGTGACGAAGACATCAGCCTAATTATATAGTAGTCTACCTCGGAGCCAGCTGGACACTTGCGAAATTTATTACTATAGTAATAGGGACATGCAGCCTTGGGGATCCTGTTCCTGTTTTGCTTTTATCTTAGTTTCAAGCTCATCAAGAGATCCAAGCCAGTTAGTTAGCCTTGAGCTTGACATAGTAGACCCCTTCAAATACTTCAGAAATCTGACACGCGACTTTCATGTCTCCGAAGACTGCGCCAAATTAGTACTATTCAAACTATATTCTATCAGCACAATCAGGTACTCTACTCCCAGCTTTCGATAGTCAGGGCTTATAGCTGGGGAGTTGTATATCTTCTAATTGGCTATCATTTAGTGCCCGTATTAACTACAATAGAATGAGAGAGTACGGCAAGAGCCTAGATTTCATGTGTATATTTTTTGGGTCTCCTAGGGTGATTAATTGTTACATTGATAGTGCATCTCAAACACCTCGAGGAAACTCTATCAGATGCTGTAGTCAATCTTGGCACCGGCCAAAGATTCGAGCAAAGGAGATCGTTGAAGCCCTGGCCTAGGATCATCAGATATGAAGTTTATGGGGAATCCAATCTATGAACTCATATATACATATGCAAACGCTAAGATACCTGGCTCAATACCTAGCTCAAAACATTGCTCAGGGCGCCGGTAACGCCTGCGGATTGGCGTCCTTGGCGCTGATCACCTTGGCCATGTATTTGCTACCAGATTCTTTTAGCGCATCAAGTGCGTCCTTAAGCTTATCGTGCTCCAGTGTCTAGAGCAGACGGCCCTCGTTAGTAAACGTCATTCTTTCAGGGCTCCACTGTCTTGGGACTTAGATTCTGGATAACTTACGGCGCCAACCGCTTTCGCGGCCTCAGGATCCCTAGTCCCGACAATACAGACAATCGTGTTGGCGTCCTCGCGCGAGGGCGCCACGACGAGGTATTCTAGGCCATCGAGGGCGGTTCCAGAGCTTAGGTATTCCTCAAAAGCGACGGCGGCTGCGTCTTGCTTTTTGGCGGGTATCCTTATATGGGAAGCGGATAGGAAGGGGCTAGCAGGTGTCTTCGCCGCGCCAGGAAGGATCAGGTGGTGGCTGTGATGGCATTACTTAGTTTTACATTCACGTTGAGAAAGATGAAAAGCATTAAAAAAGCCAACTAAAATATGATACGGGGCTCGTACCAAGTGAAAGAAGGGTTTGTCGTGTCGATGAGCTTGCCAAACGCGGGCTTGATGCTCTGATAGCGTTCACCTAAGTTGGGGAACACATCAGCCGTTGATACGCCATTCTTTTTAGTAGCCGTAACTTACTTGGCTCGAATATGTCCTTCTCCTCTGCCGAGGTCCAGTCTGCGATGAGAACGGCGATCTGGGGGTCCTCGATCTGAGAGGCGTAGAGGGATTGCCTTGAAATAGGGAAGGTGAGCGAGATTCCCGTCGTGTCGTAGAAGATTTCGTTCCACTCTTTGTCGGGGAGGCTACTCTTTCGGAACGTGCAGAGCTCGAGCAGGCGGCCAGGGCCGTCTTGCTTGGGGTATACGATGGGGAAAGGCATGTTTGCAGTGGAGGCTACTACACAGAAGCAATGTCAACGGGCAAGATCTGCAAGGGGCGGCAGACAAAAAACCTAAGCCTGGCTAGTGATACCCTATAGTAGTCGCGTGGATGATTGCGCTGGGAACGACTTTGTTTTGTACGCTGGGGACTACCTCAGGTCCGCGTCCTCTAGATGGTGCACTTTGAAGAGACGCCCGCAAGGATTCCGGCACCCGGTTACCCTACCCAGTTGGGCCCTTGAAGTCCCATCCGAGTCTCCTACCCAGTCCATTAGCTCGTATCCAGTGTCTTTTTTGCGCTACGAGGCAATGTCGCTCAAGATTTCTTGCACGCCACCTCCAACGCTGCGACAGGAAGCTATGGTAGATATTCTATAGCTGGCCCATGTACGAGCTCTCCCCACACTAAAGGGGGTGCTAGTTTAGTATACGCACCGAACGAAGAGCTCAAGCACCGAATTTAGTTCCAACACGCCCGTTACATTTCGCCGCAGTATCGGATCCATCGGAGTATCGGATCAACATGCGCAAAATAAGATTCCACCCCCCTTCTTCATTTACTTCCCCTACCGCTTTAGGCACGTATGGACACCCGCGGGTATTGGGTATCGGCCTCTGACGAAGCAAGGGAAAGAATGCACGCCCACCAAACGGAGGCGCCGTATTGGAATTTGTGCAGGTGACAGCGTGTCTGCCACCTTGATTTGTACCCGACTCTCAGTCCGTTGGCGCGCGTCGGCATTGACAGTTGAGACGGGAGATGTGTTATGCGTATTTTTCAAATATCTGCGGTTCATATGCTTGTTAGGCCTCAGAAATCCGGTTGGCGTCGTCGTGTTTTCGTCTTAGCCCTTTGGTAGTGGGATAGGGTGGAGCGATTAGTACTTCCACTAACCATACTTCACGAATGGAGATCCTCGCAAGAGTTGGCCCGTATATGAGCACGATAAAATTAAATGAGGTGAACGGCTGACATGGAAGACATTGGGGCAATACTGGAGCTTAGTGAATACAGCATGATGTTATAGATTATGCAAGGTGATATACATCGGAAAACCAAAGGTGCATGCTCGACATAACTTGTATTATAAAAATGGCGTCAGAGTAAAACAGCTTTATCCACCCAGAGTCGCATGTACTGTGAACCAGCTTGACTCCATGGAGTTCTTAGGATATAGTAACCGCAATTACTCAAGGCTACAAAACCGAATCGAATATAGTCCTCAAAAGGGTGCAAATTGGTATTAAGAGTCAAATATTGGCTAGTGAGTGGGTGGCCTAAGCAGCCGTCTCGACAGCCTGGATGGAGCCATCGCGCTTCTCGTTCTCACTGCTAGCGACCTCTCCGGCTTCCTGGCGGCGCCGGAGAGCCTCACGCTTGAAGTGACGGGGAGGGACCTTTTCACCGAAGAGGTGGTCCATCTAGAAAATATCATATTAGCATAAATATTCTCTCACTTCCTCTTTTCAAGTAGAAGGAACCTCGTTTAAGACTCACATCTTCGTAGGTAAGACCCATGGTCTCGGGAATGAGGAACCAGAAGGCGATGCACAATGGGACGCCCAGTCCGAAGAACACAAAGCCGACTTTGGCGCCGAGGTTTCCAGCATCCGGGTTGATCATATAAGGGGAGACGAAGCCGATGAGCCAGCCGACTGCAGCCTGCGTAAGACCGAGTGCGGAGATAGTGGTGGGGCGCAGAGGTGGAGAGGCGACCTCGGAGCCAATGGCGAAACCGACGGCCCCAATGGAGACTTGGTAAAAGATGGCCCAGAGGAAGATACAGACGAGGGTGACCCAGAGTGAGGCGGCGTTGTTGATGACACCCATGATGCCCATGATCTAGCCTTTCGTGTTAGGGTGAATACTTTTCTTCATTTTCTTCTTGAGATATGTGCTTACCAGTTCGATAACGGTCAGGGAAACGATACCCATGAGTAGTAGGGGTCGGCGACCGGCAGTCTCGATGAGTGGGAAAGCCGAGACGTTACTAGCAAGCATGCAGCAGTAAAGAGCGACGGAGACCTTGAAGTATTCCTCAATCCCGAGCAGGGACAGGAAATAGGTGATGTATCCGAGCACGAAAGCGGCACCGATTAGCTGCTGGGCGGCAGCGGGCAGAATGGCGATAATGGTACGTTTCTGGCATCCTATGGTCAGCGAATTTTCCCTTAGTGCCATCATCGGACATGTCAAAACTCTACCAAGTTTGTTCCTTTGAACATTTGGATAACCGGAGGGCCATCGACAGAGGCCAGCCTCGCCATCTCCTCGCTCACGGTGATGACGTCGCGGATACGCACGATCTCGGCGTCGATGAGAGCCTTTTCCTTCTTTCCGTGGATACGTCCTAAGCTCTTCCGTGCCTGCTCCTCACGGTTGTGCTGGAGATGCCAGTACGGAGACTCGGGGAAGAAAGGATACCCGAGGAGGATGGCGGCGACAAAGGTGAACTGGAGGACAATGAGGGTCTGGTAGGACCACTTGCCGCCGATGTTATCGGTTCCGTAGGCGACAAGGCTAACGGGCGTGACAAAGTTTAGTTTATAACATGATAGGACATGTGGAAGGGGGAATATCTTACGCGAGAACAAATTGACCGAGGACGATGGAGCCGTTCATAAGGCAGAGGAAGAAGCCACGGAGCTCAGGACGGGCGTTTTCACCGATCCAGACAGGGGAAATGATGAACACCATACCAAATCCAAGAGCTAGAGAGCTTAATTGATTAGAATTCTCTCCTTTCCTTTTCCAGTTATCGATCGACACAGGGGTTGGACTTACAGTTAACCAGACGGCCGGCGAGGAACTCCTTCCAGTTGTTGCTTCCGACTTGCACTCCAATACCCGCGGCTGTCAAGATGGAACCAATCAAGATGACCCACTTGCGGCCGATTCCATCCATGAGTTGACCAGCCACAAGAATTCCAACGGCATCGCCCGCAGTGACGACACCGGACCATGCAGCTTGGACCTGGATACCTGGCTATCAGCATTGGATAGGGGGTTGGGTCGTGAGATCGTAAAAGGCCTACATTGGCGGGAATCAGGTAACCGGAGGGCTGAGAAGGCCAAGGGATACCCATCTTCTGCTGGAAGGCAGGGAAGGCCGTGGCTGTTCCCGCAATACCGAAGTCAAAGCCTGGCAAAGGTGTTGTGGTTAGTGTCCATGTCTAAAGGCCACAACTCTCGCTCTTCTGCTGTCTCGTATGAAAACTTACCTAACATCATTGAGCCGATGGAAGTGTAAAGAGCCCATAGGAAGAACCTTTTCTGGAACTTGAGAATCTTCCATCTGTCCTCAGAACGGACCTGGGTCCAGTCGATTGTGTTGCTCGAGCCCATGATGGAATGTGTCTACCAGGTACGGGGCAGACAGAAATGGCTGAAAATAGTTCAGAAGAACTACGGGGACAAATGGATAACGGTGATTGTAGAATAGTTTGCTGCGGTCAGGTCTAAGATGCGGAGGTTCGGCATCTAATGGAAACTTTCAGATTTTTTGAGTCGACCTTATTCACGATGCGGCGTTCTTATAGACGAATACGAGTAGAAGGTCAGAGGATCTCCGCGATCAATCCAATTACACCCTCTGGGATTAAGATTATTTTAAGCCAGGACAAATCAGGAAACCGACTCGTAGCTAGCTGTCGAACATATATAGGAGCAGTAATTAGACTCGAAGTACACCTCGCGGTGTACACGACACTATACTTTCTTTCGCCTTAGCGGTCAAGGTTTTAGCACTAGTCTTGGTATACCGGGATGGTTTGGATGCATGTGCGCTTGGGTTGCAGCCTTGAGCCACGGCAGACACAATGAGAGGCGAGTAATAATCAAATCTGGGGAGCATGGGGTTCACCCAGCTAGCAAGCATAAGCCAAGCCTTGAAAAAATGCGGGGAACAGAGATCTTGGAAAGGAGTGGCTAGTATTATTGGAGACGACATGTACTTGGGATCCACACCGTTAGTGCCACAGTCCCAAGTCAGGCTGGCATCGCGATTCTGGAAAAGGTGGCTCCCTTTTTGGCAGAGTCGTCGCAATGTTAGGGCCGTGAGGAGTGATTGGGGGGGTGTGTGGGAATGGAGGATGGGTGGTGAACATTTCGGATCCATGATGGCGGAATCTGGGGAAAGAGTGGAGATGATTGTGAGGGATTGCACTAGTGTAATTGGAAAGAGGGACAAGAGAATATGATGACAATGCATTAAAAAGAGGCGTGCCTCAGTTTAGTAGATCAGTTGTATCTTTTCCAATTCAAGCTCGGACGGCCTCGAAGAGAATAGCGAGACCTTACGGCAGATGCACGTTTGCTATAGCCTATGGTTACCCTTCACCACCCACTAGTTCATTGTCAATCCCAAATGGACGACTGGATCTTCGCATCTCACGCCGTGCTCTCGCTTGCGCTTCTCCACCCACTGGAGGATTAGTGCCGAGATAGCGTCACTCGCGATGCGGAGAAGGATCCATAGGTCTCCACACCACCTTCCCTGAACTAGCGACCCCGGATTGTACCCATGCACGCACACCTCTTGGGGCGACCCGATACTCCGATAAATAGGAGACTCTCCTCCCCAGTCTCTTCTTCTCGTTCGCCAACAGTTCTGGGCCGTCACGTTATTTTTTTTTTTTTTTTTTACCTTCCGATTTCTTGGTCCGTCAGGCCCACTTATCCGCACCGCCTGATAGGGCGAAACTAGACCCTCTACCGACCGCCGCTCTTCGCGCACAATCACGCTCCCCGGACAGTTCGGTCGGCTATGTTCTCGCCGAAGACTCAGTACGCCATAGCATCGCCCATAAATGTCCGGCCAGCGGGAGGTTCGCCGCTCCTGAAGCGGAGCCGATCAGGCGCACCCAAGACAACCTACCCGAAGAAGCGGGTCAACGTGGCGTGTGAGGTGTGTCGGTCGAGGAAGACGAAGTGTGACGCTGCGAGGCCGTCGTGCTCGTTCTGTGCCGACATTGGCGCTGAGTGCGTCTACCGGCGGTCCGAGCAGAACGTTAGGTATGTGCGCCCGTGCGTGTGGAGCGAGAGCAACAGCTCTGGAACGGTCTTCCTTCACCCCCAGACCCCCTCACGCTGATTTCTGAACTTTTGGGTCCGGGGATACGCTGCCCTCGCCTCACCCCCGTCCGAGCCGCTTGGGTCTAGTCATCCGTTCTAGTCTCACCCATTTCTCCTGCATGCTAACTCCCCTCCCCCCACTACCACACTTGCCAAAGGCCGTGAATCTGAAAGAAGATGTGGAGGTGAAATCAGAGCGCAGGTAACTTGCAACACCGTATTGGTCCTCGCAAGGCGAGCTCAATTCACGATTATTCTCGTGACAAATATTTCGCTCCCTCCTTGATTCTAACATATGGGACTAGACCCGATGAGCTGCCCGACGCACGACCAAGTGTAACAAACCATCAGCCTCAGGAATTAGATGGACTCGATGTCGTTTCTCGCCTAGAACGGATCGAGAGCCTCCTCAGACAGGTCACGTCGCCGCGTGACCACGTCTCCTTCGCCACCGGGGCCCTGGGCATTTTCCACGACGAGGATCAGCACCTGATCCCGTCACCTCGGAGCTTGGACGAGTCACTCGCTCTCGCCCGCCCGGCTCACGCTCCAAATTTTACTATTGGATTTGACCTATCCGGACTATCTCGCCTCTCGAACCAGGAGAGCCCCGAGGAGCTGCTGCCACTCCGCAATGACAACTTTGAGCGCCTCCTCGATTTGCAGCTCTGCCACGACGGGGACATCTTTCGCGGGGGCTTCGTAGAGCTCGAGTCGCTTGATCTCGGACGTCGGCGGTGTTGGCAGCTCCTGCAATTCTTCTTGAAAGATGTGTTACCGTGGTGCCCCATCATCGACCAGGCCGATTGCTCGGACATCGTGTCGCGGACAGTCGAGTCCGGCTTCGACGCGCAGTCCCTCGACACTTGTCTGGTACTATTTATCCTTGCCGTCGGGTCGTTTGCCCAAGACAGCCTTCACCTCGAGGACGACCCGTCGATGTTTCCCGGGGTGGGGTACTTCCGCGCCGCCTGCCAGATCGTCGACGCCGACAGGTTGAACACCAACACTATTCGTTATGTGCAGTGTCAGATCCTTATGTCATTCTACCTATTGTACTGTCTACGCCCGTTGCTGGCCCACGAGGCCATCCAGAAGGCGTCGATGAAGGTCATCGTCCTGCTCCAGCTGCACAGCCGCCTACAAGCGGACCCCGTTTACCGCCAGCAGTGCCTCCGCGCCTACTGGACCTGCTACCTCATTGAGCACGAGCTGCAGATCTACATCCCCTGGAGCTCGCAGATCCTCCAGGGCTTCAACGAGGACATGCCGCTGCCGCTCAGCGACTACGACGAGCCCGGCATCTACTGGTTCCTCGCCGAGATCACGTTCCGCCGCATCTTCTCGCGACCCGGCGGTTGTCTGGGCTGGAACCAGATGTTCGTCATCTGCGAGCCCGTCGTCGCACGCGAGGTTTCCCAACAGTTGTCGTTCTGGCACGCCGGCCTCCCCCACCCCATCAAGTTCCATCTTGATGAGCGGCCGCACATGCGCCCGCTCCTCGACCCCCACAAGGTGTTCTTGCGGGCCCAGTACTACGCCATCCAGGCCACCATATTCTGGCCCTACGTGATCCGCATGCTCACGTCACCGCCCCCCTACGATCTGCCGATTCCTACCCCGCCTGCTACAGCCGCCGCCGGCGCCCCAGAGGAGGAGGAGGCCTACCGCATTGAGGGCCTCGCGCGCAAATCGCTTAGTTTCGCCGTCCTACACCAGTACGCCGTCGAGCCGCTCATGCAGAACCGCCACCTCTTGCTCCTCGCGGACCTCACGGGCTTGGGGTCCATCTCGATGCTGCTGCTCTGTGCGTATGGCGTCGACAGGTTGCGGAGCATTCAGCCCGAGGCCATGGACGAGGCCATCCTCATCGGGTACAAGTGCCTCAGGGTGTGGGAGGCGAACCCGGAGCTGAAGTCTAGGGTGGAGAAGATGGAGAGGTTGATGAGGGCAAAAGGTATCGGGGACTTCGTATAGCTCGATCTTTTTTTTTTTTTTTTTTCTTTTTTTGGCTGCCTTGTCTTGCTCACGGCGTTTTGTATTATGGGCCTGGGCTATGTTCATCGGGTTACGGTAATCAGGGGGTATTGGACAGTCTTTGAAGTTGGGTATGTAGGTTTTCTAGAGCATGACGCTTGGGGAGTTAGGCCGGGATCATGGTGGGAGTTTATCGGACAAGGTAGGGTCAAGTATGGAGACTAGTTGATTTGAGTCTGTAGTCAATTCAAGGGAGAATAGGCTATCTCACATCGCAGACGTCCCTTGTTGACTAAATATCTAGTCCACTACAAAGCTTGAAGACTCTCGGCGTACGGGATAATCAAACTGGAATTGAACGAATGAAGAATTACACATTGGTAAAAACACTATATGCCTGTTGTCATATAATAACATGCGAAACCCACCTAACCACGCACGCACAAAGGACAAAAAGAATCAATCTGCAAACATAAGGCTACCCAAAGCTATTCGTCGTCCGCCTTAAATACGAAGCCCATGGAGACGTCCTTGGGCAGCATGGCGAGGTAACCCTTGTTGTCGCTGCTAAAGTTGGGGTTGAACTTGATGGTCTTGTGGTCCACGTCGGCTGGGACGAAATGCGCCCAGTACTGCACAGGACTAACTTCACGGTTAGCCCACGAGTCGACGAGGCTGCTCGTGGCCTCGGGCAAGACGACCTTTGCCGGGCACTGGTACCATGAGGGGGTGTGGACGAAGGCGAGCATGATGCGCGGGTCGGGGGTGGGGTTGGCGAGTCCTGCGTGCCAGAGGCGCAGGTCGCGCAGGACGACGGAGCCCTTCTTGACGGTGGGCTGGACGGGCGGAGCGTAGGCGCGACGCTGCTCGAGGAGCTCGTCGCGGATGCCAAACTCGGACTCGAGGGTGTTGTCATAGATGCCGTGGCGGCCGTCGCCGTTGTCGGCGTCCGGGTCCACAGGATGGCCGTTGCGGTGGTCGTGGAAGCTCGTGTCGCGATGTGATCCGAGCCAGAGCTCCGTGGACCCGTTGGCGGGCGACACGTCGATGAGGTAGTAATTGGTGACGATGGCGAAGGGGAACTGGGCGTGGTTGAAGGTGAGGTCGGCGTGCACGCGTTGGCGCGCGCCGTTGAAGCCGCCTAGAGCCGTGTTGCCGTTAACGTAGTTGACGCGAGGTTTGGGACCCAGCATGAAGGAGAGGACGGTGGCGGCGGGTTGGTTGGCCCATATGTCGGTGTACATGAGGTCAGGGGTTAGAGGGGGCCCTTGAGACATGTTGCCGGTGGGAGCGCCGTCGGGGGAATTCTAGGAGTCAGTTAATGCCCGGTCCTGGTGAACACTGCCACCTAGAGAAATGGGGAAGAAGCATGCTTACATCGTTGAAATGAGTGGTGGGCAGCTCGGCCATGGCCTCAGCCTCGCTGCTGAGGATTTCGTTTAGTTTGTCACAGTGCTCCACGTCCACAGCGTTCTCGAGAACCACGAGGCCATCGCGGTGCAAGGCAGAGATAGCCTCGGCGATATGCTCCTCAGTGATGATGCCGCTAGTGCGTTCCTTGTCGGAGAGTCGCACGACATGCGGCTCCTGGAATTGGAGGGCGGCTCTGGCGGCGGGCATCGTCAAAGTAGGGGGATGAAGAGAATGGAATCTGGCAAAATAGGGGGCAAGGTGATGATATGGTTTTTGGATGCGTAGTCTTTGGCCGTATTAAAATTATTGGGGATTGTGTTGTGAAGATGATTTTGAAGACTGATTGATAAGGACCGGCAACAGATGATATATATAAAGTGACGAGAAGACTTGCGTGGGTACGGAGGACTCAAAATCAGGCCATTACTGGGCACTACTGGAAGCCGGGTGAGATCATGGGAAACCAGTTCTAGAAAGATCAAGGCACGGGGGTTTCTGCTCAATGTACGGGCTGTTCTAACAAAGTGGTTGAGCGCCGGGGTTGGCTGAACACAGAGGCTTCTTACGCCGCTTACTTAGCTTCTCCGCACTACTTAATCTAAGACTCGGTAACATCACGGAGTAAACTAGTCCAAGAGCCCGCGTGGACGGTTCTAATGATGGACCGAGCTATATGAGGTGGATATTAGAGCGGAAACTGCCATGCGGATCGATAATCTGGGGAGCCATCGAGAAATGGCAAATGATGATAAAGCTGCCGCCCGACCCGACATGGCGAGAGGGTAGGTTGCGGGGTGAAGTGGGTGTGTCAACAAGGGGATGTGCGGGGAGACCTTTACGGAATGGTTCCGATCCGAAAGGCCGACACTCCGGGGGGATAGCTTTGACAGCATGCCAAGCCCACCAAGATGAGTGGATCCGCTTGAGATGATGCAGGCGGCCTCAAGCATTGAAAGCTAAGGACTGAACATGTTAATCTCGGCTCCTTGTGAACTTACGAATGGCGATTCCAAGCTTTCTCGAGCATGAGTCTGGTGTTTCACGGCCCTTAGCAGTCAGCCCCGGGACTGGAGTTAGGGGCCGTAGCCCTTTACAGAGAAAAAGAAGAGGAAGCAGTTGAGCCGATCCGACAGAAACGGTGCTAGCAGAAGAAGCTAGATAAAGGTTAGATTTCAGGGACCCTGTTCTTGGGGAAGCCAAGCAGGCTCGCGGAGGGTGTCATTCATGTCGAAGGAACTGCTTGCATGCGGAGAAGCTCATCTCTGTGCTCTCTTCCCTTATTTACTATCTCTATTTCACGGAAAATATCTCGAGTTGTGCAAGAGAACATTTGTTCCAGAGTCAGTCAAGTTGACGCCTTGAAGTGCATTACCACGCCCAGATCTCGACAATGACAATCGGAATTGCTATCCTCGGAGCGGGCATATTCGCCCGGGAAGGTATGCAGGCATCATCTAAAAACCTCCGTTCAACTCCTGCTAATCCACCTCAGAGCACTACCCCGCCATTGAAGCGTGCGAGTTCTTCTCCCTCAAGGCCGTCTACTCGCGCTCCCAAAAGTCAGCTTCGACGCTCGCCTCTAGCGCCAAAGCCAAGGTAGACGTCTACTCGGACGACTCCTCCGCTGACAAGACGCTCGACGCACTTCTCTCCCGCAGTGATATCCATGCTGTTACCGTAGCCGTGCCAATCCCCAGCCAGCCCTCTGTGATCAAGAAGGCCATCGCTGCGGGTAAGCACGTCCTCAGCGAGAAGCCCATCGCCAAGGATCTTGCAACAGCGAGAGAGCTCATTGAATGGTACAAGGACATCAAAGCGCCGCGGCCTATATGGGGCGTCGCGGAGAATTTTAGGTTCTTAGAGTCGGTCACGTATGCGACAGAGCAGATTAGGGCCATCGGGGGCGAGATCGTGACGTTTAGCTTCAGCTTGTACGCTCTTGTCAAGGATGATGACAAGTACTTCAACACAGACTGTGCGTCTTAGGAAGGAAGAACTAGACAGATTCCCTTTGAGAAACGGTCGCTAACTGAGAACTAGGGCGCAAGATTCCTGACTACCAAGGCGGGTTCCTCCTTGATGGCGGCGTGCACTTCGTGGCAGGCATCCGCTCCTTCCTCGCTGCCGCGGGCCAGGAGGTCAAGCAGCTCTCTGCGCGGACGTCGCTGATCCAAGAGAAGCTCCCACCAGTCGACACAGTCCATGGTCTGCTGACTACAGGCAGTGGCCGAAGTGGCACGTTCTGCGTTTCTTTTGGCACCGAGTTTAAATCTGACTTCTGCATCGAGCTGGTCACCACTAAGGGCGCCGTCCGGCTCACGCCTGTCGAAGTAACCACTACGAAGCAAGGGACTGACGGTGAGAAGGCCGAGGAGAAGAAGATTTTCGAGTTTAGTGTCGGAGTCAAGCCAGAGATTGTGGCGTTTGCCAAGAGTATTCAGAAAGGCGAGGTCGACCCAAGACAGACGCCGGAGCAGGGCTACAAGGACTTGGAGATTCTACAGGGGCTCTTGGAATCGGGCGAGTGTTCTGGTGCCATTAAGACGTTTAATTAGATCAATCTCGTATACTTAGATGAGAAGAGATGGCTATGTCTGTGGATAGAATGGAATCTTGACGAATTCCTATATAAGTACTACTTACAGTTTGTTTCCCGTACCTCGAAGTTGTAAATGATGTTTGTAACGCAATTAATGCCGCCTCGACCTCAATCCCCTCCTCCCTTCCCGAATATTAAATATATTTAATCTTAGAGAATAAGAGACGGGAGAAAATGCTCAGGTAAGGCTCTCCTCCCTTCTCTTGCTTCCAGAGCCCTGCGTCGGATTTGACACCCGGCAATCTCCCGTTTTTGCCTTCGTTCACCGAAGCGACAGCTTTCTGCCAGATTCCAGGGTTTGCATATATTCAAATAGCAAGCACCCGACACTCCGATCCCCACCCTCCGGGTGTGTATGCGCCGCCAAACTAGTGTAATGCAGTGCCCGGGCCCTTTTTGTTGCTAAAGTCATGTCTCCACTTGCGATCCCCCGCCTCTCCAATTCTCAAGCTAAATTCTGCGCCAGCTCTGCGACCATGTCCCCGCGTGGTCAAGTTCAAGCTCGGGCTTGAGTTGAGGGGCGTCGGACTCTATTTCTCGTCCCGGCGAATTTCAAATGCTATCTCTGAGTTTCAAGGCTGATTCCAAGCTATCTGTAGTCTTCTTGGTTGTGACTCGGGTTCTCGACCTGCCGGAAGCCGGGCCCTCCAACCCGACGCTGCTACGACGAACAGGGAGAAACCTAGCATAAACATCACCTATTCTGTACTTTAGAGGACCCCTCCCTGCTCACGTTGTGTTTACCGCAACACGGCAGCTCTAAAATGTCCTCCCCGTTCTCTCATCTGTCTTTCGCTTCTCCTTCACCACTGTCGCTACGCTCTCGCGTTCCCTCATCTTTCACCCCGACTGCGTGACGAAATAAGCAAGCCATGGCCAGAAAGCAGCACTACCTGACGGCATGGGAATGGCGCGCCGGTGACACAAACGGTATCTGCCAGGCCGATTCGCTCAAGGAGTGGAAGGCCGTGGCCTCCTTCCCCTCCGTCGTGCAGATGGAGCTCGCCGCCCACAAACTCATCCCCGACTACAAAATTGGTGAGAATGAGCGCGCGATACAATGGGTCGGGGAGGTCGACTGGGAATACAGGACCTCGTTCGCCACGCCCGAAGTCCAGGGAAACATCGATCTCGTCTTCGAGGGCCTAGATACCGTCGCCACTGTCACGCTCAACGGCACCGAGATTCTCAAGAGCGACAACATGTTTATCCCCGCACGCGTGCCTGTGAAGGAGCATCTCAAGCCCGCCGGTGAAGCCAATGAGCTGCACATTGTGTTCGAGAGCCCCGTCAAGGCGGGAAAGGTCTTGGAGGGCAAGTACGGCGAGCGCAAGTCTATGATGCGGGACAGGAAGCGCATGCACCTCCGAAAGGCTCAGGTACGTTCAAACTTAGCCCACCTTTACCATGATAGTGAGAATCAAGACTTCTGACTTTGGACGGTGGGTACAGTGTCACTGGGGCTGGGACTGGGGCCCGGTCGTGCTTACCTCCGGGCCTTATCTGCCCGTCTACCTAGACGTCTACGAGACTAGGATCGACTCCGTGCAGGTACGAACTACCCTGAAGAGGGATCATTCGGCGAGTCTTGCCACGACCATCATTGAAGCCGTGAACGCCAAGGAAGGGACCTCGGCTAAGGTGACCGTGACCGAGGGCACCTCCGAGATAGGAACGGGTACTACCACCCTCGACGCATCGGGCAAAGGCCTCGTTTCACTCGACATCAAGTCACCTAAGCTCTGGTGGCCCAGCGGCCAAGGCGATCAGAACCTATATACCGCCCACGTCGCTCTCGTGTCATCCGATCAACAGACGGTTGATGAAACCTCGACACGCTTCGGCATCCGCACTGTTGAGCTCATCCAAACCCCTTTGAAAGATGAACCCGGCACTACCTTCATGTTCCGCGTCAATGGCCGCGACATCTTCACTCAGGGCGGCGACTGGATCCCCGCGGATAATCTGTTGCCCACCATCATGCGCGAGCGTTACTTCGACTGGATGCGCCTCGCCAAGTTCAACAACCTGAACATGATCCGCGTGTGGGGCGGCGGCATCTACGAGACCGACGACTTCTTCGACGCCTGCGACGAGAACGGACTGCTCGTGTGGCACGACTACGCCTTTGCCTGCGGGGACTGGCCCATACATGACGAGTACATTGAGAGTGTGAAGAAGGAGGCCGTGGTTCACACTAAGAGGATGCGGAATCACCCGTCCTTGGCGCTCCTTTGTGGCGGCAACGAGGATTTCATGTTGAATGACTGGGACAAGTAGGTGATCCCCACCCGAGCCTCACTCAATGCCTTGTCCTATACTAATGAGACGCTCCCCACAGGGTTGAATACGACCACGACGACCTCGTTGGACCCTTTGACAACACCAACTTCCCCCAACGCAAAATATTCCTTGATGTCCTCCCCAAGGTCGCCAAGGAACACTGTCCCGACGTTGCCTACTGGGCCAATTCGCCATGGGGCGGCCGGACGGCGAACGACACTACCGTCGGCGACATCCACCAATGGTCCGTGTGGCATCTCGAACAGCTGCCGTACCAGGAGTACAAGAACGTCAGCGGCCGCTTCGTGTCCGAGTTTGGCATGCACGGCTTCCCCATCAAGCGCACCGTCGACCACTTCACGCGCGGCGCCCGGCCCGAGGAGCGACACCCGCAATCGCGCCTCATCGACTGCCACAACAAGGGCCACGGCGCCCACACGCGTATCGCGCGCTATCTCGCCGAGAACTTTCGCTTCGACATGACGTCGCTCGACAACTTCGTATACTCGTCGCAGCTCATGCAGTCCGAGGCCTACGGCTACGCCCTGCGCTCGTGGAAGCGCCTGTTCAACGGCGAGGGCGAGCAGAAATGCGCCGGCGCCATCATCTGGCAATTCAATGACATCTACCCTGTCACCTCGTGGGCGTACGTCGACTACTTTCTCCGGCCCAAACCCGCCTTTTACACCATCCGCCGCGAGTTCGCCCCCGTCACCGTCGGCGTCGAGAGGAAACCCGCCACGCGCTGGGTCGACGAGGATAAGGCCAATGCGTCGGTCGTCCCCAGCTTCGAAATCTTCGCGCACAACACGTCGTCCGAGGAGGTCGTCTGCGATCTCGTGCTGCGGGCGTACGACTTTGCGTCGGGTCAGTATACCGAGCTCGGGGACGCCACCAAGCGCACCGTCTCGCTCAAGGCCGGGCGAAATACCGAAATCCGGACCCTGAAAAGTGTCCCCTCATGGACCGAAGACACGCTCGTCGTGCTGGAAGCCACCCTCGTTAGCGGTTCCGGCAAGGAGCTCGCTCGCTTCGTCGACTGGCCCGAGCCGTACCGCTACCTCTACTGGCCCACCGGCACCAACCTATCTGTGACTGTGACCGACGCCGCGGAGAACTCCGAGGGCTGGGAGAGTATTGTCACTGTGTCTTCTGAGCAGGCGCTCAAAGGCGTATGGTTGGAGCCCGTGTACGACGGGAGCGAGAAGGAGGAGGACCCGGAGCCTTTGTGGGAGGACAATATGGTAGATCTGCTACCGGGAAGCGAGAGGGCTCTCAGGGTCAAGGGGCTGAAGGGACGAAAAGTGCATGGGAGGTTCTTGGCGGACTGGGAGGTAAAGAGGGAGTAGATAGAAGGATGAGTTTGTGCATGGCTCCATTGTTGTAGAGTATCGCAGGCAACTTGTACGCATCCATGCATCGAATTACCCAGTCAATATTCGGGCTAACGATGGCACCAGAGATGCCAAACTCCATTCAGCCATCGCCATGAACCGGAGACTAGGTTAGAGTCCGAGAAAATAGACGAGGTTGGACATCCACAGAGCTGATCAATTCAACACGAGTCGCGTGATGCCTGAATATTTGGGTCCAAAGCCCCTGTCAAAGCAGTAGTCGTATATCTTAGAGCCGGCTGGGCGCTTGCTAAATTTATTACTGTGGTAACGAGGACATGCAGCCTTGAGAATTCTGTTCCTGTTTTGCCTTCATCTCTGTTTGAGCTTATCAAGAGATCCAAGCCAGTGGGCCTTGAGCTTGACACGGTAGACCCTTTCAAATACTTGACACACGGTTCTATTAGTATTATTCAAACTGTACTCTATTTGCGTGATTAGGTGTTCTACTCCCAGCTTTTAAATCTTAGCAGCCTTCGTTGATAGTTAGGACTACAACTGGGAGTTGCGGATCTTCTAATTTCTTGTCATGCAGGGCCCTTGTTAGTCCCAACGGAATGAGACAGCATGACGAGAGCCTAGATTTCACACATGTATTATTTTGGGTCCCCAGAGTTATTAATTGTTATATTGAGTATATCTCAACCCCCGAGGAAACTGTATCAGATGCTGTAGTCGATCTTGGCGCCGACCAAAGACTCTAGCAGAGGAGATCGTTGAAACCCGAGCCTCGGATCACCGGAAATGAAGTTCATGGGGAAGCCAATGTCGAAGTCTTGGATGTTCTCGATCTGGCTGATTTGCTCATCAGTCAACCGGATGCTCAACGCTGCAATGTTGTTCTGAAGATGTTCAACTTTCCGGCCACCAATGAGGGGGATGACGTTGACGTTCTTGGCCTTTTGTCTAACATAGGCGAGAGCAATCTGCTGGATGCTGTCGATTCCGTGCTCCTCCGCAATCTTCTCCAAAGCTGCGCTGACTTTGCGAGCTTGCTCGGTCTGCCCTGCACTGCGGCCTCCCTCGTGGTTTTTCGCACGCTCCTCGAGCTGTTTCGTGGTTTGCAGCTGAGCTCCACCAAGTACACCCCACGGGCAGAGCGCCATGCCGAAATGGCGCGCCATGGGGATGATGTCCCTTTCGAAGTCACGTTCCATCAAGCTCCAGCGACCCTGATAAACGGAGAACTGGGTTTTACCCTGAGACTTGGCGTATGTGTTTGCGGCGGATACTATCCAAGCGGGACAATCCGAGGCACCCAGGTAGAGCACTTTGCCTTGCTGGACAAGGATGTGGAGAGCGTCCATGACTTCTTCAATGGAGGTCGACCAGTCCCACCAGTGGATGTAGAGAAGGTCGATATAATCCGTTTGGAGCTTGCGAAGAGAATCATTGACGGATAAATAAAGCGACTTTCTGTGATTTCCTCCGTAGTTCACCGTCTTGCCGAAACCCAGCCGGTGCGAGACGTAATTGTTCGTGAATTTTGTCGCCAAGAACATGAGATCTCGGTTCTTCCGGCTGGCCATCCACCTGCCGATATATTCTTCTGACTGCTCGTTTTGGTAGCCATTGGCAGTGTCGATGAAATTCCCCCCCGCATCTGCGAAAGCATCGAGGAGCTTGTAAGATTGCTCCTCGTTCATGGAACCCAATAAACCCTGCCATGCCTCTCCCAGGGACATAGCCCCAAGTGCAAGCGGGGATACACGGACACCAGCGGTGCTGGAAAGAATTCGATAACGACCGAGCTCGGTCTTGGGCTCTGGCGGGGTTGGGAAAGCCATATCTGCTCGTGCGTTTTTCTTTTTGGAAGTAAAAGAGGTGATGTGAAGTGTTCAGTGGCCAGTTGGTGATGATGCAGTTGTCATGAATGTCTTAACAAAAAGGCAGTGGCTTCTTCTCCCTAATTTATACCTGAGTTCTGTGGAATATTGTCCAGTCGTGACACTCAATTAGCCGGAGATAAAAATAAACTTCGACGTCTCAATCACCTGGTTTGCGGGTTTTGGGCGAGCTTACATTCGGATTTAAGTTAAATAATAATTTTTATCTAAGGCATCGCCGTCCCATCCGAGTCGTCCGTTTGCATGTCAGCCATGTGCAGGAACCCGCTCGGTGCCCATGCGCGCGTCTATCACACAAGAGCATGGTCCTCATGCTAAGCTCAGGCATGTTCACTTTAGCAGAGAAACTTCACCGTCTGATCCACATGGGTTGTGCTCCATTAACATTAATAATCCGGCGTCAACATGTTATCTCCATTTTCAAACTCCGATAGTGCAGGGGGTCGGAGCTTGTTGCGCCACAGCATCAGAAACATGTCACCGATGACGTGGCTGATTTATTGGGTTGGTTTCAACGGGGAAAGTTTGATCTCCCGTCTGGGCGTAGGGGATTCAACCACAGCTGTCCTCCGCACGCCGTTTCTGTGGGTCGTGCTGGTCCGCACTCCACACGGTCCCCCACAAACAACACTATTCCAGAGGGTATTCATCAGCAGATGTGATTTCGATAGGTTGCTTCGATCGGGCCTAGCGCGTGGCTCAACAATTCAAGGGGACCGCTATTGCGCGTGCTTGATGAGCTTGAGAGGCCGTTCACGGCCAACAGCGTGGATTGCTTCGTCACTATCTAGTGAATGGACTACCGCAAGAGAAGCTGTACCTCAGGCCTATCGACTTTTGCTTTCAATCTATCGATTTTGTATGCAACGGAGAGATGAACCACGCCGTGCTTGCCGTTTTAGACCCAGCTGCACTCAGGACCCTCCGTCTGAAAGCGCTGAAGCGTCTCTTCGTCGATGGCAACACAGATATCCGCTTATTAGTACGAAGAGCCAGGATGTTTAGACCTTGAGTCTGGTCGGTACGGAAGCGCTTAGCTAATGGGCCGAGAGCTGATACGGAACTTGTAGAGTACGGCCAAGTCGCACCGCTTATCGACTTCCGAGAATTGAGATCGCCCCTGAACACGGCTAAAGTCGATTCCACAAGGTTCTCTGGTTACTTGGGAACTACAGTGGACATCTGTCGGAAGTCCTATCCCGTCGTCCAGAAAGCATGTTCTTCGAGAACGATTTGACCATCTCCGAAGAGGACTTTGAATCTAGCGGCAATCTCCCCTACTTTACTCCCTGCCTCGGAGGATATGGTCGAATCAGAGAAGATGGAGAGAAAAGGATGTAGTTGTCACGGAGATTTATATATGAAGCGAACCACGGTATGAAATTGACGTGGAGAGGGATTTTCGAGGCCAGTTTCGAGTCGAGGAGGGATAGCGACGCTGGACCGCATTATGCTCAGAGTCCTGGCTAGGCCTGCCCATATCGATCTGGTAGCTTGGGGAATCTCGATCTGGCCAGCCTATTTCACGGACTATTCAACAGCGCAATATAATATGATGTCGACCGAAGATCTGTTATCATACAAGTCACTAGTATTCACATGTCGAGAATTTAGTTGAAGAGCACGCATAATTTTTTCATCCGTCAGCTCTCAACGCCGGAGATGCCCTGCCCGCCCGCATGCATTTCTTTGGTATGCTGGGCTGGAGAGTGGGAAGATCCCTCAATGAACGACAATGGCTCGCTCGACCAGCCAGGCTAGGCCATGCTACCCAATGACATATCACGGCCCACTGCTTCCTGCAGATGTGAGGGAAGGAAAAAAGGGAAAGAAAAAACCACCTCCCGATGATATTATGATATGTTACTGTATTCCAATTCTTATCGTCGAGTTAGTTTATTCCCCATAGAAGGTCTAAAGACTCTGGGTTGCGAGGTACACAGACTTTTTAGGTCCACTCGCTCGAACTTTCTGGGGTAGTTACGAGGAAGTATACTCGGCTGTTGGGGCAGGAGTAGGAGCTGGTCGGTCGCTTTAGTGGCATTCAACCTTGTTGCGATGATCGCGTCGCGTTTGTCATCCATTGATTGATTTCTCTGGCTACGTCGGGACCCTGTCGGTGATACTGAGAGCTCGAAAGTGAGAGCGAAAGCATGGATGGAATTGACCGAGATTCTTTCTACGCCTCACTTTCCGTGGCCTCCATCATCTTGTGGAGAATTGGATATCTCCTAGAAAGGGCTTATTTGCGGACCGATCTTGAGGATTAAAGATGAAGAGATCTGCGGCAGACTGTACGCTCGTTGAGATCAGGTTCCGTCTTAATTCAGCTGAAATTGAAGGTTTGGGAGGCGTGGAAAGGGGGCGGTACATTGAACTCTCAGCCTTTGGCGGTGTTTAGGCAGCGAACGAAAATGCCCTCCCTGACAAACCAATTCGCCGGCTAAGAATCCCTCCAGCCCTTCATCCCAATGCTCTGCAGGGAATTGCACAATATTCTGCCTGATCTCCCAGGTTCCAATGGGGGCCTGACCAGGTCGGCTGTGCGCGGGGTGCGTCGGGGAGAAGATTTCCAGGCCCCAAAACGGTCACAAGAAGCAACCACAACGACGGGTGGCTCTCAGCGTCGTTCGAGGTACTAGTAGCCGTACCATGCGCGAGACTCCAATACACACTCTGGTTGGTGCCAGTCAAAATGCCTCAAATTCCAAAGGGTTGACATGACTATCACCTGTCCTGTCCGAGCCTATATTTGTGTAGCATTGACTCATTGTCATCCTCGTATTTGGAGAAATAGTCAAGATGCTTACAAAAGAAGATCAATTCTGTTCTCACTATCTTCGCGATTTTCAGGATAGAATTGTTCCGGTTTATCTATGGGTTAAGCAGGCAGTATTCGTAAATCCAAATGGAATGATTAATATGAGCCACAAGATACTGAAGGTGAAGAGTAGCTTCGAGCGTGAATCGATGTCAGGAGCCGCTCCGATCTTCCGATCTATGAATCATGGCACCCAATTAATTGTTCTCGTGCAGGAAACGAGAAGGGGAAATGTGCGCAGGGAGAATCCTATGAAGACTCATTCATACGCCCCTGCCAGGGGACTGTATAGAGTTTTACAGACGTAATTGACATCATCGTGTAAAAGAACATTTGAATCATCGTTACAAAGGAAGATGATGTCGACGGCTGTTGGCCCATAGCAGTCCATGTGTCTTCGTGTGAAGAATAAGTCGTCTGAGCGGAGTAAATCTGGTTTAAGAGGATTTAGAAGACTATGAACCGGTATCGGCAGGCACTTGCTTGGGCGAGCTGACGCTTGGATGCTCCGGAATTGCGGCATTTATGAGCTGTTCGATAACGGGATAAAGAAACGGAACGCACCTCGTAGAAACGCCACTTGTGACATAATCGGCTGTCTGGCTAGGCACCATCTTGCTTTTGGCTGGCCCCTTTCCCCAAAAAATACCTGAGTAACCCATTGGAGCGTAGTGTAAATTCCGTCCACTCCTGTTCCTTCCTAACGGCTAGAGTGAGGTCAATTGTGGAGCTCGCGGCCCACTGCCGTTTGTCCTTGCCACGCTTCGAAAATCTAGATTAGTTCGCAATAATGAGCGAAATCGTCCCCTCCCCTGCCTGTACCAGGATGACCCCCCGCACCCTACGCAGCAAAACCTTTTATAGACACTCATCTCCTATTGTACCTGTTGATCCTTCACGCTGCGACTTCGGAACTCCAATTCAATATACCTAGAACTAAACAGCCATGGCTCAGAACCCTCTCAAGATCGGCTATGTGCCGGAGCATTTCTCGACGCCCTTGTACTTTGCCAAGGCCCATTTCGGCCTTGATGCCGAGCTGGTCCCCTTCCCGTCCGGAACGGGTCACATGATTACTTCCATCCGCTCGGGGGAGATCGACGTCGGCATCGGGCTTACCGAGGGCTGGATTGCTGGACTGGGCAAGGAAGATGCCCCCGGAGATGGCGGCTACCGGCTCGTTGGAACCTACGTCAAGAGCCCACTGTGTGAGTTTCACTCCATATAAACCAGTCATTAAGCCCTTGGGTATTGGTGATGTGATAGCTTACAATCAGTTTACAGGCTGGGCTATCTCGACTGGTTCCTCCCGTCCTGAAATCACATCCGTTGAATCGTTGAAAGGCGGGAAGATCGGCGTCTCGAGAATAGGATCCGGCAGCTACGTCATGGGCTACGTCCTAGCCGACCAGCAGGGATGGCTTACGCCTTCCAACTCGGAACCCTTCTCCTCTACTGTCGTGCTCAACAATTTCCAGAACCTCCGCAATGCGGTCAATTCCGGAGAGGCTGACTTCTTCATGTGGGAGCACTTCACGTCCAAGAAGTACTATGACTCGGGTGAGATTCGCCGTGTCGGTGAGATTTACACGCCCTGGAGTAGCTGGAAGATCGTTGCCTCAACCAAACTTGTCAGCGACGACGGCTCAACCTTTGACCGGAGAGTGCAGGATCTGTTTGAGAAGTTGGACGAAGGTATTGCGCACTTCAGGGCCAACCAGGAGGAAGCTGTCAAGTACATCAGCACAAACTTGGACTACTCTGAGGAGGACGCTCGGGAGTGGTTGAAGACGGTGACGTTTGTGGAGAAGACTGAAGGTGTCGAGGCTAAGGTTGTGGAGGACTGTGTCTCCATTTTGCAGAAGGCTGGCGTTCTCGAAGCAGGAAAAGGAAGACAGCCTGCGGCTATGGTAGCTTCTCGTTCGTCATAGTTGACTTGCTAACTCCGTGACAATCTACTCTTGATTATTTTGTTCTGGGAAAAGAACGGTCGAGGATCAAGAAAGCTTCAATCACTCCAATAGAGATCCAAAATAGAGATAACTCTACTGTGAAGCTATATTAACTTACGTTTTGAGGGCAAGCCTTCTATTGTCGGGTTGGCATTTATAAACCGGAGGAAGGGGACCGAGAATACTCATTCCTCCCCCCATCCTAGCCCTGGATTTGCCGCCGGAGGGCAATATATGAATAAAACGGCTCACGGCTTTCATCGTATGCTCCAGCTCGTTTCAGCTCAAGATGAGGTCTCAATCTTGCACCCCCTGGCTAAAATAACCTTATGTCAGTTTCCTCATTGCGATATCGAAAGGAAAAGCATAAATGAAAACTAAGGATACGGACGCTCGTTTCGAGCTATGGTAGGTGAAGGTAAACTGAGGCAATCTTCAATGGGCTGAAGCTGGCTACATTGTAGATTTCTTTCCAAGCCTCAACAAGGCCATTAGAAGCATGGAACAAGCCTTTGGCATCCTTAGAATCATCGGTGCCAACAAGGTAAACGGCCTTTACAGCCAGTTCGTGGAACGCAGTCGGAGTAGAGTCAATTCAAGTTGCCAAGATTATACTCTGGATTATTTCCTAAGCGCATGCGAGTTCCCAAACCTATTTACTATACAATGCGTATATTGCTTTCTACGAGGCCATGTGAGATGTGTTTTTTGTCTTTGCCTGGTCGCGTTCGATCGAAGTGTCGCTTCGGCCATTTTTATTAAACTGCGGACTCGATGGTATATTGAACAAGGCGGTCGAGCTTCAAGTCCCGTTCATCCATTTCAACCCTAGCACCAATGAACTTCACCTTTATTCAAATATCCTTCTGTCTGGGGGGCCGGTCCAGAGCTCTGATATCTGCCTTTGGTGCTAGGTACAAATGTAGGTTCTTACCACTGGTTGTTCACAGTACTATTCGACCCAAAAACAATACCCTTAATCTCTTTGTTGTTTACTCCCACCACCATCCCATAGTTAGTACCTGTTGAGACAGACACGCTAGAGGCCACTTTATCCTCCTCGAGGCTCTTTGTTGCAGCCGAAGATAGTCTCGGGTCAGACTCGCCCACAACTTCAAGTAAGGTTCGTAGGCTCTCGCCCATATAGTGACAGTCATCTTGGGTAAGCTCATCCAGTTGTTGGTCTGCAGGTTTGACAAGCTGCTCCAGCTGCTCGATAAGGGCCAAAAGCTGCGCCGTCAGAGCCTCACACTGGTCCTTTTTATAGAGTGCCCACTTTGTTCCATTGTAGTGGACGCTGGCGCGGTGGAGCCTCTTTTGGGTGAGTGTGCGGAGCTTTTGATAAAGGCGCTTAAATCGCGGCGGTGATAACTCCTCCTCAGTAGTAGTCTCTTGGTCTAAGGCCTCTTCGTGCTGTAGTTTTCTTGACGCCTCTTGCGCATCTTGGAGGGCCTTTCTGATCTTGTCTATGACTTCTTCGGCAGTTTCAATCTCATCTGAGCCTGAAAACTTAGACTTTGCGGCTTCAAGCGCATCATTTGCTAGTTCTCCCTCGGCTGGGTCGTGGCCGAGTCCGACTGCCGCGGCCCATCGTGAAAGTCGGAGTTGGATGATGGTAAGACGAATCTGGTAGAGTTTTATGTCGTCCTCGAAGCCTCGAGCTACCTGGATGCCGTCGAAGGTCTGGATAACAATGGGGATGAGGGCGCTGATGCCAGATAGAGCTTCCATGGCGCTGGTGGGGGAGGGGGAGAGGGGGGGAAAGGATGTATGGTAATTTGCGGGTCTGATTTGAGGGGGAAAATCGAGAAGGCCAGGTCAAGTCGCGCCGAGCTGACCGTCTTTTTATCTCTCTTGGGCTTGAGGCCATTGAGGCTATGCTGATGCGTCGTCCGCTAGTCAGGCTCTGCCAAGGAGCGACCGAGTCGCCGAAGGGGGGCATTGTTAACGACCACCTTCTCTCTAAGTAGCTGATGTTAGGCAACACCAATCAAGATGTGCTGCGCCCCGACCACATGAATATCTCGAGGTACCTTTAGCCCTGGAACTGAGACGGTGGCACCTCGCCCAATACCATCTAGCATACTCCGCCACCAACCATGAGCAAGCCGGAACCAATCGTCATCCAGAGCCAAGGCATTCAGCAGGTTCAGCTCATGCAATATTATGCTTAGCGCTCACACAAAACATTTGATAGTTGTTACAGCAAAACGGCTGGAGTTGGGGATTTTGTTTTCCAGTGATGATTCCCGCACCCACAAAGAATCAAAGAACTGCTGTGTCCCCAACCCTTTTACCGATACCCTTTTCTGGTATTTCTATCTCTCTTTTCGTTTTCTTTTCTGCTCATTCCCCCCCCCCTCTCGACATTAGTGTCGGTACCTCAGGTCACACTGGAGCCGTTGTTAATCAGCAATTCGACCCGAAGCCCCTGAATATAGAGGCTGGGTCGACCAGAGCCATGAGTGGATTTGACATGTCGCCCTCGTCAACGAACGTTCACGCCCAGACCAACTATGGGTATATGGTTGGCAATCAGCACGGGGCTACTAATCTCAGTAGGTTGTCCTCCATGTTGAGCCTACCCACAAAACGCTAAATCATTTACATAGCCTTCATCACCGGCGGCAATACTGATGCAAGTGATGCGGCATTTATTCAAGCACTCCGGGTCAGCCCAGATGATTCGAGAACCAATGCTATCGAGTCAGTCAGCGACAGGATAGTCTCGGCTTGCTGGGACTGGATCCTCGACCACGCGACGTATGATGCGTGGCTTCACAATGATGACTCTCGCCTGCTCTGGATCTTTGGAGGTCCTGGTAAAGGAAAGACGGTCCTTGCAATTAGCCTTGTTGCCGAAATTGCAGCATCCAGCGATGCCATTGTTTGTGATTTCTTTTGCCGGCACATGGACGACAAAGCAAACTCAGCTTCGGCAATACTCCGAGGCCTCATTCGTGGGTTAGCTCAAAACCAACGCCGTCTCATTGGCGTGATACGCGACAAATACAAGGCACCGGAAGACTTGAACGGCGCCCAGCTCAGGGAACTATGGGGTCTGCTGAGAGCCATGCTTGCCAACTGCATAGGCTCCAAAGTCGTGTACCTGGTTATAGATGCAATAGATGAATGTCGTGACGATCGCCCGGTTTTGCAGCTTCTCGAATACATAAAAAAGGAGCCGTTCAAACTCCCACAGATTAAGGTCAAGTGGCTAATCACGAGCCGGCCCTCATCCGAGTTTGAGAGAATCACCGGAACCGACCCTGGAAGGTGTATTATTGACCTGGCCATGGAAGAAAAGGCTTCCCAGAGCGTCGAGGTTTTCATCGAACAATCGGTCAACGGCATGGCTAAATGGAACCAAAAAACCAAAAACGACGTACTCAGTTTCCTCCGCAAAGTTGCAGAACACACTTTCCTCTACGTCAGTATGGTCTGGAAGGAACTTTACCAGGTGCCAGAGTGGGAGATCTCGGCCCGGCTGTCAGAGTTACAAAGCAACAACCCAGGCAGCATCCTTCACGGAATGTATCGCGTCATGTTAGACCGGACTTTGGCCATGGACAAGAGATCCGGAAACACATACCGTCAGGACATACTTCGTGTTGTTTTGCTTGCCACGCGTGTTTTGAACTGGGCGGAATTGGCAATTGCCGCTGGTCTCCCTCGGCAATCTTATCCTTATGACCACAGTTCGGTTGGAATTGGACCGATCGCAGAGCTCATCCAGCAGTGTGGCCATTTTCTGCTCCTTCAGAGTGGTAAGGTGTACTTCTTTCATAAATCGGCCAGCGACTACTTGCTAGCAGTAGACGCGGAGTTGTCGTTCCTCTCGCTCTCGCATCTCTTAGACCATGCTCGAATCGCCCATCAATGTCTTGTTGAAGAATGCTCGACTCTTCATCCCCGGAGCTTTCCTGACATGGACTCCATCATCAACAGGAAGCCATCAAAGAGCGATGTCCAGAGACTATGGGATATATCATACGTCCATTGCCACTGGGTTACGCACGTCATAAAAGCCGGCGATCGTTTCACAGACTATCACTTAGTCGGCGCCTTTCTCTGTGACAGTTTGCTCCCATGGCTGGAAGCAATGGCCTACTTAAAGGAACTTCCGCGGAGCATTCAAATGATTCAGGAGTTGTTAAATGCCTCTTCAAAGGTCTGGGCCTGGGGTGGTCTCGCCGACGGAGATAAGGGAGCCAAAGCGTCACTCGAAGATCTTATGCAGGACGCCTTTCGATTCGCTGTGCGTTACCAAACTTTAATCGATGAGGATCCAACCCAAGTCTACTTCTTGGCCATGTTATTTGCGCCAAAGGGCGCACCAACTCGGCTGAACTGTCGACAACGCGTATCATCCTGTCTGCAAGTAGTTCCCGAAATATCAGAAGACTGGGGCCCATATCTCTACTCCATAAACACCCGTTGGAGGAACCCCTCGACTCTACATGGTCCGAGTCCCATGTTTACACCGGGCTTTTCGCAAGACGGGAAATTCATCTTCCGAGCATCAGAATGGAGAATTGCCAGGTGGAATATCACTGACGGCAGCTCTGCTGGTTATATTACATGGCACGAGCGGGTCATCTTGATCTCCCGAAATGGCAGTATACTCGCATCTGAAGACGCCACACGAGAGTCTATCAACATATGGGAAGTAGGAACAAAGCGTTCACTCTCTGTCATCAAAAGACGTGGACTATTGACCATGACCCCGGATGGCAAAACCATGACTATACAGATCACCGAACTACATGAATTTCAACCATTTCCATCCCTTCGCTCTAAGAAAGCCGCCAAAATATATCAATGTCAAGGCCTAACCCCGCTGCATCCTGGGGAGATTCTGCAGACTTCCTTTCTCGAGATCTACGAAACCGAAACAGGAAATCTTGTCCAACAGGTTAAGTGCAGCGACGAGGACTATATCTCCAGCCTGGACTTCTCTTCAGGTGGTCGGTTTCTGGCGATAAACAGGAGGGGGTTCAATGGCGCCCTCCTATGGGATACCAAAGCCTGCTCGATGCACTACTTGACGTTCTCCCAAAAGGAGACCCTGGCTTCTGCAATATTCTCCCCGAGTGGTGATATCCTCGTTACTTTAAGTCGTTTCACGAATGATGGAATGGACTTGGATGCTCTCACTTTCTGGAGTAGCAAGTCAATGTCGATAATGGTGCGATTGGTTGGCCATCCTGGGTTGGCCTGCGCGATCTCACCTGATGGGAGAACGGGTGCTGTCGCTTCTACATACTCCCTTTCGCTGTGGGACCTACAGGTATGAGAGGATTATTTTCGGTTGATTGAAGACTAGTGGCTAAATGCATAATTAGAAACTCTCGTCTTTGGGTGATTCCAGCCAATATCTTGTGGATGGGCCGGGCCAACAATCCTACCAATTGCCCGCTTGGCCCAGGCCTCGGAGCAACTTGAGATTCGATGCGGTTGCGTTTTCCGTCTGCGGGGGCTTTCTCGCCGCCATGATCGACGAACGTTCTTTTCGAATCTGGGGGTTAGGCCAACTCCTCGACTTCTCGCGCCACCCAAGAGACGCAGTCACCTCCCCCAACGGCAGCAAGTGCAGTGCTAATGCCGCAGATTTACCGATCTTAAGGGACACTGAAGCACGGCTCGGCTTCAGTAGTGAAGATATAGTATTTTCCCCGGATACCAAAATCTGCGCTACCCGCCTTTCAGGGCAATCGGCATTGTGGGTGACAGCCACGGGGATTTGCAAGATTCGATTAACTGGCCGAACAACCCCGATCAAATACCTAGAATCCGCACACATGTGGGCCTTTTCACCTGATAGCTCTATAGCTATCACCATTTTGGACGAGGTTCTTGTTCTCGTCAACATAGCGTCATCAGAGCCGCCCGCGCACTTCAAGATGACCGGACGGCTCGGGGGTATTTATCCAATTGTTAGGTTTGCTTTCAGTCAAGAGAGCACTTTGCTAGCAATATCGATCAATTGTACACCTGGTGTCGACCTGGTTGACGTCAAGTCTGGCTCTATCCTCCATAGCCTTCGAACTCCCGACTACAACTTTGGAGTCTTGGCGTTTTCACCTTCCGGAAGGCTTGCCGCAGGGTTGATGAAAGGCCGCGGCTTCCTCCTTTGGAATAAACCATACACGGCCAATTGTATCCCGATAATGCTTCCAGAGGAAGAGCGCGGATTTTTTGAGTCCCTCGTCTCGGCATTCGACCTATTCACCACCAAGGACACCCGTTGGAGGGTGAACAGCATTTCCTGGTCGCCTGGCGAGGAATCAATGGTCGTGGCTTGCGTCAGTTGGCACCGTACCAACCTCAGTTCCTTGAGGAAAACAGCAATAAGACACTATTTGTTCGAAATCACGGGTATCGATGATGGTATGCCAGTGTCCCGTCTCCTCTGGAGTGGCTCGTATGCCTCTGATCTGCCTGACTCTCATTATGAAGATTTGCGTGAAGATAGTGGGCCAATCGCTCTCTGCGTCTTGGATGGCCATCATTTCGCTGCCGCGTGGCCTGGGTTCTTTATCATTGGGACACCGGACGGCTGCTTCTCTCGATCATGGCTTGCTGGTAAAATTACTTCTTTTCATTTTTCTTTAGACAGGAAGCTAATTCTAATCAACGGAACTGCCTTTACATTCGACAACCCAGTCAAGCAGCAGCAGACCCCTTGCCTGGAAACACACTTTTCCCGTGTGACTTGGAAAGGTAGAGAAATCCTCCTCCTTCCGGATGATGCGTCTTGGAATATCCATGAAGGGGTTTCGATCGCAGGATGTCTTGCGCTCGGTGGTTCATCCGGGAATGTCATGATTTTCAGTGTCCAGACGCCCTCTGGCGGTAACAGGGACCCGAGGCAGGGGTAGACTAAATACAAGGAGATACTCCTCGCTATAAGTAATGCAGTTAGCGACACTATAATTACTAGCAACTTATAAAGAGTAGCCAACACCAGTACAAGAATAGGGGCTTAACTAATATCCGTAGCACGCTCCTATCTGCTCCATTCCTGATATTGAGAGGAACTCGGGCCAGCCTGACACATGGTACAACAGGAAATGAGTGGCTAATGGGCGGCATCAACCATAACTTCCTGGAAGTCGCTCCGAGCTCCCCAACAAGACGTACGGGGCCCTTAATACCTCAATATTTAGGAGGTTGCTAGTTTGAGAAATAAGACTTCCATCTTTAGTTAAAAGCGGAAGGAAAAGTCGGATAGTGCAATGCCATCACTTTCAGCTTTGCTGATGCCATTCCTTAAGTCCCAGTGGAGGGTAGGTTGTAGCAGAGAACTCCCCTTTTCAGGGGCGGGGAAAAGGCAACACTGTCATCAACTTTTCGTTTAAAGGAGTATAATCATCGCCTCCCATCGAGAGCGCGGCAGATTGCGGCCCACTCCAAAGGGTGGCCCATGCATTCCTCTCGCAACTTAACACTCCCAGTTAAGAGGAACTCGCCGGCTCTCACGAGTAACCACCTTCCTCCCATTCTCCGCGCAGTTTACTATTGTTACCTAGAATTGCCCGTCCTCTTTCAGGTGGAGGGCGTTGGCAACAAGGGACTTAACATGAGGTCGGCCAAGTAGCGAGGTAAATTTCCTCCCTCTTAGAACTGAAAACAAATAGTATCGTAGGTGGAAGCCTCCGTAAATGTGGCTATAGGAGAGTTGTTTTTGAACAACTCGACTAAACTCGTTGCTACGAACCCCCCAGAATTAGTGTGGCAACAGCCTCATACACCCCATGTAACTTACTATTTGGGTTATAGACTGGCCAACCGAAATTCTTTAGGCCATCGTGAGGATCTTTCACAAACGTGACCAGAGCTTGCTGGAAATATTTTTGGGCTTCGAGTTCGTACGGTTCCAAATCCCGTAGGTGGACACTGTTAATGGTCCCAAAGAGCAAGGGGATATCGGCTAGCGGTATATTAGCTCGCATTTCGAACGGAATAAGGTGCAAAGAAGAGGCAGAGAGAGAGAGAGAGCCTACCTCCATGGTAAGCTTTCATCCAGTCGTACACCGCCAACGAGGGAAATTCGCCAAAGTATCGGTACCTCCAAGATGGTATCCTATGAGCTGCCCATACTCTAAAGGCACGGATTAGTTAGCTGGGCCAGGTCACAGGTCTTGGTGGGCCTTACCTAGCTTCACCGGCTGCTGGACAATTAAAGGCAATTTCGGTTAGCCAGTCGGCGATGGTCTCGTTAACCAGCCCCTCTGGCGTGAACGGTGTAAGACTACGGCCTTCGTTGTTCATTATACCTCGAAGAGCAGGCTATCCTAAGGGTTAATTTCTTATTTCAAGACAGAAATTACTGCTTAGCCCGACTCACAATTTTCGCAAACTTGCCAGCGGCACCAAGGGACGGGTACGCGTCATTTCCGAAGTAGGTAACGTTATCAAGAGTCGGATGAATGTCAGCCGGAGAAGAAAGAGGGTTCAGCTCTTCGGGGCTCAGAGTTCTTTTCAACTTATAGGCGTCGACCTCTTGCATGCATCGAAGCTCTTCCTTCGAGTTACTTGATCGGCAACCGAGAGCATCCGCGAGCGCGGTCCACCGAGTACCGTCATCCGGTCGAGGATTCGTAGCCTCTCCGCTCTCTGTAATGAGCCCACGTACTATGGGATCGGTGGGATAGGCATAGGGGTACATGCTGGTGCTCATTGAACCGGCCGATTGTCCGCCGAGGACCATTCGTTTCGGATCCCCGCCAAAGGCTGCGATATTATCGCGGAGCCACTCGAGCGCAAGCCTCTGATCCCGGAACCCCACATTCTTTTCGGGCACCGCGGGCGAATTGGCAAACCCAAAGATATTGACGCGGTAGCTGTAACCTGATGGTTAGAGGATATTCGATAAAAGATGGTCCAGTTGACTTACTTAAATGTCACAACGATGATATCTGGGTGAGCGGATACTAGATGACGCCCATCATACACTACCGAGGCGTTAGTGTAGAACAAGATCACCGGCCAGGGGTATCCAGAGACATACTGGGAATAGCAGATGTCCCTTCTGCAAATGCGCCTCCATACATGAAGACAAAAACCGATTTCGCACTCCTAGGACCCCGATCGGATGTCCACACATTTATCGTCAAGCAGTCTTCCGATTCTCCTGTGGTCGGGCTGAGAGAAGTGGCTCCAGGCACTCCCGTGCGGTATTGGTAGCAGGATAAGCCAAACCGAGTCGCATCAATAACACCCTTTGCTTTCTGCTTAATTGGCAGTGGCGATCTGAATCTCAGTGATTTCACCGGAGGCTGGGCGTAGGGAATACATAAGAAGGCGCGCACATCTGGCTCAGGATAGTACCCTTGAGCCGTCCCGGATGTTGTATCGACAAGGGGGAACTTGGCGGATGCTGCTGCTGTCGCCAATAACAAAAAGAAAAGAGAACGGGTTAAGTAGATTGGTGTTGCAAACATCATGTTTTCCTTGAACTAATGCTTGTAAGGCTAGAAGGTGGTATTGAGCTGATGTCGCTATTAACGATCAGCATGATGTTGGAAGTGCTCTTCTCCCGTATTTATATTGGAGATGTTGAAGAATTCTCCAATATCCAGCCCAGAGCTCAACCACTGCTGAATTTCCCTTTCTGTAATGTTCCGCCGTATTACGGTCCGGGAAGCCCCCGCCATCGGCCTGTGTGCCTCGCCGCGTGAATTATCCCGGTTTTTTGTGCACTCGGATCAGTCGGATGGTGTACATACATACGTAACGAGGCATTGCTGGTCATTTCGCAAAAGGAAACAGCCCTACGCGATGAATACGACGGACCAGCTCAATCAAAATGGCCCAAGACTGAGGTTTGGTTTTCATTGGAGCAATCCCTAAGCTTTGTCATTATTTTGCCTGATCGGGTCAATCTTGGGCATTATGTCTTGGGTCGGACGTCGATCACTATTCCCATCGTCAGGCCGGTCTGGCCATTATTAGAGCCCGTCATCGCTGCGGTGCTGCAGAATTAAGAAGCGGACGTATTGGCACACTACCAAGCAGCAAAGGCATTTTGTTATCCCATTCCGAAATGCCCGACCTGGCATAGGCAAGGTCAATTCCACATCATCTGGCTCACCCTGGTGGCCATGCAGTCCAAATGGGAAGCACATCCATTGGAGATAACTAGTCCCCAAGATTCAACGTATAAAAGCGCCCAATTAAAGTTAACAAGTGGTATGCTATCATACGCATGCCAGTCAGTTGGCTCCCAGCTCTGACCATGGAACGGGTTGAAAAGGTGTAAGCAGCCCAGGTCGGGAACGAATTGTTGCCGTGAACCGGCATCAACAAACGACGGAATACATATCCACTGAAGATGCGTTAGCACTGCTCATGAAACCTGGTTTTTATTTGTCTCACCATCACATCTCTACTCGCCCTCATAGCGAACCCTAGTTTTCCGAGGAACTAAGACTAGCCAAGAATTCCTAAAGCCAGGGCGACCTCTCCGACGTTGAACCATAGTTCCATTGGAGCCTGAAACTAAGATTTAATGGGCTGGTAACGGGGCAACTCCAATAGTTTTCGTCATCGTCATGATCCAATACAGTGGGATCTCAAAGCGACTCGGAATATTCCAGGTCTCATCTCCTATACTTGGTAAGCATCAGTACCTGGAGTGGCCGTGCATTGAAATGGGGTAGTACCGAGTGGTGATAGGAAGGTGGCTTATATACGAAGGTATTCGTTTCAGTCACAACTAGTGTGGGTGGAGGTCCTCAGACTCCCTGAGATCGACAACATCCTGGATCAGAAAATATAGCAGATGGCCAGATTTGCATGGCTCTCGTTAGAGTGGGCATTCATCATCTCACATAAACGTACGAGTGCCAAACTGAGATGTTTTAAACTAGTTCCACTTCGGCCAGAAGATGGGAATCGGTCGAGAAACCCTCTTTAGGAGGGGAAAAACCCGTGGGGGGCTTCCTCGGTATGGACGTCTGTTGGGTCGACAGGCTCCAACGAGCAACCAACACAAAGATGATTCACTGGCGGCTCCCATATATGTTTCAGATTCCCCGTTTCATCAATACCTGCCGCTCAGCTCCCTTTCCATCTCCTCCCCCACTTATAAGATAGAATTAGGGATTTTGTTCAAAACAATTCCTAACTTTTCCTACACTCAAATCAACGATGTGGACTCTTCGGGCGGCAGATGATGAGGACCCGAGTGCCTTAGATCCCATTTTCCGCCCCATCTGTTTTGCGGACGAACAAGAAGTTGTCAGGATGACCATACTTCTCCGCGATGCCTGGAGGCAGGTCGAACCTCCAGACGTAAACGACGAGGAAACAGCGACAGCCTGGCTCCGCGATCTCAGCTCCAGGTACTCGGATGGCATCGCTGCCACAGCCACGGACGACAACGACGCAATCGACACTCCCGTTAAACTCGAGCTTATCAAATTTTGGAAGCATGTCCACAGTGAAGTCATTCGCTTCTTGGATGGTGCGACGCCGTATTGCGGCTCAATGGGAGAGCAGACTTGCCTAGTTGTGCGTTTTAACAGGGAAATCCGATCAGGGGCGGCGTTGGTCTCGAATCACGCGTTTGGTTCGAACGTTCTTCTGATTCCGGCTTTCGTGGCCCCGGGAACCCAAATCCGAATCACGCGAAATCGACAGAATCCTGAAATGGGGAGGGAGGCCGATGTTGGAACATTCGAGCCTGACAAGAATCCGTATGGAATTTACTATCTCCGGCGGGGATTCGAATTCAACTTTTATGCCAACGCTCAGGGCAATACCGGAGATAGAGAGGTTGCTGCTGTTTTCTCGATATGCACCCTTAACACCGAGGAGAGGAGGGATGGGGGTTCGACATAGAACGCGAAAGATGCGTACATAGTTAGGCTAATGATACTGATGTCGCCGAGTGAACCAGAACTACACAACGTAGAAGAATAGCTTATCCATGGTCCCGGGCCGTCGCAATCTCCACTTGCCAATCTGCAAAACGAGTGATGAGCTGGCCTTTTCTTCAGTGGATGAATTGTCACTGGTCATGTGGCATCCCTGCGACGCTATGTATCCAGTAGACGCTGCGCGGATCGCAGAGTGCCGGCGCTGGTTAGAGTGAAATTGGAGAATAACTACCGGGAAACCGGGGTAGAGCGGGGTACACATGGGTGACTGTGATGCTACCTCGCGGGGCGCAAGGATTGGTGAAGCTATTCCGAGTTTGATCTCATAAGGCGACTGGCAATGTTCGATTCCTTGAGTCAACAGGTATGAAACGATGCGACCCTCAAGAGCGAGCGGCTTCTGAATTGAACGGTAATCATTTTACCTTAGGCTATAAGAAAATGTACTCTTGATTAAATTCTAGTTCTCATGGTTTATTGCATGCAATCAAAATGAGTGGTAAACGAAACTGCATGTTCCTCTCCAGGTTTGCCAAGCCGTTCAGTTGCTTGTGACCAGTCCGATTTGGTCGCCACTCTCAGTGATACCCTCCAGATCTGCAGGCCGTGCAAACCTTCCTGTCACCTTCGTCTTACTGGACCGAATGGTGGTGACGAGAACTGCCGACACGGTTTCGGACCAAATGTACGTCCGGCAATTTCTCCCATTGCTTAAAGGATGCGGGGAGTGGTATTGAATCAGTCGTTTTCATCGGGTCCGCCAAGCGGTTCGGATCTTGCATGTTTAATTTAAATATGAAGTGAAACCTAGAGCTGCGGCTCTCTTATTTCCCATGTCCCCTCTCAATTTCCCTATACGAGTCAGAACGTCTTGACTTGGCGAAACGGAAATCCGGCCTTTACTGCTCACGGTATCGGAATTTCCACGATGGCGGTGGACGTAGAACACCGTCCAAAGATCGAGTACGACCAGAAGGAGTCGAGCGGCGACGAAGACTTCGAAGAGGATCTGGAACTTGAGAAGCGATTGAATCGAAAATTTGACCTCCACATCGTGCCTTGGCTCTTTGGAATCTGGTAAGTTGCCTGTTTTATCAACCGGCGCCTCCTATCGCCCTCCCTCATTATATCTCCAGAGCGCTTGGCTAACGCCTGGGTATGCGGCGTCATCGTGCCCTGCATGTACATAGGTTATTCTCTTTCATCGATCGGAGCAACATCGGCAACGCCAAAATCGACGGTCTGACAACTGACCTCGGTATGGATACTGGAACACAATTCAATGTGGCACTGCTCGTCTTTTATGTCCCTTACATCCTAGTGGATGTCCCAAGCAATTGGATCATCAAGAAAGTCAGGGCAGGTATCTACTTGCCAGTTCTCATTACCTGCTGGGGTCTTATATGCACATTCATGGGTTTCACCAAGTCGTTTGGCGGGCTAGTGGCTGCTCGCGTGCTTCTCGGCCTCTTCGAGGGCGGTATTCTCGGGGGAGTCATTGTGTACTTGGCCATGTTTTATCGGCGACACCAAATGATGCTACGCTGCGGACTTTTCTACTGCGCAGCACCGCTGTCTGGCGCTTTCGGTGGTCTCCTCGCCTCAGGTCTAGGGCAGATCAAGCACGGAGGTTATAACAAATGGCCATGGATCTTTTTTAGTACGTTTCCCTGCTGTTCAAATTAATCAACATTCACTCCAGCTTTGAGTGAGGAAATTCTGAAACTGACTTGCATTGGAATTAATAGTCGAGGGTGCTATTACCGTCGTATTCGGCATCGTGTGCTTCTTCTTCATGCCCAACACTCCGGCGGACTCAAAATTCCTCACCCCCGAAGAGCGCCAATACGTCCTGCGATACATGCGATTAGATGCCAGCGGAGCGACTTCGACCGATGTCCACGAAGAGCGATTTAGCTGGTACTGGGTGAAAATGTCTCTCCTTGCGCCCCAGACGTACTTTTGTGCTATCATCTGGTTCTTCCTCCTCGTGCCACTTTACGTATGAGCTTCTACTTAACCGTTCTCCTTTCTGTCACGCTCTGAACAAGGCGGCGTCTCGGATGGTTGTGGATTGTTTGCTTGCAATGCTGACCACTTGGGCAGAGCTTCTCGTTGTTTTTGCCCTCGATTATCCGCGGGATGGGCTACAAGTCGACGATAGCACAGCTCTTCACAGTACCACCAAACATCGCGGCGTTCATCACCGTCATAGCAACAACGTACTATTCCGACAAGGTCAAGCTCAGGGGACCATTCATCCTCGGTGGCACTATACTCGGGGCCGCGGGTTACGTCATGCTGCTAGCGTCCAATAGTAACCCCGTCAAATACGCTGGCACATTCTTTATTGGCATTGGCGTCTTCCAGTGCTCTCCGATTCTCATGGTATGGTCGATTTCGCGAGATGTGACGTCATTATCTTAGGGTTACCAGCTGGCTAACAGATGAATTTCCTTTTCTAGGGGTGGGTCTCGAACAATCTTGCGCCGCACTACGTCAGAGCGACTGGCGTGGGGGTCGTGATTTCCCTGGCCAATTGTTCGGCTTTCATTGGCACGTTCATCTATCTTCAGAGAGACGAGTACGCATCTCCCCGATACCCAGATACCCAGATACCCAGATATGCAGGTGGATTGTTTGGGGAGGTTGGCGCTAACAAGTCTTTCGATAAGGCCGCATTACACTCTCGGGCATTCGATCAGTCTCGCTGCTCTTCTCATCACATTCTTTCTTACCTGTCTGCAGATGGGGTATCTCAAGTGGGAGAACAAAAAACGGAAGAATGGGGAGAGGGATGTTAGGCTACAAGGGCCGGACTCTGATCGACTGGGACATCGCCATCCTTCTTTCGTCTATACCATTTGAATGGTCTTGACAGTAATCGACACTTTTTCTGATTAATGTGTGCGATTCATAACTGGGATCCGCTAGGTTGGTTGTTTACGAGGAAGGATATCCAGAAAGTAATATTAATTATCTATGATAAAATTCGGATCGTCGCGATCCGTTTACCTCCATTCCATGAATCGTAAAGTCGTAAAATCGTATCCTGATATCCATCATGCGCATGGCATATGCTTTTTAGCGCCCGCAAGAAGTGAAAATAAAAATGAAAATGATAGAAGAAAAAAAAAAAACAAAAAGACAGGAGAAGGAAATAAGAAAACAGAAGAGAATTAGAGAAGATGTGGTGAAGAGTCTATCTGGATCAATCTCAGACCTGGTGCTTGATGCCAAGACAATCTGTTGAGCAACCGCTTTCCTCGTCCACGACGCCAAGACGATGCAAATGCTTATACAATGCAGCGCTACCGTCCTTATGCGTGGTATGCCCACGGCCAATTACGGCTAGGCTATCACGCATCAAGAATTCGTAGTAGGCAGTCGCTAGAAGTGTGGCTGGGATGTTGACGAAAAGGGCGATCGGAGCATAGGACTGGTATGTAAAAGCTTCGCGGCCCCAAAAGATGGCGGCAACGATACGGGTTCCCAAGTCCCTGGCCAAATTTGTGCTGAGGCCAATGCCGCCGAAGCCCCAAATAATGACGCCGTAAGCGCCTCCGATGACGATCGGAATGCAGGCGGGAGTCATGAGGGGATTGGCAGGGTCGAGAGCAGCCCAGATAACGATGCCGATGAAGGCGTCGGCAAAGAACTCGATGATGAACAGGTAACCAATATCTCGGGATCCGTTCGCGTCAGGGAACGAACAGAGAATCGACGCCGGAGCTCCGCTCGTGACGAGAGGCTTACCGGCGTCTATAAGGGTCTGGTTAAGGTCCTGTATCTGAGGCCAAAAGGCGCCCATAATCAGCAAGCCGGCGAAAAATGCGCCGCCGATTTGGCTGATGATGTACAGCGGGACCTTCCACCACGGGAAGTCCTGCCAAAACGCCATGGCGATGGTGACGGCGGGATTGAAATGGCCGCCCGAGGTGGGTGCGCAGGTGAGAATGGCGGCAGCGATACCGAGGGCGAAGGCGCATCCGGTCTGGAAATGACTACCATAAGCGACGACGCCGATCTCGTTGTGCCTGTTGAGGATGTAGTTGGCGACGGAGGCCAGAGCGGGGAAAACGAAAAATGCGACGCCGGTGAATTCGGCGAGGCATTCCCGCAGGAGTCGGGGGCGCGAGAATTCAAAATTCAGGCGCGTCTGACTGACGGGCTTGTAGTGGGTTTCAATGCGGTCCAGATAGCGGTGGAGACCGTTGGAGACTTCATTGTCCATTACATGCTGGAGACGTGGGGTAGTGGAGCCGGAGGTGTTCGGGGAGAGCGCGGGGAGTTGGAGTGTGCTCTCGGTCCGGCTTGGGGATGGAGACCAGTTCCCGAGAATATCGCGGGGCTTCATTTTTAGTGCGAAGCGGGTTGTGGGGTTTCAAACGAGGTTTGGGTGAATGAATTGATGTTAGCAAACCATGAGGTCGATTGGTTTAAGCTTGATGATGGTGGAGCTTGAGGTTGGGGAAGAACTAAAAGTCATGATGGGGGGACAGTCTCGCGCTCTTTTATAATAACAGGTGAAGCATAAAAAAAGACGGTCGTACACAAGAATAGTCAGGGCATGGTGAGGCTCGGTCCCCAGAAACTTTACGAGGTGATGGTCTGAGGTGCTTCCAGTGTCGGTGTGGCTATGATTGAAAGAATTGAAAGTAAGAACAGACCAGAATCCAGGGGGATCATGACTGACGGCGCGTTGTCCGACAAAAGATTTTTCTTGTTCAGTGGGGCCCGGAAAGTCGGGTGGTGTGCTTTTTGGTTCGGACCCGGGCCAAGCCCAAGCTGCGAAGCGCCCTGGCGGAAATACGGACAGACCAGAGCGGCGAGCACCGAACGCTGATTTCTCCAACTCGAGTTCGTCGACTGGCGTCACTCGTATCGAGGCCTCCACTCTGACCCCCACTAAGCCCCTGTGGCACCCCACTGAACCCCTGGACCGCTGACATCCACGAAGCGAGCCCTGGCCTGGACGAATAAAACATTTGAATCCTCGGTGACGGCTTGGGCGCTGGATACGTACTCTACCGATACAATCAATGCGCCATGAATAGACTTTTACCTCAGTGCTGGGCTCGCTGGCTGGCTTCCCTCGTTCCGCTGGCCTGGTCTGGTCGTCGGATTGTTCCGATAGGGTCCTTCAGCGGTATCTAGCGCCGTGAACCCCCCCCCTTCCCCCCTCCCCCCCCCCAAGCACGGCAATAATGAATCGGTCAAGGATCAATTGAGTCGACCACCCCCCGGGCGCACCACCGAGCCCAACAATTTCACCCAAGGTCATTTCAGGTCCGCGATGACTCGCATCACCGCCGCAAAAAGTAGGCGGATTTCTCATTCTTTCATCGCCATCGGCACGAGAATAGCCTCAGACCGCCTCCGTCTATCAGGTGCTGTGTAATATTCCACGTTGCATTTCGCCGTGGATATATCGCCATCCATATCGTATCAAATTTACATGGCACCAGGGCAATTGAGAATCGCCGCTTTTTCGATAAGGATGAAATATCAGGACCTGTATTGGCGGTCGCAGGGCAGGGATTGACAAAAATCAGTGGCTTCATCGCAATCAAATGAGGGAGCCAAGTCCGAACCGGAATCAGATTGTTCGGTCGCAGAGTGGACGGCCTCCGCCAGCTGGAGCCAGAGATGGCGTGAATTGCTTCATCTTGCGTCATTGACTCACTGTCGATTTTGCCCGAAGCCCAACGGAGAGTCCGATCGAGGAGTCGGCATGGCCAGGGCTGGGCCACCCTCTATGTTCTAAGTGTTACCTCTCTTCGACTCTGCCTCTGTCACTGCCCAGTCCGCGCGAAGGCCCGAAGGCGGTGCTCGAAGCTTCTGATAACGGGATGAAACTGCCCTCCTTCTCCGACGGAATATTCGATACTCGTGCGGTCTCCTGATTCCGCCCAGCCCTGTACGTCGCTCAAACCTGCCAGCGCCAAGAGAACACGCTGCAGCGGCCCGATGCAAACAGACCAGATTACCATGCTTACCACAGATACTGTCGTCAGTCAATTCGTCCCGACTTTCCGCATATTGTAGAATGTTATCAGGAAGTATTCTCCTTCGCAACAGAGCGATGAGAGTACTTCGTGAGACCTACTGCACATTATCGCCAGTCGAAGTACTTGGCAACACACCACAAAATGCTTGTAAGATCAGGTAACCTACAGATGTCTCCATTCCCTGTTTTCCTTTTCCCTTCAATTGTCCTTATTTACGGAGGAAGCGAGATGGCTTCCCGGATATAGTTAAATATAGTTTGTTACCTAACATACATAGGCCCACGGTTCGGAACTTACAATTCCGAGAAAAAAACACCAATATACTACTGAGTGGGCTTGTGGCGCTCGCTGGACTTAATACACTTTCGGACTTCACTCGAACTCTGGTCATTGGGGGGGAAAAGCCCGCTAGCTTCTGAGCTGGACCTGATGTCGACGGCTCGGGAGACTATCGGTTGGTAGCAGGATTTATGTTCTTCTGGTTTCTGTATCCGCATAAACTCGCTTCTACTTGGCTGGTTGGTTGGCCTTTTAAAGTATTATGTCAATGCCGACGCCTGGTCTGCGGGCCTGTCGAAGTAGATGCGTATCGCAGTTGTCCGAGAAGGCTGGCGTTGGTCTTCCTGCCTCTGCGATGCTATCCGAGTCGAGGTACGGCCAGGCTCCATTGGACACTGGCTCTGGGAAAAGAAAGTGGATTAAGCTGGCATAACCGAGCCGACACTCCTTCCTGACTGGAAGACTAACTACTCGACATGGTGTTGGCTGCAAGCCCACGGACCGCCCAAGCCCCCTCAAGGCCATCCAGTTGGCCCAGGCCGAGTCTCACAGCATCTCTCCAAATGTTGGTGCCAGGCTTGGGGGATGGCATTTGGCAAATGAGAGCTTCGAAATTCTGACTTGGCGAGTGAGGAGGACTTTCTTGGTGTAGGCATCCTTTTTCGGCGTGCCTGTTTGCTCACCATGCGACAGGCCAACACTCGACGTCTGGATGCCTACAGAACAAACCGAGGAGGGGAATAGAGAGAGACCAGTTAATTGGATATGCTCCTGGCTGCCTTATTTCAAAGATCTGTGGTGGGCATTGCTTTTTTAACAGTATTTTGTTGGTCATGGCATTCTTCATTTGCGTCGTCGCCCAAAATAATAATACCGGGCCGCCTACCTCCCACTCCCCATTTTGCCCTCCATCGCCTTCCCTATATTCTCTTATGCTCCTACCTACATCTCAACTGCTACTTGTCTCAGTTCATTCTGACACCAAACCGGGCCTTTTAGTTCATTTACCAGTGCTCAACCTGCCTCGATGGCCCCCAGCGGTCGCTCTCGACGGGTTCCTCCCCATCGCCGTGGAGGGAACCGAGTCCCCGCCCCTGATAACCATCGCGGCCCTGATGGCAACCTCTCGAAGAGAAATGTGTGCCGGCAATTCCAAAGATTTGGCTCGTGTCGTTATGGCCCCGACTGCAGATTCTCCCACGCCTCGGCCACTGAGGATTCTAGGCCAGTCGATCCCGCCATGGACCTCCGGGGCGAGGATGTTCTCCAGACACAATACTACGACTTCAAACGCCTTCTCAGGACCGGCGGCACTCCACGCGGAGTGCCCTTAAGCCGTCGCATTTCCCAGCTCTGGGCCAATGCTCTCGATGTGCTTAACGGTGATAACCAAGAGTTGCATCATCGCTTGGTGAGAGACCTTGTTAGCGACGAACTGAGGGGATACGACTTCATATCTTTCACAATGAAAATGGAAGACGCTGATAATGCCGTGACTTTTCCTTCCGTGAATGACTTTCTAAAAGTCATCACCCATCCCTCGCTGCTCGACCCGATGTCTATCGATTCATTCGTCAGCACTGTTTACAGTTTTTTCGGCGGTTCGAATGGGGACCGAGCCATAGACTTTTTCAGTTGCCTCTGCAAGCGTCTGAGAGATAGCCCTCCGAACCCCGACCCATCCACCGAGGAAATGATATTGCAGATGGTACGGGCCATCTCGACACTGCAGGCTCGACAGCCGAAAAGTGGTTTCAACGATAGTTTCCCCCAATTGTTAGATATACTACAAGCCCTCATCGCCCCTTCCGAGCCGGCGGCGAACAAAACGTCCGAAGCCTCCGTGCGCATCAATTTTCTGAAACGATCGATAACACGAGGGAGGTCACGGCTCGTAACTGCCGACCCTCAACCGCCAGGTCCCTCCAATACTCAACCAGGCCGCAGCGTTTACCCGATGGACGTCGTCGTCCCTGGAGGTAGACATGACAACGACTTTGCCGATATTTCTCAAATACAGATCCTACCAACCTATGGCGAGATCACGAGCACCGCCGCTGAATGCCTACCCTCGACGAACCTTCTCCAACCCCACTACCTCGGTGACATGGTCCCACGGCACATCGACTCTGCCTTTAGACTGCTACGGCATGATATTTTCGGACCCGTGAAGGATGTTTTACGAGACCTTCTCGGCCAAGACATCTCCAATACTTCCCAAAAGCCCCATATTCGAGCCGATGCTGGCGCACGTCTCTATCGCAAGGCCGGCATTGCGCAGGTATTCGTTGAGAGGAATGGACTCGAGGTCGCCGTCTCCTTTGAGACGCCTCCTCAACTGGGTGGAAAATCTGTTGCTGAACAGCGCAGGTGGTGGCAAGACTCCTCTCGCCTCGAGGAGCAAGCTTTAGTTGCTTTCGTTTACTCACATGGAGAAGACAAGAAGCTCCTTTTCCTCGAGGTGACTGCCAAAAAGACGGAGAATACCAAGGGAGGTCGTGACAATATTTCCCTCGTCTCCAAGGACCATCCCCCCAAGATCCAAGCGAAGCTAGCCTCGTTCACTCAAGACAATGTCAGCGTCCTCCTCAAGATCCACACTGAGCATCTGAAGGGTGTTTTGGTTGAGTTTAATGGCTTGATCCCAGCCACCTTTGCACCAATCCTGGCCAATCTCAAACAAATGATGCGAGATGGCGAGATGCCTTTCCAGCAATGGATCCTTCCTACTACTGGCCCCGATGGAAGTAACACTACTAACATCATACCGCCCCCAGCCTACGCGCGTAAAAGGCAACTCGTTCTTAACTTGGACCCAATCTCCAAGGTGCCGGGCCTGACCATTACTCCATCTACCGCCAGCATCCCCGGGGAAGTTGACTTTCCCAAGCTGGAAGAAGCAACAGGTCTGGACCATGGCCAATGTAGGGGCCTTGTCGCTGCGCTTTGCCGGGAGTACGCCCTGATCCAAGGGCCACCTGGTACGGGCAAATCGTACCTGGGAGTGAAGCTCGTGAGGCTTCTCCTGCACAACAAATTAGCAGCCGGCCTAGGACCAATACTGGTAATGTAAGTTGCGCATCCAGAGGGGCTTCCCCTTATCCATGTATTGTTGTTTACTGACTCCAGAGTGCTGACTCGACTGTTCTCACAGTTGTTATACGAATCACGCATTGGACCAGTTTCTGATGCACCTCCTTGCCGAGGGCATCACTAAAATCATCCGTATCGGTGGGCGCTCCCAAGTGCAGGACCTCGAAGGCCATAACCTCCGCGTCGTAAGCAGGACGTACCCGAAAACCACGGTTGAAAATACAACCCTTGGCCAAACTTATGAACAACTTGAGAAGCTCAAGTCGAATGCTGGCTATCAGCTCCGACCTCTCCACCAACTGAAGAATGGGCCAACCTGGGAAGGATTGAAGGACTTCCTGAAGAAAGAGAGTATGCGCATATATCTCCAACTTGCGCCTAAGGATGATGAGGGGTTTGTCGTCGTTGGAGGCGACAGGGTTAAGACGTGGCTTGGCAAACGTCCACGGTCAATGCCGGAATCGGGCAGGCAAACCAACGTAAAGGATGTGGAGGGTCTCTTCCACCGGGCCGAACAAAATATCAAGTCCCTCTCCCACAGGGAACGTTGGATTCTCGTCGATGACTGGATCGCAAAGATTAACGAGGAACAGAACGAACGCCTTTTCGAGGCACTCGAACAAACCAATCGCAGTCAGGAATCTATCCAGCGCGTGTACGATGAGATCAATCGCCGGGTCCTGGTCGGTGCGGATGCTATTGGTATCACTACCACCGGCCTCGCTCGGAACATTGAGATGCTTCGCCGTGTCCGCCCGAAGGTGGTCATCTGTGAGGAAGCGGCTGAGGTGATGGAGGCTCATATTATTTCTGCATTCATGCCGGGTGTCGAACATATCATTCAGATTGGCGATCACCGTCAGCTGCGGCCCCAGATTAACAATTACTCTCTTAGTCTCGAAACAGCGACGGGTTTACAGTGGCAACTGGACCGCAGCCAGTTCGAGAGACGTGCCAAGGGCGAGCCCGGTATGCGTCCGGCTCCGGTTGCCCAACTTGACGTCCAGCGGAGAATGAGACCGGAGATCTCGCGATTGATTCGGACCGTTTACCCCAATCTCAGAGATCACGAGAAGGTCCTAGAGCACCCACCAGTTGTGGGGATGCGCCATAATCTTTTCTGGTTGCAGCACAACCATCCAGAAGAGTCTCGTGACGACGATTCCCGTGTCAAATCCCACAGCAACGACTGGGAAGTCGGGGTGGCGGCAGCCCTGGTCCGCCATCTTGTTCGGCAGGGCGCGTATTCGAATACTGATATCGCCCTCTTAACTCCCTACACTGGGCAGTTGAAAAAGCTACGGGCCGCGCTACGCAAGGATTTTGAAATTGTTGTAAGCGACCGGGATCTAGAGAAGCTCGCCCAGGACGATGAAGAAGTCACGGATGAATCTGAGGAATTTGCCAGTGGTGACGGAAAATATCACAAGCAACTGGAAAAAAAGCAGCTCCTCCAAACACTGCGCGTCGCAACTGTGGACAACTTCCAAGGCGAGGAAGCCAAAATCATCATCGTGTCCTTGGTCCGAAGCAATCAGAAGCGCAAAGTCGGGTTCCTCCGCACCGAGAACAGAATCAATGTGCTGCTGAGCCGTGCCCAACACGGCATGTACTTGATTGGGAACGCCGAGACATACTTGCACGTTGATATGTGGGCAGATGTGCATTCCCAGCTCTCCGAAGCAAATGCTGTCGGTGACGCGATCCCTCTATGCTGCCCTCGACACCGGGATACAGAGATCCTCTGTTCAACCCCCGATGATTTCGTGCGGAAGAGTCCAGAAGGCGGGTGTAACCTTCCCTGCGTTAACCGACTTGAGCCCTGCGGTCATCGGTGTCAGGCCAGGTGTCATTCCCAAGCCATGCATGATGCCTTCCTTTGCCCGCAGCCTTGCCCACGCATTCGCAAAACTTGCCAGCACGCCTGTCCCAAACTCTGCGGTGATGCGTGTGGCCCCTGTGAGGTTCCTGTTTTCGATACTGTCCTCCCGTGTGGCCATCTCAAGAAGGAGGTTCGGTGTCACCAAGCCCTGGAACCGTCTAAAATCAGGTGTACTACCCGGGTGGCCAAGACAGTTCCTGGCTGTGGACACTCTATCAAGGTTGAATGCTATAAGGACGCAGCCGCGGACTCCTTCCGCTGCCCGACGCCATGCGATGCACTCTTGACTTGTGGGCACAAGTGTCCCGGTTCGTGCGGCCGGTGCCGACGTACTGACGGTGGATCTACCGTCCCTGAACATATGGAGTGTGCGAAAATTTGTGACCGATCCTTCGGCGCCTGCAGCCATCGGTGTGCTAGGAGATGCCATCAAGAGGACTCGGAATGTGGAACTTGTGAGAACAAATGCGAGGTAAGTTGGAGTTCGAAAATGGCCTTCCCATAATGAGCGTAGTCGCACTAACAGCATTTTATTTCCTCTTCAAAGGTCCGTTGTCCTCACTCTCGTTGCGCATCCGTCTGCGGTTCACCCTGCGTTCCTTGTATCGAAAAGTGCACCTGGTCTTGCAGCCATCAAGGCTCATGCACGATGCCTTGCGCCGCTCCATGCAACCGACTCCCCTGCGACGAGCGCTGCAAAAAGCTCCTCTCATGTGGCCATCAATGCCCTACCTACTGCGGCGAAGAATGTCCTCAGGGGATCGAGTTCTGTCAAGCCTGCGGGGATCACGGCGACGCACAGGTAGACCTGCTCGAAGGCAAGGTATACTCCGAGATCGACCTGGAGGAATCTCCTGTCGTCTTCTTGTCCTGCGGCCACTTCTACACTGGCGAAAACTTGGATATGCTCATGGGCATGTCGGAGGTGTACGCCCTCGACTCGGCCGGGCGATATAGTGCGCTGCTTGACATTCCTAGTGCCTTGGCCAAACGTGTGCCATCTTGCCCGGCATGCCGACGGCCCATCCTCCAGTTCTCAACGAAGAGGTACAACCGCGCCGTCAACAAAGCCGTTATGGATGAAACCTCGAAACGGTTCGTGACTAAAGGACTGCGTGATCTCGCCGAGCTCCAAAAACAAGTTGAACCACTCAGGGACAACCTTTCATCCAGTTTCGCCATCTTCAGCTTAGTTAACTGGAGCAAAGCCCGCCTTTCAGCCAGGTATTCGGGTGCTACAAAGCTAATCCATGACGCTAGTAAAACAGGGAAGCGGATGAGTGAGGAACACCAGCCCGCCAAGAAATTACACGATGCCATCGTACTTCGCCGACGCGAGATGGACGAGACACTCTCGCTCAACGAGAGGATGGAGGGATTACGTCTCTCGCCCGGTCCACAGGAACAACCGACTGAACGTTATGTATCAGCTTTGGATAAACAACTCACTCTCAAAGCACAATTGATTCAGATCGACATCCGGGAAGTCATGATTCGTGACGTGGCGCGCTTGGTGCAAAAGTCGCCCACCCTTCAGACACTTGCCCACCAGTTCCAGCCCCCGGTCTCCGACTTTGTGAAAGACTGTAAACACCTCATTGACGAATCCAAGCTCGCCAGCCTTCCCCGGATCGTTATCTCTGTAACACTGTCGCTTGTCAGAATTTCTCTCCTGCAGCGCAGGGACGCTAAGGTGCCTCAAGAGGAGATTCGGGAGCGCTTAGACGAGGCCCTGACTCTATGCAACATGCTTCCTGACAACAGCGAGATAAAGGAGAGTATCGAGGAGTTTATCCGGCTCACGGAGGGCCCGCGGTATGAGGAAGTGACTCCCGAGGAGCTCGCTTCGATCAAGATGGCCATGGTAACTGGGCCAAGGGGAATTGCAACCCATTCAGGCCATTGGTATAACTGTGTTAACGGACATCCGGTAAGTTTTCACCTTCTGAATTGCACCTTAACTATAATCTCGTGGCATTACAAGCTAAGTGGATCTTGACTAGTTCGCCATCGGAGAATGCGGGATGCCGATGGAGCTTGCACGTTGCCCCGAGTGCAATGAACCCATTGGCGGCCGGGATCACCAGCTCGTTGATGGTGCAACTCGAGCTACGGAAATGGAGTAAATGGTAGCGAGGGTCGTTTGTCGGGGCGGTGGCATGCAGAGATGTTTCCTGGGAAGTGAAGAGTTTATATTACCTCCCATAGAATGAGGTGAATGAATGCCTAGGCTGAACGCTTATAAGAAACTTCCATTATCCCGTAGCTTTGGTGTACTGGTGCTGATAGTATCCATCATACCCCCGCCTGCTCTGTTGTGGATGCACTGGACGACACATCTACACTCGTCTCAGGCCCTCTGGAGAGATGTCTTTAGACCCAGTAGGTCAAGAATACCACCTAGCTCTCAACCGAAATGGGCGAGGGCTGGGCCCCCAACTAAGGGGGAAAAGGTGGTCTGAAAGGAATTATCTTCTTGAGATGAAACCCACGGGTGATAACGGGTGCAGTCGCTCCCTCCTAAGGGGGACTTCCTGTGCTAGTGGAGGTTATTTATTCACGTAGTGCCTGAGAATAGACTTGAAATCAAAAACATCGAAAAGTCACCACCAATTCAACCTTAGCCAACCCTTCCTCGAACATCCACTGATCCGCTGTCGCCCACATACTCGAGGGCTCGAGGTCATCCGTTTCCACGGGCGCTACTATGCCTGCTGGTATCGATTCGATCGATTCGACAGTTGCTTTGAAGGCCTCGGTGCCAAAGTCGTCGAGAGCATCCCCTCCGACTCTGAACAATATCAAGGTATGTCTGTGGCCCAGACTCCAAGCCCTGATCAGTTGACGCGTTGCATTGAAATTCGGAGAATTCCTAACAGCTGTAGGATGGCTCAAACCAATGCGAACCATGTATAAGGGGAAAGAACTCGCCCTTGAACAGGAACTCTTCGAGCTTCGTCATGGGTCTGAGCCAGACTACTCGAGGGTTGAACGGTTTCTGATATGTTCATGCTCACTACCGCGTCAGCATCAAGCCGGTGTCGAAAATCTTTATATCATTAACCTGGACAAAGAAGTCCTCACGTCGAATCACGTCATACACTGGAAGCTGGGGAACATCCCACACAAGGACAACCTCTGGGTGCGCGCTGCTGCAAATAATATCTATCTAGAGCATCCCACCATCTCCCTGGGTATCTGCCCAGATGAGCACATTGCTTCGCCAGCTATGGTACTTCTGGAGCCTAATATGTCCATCGACTACAATGTCAAGGCCGTAGCCCCGCGAACGGATATCAGAGAAGCACGAAAACTATTCCTTACGCGCGTCCTAGCAGGGGTGTTCTTGGAATATAAGATGGATATACTTCAACTTGGGGCAGAGTGGGATGTGGACTCGTTCCCTTTCCGAGAGTTGACCTTTGCCCAGATATCGATTGCTTCCGGCCAGGTCATCTTTCATTCGTTTCCCGCCCAACAGTGCAACCCTTGGACATGTTCTTCCCCCAGCTGTTGTAGGAAGCACCTGCCGAAATCTGCTGGATGGCTTGATAAACGCTGGGTCGGCGATGAGGAGCCGTTACTGCAGTTTAGATCCATGTGCCATCGATCAGGTGACCCACCGAGAGCGTCGCCGACGGAGACAATGTACTGGCACGAAGGTGTGCTCGTGAGTCTGGCGCTATTACTTGCCGATGGCGCCGCCATCATGAAAGCTGTAACTTGGGGTCTCATCCAGGTACAAAACAACTTTCAGATTGTCGTTTTATCGCTCTTTGATGTTGCATTTGCAGAGGTATCGTCGTTGGATGATGAGCCGATCGTCAAAGTCACTCGGGCTGTCGACCTCTCTCCACTACGCACAAGGTATTGCAGTACGAGCACGCACCCGCGCGAGAGGCCAGAGTGGAAGTTTGGGATACAATCGAAGTCTCACCATGGCAAGGCTATCATGGAGGCGAACTGCGCAACGTCTCCAGAGAAACTGAGAGATTGCTTCCCTGGGCTAACTGCCCTCGTCAACTTTTTCGACGTTGCCAAGAGCCGCCGCGCAAGGTTCACAAAGAGCCTATGCTGTCATTCATATTTGAGAACATGCAAGAAGGGAGGACGTTTTCGATGATACAGAACCTCAATCCGCGTCGTATACTGGAGACAAACTGGATGCCCATTATTGGCAGCAGTCGAAAAGTTACAATAAAGGATGTGTCCGTTTTCTTTGAGCTGGCGGAGGACGCTCCGGATGCGCTGTGACACAGTCACACCGGCGAGGAGCTATAGACCCAACCTATGTATCAGTTTTAGGGGTCGGTTTGAGATGTAACTGGCCCGGGGGAAGATTTATTGTCTCTCGACTACTCTATCAATTTGCCGTCCAGAAGTTGGCTGTCCTAGTTAATCTTTCCAGCACGAACCGCCCGATGTGGGACTGACTTCGCCAAACAGAAAAGGGGCCGGGATATCACGTTTGTTGCGCGCACCGGCCGGCTAATTTTCGTTGGACGACGAGATCAGCTATGGCTGTTCTAATTTATACGTATCGAGACTGGGCGCGGGGTTGAAGCATGTCAGAGGTAGATGCGAGGACCAAAAACGCAAGATTTCACCAAACAATTCTTCAAACACCAGCGGCCGTCAGAATGATAGCTCATATGCGCAGGGTGCTCTTGCCATCCTCACTCGAGGTTTTCTTGTAGAGAACTAGTAAGCGGCGTACGTGGGAGGGAAACCGAGGTTGGCATCTCCACGCGCGGGTGTCATATCATGGTAAAAGGCTTAAACTTCCACTAAAAGAGGACTATTGGCGCCGCGCTCGGTAGGCTGAATTATAATATTTCAATATAGAACCCTGGGTATCAGTTCAACACTACCTCCATCCTAATTAGTTCTAGCTCGTTTTGTAGATGATCTTGTAATATCTTAGATACAGAACCTCCTCGTTGCATAGATCCAGCCCATTATTCGACTCCGATCTAGGTTTGTCCTTCGAAGAGCCAAGGCCGTTCAGGGCAGCGCCGTCGAGGGCTTGACGGGATTGGAGGAAAACGCCACGTCGGTCAAGGAAAACCGTTCTGGTGTCCACAAAAGGGGTCAGACTCATGCCGAATCCAGGACTGAGTCATAATCATGGCCGGTGCCGTTTTGACTTCGTTACCTCCGAGAGCTCGATAGAACAATAAATCGTCAAATTCAGTGTTTTGGCCGGGATTGCTGAAATTCCCATGGACAGAAGAGGCAACAATTTTTGATCAAAGGGGCCATGCGCGATCGTACTCTGCGACTTCGCACAAAGTATTTCGCCGTCTATTAAGCCGCAGAGAGCGTATTTGGATATCGAAGAAAGGAACTGTGGTCTAATCGATGGCGGCATCCGTCGGAGCAGTCTTTCCTCTGCCAAGAGCATCGAGGTATCCCAACTGTTGAGCGCTAACCTGAATTAGGTGCTTGGAATCGACGAAGTCCACACCCTGCTCGGAGTGCCTTCGACATAAACTTGAGAAAACTTCCGATCTAGACTAGTCAGCACCTAGCCTTGTAGGGATCACCACGAACGCGATCTCGAAATGGTAAAGCCTCCGAAGTCTTGATCCATAACAACCTGGACGATGACGAAGTCAGCCCTGCAACAGTTGACTTTTAACCCCAGGAAACCTTGACCTCCAACACCTTGTTTTTCACTCCAAGCTTTGTTTTAGTTTGACCTATCTCCTCTAAATTCGAATTCATCGTCCTTCATTTCATCCAATGGCGGAGTCCCCGGTGGGCAGCACGGAGAAGCCAACGGCATCCACTAGATCCGGTACAGATGACGCTAAACTACGAACCCTTGAGATATCGATCATGCCATCTAATTAATACTTCGTAGACATCGCACAACCGCCGGCTCAATATCCTAATGCCAATGTCGACGATAATGCACCTTCTCGTCCATCAACGAGACTAATGCTAAACAGGTACCCTAAAGGCCTGGCGGCCCCCAGAATCCGACGCCGCATCGTCCTTCTCCGATCGCTCTTCCGCTGGATAATCACCCTAGCCATCATAGCTTCGGTGTACGTCGTCCTCGCGGCGTATTCAGACCGCCCAGTCCTTTCGAAGGTAGCGAAACGTTATTTTAATGCATTCACCACGGGCCTACTCATTCTCCTCGCCCTTAATGTTATGAGCGCCTTAAACGAGAGTGCGAGGAACTGTCGATGGTGGATTTTGAGCCGTCGATATCGTCCCACACATGAAGTATGTCGCAGAAATGTGTCGCCGCATTCGCCAAGGAAGAAGAAGAAAGGGGGATATTAACCAGCGAGAGTTAGGTGGAGGCGATATTTGGCGGCGATAGCATGCGCCACTTGATCAAGTTGATGGTAGGATCACGGCGGGCATCCACAATCCTAGTCGTCCTAATATGGCTGCTACTGAACATCGTACGTGGGAATTCTAATCGTCCCATTTGAGTTGTCAACAACTAACCCGTCATCACCACCCTACAGGGTTCACAAATCGGGTTTGCCTCAGTGAGTTTAACGTACTCTCTGGAAAGTAACTGGCAGACTTCACGGTTGGTACCCGGCAATGTCGCGTTGCCTTTAATGACCAACATCACAACCGAGGAACTGGTTAAATCGGCAGACAGTTGGGCTGAAGGCCAGCGGTACGCTGCTAACACGTGAGTATCAAGAAGCGGCCGAACCCAGATCTTCATTTAGGCGTTGTAATTTGACTATTCTATAGGTACGGGTTGATGTCGTAGGCGCTTAAAGTTAGGGGTATGGACGAGCTTCCAGTGCCCGGTGATCTTTGGTATTCTGGAGACCCCGCAATATTCTGCCAGGATGCGGACGCTCTGTGCCTATACGTATTCCACGAGACCTCTCCACAATCACTCGAAGACCGTGATTACCTTCCAGTCAAAACCTCGACTTCGCGAAGCATTAATGCGACATCGGTTTGCGAGAGTTGGCCAGTTATCGAAGGAGGGAACGGCACGGTTTCGAATATCACCATTCAAAAGGAATCTAGAGATATTATTGTCACTGTCCCTATCCCAGGTAGAACAGACAGGACAATCTTCATGACCGATCCAAACACAATTTGCGGAGAAGGCTGCAGCATAATCACGGTATTCGAATCATCAGAAGATTCACCATGGTTCTACACCTGCCGTATCACCGTGAAACCCGTAGCTAATGCTACCCGACCTATAGAAAGGGTAAGCCTCGACTTGAGAGATCTCGCATCAACCAGCATTGCGCTTCGAGGTTTCACGGACCCGACTACGGTAGATGGCACCGACATTTTGCACGCTGTTTACCCAGCCGAGACTTACATTGGATTCCCTCGCAAGGGATCTACATCAGACATGGCTCGCCTGCTGTCACAATTTTCAATCGGCGTTATTGCCGTCACCGCTGAATCAAACGACATGGAGATTGTTCCCGGTAACGAGCCCAAAATCGGCACGAACCTCAAAATTGAGCACTGGCGGTTAATAAATCTTATTTTCATCCTCACTGCGGCCATCCAGTTGTCGCTTGGCCTTGCCAATCTGTTCTTTGCCCACATGGTCGTCATCCCCGACAGTGGACTTGTTGACGAGGCCAGGATTTTGCGGGCCATGATGAAGGAGGAGAATTTGCAATCTGTGTCTTGCATGCGGGAGAGGAAGAAGGAGAAGGATACATCGCAATGGATATATCGAAATCAGGACATGGGTGACGGGGTCTATGACCTGTATTTCGAGGAGCGGTAGATGCATCTAAATCGAGCGCGGAATTCTGTATTATAACGAGCAGGCGTTTGACCTGCTGGGTGTCGGGTGTGCAAGATTCTTCGTCCACATCCCTTTTCCAATTTCTGTAGACTTCAACTTGCCAACGTATATATCATAAACCCCGGTCACCATCCAGGATACTAAATGTCGAGTCAGGTTCCTGGGGTATTATGAGAATGGGTCTGATCAATGCGAATTGATTCCACTTCGGCAACTCGCGTCTGTATTTCTGCTCTGATCCATTCTGAGACGTCTCTAGCAGACAATCCTCCCCTATGCACGCGTCAACGTCGCGTAACCCTCTTTCAATCCGGTTTTAAGCCTTTACCTCTTAGCCTCGGATTTCCTTTTCATGAACGGTGATGGATCGTACGTCTCCAATGAACATATTTCGAGGCAGCAAGATTGTCCCTAGCCAGCGGAGCTCGCAACCCTGTTTGCTAATTTTTTTGCAACTTGGAGAGAAGGAGAGATTGAAGGTGCCTCATCTATGGGCTCCTAATATCCGACCGGGGCTCCTGTCAGTCAAAAGTCTCTGCCTCAATGACCGGTATTGTAAACATGCATCTCGTTCCCACTCGGGTCGGCATCGCGAGGGGTGTCCATCGGACACTTAACTGAGAACGGGAGGCTAATACAGGGACGATGTAGCGCCTTAAAATAGCGAATAGCATCCGCGGATAACGTTCAAGAGGATGAGGAAGCTGAGAACGTATTAGGCAATACACCGCGGTTGGCTGCTTGACTCCGACTGTGGACCGCAGGGTTGTCCCAGAGTCATCTCCCGGTCGTAATTATCTAGCATCATTTTAGAGTCGGAAGCGTTTTCTATCCTTAGTATGCCAACAGAAATACAGACGAAAAGTGCGCACACCAAAATCCATTTTCAGATTCAATGCTGAGCTCTGGTATTGTCAGGGCTGAGCTCGGCTGATGGGGGTGAGCAACGCAAAACAGGCCCACTTTTAGGAACACAGGAGCCTAGAATAAGGCCGAGGCACTCTAAGTCATACAACGCAGGAGAGACTAGTATAGTTACAGCTGCCCTGGGGTCTATCTTTGGCTCACATAGACAACATATGCCAGGTCTACTTACCATGAAGTATGCCTTGCCAATGCGTGTGAAACTCCACTTGTCTAGATAGGACTCTAGGTAGACTTAGGTTCTCCCCTCTACAACGAGCCACACAACAAGATGGCTGAGCCCTTTATCACATGTATGATCATTACAGGCGCTATCCTGTTCCTGTAGGCTGAGGATGCTATTCGCCAAATACTGCTTCAAGATAGTATGACAGCCTATACACGTCCCCAATCTGGTTGTCAAGAATTACCATTTCCTTCTTCAGACCTGAGCAGCTCCTGCTTAAGACTAAGCAAGGGTGAGCAAGGGTGAGCAAGGTAAGTAAGGAGGTTACAGTTTTGGGCCTCCCCAGCTATAGTTGCCATGTCTACAAAAGTGTAAAAAGCATAGCAGAGTTGTAAGGATGAATTTCTAAACCTAATTTTAGGATAGCATTACACTACTATATACCTACTACTTCTAGGCCACAATGCTCACTTCATCGCTCAAAGATTCATATATCATCTCGAAACAAACGTCGGTGGCAAGTACGCATTGGAGAAATCTAGTGAGTATACTTGAATGAATGTCTAAGCATTCGCACCTGGGGCGACAAGGCCTTCGTTAACAGCGGGCTGTCGCGGGTTCATGTCCTCTCACATGATGGGACCAGCCTCTCCGTCACCCATGTTATCAACCCTTATAGCCCCTTGCCTCCGGAATTACGCGGCTTTTCGCCTTGACATTATGTCGAGCCTTCTTCGAGGTTTTCCGCGTTTCATCCAAGCCAATATCTGACCAACTTCTTTCCCCACCCCCACGACCCAGATGGGGTATTCATCGTCCTCGCCTCGTCAGTTCCTGGGTCGTTTCCGGCGTCGGTTCCCGCGACTGATCCTATGAGGATTCGCTTTTAATCTGCGAGTTCAGCGGTGCTAGGTACATTGCGACTTACACCTGTCACATGGCGGAAACTATGCGGTCGGTGATGGAGACCGTATTCGGCCGGGGCAATAGCGCGATTATAGAGATGGAGCTGGAGGCTGCGAGACGGAGTCTCAGTCACATTCAGCACCGTTACAAGGCGATGGGGGTTCCAGGGGGCGTTTATCGATGACGGCGGGGACCGGATTGGCCACGAGCAGGAGATATGGGTCCCGTGGGCTTCGATTCCGAGGAATCAGCAGTTCGTACGGGTGAACTACGACAGCTACGACTACATGGTCGGGACGCCTGTCATCACGACCGGCAACATCGACAATGGCGGCGGGGAGCAAGTGAAGACGCGCAGGACGATGGGGAAGCGTGATGATTTGTATCCCCGGAACCACGCAAATAAGGCGTGGAGCAAAAGATGCGACCGAAACATCCATCTGAAGCTTCACCACGACGGGGACTTTATGGTTTTATGGGACGCATATCAGTCGGACTGCGTCGTCTATGATTTTAGGGAGTCGGAAGAGAAGAAGCAGGAGTAGGCGAAGAGTGTCCCACATGAAATAATGCCTTGACTTGGATCGAGGGTAGGATACGGGCCACATTGGCTGTATGGCTAAGGTCTTGGCCCTGGTTGCATCATTGTCAGCGTGAACCTGCCAACTTTATCTCGACCAGTATGACATCAATTGATGGTAGCAGCTGTGGAAACCGGCTGGTCCGGTATGGTTGACAGGTACAGTGGATTCAGTGTCGTCAGGTACTCTGGTGCCATCACGGTATGCACGCTTATTTAAGTACAAGGCATTTGGCATCCAGAAACCTGTGGCACGAAGGGAAGGGACATTGGGCGATGCTGCCTCTGGGCGTCCCTTCCATGATGTGATGATGCCGCGCCGTTGTCCCTTCCCTAGTAATATGACGCTGGGCGTTCCCCATCGACATTCTCACCGAAGGATCCGAAAACCCGCACGAGCTTTCACTGGGAGGCGGAGAAAAAGAGTTACTGGAACGGTACCGCCTCGAGCTCCTTTCCGGCGAGCGGAGCGCGGACGAGGAAGAGTGGAACTATCCGTGGGAAGAGTTCGTGCGACACAGGGAGGCGGCGTTGGTGGATTGGTGTCGGTTCCAGGCGTCGTGGGGGTTTTGGGGTGATACGGGGTGGCTCGAGGCGAGAGTCAGATCAATCTTGAAGGATGAGAGTTGGCATCAATGGCTTGATAGCGTGGTCGACTGGGGTCGCCGTCAATAGATGATATCACGTCTAGCGATCGGATCTGAAACTTCTACACTTCCTTTTCCGATATTCTTGCCCAGCCCGACCTCGAGTACTCGAAAATGGACCAGGAAACACATGGCTTAGAGTCCTTAGATTGTTTTCGTTTCCGTCGCGTCTTCGGGAGAGACAGAGGTGCACACGCCGGGGAGTCTGGCGTCATAGCCACATACCCTAACGGTGTTAGGGTTAAGACGGGTCGGAAAATGGGTTGAACCCGTACTTGAGGGCGGAAGGAGCTGATAATAGCTAGTCCACATCATATTAATGCATCATGGTCATGGGTCACCAGCGAGGAGAGGGGAGTTCGTCGCACGAATTACAGAGGATGCTACACTCAAATCTCTGTACGACAATGAAATATCAAGTGTGACTGACGGAATTCCATCCGTCTTTTCCCTTCTCTGCAATACCGATACCCCGCACCTGTCTTCTCTGACGTGGACGGATCATCGACCGACCTCGTTCTTCTCTTTTGGGGGCATTCGGCATGGGCGGGCTTATGCAGGGTTGCTCCCCGACCGCCACGATGTGACGCCGAGCCCCGTTCCCGTGCATAAACGTCTCTTTTTCGCAACCTATCAACTCGCCCCCACGCGAGTTGTCGACGAAAAATATTCGTTGGTGAACTCCCCAAAAGCGGAATGTCTTCTGAGGCCCGAGACGACCAGAGAAGCACGAGACGAGTCGCCTACATGTTTCGAAATGGGTATCGAGCGTAAGGATAATAGTACGTACTACTACTACCAGTACGACGAACACGTGTGTGTCAAACATTGACGTGCAACACCCCGCTCCTCCCCCTTGTCTCTTTACTCGTGATAAATCCCCCACGGGTTGGGATCATCCGAGGTGTGGGCTCGAGTTTCTGACCGGGGTCTCATTCGCCTGAGAGAACTCTTGATGTCTTCTTGGCGTTCCTTCAGAAAGCTTCGACAGCGGTTGCGTCTGGAAATGTTCCATTGTCCAAGCTCGACAAGCTCCGCATTATCAGAGGGAACTGATATGAATCGATTTGGAAAACAGGTTCGCAAGAAGGGCAAGTCCAGATGCTTCGGACGAAGAGACCACCATGACTTCCATGGACTTCGATTGAAAGGCTCTTCGCCAAGAGTATTGGTGGCTCGGGGCGGTTCTCCCCGGCTGCGTGATCCCTGCAGCCACGATGCAGAAACCTTGTCCGCTCCCGTCCGATAAAGCGTAGACCCGTGTATGCATGTTGTATCTCTTCCTGCCCATCCACCACCTTGGATGAAAAGTCCTTCTCCCGCCCCATAGACACACATTTTCTCCTTCCGAAACCCAGGTAATCTCACAGATCACACATCCTTTCATATTCCTCCTTAGAAAAAAAGGACAAACAGCAGGAACCAACAGGACAAACAACACAAAATACTTCCACAAACAGAAAAAAAATCCGTGCTGCACGGCCGGAACACTTACTTGACACAACTCTCCATCATGGGCGACTCGGCAGTTACAGCGCAGGGCTCCACCTCCCCCAAGTCCGCCAAATCTCCCAAGAGCGCAAGCTCGCCGATCGAGCCGGGCGCCGCCACCGCTGGACAAGCGTTGGTGGCTGACGAGGTTTGCTTTATTCTCTTTATTCTCGTCGCTGCTTTCTATGCGCTGGGCGCATTCTACGAAACCAGACCCCGTGCGCTGACCGGTAATTTGACAGAACCCCGACGCTCATTTCGAAGGTGATGGAGACTCCACGTATGATACAGTAGGTTGAAGGATCCCAATCTCTTCCACGAACCCCAAGGTACGGGTCCGTCCCGGCGTTGTGGTACGGCACACGCACGCAGCCGATCAGTCGCTGACCTCTCGGGTTTCTGTAGGAGGGTGGAAGCGACACTACCTCGCTTCGCTCGAGCATTATGAAGTACAGGACGGAGAATGGGAGGACGTACCACGCCTACAAAGACGGCTGTAAGTAAACCGTGGCATCCTTCTGTGCCCACCTCAACGCATCACATCGTGACATAGACGAGCTGCGCGTGTTGACACTCTAATTCCTGCTTTGCAGCTTATGTTCTTCCGAATGACGACGTACGTATCCATTCCCCACTCTCCTGTACAACCTTATGCTAACCGCCCATTGCAGGTGGAAAACGACCGCCTCGGTATGTGACGCTCTCTGCGCCCTTCTTCATCCGGTCAGGCTAACCGGTTCCTTTTGCGCGTGACAAAAGACGTCCAACACAACATTTTCCTACTCACCTTCGGTGGACTACACGTCGCTAGTTTCGAGAAAGAACCCCAGCGGGTGTTGGACGTTGGCTGTGGCACCGGCATCTGGTCCATCGATTTCGGTAGGAAGCTTCCCGAGCAAAGACGTCCCGAGTACTGCAAGTATAATGCGCTAACCGAAATCCGCTGCAGCTGATGAGCACCCAGAGTCGCACGTAAGTCGTCATCGCGAGTGGACTCAAGCTATTGGATGAGGTGAAGACGAAGAAGTGGTAGAAGGACCAAATTTGACTTGTATTAACTTCTTTAGGTTACCGGTATCGACTTGAGTCCCATCCAACCTCCATTGTAAGAACGCTTACCGTAATCAAATAGCGACTGATGATGCTGATTCACAAATTAGCGTGCCACCAAACGTAAACTTCTACGTCGACGACCTTGAAGATGACTGGAACTTTTCTAGTCCCTTTGACTTCATCTTTGCCCGCTTCTGTACGGGATCTATCGTGAACTGGCCCAAATTCTTCAAGCAGAGCTTTGAGTAATCCGCCCCTTTCCACATACCCCATCACTTCATCGCACACGATACCTCGATAGCTAATATAAACCCGCAAATTACAGCAACCTAAACTCTGGCGGCATCATCGAGCTCCAAGATATCATATTCCCCACCTTCTGCGACGATGACACGCTACCCCCCGACGGCCCGCTGAAGCGCTGGTCCGACCTGCTCCTGGAGTGTTTTGAGAGTGTCGGACGGGGGATCACCTCGGCCTACCTCTACCCCGAGCAGCTCGCAGAAGCTGGCTTCGTGGATGTGAATGTCGTGCGTGAAAAGTGGCCGACGAATCGATGGCCCAAAGACAAGAGATATAAGCAAATCGGTAGGTTCACATGTTCTTTCCTCCTCTCCAACTTCCGGTCCCTACAACTCACGAAATGCTAGGTATCTGGAATACGGATAATATGATCAATGCGCTCCCGTCTCTCAGCCTAGCCCTTTTCACCCGTCCCAAGGAAGAGGGTGGTCTCGGATGGAGCCTCCCCGAACTCGAAGTCCTGCTCGCCGGTGTTCGGAAGGACATACGGGACCCGAGCATCCATGGTTACTGGAAGATGTAAGGCTTTCTTCTTTCTCATTTCCATCAACCCAACACTCTAAGGTGTTTGTAAAAAGGCTAACTTGTGCTTTAGTCACGCCGTCACAGCCAGGAAGCCGTAGGGAAACAAGCAATAGTTATCAAAGCGGGGAAAGGCCATTTAAAGATGGATGTCAAAGCTACCTTTATGATGATAGATCGATCAATCGAAGCGAAAATTCACCAATTGAAAACCCGGTGAACCATTTGTAGTAAGCTCTTCACATCTCCCCATCTGTGTCGCAATTCGCCAGGTATCACACCAATGCTGCACCACGTTTGATGAAGCGACGGGTAAGGGTGTGGAATCCATGTCTTCATCCCCGGCTGCTTTCCGAAGCCCTACCCTACCACCGCAGCCATGCCGGAGCAGCATTCGATCCACTTGATTAAAGGGCTATTTGCTTAGGGCTCGAGATAAACAAGGAAAAATATCTCAAAGACCACCTAGACTTCGCAGCTTCCAATGCCCGATAACCTATTGAGCATATGCATTCTTAAACCATCCACGCGGTGTTTCCTCAAGTGATTGTTTCAAAAGACTCCTTTTGGCTGATCTGACGATGTCGTTCGTTATTCTGTCGCTCTTTCTCTTTCCATTTTCTGGGCAACATCGTAGCTAGTGTAGTGCCGAAGTTTACATACCCCCAATCGGATGCCTGAAGCTCAGTGGGGAAGAGAAAAAAAAGAGGCTAAGGTTGAAGGGAAGATGATCCAATCCACGATGGTAATGCAGATAATATGTGGTTGTTCATCAATATTCTCGTACGAGGCAAGTTCTCGATACCCCCCACCCCGCCCTCTTTGACTTTCAAGCTCTTACGCATATCTGAATATCAGGAGTCATCTACTTCGACTGCCAAGAAGTGACTGAAAGTGAGCTTGAGGAGGAAAGGGGTGATCACGATACCATTCATGATTATATTCTGTCTTGGTTTTCAGAAGGACTTCACGCATCGCGGCAGGGTGAGAAGTTTCCTCCCTCCATCGTAGGAAAGCACGCGGCAAGATACTCATTGACCCCAGATTCGAGAGGATTTACTTTCACATTGGGACTCGTTGGACCCAGCAATACGACACCGTCGATCCTTTTCGCGACGAGCGCGGTAGTACCAACGTTATTGCGGTCTGGGATTTCGATCTGGATAATGATTATCTCTTGTGCAGCAAGGCGGATGGCAATTTCCGCATCCCCCTCATTCGTATCCGCAAACGACCCATGATACTCCCATCACCATAGCCGATTTCGAGCCCTACTATCCCCCCAAACCCCAGAGGCACGAAACGAAAGCCGGCGGCTATGCGCTGTGATATACCCGGCATATCCACCCTGGCCCCTCACGGCACGACACCAGAGCCTCTCTTCCATGACGACCCACAGCTCAACGACATGGCTCTCGATATCCTTCTGGCAGCAACCTACGGTAACGTCCCCACGAATAGGAACGCTCCGCTCCACAGACTTCCATCGGAACTCAAAGACCTGATTTTGGATCATGCGTCGGAGGCGCCCGTCGAAACCGCCAGGATAGGCGCTGTGCTTGAGATAGGACCAGAGTTTTCTTGGAAGTGCAAAGGGCGGGAGATGGAGAGAACAGAGGTAGTTCGCGATAGGACTCCGGATATGCCCCCGGAGTCCTGGGTTCAATTTGACGACCGTCAAGGCTGGGCCGGAATCGCGTATACATGAATGCATCTGGAAAAAAATAATGATGGGATATCTGGGTTATGTTGGTATGGCAATTAGCTAGGCGAAATAATCAAAGGATGCCAGAAATATGAGGGCAAATAAAGAAGAGTTTAAAAAAGAAAAACAAAAGGGGGTATGAAATTGAAATCGAATTGAGATAAACCCTCCACGTATCCGGGCCAGTGCTTGACCTATGATCTTGCGCTCGAATGTGATGACACTGATAATCTCTCCGGGAGCCGTGATGAACGGCCGGAAAATACGCAAGTAGTCGGTGGAATGCACCGGCCCCCGCATCTGCGTCGGATAGAACCTGGAAACGGTGCAGAAGCAAGGCGGATAGCGGACTCTTGTTTTGACGATTCGCGAGTTGGGGGTTCCGATGCGACTGGAACCACGACAGCCTATCAAACCGGTGTTGGCAGCAAGAATCGTGAACGAGCAGCAATGCGGTTTGGAGCCCCTCACAACCTGAGTTGACAGGTCATTCTGCTATAAGGATGTGGCCCATCCCACCATGATTTCCCACATCGAGCCATGTTTGCTGGCTTTTGGTGGCGTCACGACCAAGGATCGCTTGCTGGAAGCGACAAGGGTAACGGTGTCATTGGCGAGGAGCCGAGTTACATTGCAGACGCGGATGGCATCCGGCCCCCGACGGAGTGAAAAAAAAGAAAAAGTGTGACGGGAGTAACCGACAACATGGATGAGGGAAGAAAGGTCCTACAGGAAAGGGTTTCTCGACATTTGAACGGATTCCAATCCCGTTCCTTATGTTCTTTCGTTCTTTATGGCACCTAGAACTTCCCGGAGTTTGTCCTACCCAAACATCACACTTTCTCGAAAACAGTCTTGGGCGACCACATTCGAGATAGAATTCCATTTTACCATCTGCAATGGCAGGAGATAAATCCCCACAGGCTGCCAGCCCCAAGGACGCTAGCAGCCCAAGAGAGTAGGAAGCTCGAAGAACGCGAGCAGCAGCCCTAAGAGCCCGACGAGGCCCAAGAGCGACCAAAGCCACCGCGAACAACCCGGCGGAATCCTGCCCCCGGAGCACTGGGCACAACAGGTTCGCGTTTCTTTCCTGCGTGGTCGCCCTTCCAAAGTTGTTATCTTAACCTTTTTTTCCCTTGCTTCTTCTCCAGGCCCACGACGACGATGACGCGGAATCCGGCATCGGGAGCCTCGACCTTCTTCGACGGCTTCCATATCTTCCAGCATCCTGAGATTTCGGACCATAGAAGGGCGACGATACCATAGCGAGATCGGCAATGCGGAATACTGGTAAGTAGACGCAGCGATTGATGTCCGACGTAGTTTCCCTCGGATCCTTGCTTTTGATTTCTCTTCGTTCTGTTTGAATTTCACACGCTCGAAATCAGTTATAGAGTCGGACTGATCAGTGGCTAAACGCTAAATATGGGCGCGAATGATGAGCAACAAAACGAATCGATGGACATCAAGTACGTGGCGTGCCCTTGATGTTGGTGAAAACTCGGATCCCTTTCTTCTTACACTGTCGCACAGTCATCATACCCCCACCGTGGCCCTTGACGGAAAACTGTACCTAGCACCCCTAGAAAAGGAAAAGGTCAAGGTACGTTCAAGTATTTCACGTCTGGAGAAGGAAACGGAAACCCACACTGATTCCCGCCGTTGCAGAAAGCCATCGATATTGGCACCGGAACCGGTAAACGAGTCCTTTTTCCCACAATTTTGTCTTCTGTTCATTTCCCCTAAGTAAGCTTGATTCCGCGGGGCAGGAATCTGGGCAATGTAAGTTTTTCCTTTCTTTCTTTCTTTCTTCTACCTCAGTCGTCGTCACGGGAGATGTAAAGGCTGACTCTATGAACTCCGATAGCAATTTTGCCGACGAGTTTCCGGACGCCGAGATTATTGGAACGGATATTTCGCCCATCCAACCGGGTTGGGTGCCCCCAAACTTGAAGTTGTAAGTTGCAGCCTCGGACTTAGTAAACCGACACTTTTATGGGTGTACGAAACGTGGACTGACGACGATGATGATGCTTCCCCTGAAGCGAAATCGAAGACTGCACGCAGCCTTGGACGTTCGCGCCGGATTCGTTTGACTACGTCCACTTGCGGTGGCTGGTTGGCAGTATCCCTGATTGGGAGGCGTTGTACAAGGAAGCCTTCCGAGCCTGTCGACCGGGTGGTTGGGTGGAAAGCTTCGAGCCCGAATCGGATGTAGTCAGTGACGATGGCACGGTCACGGAACATACAGCGCTAGGCCAATGGGGCAAGTTCTTCGCCGAGGGCGAGAAGAAGACGGCGCGTCTCTTCACTGTCGTTAGGCGGGGCCTGCAGCGGAAATACATGGAAGAAGCGGGATTCGTTGACATCAAGGAGTTCGACTTTAAGGTGAGTTGGATAACCCTCATCTCCATTTCGGTGATTTAGAATCTTGACGAGGTCCGCTGACAAAATCCTTTCTTATGGGAAAAAGCTGCCCTTAGGTGGTTCCGGTTCCTTGTTGGAAGGACGTCCCAAGCGAGGCGCCGCCAACGAAATTGATGCGCCGGGCCCCTGGCTTGCTGCTTCTACTCCATATGCAAGTTTACTTGATTGAAACACGACAAACTCCAACTTTTCCTGCAAAATATCACTATAATTCTGTCAAAATGTTCAAGCCGGAACAGCTGATGTAGATAAGAGGCGCGAAAGAGAAGGTCAAAATTGATTGATCTCGCGTTGTCAACTCCTGGTGGGTGAACCCAATTCGGTTGTCGCTTGATGGTTGTCATGGTTGGGGCGTTGGAGTGCGGTGCAGTTGGGAAGAGGCAGTTTATACGGAGTACCTCGGTACTTCGTAAGCACTATGCCCCTGTGAAAATCACGTGATATGGCACACAACATTGGCGTGTTTGCTACGAAGTACTTCGTACTTCGGACGAAATTTGATCCACATCGGTCCCTTACCTCGTGGCTGATTATGTAATATCCGGATCGGCGGGTCCCCGGGGATTTTGGTGGGGCGTGGGTTGGAGCATGACGTGACAGTACCTGAAGTGGGCTGAACTTTGCCTCTACCCTCCTGTGTCGCATCGCCGCCCTGAAAATGCAACAACGCTCCTCCATCGAGTGTTAGTATTAATACCTATCTGAAATGCGCTGAGTAACAACGTTTCCGGGATGGCTCAGCGGAAGCAGACCATTCAGCCTTGGGGGGGCAACTTGCCCTGCTGCCACGGTCCTAAAGACGGCTGCGTGGCTCATAACTCCGCGCGGACGCCGACGTTCTGGGACTCGTCGCTGCCATCCAGCGTCAAACCTGTCACCGACTCCTTCCTCGAGACCATCTTCGGCGACAGGAGCAAGAATAAGCCAAGCCAGGGCCAAGGCCGGGCCCCAGAGCCAGAACCCGTCATTTTGTCCGTCTTACCACGCGAATCGGCAAACTTAGACAACCTCCCTCTCGTCCATCCTTCGGTACCTTACACCATCTCCTTCTACCACATCCACGCTGCCATGAGCGCCGTCGCCGACGGCGAGGACCCCTCGGCACTGCTCAACTTCCTTACCTGCCGCGGCACGAGCGGCTCCCGTCCCAAGATCGCCTGGTCCGTCACACCGCTCGTGGCCAACGGGACCTTCCTCCTCGAGCACGCCTACGAATTTCCCATCAACCTGCAGCACGAAGCCGGCGACACGAGCTATCACACCAAGAACTGGTTCGTGTCGAAGGGGTTCCGCAGCTTCGCGCCCTGCTCGCACTGCGTGTACGTTTTTCGCTCGATACGAGAGACGCGCAAGGACCGCGGCGACCGCCACGTCTGCGTCGAGTTCAGCCTCCGTAACGTGCTGGGCCAGGAGTTCCGCGACGAGTGGAGCTGCGAGGCCGGCCGCCGCCAGCCGCAAAAAATGTGCTGCGGCATGTGCTACACCGATTTCTGCCTGAGCTTCCAGCCGCAGTGGCGCGCCGTGCAGGTGCGCCTCTGGTCGCATCGCGATCTCGGTGCCGGCGTGGATCCAAGCGATCCCAAGTGGATCGCCGCCATGGGCGGCCAGGCCATCCAGAGGGTCAAGAAAGACTTTGGGAGGATTCGCTCAGCCTTCAGGTCGCCGGCTGAATTGGGCCAGCAGGAGACACAGAACGATATGAATTGGCAGAGTCCAGCGATGTCATCACAGCAGGGGTCGCAAATGGGGTCATATGCGCTACAGGACGCCTCGAATGCGCCCTCGCCTCCGCCATACAGCCCGAAGGATATCTACTGAGTTTTGCAGGGCTGTCTCTGCGATGATCTAGTCCTTTTTGCCGTCTTAGATATGTCAGAACAGCTTCGGCCTCGGCCACCATTAGTGAATTCCTCTCCTACGGCTTGTTTCCAGCTTGCTCTAATTCGTAATACCGTTAATTCGTAATAGAATACTGATAAGCATACCTTTAGGCCTGTTCACTAAGCACACGGCATCACTGAATCCAGTAGACAGCGTCGATACTGCGGTCCTCCCAGGGTTATATTCGACAACGCTCGACGTCGTGAACGAAGTTCCGTCGGAGCAGGGAATAAAATTTCACCCATGTCGCGGGTATTCATTCAGTGCAGTCTCGATTGCAACGTCCTTGGAGTGTATACGAAATACGTCGCCGCAAGTATTACGTGAGCCGAAAGCGATGACGTACTGTAGAAGAAAACTTGGGAAATTACTAGATATTTGCTATTTAATAAGTCGGAAATAGGGTTGGAAACAAGAGAACTCCTTTACTTGTCATAGATGAGATTCGGCGCCCTTTCCCGATCTATATTTGTAACCCGGAGCGAACATTTAGCTGTTACTCGTGAGTCGCGTCCCACCCTCCCTGCTGCACCTGTGCTATGTAGCTCTGAAAGATCCACTCATACTTCGCACATCGTCGCACAGCACACCTAGCATCCACGTCACAAATTCTGCAGCCACATGCAGACTCAGCCAACCAAGTCTGCCTTGGCTCTCTCAGCGGAAATCGGACGGGCTAATGAGGACGATTGAAACCCTTACCTGGAGCCAAGAAAAGTCTTGGCAGTCTTCCATCCATACCCGATTATCACATCAGGTTGTGGAAGACCAGAGTCCAGACCTCAACTTGCAGAGTAGAGTCGGGATCCCACCCCCTCCAAAAGAAGACTAAACAAGGGAAAGTGGATTAAGAGCCCTTTGTTTCTATTTTGGAGGTTGGGAAACATGCGAGCGGGGGTGCTTCGAACGACAATAAAAAGAACTACTCTTGTGCTCCACGTCCGTGGCGACAAGCGTCCCTAATTCTATGATTCTCACGATCTCACAATCTTATAATAATAACGTATATATCGGAAGTGGTTTTTGGTTCCTTTGCCTAACAATGGTGGTTCAAGAAAATATCACGGCCTATCGATTACGCCATGATAGTCTGCAAAACTTACTCCGAGAGATTTTTGGGGACGATGATATTACAGTTGATGTATGTGGCGCACCCACACTGAGGACTGGGCGAGCGAGAACATGAGATTTACCAAAGGCAGCAAGTTGGGGAGATGTACACTGTATTTCTGCCCAGATACTTGAACAGTGTAGGTGACAACCTCGCGCTCACTAACTGAAGCACGAATCCGCGTCCACAATCCTCGGTGGATGATCTGCTAACAACAAGAGAACATCCAGGAGGACCGCCAGAAAATTGAGGCGCTGAGATCCCGGCGATAGTGATATAGTGGAGATAGAGATAGTAGGGATCTTCGGGGGAGGACAGATTCCGGCGGATCACTATCGGGCGAGGGTTGCAGGCTATCGCTGTTTGCAACTTGGAACAATTTGGGCGGGACATGGCTGCCGCGCTGTGGACAGTTATTGGCAGTGAAGGCTTGACGTATTGAATGCAAAATGCACTTCATCAACGGATGGGGGGTAATCTCAGTAGACGAGCCAGGCCTATCAGGAAACTTGGTCGCACATTCTCACCGCCCAATCGGCAGCAGTTCGCCTTATAAGTCTGCCTGAGTTCGATTGGGCGCTGGTGACTACCTTGTCATTTATCCATCAATGCAGGGCTTGATAACTTCATTTTAGATCAAGTCAGGGTGAGCAGCGTCACATTTGCCAACCTTGCCTCGACCACGATCTCGCATATTTCTACATTGATGACCAGTCTCTGTTTTCTTCCGCTTTACAACTCTCGGTACCTCAGAGCACCGATTCATAAATGCTCTCAAGACCGTACAAAGGACGTGTTGCCGCCGGTTTGCACACGCGATACCTGTCGTATTATACACCATGGAACCTGATCCGCTCGATGAGCTCCGCCACAGCTGCCAGAACCACATCACGTACCCTGAAAATCTTGTCCGGTACGGCGGTCCAAGACACAAGCTAAAGACATTGAGAAAAGTGCTGGACGCTTTAACCGGCCATCCATCCGCATTCCAGGCCGGGTTCGAGTTGTTCGACACAGATGGAAGAGAAAATGGAATAGACATAGTAGACCTGTCGGATGGCCATGAAGGTATGATAGGATCCCGTTTTCCTCTTTCTTTCTTGCCGCAATTGTGGAAACTGTGGAGGCCTGACGCAAATATCTTATTAGAGCGAACTTCATTCTTTATTGAGGACCATGACCAATTGCAAGAACACTTCGAGTCAAAGCTCAAAGATCCAAAGTTTCGTTATGTGTAAATGTCCCTTAAGACTACTGCCCTATCTGTGAAGAAGCGCACGACTGCGATTTACAGCCACGGCTTGGGAGGCACCTTTCCCCCTTCCCCTCTCCCCCCACGGGCACGAGGTCTGACTTTTCTCTCTAGTTCCATCGAGGCCCCCTCATCACGGGATCCCCTGGCGTGCACCAGAAATACACTAACACTTCTCGCGTCTTATCACCAACTTCAACCTGCCTTCTTGGACGCCGTGTTTGGGTTCCGGTCCAACCACTCCTACAAGCCTTTGGACTGGTCCGTGGCAACTTTCGACTTTGATGATACCATTTCACTCTCCGATGAGAGAACGTTTCAGATACCATCATTGGGCAGAAGTGGGCGTGAGATTAGAACTACGTATCTTCTTCGTGGGGTAGAACCATCCCAATCCATCCGCGGGTGGAACTGGGGTGTACGCCAATTAGGTCTTCACCACGTATTCGATGTGGAGACCGGCAGAGCCCTATGGATATCCATCAAAGGGAACAAAGGATTCCGGGAGTCGGTTGAGGAGAGCTTGCAGGAGGGCAGGTCCGATACGGCCTCTCCACTGCATCTATCAAATCTTTGCGACTCGGTCGAGTCTTTTCCTGCTTCTATGGAGTTCCACCACATGGCTATTGACTGGTGCGATGCAAACTGGCGATGGTACATATCAGACCTGGAAGATCGCTTACGGCAAGTTATAGAAAAGGCTAGCACCGTTACCATTGATCAAATTCCCCTTTCGGAAAGCCTCCCGAAGGATGTCAAGCAGACTTACATGCGCCCCCCAGCAACAACTGCCCCGGGATTAATTCCTCTAGCACAAGAAAAAGGGATATCTCGACAGAAAACACTGTTCTCACAGTTGGCAAGTCCGAGGAGATCATTTATTCCCGTTTTTGACCACCGGGAGCAAAACGAGAGCCGGAATGATCCACTAGCGAACCAAAGGGCCGAGCAGCAGCTCATTTCACTCGACATTTGCACGGTCCGGGACCAGCAGGAACTCCAGATTCTTAGCGAGAAGGTACAGGAAGGGTTAATAGTTGTTAGAGATAACTCGGTGATTATTCGCCAGCTGAAAGAAGAGTATCTCATTGTCGTACAACGGCCGAAGTTCCCCTGCCGGCTACATAGCCGGGCACAAGAGAGTGTTTCCCGGTTTGCAAAGGCCGTTGAAGGGATCGAAGAGAGGATGTCAAGACGCACAAGTCAACTAGAACAGCTAGCTACTCTCGCCGAAAATGGCAGATCTCTTGTGAGTGTCCAAAACGAGGTTTCTGAAAGGACTGAACAGCTAACTAGCTTCATCGATAGTTTACCGCTGTACAACAACAACAAATGTTTCGGATGACCAAAATCTACTCTGATCACTCCAATACAATCACGGGTCATATGAGAGAGCTTGCGTCCCAGACAGCCAAGGATACATGGGCCATGCAAAAGATAACAGTGGTGACATTGGTCTTCCTTCCAGGAACGTTCATCGCGGTAAGAACATCCTGCAGCTGACTTCGCTTGTGCCTTGCCCAGGGTCCTACGGGTTCTAACTAGTGGCCAGACGTTTATTCAGAGCGGCGTGTTCAGCTGGGGTGATGCAGAGGATACCCAAATTGTTCCGCACTTCGCCCTGAAAACCCCAGTCCTCTTCTTCTTCATAATTTGCGTTGTTGTTCTCATCATATTCATCGTCACGCTCTTGTATTGCATAGGCCAGAGGAGGGAGAGGGGCAGGCTAGGTCGCAAACATGCCGATTCAATCGCGTAAACGGAAACCAATGAAGCTGTATGCAGGCCTATGCCATCGTTGGAAAGATTTTCAAGTCGAACACCACATCTTGTACAAGACAACCCGTGCATCGGATGTGGCACCTCTTCGCGAACACCGGCAGTAAATTATCCGGCTAAATGCGTCACAGAAAAGGGTCCTACGTGGAAGTCCCTCTCCCTCGATGTTCTTGAAAGGGTCTGGGAATCCTTCCATTTCCAGCCCCGTTTTTCAGTTCCTTATTTTAATTTTCTCTGATATTTTCCTCAACCCAATTTGGGGTCTCGGCTGGTCCGGGGAGAAGGGAGTTTCACAGTCGACAGGGGTGTTGACTGACAACTTCCTCATTCGTATAGGGGCTGGAGCCGTCTCTGTGACTTGGGAAGGTCGATCTTGTCTGGACATGACATCCGCGCTGCCCGCGTCTATTCCCTTTCTCCAACAGCCTCGGAATGTGAATAAAAGCATTTCTGGCCGCCCTTACTTCCGTGTCACTTCTCTGTGGAGGGCGTTGTCATTTGTTCGTTTCGTGTCCGCGCTTGCGCAACCCACCGCTGTTCCACAAAGCTGCAGGTCTTTAGCCTTTTCCTCAATGATAGACCGATGTTCCAAAGACGCGACTAACGCCACTCGGTAACCCGAGCATTAGTGAACATCACAGTTGGGCGAATAATTAAACTGTTCCGCTCTCCTGTCTCCCAACGCCGGGAGCCGAGCGTGGAGCCCATTACTGGTCAGGATCCACGACGTCACCAAATGATAACGCTCTCCGGCAACAAGATACGACATCTGCTCTATCATTACCCATATTCCATCCTCATATCGAGTAATCCCCACTACAGCGATGAGCTCGACCCGCCATTCGGGGACGACTGCGGTCTATACAACCGACGTGGGGTCTCGTTTCAGGCAGTTCATCGTAAGACGTTATCAACGCGGCCTCAACGGCTTTCAGACTGGGGCGCGGTACATGCGATACTCCGATCTCCGGGAATTTTGGGAAGAGGACACAATTGAGGATGTCCTTAAGAGGAGTGGATATAATTTCCCAGCCAGCTTGTCTGACCTCCGGTCCAATTACCTACTTATCTTGTCAACGCTGGCTTTCATCGGGCATGTCGATTTCCTCCAACACTTCCAAAACTGGGGCATTACCGACGCCAATATGCCTGTAACGACGATTAAAGTTGATCGCAGATTTACTCCAGACAAGTTTACGGAAGTTTGGGAACAATTCACGTCCAAGCAATGGCAGTTCTGCCCGCTCATCATCCGCTCTGGCCAGGGAAATGAGGGACATAGACGACCTCTCAGTCGATCCATAGGTGGTTCCATAGACCCCAGGCAGATTTTGCCAATCCGCCAACGGCAGACGATACCGGGAGAGAATGATAACAAGTGGGTGGAAATTGTGGAATTGGATGAGGGCTGTTCTGATGTCAAGCATGTAAGAGACTCTCCTATCCTTCAACCTCCTAAAATACTAATAATCGGTGGGGCTTTATCAGGCCGTTTTCAAAGTCTACTCTGGAAGTGACAACCCTCGGGGCTGGCAAAAAGAGGTCGAAATGTACAATGAGCTCCAAAGGAATCGCAAGATTCACGACAATATTGTCAGAATGCTCGGGTCATTTCAGCAACACAACCTCAGCTATATCGTTCTGGAATATGCTAATGGACTGACCTTGGAGGATCATTTTAAGGGTCGCCCCGAGATTCATTCCGCTCAGGATATCGAAGAATTCTTCAAGCAGCTCGTCCTTGGCTTGTATTCAGCCCTTAACAGGTTAGAGTCGTGCAAAATGTCCGTTGAATCCATGCCGCCCGTCGTAACCGTTGCTAACCTAACAATGTTTTGAGCTGCTAGTGTCCATCGCGATATAAAGCCGTCAAACATACTATTGTTCCGTAATCCAGGTGGTGGCGTCACTCTCAAGTTGTCAGACTTTGAGTGCGCATCGACATCCCACCCTCGGGACAGACTCAGTAGCGAGTATCAGTATGACGATGGAAGCAAGACCTATAGTACGAATCTCAACCAAAAGGGAAAGGAAGGACCACTTGCTGACTGTTTATAGGTGCACCTGAACGTCTAACATGCGTTCCATTGGACGAGGAGGCGCCGCAGAAACAATCGACGAAGTTTAATGTGTTTGAACTCGGCACCGTCAATAGCGAAGCCCTTGTGTGGATAAATCTTCAAGAAGGGGGCAGGAAGGGATACGAAAATGATCGCAAGGAATATATTCGGCGTCATAATCGACCTCATGCAGCGGCTGGGTACGGAAACGCCTTCCACAATGGCCGGGTCGTCTTGCCCTGCGTGAAAGAGTGGCATTCCAAGGCCGTCGCTTGCTCCCAGTCATTCGACTATATATCCGGCGTTGTGAAGGAAATACTGGAACGAGACATTTTAGTGCCGGAATCGGAGCGCCAAAGCCCCAAACAAATCGGAAATATTTACCTGTCCTGCACGGATCTAGCCAAGACACACCCAGGTGAGAGTCCACGCGCCATCTATGAAATGGCCACTTCGGCGAAGTCTAACTCGCGGCCCACCCGCTGTCATCAACCGGGAGAGGTACCTATGTGTATAATTGATGAACGACTAGCAGCTCGGGGTCCCCTCAGAATACCGCCGCAGGTCGGCCGCGATCGTCGAAGTATTAATACTAGTGGCTCCATGAGACTCAACTTTGACCACAAGGAAAGGAACGTGGCCACTACGGGCTTTGGGAATCACGAGCCTGGACTCTGCAATGAGGTGAAGGCTCCTCAGCAGCCCCTCAACTTAGCCAATTCTTCTAATTTGAAAAGGCGACAACAAAGTCATGGTGGACCATCCTCCCATCATGCTTCTACTCGTAGTTGGTGTGGTCTCCAATCACTCCATCTCTCGCAATACACCGACAGAGAGAACGACGGCGAAAGTCAGGTCGCGGGCACTCTCCCAGACACAAATTCGCGAGATGAGTATTACCCATCCGCTAGGGAGTGGTCTCGACCTAAACAGGATTCACACCCCGGTCCAGTAGTCCACAATGATACGGCATACGCACAGAATGGATACCAGGGCGGCATCGGATACGATAGGAACCGCGGAAGCCCGAAGGCGCATCGTAACTCAAGGAAGTCCACGACACAGGGAACTTTCCAGTTACGAGTACCAAGCGAGATGCGAGCCCAGTCTCTCATCGCATCAAAGTCGAGCTTGGAACGTACGCTTTCATCATCAGGACATTGCTTGAACTCGACCCACAGATCAAACCAATCTTTATATCGGATAGATAACACCACGACGAATGTCTTCGTCCAAGATATTTTAAAACACAAGAACGGCGGTATCAAGGCGCTAGATACGCTTGTCGGCAAGTGCGTCCATCGAGAGCTAGGAAGGCGCAAAATAGTCATCCTTATCGACGATTCGGCCAGTATGAGAGCATCACATGGCCGCGACGTTCTGGACACAGCGGAAGCGATGCTGTGGCTATGCAAACCCATAGATCCAAGTGGATGCGAGATTGTTTTCGCCTCTCGACCCAAAAGCCCTGTCAGACCTACGCTTTCAAGATGGATCGGTAGGACCCCATTGGGAAAGATACGCCGTCAACTTGAGACCTCTGACGCTCCCGAACTGTGCAATATGGAGAAAGCAGTCGCTGCCGTGCTTCAAAGAATCATGGGACCAACGAAGAAACACTTCCGCGAAACAACACTGTTGATATTTAGCAATGGAGTGTGGGATGAGGACTTTCCAGCAAACGGCCGTGGAGTAGAGAATCCAATCGTGAAAACTGTTAATGAAATGCTCTGCCGGGGAATTGATCGCGTTGATTTAGCCATCCAATTTGTTAGGTTTGGAAATGATCCCTACGGAATCTCACGGTTGGAACATCTGGACAACTTTCTGCGGACCCACCGTGACCCCAATCTCCATGGCATGTAAGTTATATATCGAAGCCTGATAGGGAGCTTTACCATATTTTTCTCCCCTAACCCGGAAAACAGGGACATCGTCGACCACAAGGCGCACATCAGTCCGGTCCATCTCATCCTCATTGGTCCACTACGTGCCAGCGTTGACCGCCAGCCACACACCTCCCACCCGAATGACGCTTCCCGCTCAGGACCTTCGACACCATGCCTGCCGGGATATGAGCCGGAAGCAGTAGGCATCGACCAAGTCCCCGGGTCCGATAGAGTACGGTCTCATCCTTCATTACCTACAGCCTAGGTGTATAGTTTTGGGACCAAGTGCCTCAGTTATTGGTTTTTTAGACATCGTTGACAGATACTTGACTTTTTGATAATGGCATGTAACATGCGGACTGGCATTCTATAGAACTAGACTCAAATATTTATTCGTGATCTCTGGGAAACGGAGTCAAGAGAACCCCTTAGTAGTGTATGTTATTCACCGGCAAATCTCGGAGAGGATCCGTGAGAAGGCTTATGCCTGTCAATTAATGCAAGACGAGACTTTGAAGATCACTACGGACTTTTCTTTACTTATTTATCTCTATAGAAAGACTGCCAGGCGTGGGAAGGAGTCTATAGACAATTCGACATGAAGCCCGTTTCGACCATGAACGGGAAAGTCGTCAACGGGCTTGTGGTTTGAATGGTCAGGGACTCAGGATTATACTTGGAGAAGCATACCACCTTAGATTGCAGTTGGATACACAGTAGGACCAAAGAGTCTATGATACTATGGAGATGAGTAACCATCCAGAGACGAATCGGGAGCTGCAGAAAATCTAGGATTTCGTATTTGCATCGTGGAGGTATCGTACCGTCCTGTGGAAGGAGCTGGATGTTATTGAATTGTCACGTGAACCGGCGGTTCTTCACTTCCATAGATGTAACCCAGAACCTCACTCTTCACTCTCTGCTTCACTCTTGCCGAGCACGCCTCTTTCCAATTGCATATCTAGCCCCTTGGAGAAGGATACCCATGGAGCTGGAGAGGGGAAAGGCGTATGAAACAAATGCAATACAATGGCTTCTTCACGACAAACCTGCGCCCTCCTATTCTCATCCTCCAAAGTCTGGCTGCCAGGCAACCAAGCAACCACTCAAATTCAGCTGGATCTCATATCACCAGCAGTCCTTCCCTGCCTATCCTGTCCGTTTTAATGTTATTATATCCTATTCTTCCTGTCTACTACCTTTCCCTCCTCAGTAGATAATCATGGAATCAATCTACTATCAGAAGATACAGGCAGACTTTAAGTCCCTCTAGGAGACTAGCCATGCCGCGTGCGCGACGGGGACCTCGTCAAACTCCGCGCCTATCTCGCTATCTTATCTGCATCCAATCCCCAGGAAGATCACTCGTGGGGTACCCCACTCCATGTTGCCGTCTGGTGTAGCAATCTCGAGGCAGCGCGTGTGCTTCTCGACGGGGGCGAGGATACCCTCCACGAAAAACAGGATGGCTTACACCCCTATTCGTCTCTGACACTTTCTGCCGAGCCTGGTTTCGGCGAAATGGCACGGCTGACCACAGCAGCCGTGCCACCGCACTACTGTTGCTATCAACCCCGCCAGGAGTCTACGCTCTGTTCTGAGTAAGGGTGGGTGTCAATGTACCCATCTCCCTACCCCGAATATCCTGGCTGAGCTGACTGACTCCGTAGAGGTGCAAACTCCGATACAGAAGACAAACTGGGAAGAACTCCGCTCATGGCAGGCAGCCATTCTGTTCTGTGATGGACCTCTTCGCCATTCTCCCGTAGAATCGACTCGAGGAAGGGAGAACAGCATGCTGGCGCTCAATGGATATCCGGGATGGTGGAAACAGATAATTCCATCGCTAGCCGATGATCCATCATACGGGACTGGGAGAGGATCGCGAAGAAATGACGCGGCCTGCGATCGGAGAAGAAAGGTTCTCTTATTAGCTCGTAACAGGAGGAGTTGAGATGAGCGAGTGAAGAGGTAACCAAGGGATGCTGGTGGAGATGAAGTCGCAAGAGGCGACGTGACAACTGTACTGAACGTTATTTGCGACTCTTCCAGGCGAAGCTCTCACTCGCGACGCATCGCTCCTTCCCGCTCGTGGGAAGTTTGAAGAACCCTCGTCGCATCTTCCCAGCCCTTGGATCTTTGCACCGCAGACCGCGTTAGGAAAGACACTTGCACTTGCCTAGGTAACACATGCACAGTTCAACTTCTGCTGCCATTACCTCCAGACCAAACGAGAAGGAACCGTCCACTGCGGCTAGATATGGCACCAGGCATGAGGAGAAACGTGTCTCGCTCTTAGCTTTCTCCTATTTCTATTCAATGTCCTGCGTTGCAGCACCACCAAGAGTAGAACTTTTCCAAATAATCCGTATGCATGAGTAATGTAATTCGGCATCATTCGCAACCAAGACGCGAGGAGGCCCTCCATCCAAACGCCTCCTTATGCCGGCCGCTTTGAATTGAACCTCGTGGTTGTGATTGTGGCTACCTGAGGTTGCCCCCTCCTCGCGAGATGGGCGCCGGAGGCTGACATCCATGCAGGCTGGAAACAGCGGTGAAAGATCGTGATTGCCGAACCACCACTAGCAGGAGTGCCATTGATATGACATTGCCCTTATTCAAGGAATTCAATACGATCCCTCTTCAGTCTCCTCGGAGACAGACCCACGAGTCCAGGCGGTCGATTCCGTGTAACCTTATGTCCAATATGGTGGCATTTTACATTTCTCGTGAGAATATCTGGCTCTGCGGATGTTGTAGCAGTGGCTGGAATGCGCCCCCTCCCCGTTGCTGAAAGATAATTCCGTAAGGAAGGGATATCCGTCACTGCATCCCCGAGCTGTCCATCTGCTAGCACAGGAACAGGCAAATCAACCGGCCAAGATCTGCACCATTTAGACGCCGATGGTGCAAAGGTGGATGCTTCTGCAATTCCTCACCTTTATTTGAACAAAAGCAAGTAATTCTGGGGTCTGGTCGCCGATGAGTGACCTTTAATGGTCGATGCAACCACATAAACTAAGAAGCCACGATGAAAACTTCAGCTGAATGCCACATCGTGCATCCAGCCGTTTCGGAGAGGTGTTAAAGCCGTCAGTGGCTCGCCTGCTTCGAAAAGGGGATTCGAGTTTATGGCCGGGAAAGTCCGACAATCCCCAGATCACTCGTAAGATTGTGTACAATTAGAAACCTCTTAGAATTCAGATGATACGGATGCTCCGTAGCTCAAGCCTCCTAATACCAAGAGAAGCCCAGTCTATAAAAGCCAGTCTATATCCTCGCCAGTTCAATCTAGTTCTGACCAGCTCACAATCAAGACTCCTCTTGCATAGTCCTATTTCCCTTCAACTCACTGCCATTTTCTGCACCCAAGAACAATAGAAACGTTTTATCCTCAATTTCCAACATGACTGCCCCTATTAAGCACTGGACCACCTCATCCACCCCTCACCTGCCGGTTGTGACAGCAGGCGCTCAGGACGACTTTTTCTCCATTTACCATGTCGGCTCGGATAACTTGGTCTACCAACATTACACGAGCGATCCCAAGCTGCAGGACTGGAAGCCCAAGGACAGCGTCCACAAGATCCCAGACAGCGGGCAGATCTTTAGCAACCTGACCGCTGTTAGCCTGGCAAGTGGTCGTGATCATATCTTTGGTCGTCATTTCCATGGCGGGGTGCGACATCTCTGGGTGAGTTTTGCTTTTTTGCCGAGAGAAGAGTGCACTCTGCTTGATGACTTTGCACTGGGGAATTGACCATTGAGTAGTATGACGGCCAGAAGTGGAACTCCGAGGATCTTGGCGGGCAGTTGATTGGCGATATCAGTGCTGTCAGCTGGGGTCCTAGCCGGATCGACATCTTTGGACGTGGCATGGACAACGCCGTCTGGACCAAGTTCTGGAACGGCAGCAAGTGGAGTAATTGGGCTTCTCTTGGCGGCAAGACTCCTGACTCGCCCACGGCCGTCTCTTGGGGCCCTAACCGCATTGATATTTTCGTTCGCGGCCTGGACAACGTCGTGTATCAGCAGTACTTCAACGGCACCGCCTGGTCTGGTGGATGGGGCAGTCTAGGTGGGGAGACTGTCGAGGAAGTGGTTGCCGTCTCGTCTGGACCGGAGAGACTTGAACTCTTCGTACGTGACTTTAAGAATGGAATTCAATTCCGCAGCTTCAACAGACAAGCCAGATGGAGCGGCTGGAGCCGTGAGGCTGATGCCGGATCAACCGTCTCGAAGCCTGCGGCCGTCGGTTTTGGGGGCAACAAGGTTGTGCTCGCTCGCCAGAGCCAGGACAACAAGCTATACCGTAAGGTTTGGAATGGAAGTTCTTGGGGCGTGTGGGAAAAGTTTGGGGACAAGGCCATTACTGGATCTCCAGTTCTTCATGTCAAGGGCGGGGATAAGGCTCCTGCCATCGTTGTGCTTGGCGACGCTTCCTTGGCCATTTTTGCCTAGGGCACACACTCACATTTCGATTCGAGAATCGCAGATTAGTAGCCATAGGTAGCATTCATTGTCAATCGAATATTGGTATTGTCTCGTAGCGCCGAGCACACTTGCCTGAGACACTCTCTCATCCATTCCTTTTCTTCCTTTGCTTTGGCTGGCATTTTCTCGGCCCCTTGTGTATTGCCCAAGGAGAAGTGTGAAAGGGAGTTTAATTAATATCCGCTGTACTTGGCATTGGAATGATGCTCGTCTGTGGAGCAGAGGGTCTGCCTTCCGAGTTGCTGTCGCACCAGATGCCTACCCAGTGGCAAACTAGTATTCCTTAGCCCTGGAGAACGTACATGTACGCTGTGTGGAGGAACCTCTCCCACAGGTAAGAGCAGTTTTCCATCGTTAGGCTCAGTCAGGCCGATTTACGCGCGCGGGATATACCCAGGTTTCAAGGCCCGGGTAGGAGAAAGGAAGCAGGTAGGGTTGAAGGCTAAGACCTCGACTTTATAACCAGAGCCGCATTGAGAAGGAGTATCTAGATCAAGCCAACCCGTTTAGACCTATTTATCAAATGCTCCGCCATAGTCCATATGGTCTTTCTCTCCCGGATGCTACTGTCATGCCTCTTAATCAGATAGCAAACAAAGAAAGACTTTCCAATTCCAAGCTATACAAACACCTCTCCCACGCTATGCTTGCACATTCCTCAAGCTAAAAGTCATTATCCTTGCTCCAGTGATTCCATCACACCTCTTACCCCAATTAGCTATATTATTTTCATCAGCGCACACCTTCTTTTCATATCTTTTCACATTTGGATTCATTCTTGCGGTAGACGCGCTCTCCTAAACTTTTCCCTACCATCATCTCCATCAACTCTTCCCAATCCATTATCGAGCACCATTCCAGTGTTGACTATCATCATCAGCAATCTCTATCATGCTCACACAATTTCCACTAGAGCTCGTCGAGCTCATTCTGAACAATGTTTGATCCCCATTCTTCTTCTCTTATTCTACTTGGTAGGGTACACCTACGGATGCTAATTTGTTTTCAACTTCATAGTGCGAGAAGAGCGACTTGAGCAGCCTCACTCAAGTGTCCAAGACTTACAAGAAAATCTTCAGTGCGTTCCTATGGAAAACCCTGACGATAACAACAGATAAATCCACAACAAAGGGTGGTATGCAATATACAAATTTGCCGACGAGCTGTCTGGACTATGTCAGACACCTTGGGTTTCGTAGCACTGGATCCGACGATCCATGCTGTACAAGGATCTGTAGCCACCTACACTGCAGTTACGGTTCATGGCCATTGGTCAATGAAGAGGGCGACTCTGTGGAACTCGGTGTCACTCGTTCCACGTGGACAAGAGAAACTCACATTGATGTCGTTGTGAAGAAGGCCCAGCATGTCCTCTTGCGCCTTGAGGAGGGCCAACTATCTAGTTTTAGGTATGAGATTGCTTTTCGTGTGGAATTCATACGTGTGGAATTCATGCCTTCCGTTTCGTACGGATGCCGCTAACACTCTATGCGTAGCTGGGACCTTGTCTCTTGCGTGGATTCCAAGATTCTCGGGAGAACGGGGGTTATTCCCTTGAAACAACCGCAACTGAAATCCTTAAGCCTGGTTACATGCTATACTTGCGACAGCGGTGACTTTGGCGTGGACTGCGAAATAGACCTCACGGTATTCCATGAGCTGCATCACCTGTCTTGGCGGGGACTTAACCGTTCCCATCAGCGTGCTGTCTCCACGGCTATTCAAAGGAACTCGGGTCACATGGAGACTCTGGAATTGGACTTCGGCAACTGGCGGCGACTCAGAGGCACTCTAATGAGCGATGACGCCGATGAGGAGTACAACCCGCAAGAGTATTTCTCCAGGGAAGTTCTATGCCTGAACGAGAAACCCACTCACCTCCTCTTTCCCAGAATCCGCTCCCTATCTCTTTCGCACGTGGCGCTCTCATCAACTGTCTCTCATGCCTTGAGTCTTCGCACTCTCGAGTCTCTTACCATACGAGCGTGTCCGGGATGGGATGAATTTCTAGACTGCCTTCTGCTGCAAAATGTCGGGATCCGTCTAACGCGACTCGAGATCCAAGAATCAGATGACGCAACCGTCGGAGCTTCTGAAGAAACACTATTGCGGTTTCTGAGCGCCAGCAAGGCTCTTAACGAGCTCTGTGTCCTCCTGGCAGGATCCACGAATCCTCTCCCACTATGGAATCACATTTCTCGCCACCTTGGAAGTATCGAGCGATTTGTCTACCATCAGAGGACTAAAATTGAACGCCATAGCGTTGATGTCGAGGATTTGCGCATCGAAGACCCCTCACAAAACCCTCTTGGAACACTGGATCTAGACTTCCTCGGGATTTGTTGTTCCCCCTGTACTTTGGTAAGGCATCAGCCCATGACACTTTGTCCAAAATGCTACATTTGACTAACGTTTCTCTTCACTTTCTTTGCTACAGAAGCCTCTTTTATCGCCCTTCACATCTAATGGTTCTTCTCTAACAGTACTCCACATCCGCCAATCCGCCGATGATGTGGAGAATATGCATGACCGAGCATCATGGGCGTTCGATGAATCCTCCGTCCGCAGACACCGACCTGAGGCAATGGAAACGTCAGTTAACAAAGGAAGCGTCAAAGATCACTTAGACCTCTACCCCTTGGAAACCGACTTCGTTGATTTTGCCAACTGGGCGTTTGGACCGCACGGCATACCATCACTCCGATTCCTCCTTTGCGGCGATTTCGCGTATAATGCCCGCCAGGCTGACCCCGTAATACTGAGGAGGCATAAAGGAGACGATATGCTGTTCGAAATTTTGTACGAGAACGGACCTGCTTGGAGGCAAGTCTTCGGAACGTACGGCGATGCCGTAAAAAGTTGTCGTATTGAGAAAGACTTGACCTGGACGTCTTATAACCGCATCGATAAATGGAGACTGCGTGGACTGTTCAGAGGCCAACCAAGGACCACCCGGTATGCTTTTCGGCCGATAAGAAATTAGCACCGTTCCCGGCCCCTGTCAGTACCAGCTCCGATACGGCGGAAGTCAGCAAAGAAAGTGGAATTATGCGAAGGGATAACTCGCGACCTTTTTGGAGGAGTCTGATTTGGATGGCTTGTTCAATTTGCCAGCTACAGGGACAATTAAGCTTCAAATAGGAAAACTTCGCATTGGTTCGACAATCCATTTTAGAATGTTGATTGGGAGAGGTGGTTCTACTCAGCCAAGCAGACCCACTTCCCCTCCCTTTTCCATAGATGCCTGCAACAGTATTAGCTCCTGGGTAGTGACACACCCAAGCTTGGATGCCCGAACCAGAAACAATAGTGTCTTATTCGGCCATCTCTACTTGGCCTTTAGCGTTTCTTTGGCATGTTGGTAGAACTCCAGTTTAGTTGTGAATCTCACACATTTCTCGATCCAACCATTCTACTCCCGCAAGGAAGCGTATTAGGATATGAAAATGGTATTCCCGCACTCGTAAGCCTACTACGCTCGGTCGAATCTTCGTACATGGGTTTGAACACACCCGTGGGAAATAGCCCACATTTTCAAAATCGATTAAACCCGTTGCTTCCAAGGGTGGATGGATCAACTGTGATATTGTAAGGTCCTAAGTCGCCATGGCAAAGATGAATTCTGGAACAGCAGCCGTCTTCACACCCCACAACTCTCTCCTATCCACTTCGATTACCCAAGGTGGCGGATTAACAAACCCGTTGAACCCCGTCGTGTAGGACGTTAGCTTGCTAAACTGAGGCCGGACCGTCTCCTTTACGAAGATCTTGGCGTTTGCAGCCGCTGTAGATTGGCATGCCAGGCGCTTCGTTTTTTCATGCGGGCAGGGTTGGCACCTCGCACTTATCTCCGATGTGGGCGAGCGGGATGCCATCGACGAGCTCGGTCCGTGACAAAAGGACCATCCGGTCCTTGCCCAACCGCAACGACGGCAGGAACAGGAATCGTCATGTTTCCAGACGAAATGCAATGCAGCAGCTCCGTTCAAGAACACGCTCTCGCGGCCACTTTTTAGACATGTCCACACCCCGGTAGTCCAGGATTTTGAATTGCTTGATTGCCTTCGTGATTATCCTATCTCGTCGTTATGGGTAACAACAGTTTGGCGGTTTCGACCCACGCTGTCAAGATTCTTCCGTAGAGGTGGACAGGGCCAACAAGCGGTTTGATAGAGAGGAGCGGTGGACGTTAGGACAAGTTCTGCAAGGTGGCCATTGTGTGGTGAGCGATCCGAAAGGGAAACTATCTCTCTCTCCAGCTCTGCTTGGAGAGATGGCGCCGAACGGGAGAGGAGAGGAAAAGCGTACATGTTACTTAAGCATCAACTTCTTCAAGTCTTTCCTCAAGGCAACTATGGCAGCAACTGGGACAGTTGTGTTTCCTGGTACAAAAGCAGCATAATCGTATCTTTCGTATTGTTCAAGTCGCGAAACGAATCCCCTTGCCGCAATAGATATGTGAAGTCTTCGCTATTTCATGTTCCCATGGGCGGAAGGGGGTAACCTACGATATTTCTGGGAACAGAAGCCTCGGCAAGTGCCCACGGTACGCATTATCGAACAAGCCCTCCGTCAGCTCCGTGGCCTAGCCGATGGTCTCGATAAACTGCACATCTTCTGGGGGAACAGCACCAGCCCTGAAAACGAATATGATAATGACAAAACACCGGAATTCACCGGAATTTCCAAGTGACTACACGCAGAAGACAAGCAATCAATCTAATATTCGGTATAGAGATCTAAAACCTGAAAACATCCTACACTTCACAGGTCTAGATTTTCAAGAAGAGCTAAGAATTCTTAAGATTACTAATATAGGGCTTATAAAGTAATATACTATAGTAATAGAGTATTATAATAGCCTTATAGCTACTAGGTAGGGTACTATTTAGTATAAGGCCCTAGAGGCTTAGATAGTATCTAGTAACTAACCTAGATTTCTACTTTATAATATCTAGTCTATAGGCTATATTAACTTTAAATTTATAATCTAGCTCCTCTATAGTAATAACTAGGTTAAAATATTCTATAAAAGGCTCTAAAGCTAAAGTTAATACCCTTACCTATACTTTACTCTTAATAAAATAGATAGAGGTTGATAAAAGGTTAAGCTAAGCTTTCTAGTATAGTATTAGATTAATTATATTAGGATAAAGGACTTTGAATATATATAAGAATTGGCTATTAGTGACCTTGTTGATCTGATTGATGAAAAGTTACCTATAGTTCCTATTAAAATATGTTAGCCTACTAGATGATATCTAGTAGGGGGGTGGGTTGCTGGGCAATCTAGCTAGACTGTCGATTCTGGTGATAAGGATAATGTTAGATATTGTGTAATAGTTAGAATATTCTGCGATTTGCTAGATGAGATATTAAGTAAGGTGGAATCTAGGAGGGATTATTTGCTAATTGCGAGTAGCTAAGAGAGAATTCCTCCCCTAGAGATGCAGGAGAGACCAAAGACTAGCCGAGCGGGCCATGATCTAGTTTGTAACCTCGGATCGATCTTTCGTTGCCACGCTATTGTAATGATATCTTTTCTTATGGATTTTTAATGAGGAACTACTTTTGTGTGGGCTAAAGACGTGGGTTTTTTAGAATACGTCTATCACTACGTGTGGAAAGATCCTGTTAACTCTATGTTGTTAGCTTGGGGTACATGTGTTGGAAGAGAAGCAAAGAAATAGAGACGTTAAGGAGGTAAGACGGGTAAAAAGAATACTATATACAACATCAGGGATTCGCTGGTCGTCACCGACCCAACTACTAGTCTAACACTCTGGAGCTTAACTAGGCGAGAGCGGACGGGATCGCGTGTTTTCTCCAGGTTATGGCTGTATGTGGCTTTTTTCTGTTCTAAACTTGTATTTCAATAGTAGGAATTACTGAAACATGAGACTGGGCGTAGCTTTGCCGGGGATCCGCTTGCCTTCAGTGATTGTTCCTGCCTCCACTTCGACGACATGAGCCACCAGTTCATCGGGGACATCACCATGGTGGTCTACGTACGATCGGGGACATGAAACATGAAACATCGTCCAGTGTATGCGAAGTCCCCCATCATTCTACATGTACACCCACATCTTCTTCACCGGAGGTAAAGGAAACGAGGATGCTGGAGAGGATTAAGGTGAGCGTTTAGTCGGCCTGTCCGGCAGGCCCTGTTAATACCCGACTTTGTCTTCCCATCTTTCGGAATTTTCTGCCTGATGCATCATGCACACGCAGCACTCGGTCACCACCCTCGTCAGCCACCATGACATTCATTCATGCAACCTTCAAGTAGTATGGGGAAATGGGAGTTCAAAGAGCCGACGGCCTTTGTTAATGTGGCACCATACCATAAAGGGACAGGGGTTCCGACGGGCGGTTTTGCTATCGACCTTTTCACCTAGAGATTGAAAGTCATGGGAATTATTATTATTATTTACATTATCAGGTTACTGCATCCAGGGATCTGGGTCGGCCTCTAAATTCGGTTGGAGAGACGGACCATGTGGAGGTGACAGAGGTACCATGAGCACTGGGACAGACTTCTCCGTTGTGCCAGCCAGCATATGAATCCCGCCTCTTGGAGTGATTCTCCTTCCAAGAAAAGGTCGATTTCGGTCCCTATGGACGTGTCGGAATTGCTTCCCAAGAGAAGAAAACCAACGCGTCCGATTCGACGCCATCGTTTGTATATTTGCGACTCACTGCTCGCCATCGCATGTTGGTAGAAATGACTTCTCGCTTGGCAGTGATTAGTTTTCTAGTCCAACATTTAGCCAAAGGGATCCCCGGCCATTGTCATCATTCTTCGGCCTCCCTAAAGAAGGAATACAAAACATCCTCGATCACTGCTACTCGTATTGGTGGCTTATCCAGGGGGGTGACTTCTTCCCGTTCCTGGTATTATTGGATGGGCGCACGTAATGGAGCACGCCCATAGTCAATGGTCTTATTCTCACCTGAAGAGGTGCAAATTAACGCCGTTCTTCGTAGCCGGGTTGACTACATGCCATGTGCTACGGATAAATAGAGCCACGTGGCCTTCATATGTGACACCATAACAGAGCATGCTAAGATGGAGATCCGCGTCATAGCCCTCTGTTAATATTAGTCTTGGCTGCACTTCTACGATGAATTTGGCACTCCGAGACGCCCCCACAAGGCGGGAACTGCTTCAGTTACTCACCAGCACCTAATTTTTGGGCACCCCGCTGAATAGGTCAAATAGGGACTTACTACCAGTAATAAATTATGTGAAAGGAAGAATAGATCAGGCATTGTCGTCGCAGAAAACAGCCTCATTTGATTTCAGACTACTAATAACCTATCAACATGATATTATAACCTGAAAGAAAACACCCCCCAAAGTTTCACCACCCCATTCAAGTTTTGATGTATCTACCATACAATCTTGGTGCCACAAGAAGAGCTCCAGCCCATACCGGATCAGCCCCAGAGATCAAGCGCCTGCTGGCCCAAGGACCTCTGCCCAACCGTATTGGCATGGCACGTATCCGCCACCTCTCCACTCTTCAGCCAGAATTGGCCCGGGTATGTCACATTCAAGGCTGGATCCTCGGCGGCCTGCTTCGCCAAATCATCGGTGTGTTCGGGTCCGCCGGCTCCCGCGAGGAAGCAAGTGCCTCCGTCTTCGTACAAAGGTTGGCCGGTGATGTAGATCTGGGCGTCCGGCGCGGCGTGTTCGCGGGCGTTTGCGATGAGTTTCTTCACCTCTTCGTAGTTGGCGCTGGCTTGGGCAAAGATGCAAATCATCACCCAAACTGTGTCTGGTTTGCCATTCTGGGCTGCTTGTCGATCGAAGCTTTGCCATGATGCTGAGTTGGTGTTGGTCCACGACTGGACGACGGCACCGCCAGTACCGTACGGTCCCCACATGCGGGTTCCGCCGACGGCCACGTAACCTTGGGCGACGTTCTCGGCCATGGAGCAGCCGATGAAGCCCATCGTGTGTTCCTGGGCCATTGCAAATGTGCCCAACACAAGCGGGATGGAGACGGTAAAACGCATGATGATTTTCTGTGGGGTTCAAGTATAGTGAAAAGTCTAAACAGTGATGTTTTTTTTTTTGTGCGATTGGAGGTGATCTTCTTACCATCATCATGTTTGATACCCCGGGGCATGCGTTCCATTTATAATCCCCTTACTAGTCGCCCATGATCCAGCGGATACTCTTCTTAGGATGGTCGTGGACGAGAAGCCGAGTCCAATTCCCGACGGAGAAGATATTCCATATCTTCCAGACACAACCCCAACTTATATATTAACCAAACCGCCTTCAGCCCCATCTTAACGACAGCGACAAAAGTAATGGTTAGAATTTAGCGCCTGTGATCACAGCTGATACAACAGGCACTACCAAATATAGATGCCCAGACTGGTCAAGGTCCGGATCCCGATGTACAAGTTCATTGTGATGTTCTTGGCTTTGATACAACCCTGGACAGGTAGGTTGCGCATGAAATCCATTGGCTCCATTAAACAGCCTGATCTCACCAGACTGCCGTGGTCCGGAACCAGGAAACATCATCGCGATGCATTGAACAGGCGGAGATATGCTGGAACCCCACCTCTGCCTTCAGCCCCATCTGCCGAACTTCAGTCCCGAGTTTTATCTAGCAATTCCCTCCGACGAAGCTCTGGTTTGAAGCCTCTTTCCTACCTCATATTTTCCCTTTGTTGTCACGGACCTTGCAGTGACGGTTGTCTGAGGGGTGTTGTCGTATCCGCCATCCCAACTTCATTACAAAGGGTGCCGTTAGCCGTCCGCGGAGTTCTTGGACCGCGACTGCTGCAAGTGGGCTCCCTTGACGGGCGTCTAGGCAAACCTGACGGTGCGGTTGACTGACACGAGTCACTCTTGCTAGGATCATGAGGGACGGTATACTTGCAACAATTTCCCAAGTATACTTAACACTTCGGGGCCCATCATGCAAGGTCCAATAATATGGCTTCCCCTTTTAGAGTGTCCACTCGCCGCTTGAGTAGGAAACCGTGAGCACTAGAGCAGGCTCTGCTCGTTTATGGGTACTAACCCTGCACCCTTTCAATATATGCAAGCCACAATGATGCAACGGACCAGGCTCCTCCCCACCATTGACTTCGAGTCGTGAAACTGCGACAAGGCTCGGCCATAAAGACCAATTTCTGCGGCGGGATTGGTGGGTTGTTCGTATCCACCCTTGGCAGCACCGCCCCCAAGCTGAATGTGATCGACATGCTGCATTGCAGCTCAATTGACGCACTGGATGATCATGGAAAAGACGTTAGCACAAATATGCCGCGACTGGTTGCACAGTTGTTGTTGGGGCCTGTGTTCGCTTTGTCATTTTTGACAGCAACTCCTGTTCTGTCTTGCTCCTCTCTCCAGAGCCTGGTGCTGTGATAACATGTACCAATAAATGACGAGCTGAATCCGGGGTCCTGACCGACAAAACGCCACCGGCGGTTCTGTGAGTGTTACTGATATCCGGGACGTAGAGATTGACTTAGAGCCTTGGCACGTCCTGTATGATATATAATATCTTATCTCGAGGTCGGACCTCCATTCATGGGCCCAACTCCAACACCCCATCGTCATTTTCATTTCCTTTTCAGACGCTGGAATTGTTTGGATTTTTTTCTTAGTTCTTCACTTATTAGGTGGAGAAGATGTCCCAACCGCACCACTGCATCAGTTCTGATCCTCATGACTGCATCATCAATCCTGTCATTCACTATTTTGCCTGCGTTCGGTTCACTGAGCGCGAGAATTATTTAAACTCACTGAGTCCCTCCCAGAAGGACCGCATCAATGACGAGAGGAATCGTGTTGGCCGACTCCGACAGTTCATCAAATCGTCTGCCATACCAAAATCCTCGTCGCGCTCACACGGCACAACTCCGCCCGGGGCGTGGGACGGGGAGTCGCTAGTCACGAATGTTGAGAAGAGTCTCAAGAAATGGCAAGAAGATTTCAAGAAGCGGCAGGAAGAATATCTTAAGAAGCGTCGAGAAGCTCTCAATCAGGGACAGAGAACTGTTCCCAATCACAGCCATAGAGAGTTTATATCTGAGATTCAATCGCAGGGTCATGACGGTTTCCGAAGTCTATCTGCTTCCATCTCTAGGACCCCTTTAGCAGAATCGGGAGGCTCCAACAGCGCCGGCGAATCCGGGACAGCCACCATGGATTATGACCCCGACAAAGATATAAAGGCATACCTTACGTTATTCACGAGGGTTGATGGTGAAGATCATCGGGTTGTGTACCGAGGGGTAAAGTTGGCCGACCAAGATGGCCTACAAGGAAGTATTGCGGATTCACGGGCTTCTGAAGATATTAAGCGACAGAGGAGAGCTGTTTGGAAAGGGGAGTTCCCAGCGCAGAAGGCCATGACTTACGACTTGCTCTCAAAACCAGATGTGGGGGAGGGCCGAAACTGGACGAATTACCTATCCTGCAATTTCAAGCGCAAAGAGTCTGAGCCGGCATCTTGTTTAAGATACTTCCATTTTCCAGCGAATAATATGGAGGTAAGTAGGGCTGAGCCGAATCTTGAAATTACATTATGTGCAGTCTCTGACGATGCAGTAATAATAGTGGGTTGAGGTTAGTCGGTTCCGCGGATAACATGCCCAATTATCGGTCGGTGGGTATTGACAGAATGGATAGAAAGCGATTGCGAGATTCTACGACGAGCCCGATCCTGAGTTCGTAGAGAATGGGAGAGGAAACCGGAACAGCCAGGAACAAACTCGCACCCAGATGCTTCTAAGACACGAACTTTGGAGAGGGCAACAGCATCACTCGTCGCTCGTTCACGCACGGCACCTCCGCCCTATCTGCGAGCTTGTGTCCACCGGTAAGCCCAGCTGAGATCCTATTTCCACGCCAGGTTACAACAGGCGACGCTGACAGTCATCATCACAATACAGACCCGAAGACGGCTGAGGCAACTCCAAATAACATGGTTCTATTCGCAAGTAACCTCGGCCCTCTGTTACTGAAGTTGCCAATGCTAATACAGATTATTAGATGCCAATACTTCATTGGGACACCGACCGAAAACGCCACACCTTTGCTCAAATCATTGATATCCTCACAACAGAAGAGCGCGACCGAAAGGTAAAGGTAGAAGAGGAGGCGACTAGACAACGGCGGATAAATAGGGAAACACTGACGTTAGAAAATTCCACAGTCCCAGAGGATACAGGAACGGATCGCTAATGTTTGATGATGCTACATGTAGGGAATCGCGCCCAGAGTCACCAGAGAAGCCTCCTCCCCTTTGGAACATTCAGTCGCTACCAGGAGCGGTTCTAGCTCATTCGGCTCAGAGTAAACGGAATCCATCGATAAATACGCTGAAACGGGACCCCACTGGTAGACTTAAGTTCAGAAAACCACTGGCACAACTTTTGTACGACGTCTCCCGTCTCATGGAGACCATGGAGAATTATCGAGACACCATGATGTTCGAAAAGTATCTCCATAGGCCCGCTCCGTTGCATCCACGCCGGACCCTCGACCAGGCGTACTACTGCTCCCTCAAAAACACGCGGACACGAGACAGAGACCAAGTCGTGTACCGTGAGACGACGGCCAAGGTGGATGGCTTCCACAGATGGGAGTATACTGATCAGGATGAGGTCCGCTGGACTTGCTGGGATTTACATGAAAAGGACGGCAACGCTAGGAAGCCCATCCATTCTCAGGCCGAGGATCAGAACCTCCAGTCGCGCAATAACACCAAGTTAAAGAAGCGGTGTCGCGATTGCGGTTCAGCCAGAAGACATAAAAGGCGCTGGCTGGGAAAGGAAGCATGTCCGGGAAAGCATGAAGCCACGACTGATGAGGAGCAGGTACCAAAGAAGAAACCAGAACGGCGGTGTCAAGTCTGCAGGTCCGCAGCCTTTGGATGCGGATACCAATGCAAATTGCCCGATGGCGGCGGGGAAGCACCCCTGGGCAATACTGATCCGGTCAAGAAAATAATGTGTTTCAGATGTCGGGACAACATCCGCAAACTTTCGCGACTCATTATGGTCGACCAGTTGTGGATGTGGATCCTTGATGGACACACCATTCTGACCTTCTTCCCTCGGAGATACGGTTTCAATCGTCACGATCTCTCGGGAATACACAGGTCTATCAGAAGCCGATTCGAGACCATGCGCGACGGCCAGATAAGAACCATTTATGACTTGGCCCTTATTATCCTCACAGAATGCACGAAAACGTTCTTCGATCGCACAAGCACGCTTGATCGGCAGCCGCGAGTGTTGGACCTTTTCTCCGAGGCTATCGGAAGAGTTGTAAGGATGAACCTTCAAGCCCGCAATGCGTAGATATTTTCTCACAAACTGATACGTGTTTCAGACGTACAAACAGACGCTAGCATTCCAGCATCTGTGGGATTCGGCAGAGAAACTTCGGAAAGCGACGTCGGCGCCAACCCAAGCTGACCTCTCTGAGCTTCATATACCCTTACTCAACATCGCGCCTGAGGGGATACTCCAAAAGGAAATCAAAGACATTCTTGACGAGCTGAACATGATGATTCATTTCGTCAAGCAACAGAAAAGTATGCTGGAGAAGTTCAAGAAGAACGCCTCGGAGATCATGGGCGTAGAGGTTGAGAACGAGTCGGAGAGGCTTACTGCTATTTTGGAGGGAGCCGAGGGAGCTGCAACACCGCCTAACGCTGATCGAAAGAAGATTTTGGAGAAGAAACAAAACTTGAAATGGTTCGAAAGGTCGGCGAAAGAACTCCTCTCTGAAATTGACAACCACCTCGAGGAGCTCAACAACCTGAGGGAGAGTGCTACTAGCACATCGCAGAGTGTTTGTTTTGCCCCTAAACCATTTTCCGTTTCGGGAGATAATTCTAACAATGCACATTCCTCCAGTTGGACCAACTTCTCACACTCAAACAACAACAAGCGAGTGTCATCCAGGCCTGGCAATCCATCAGACATGGGGAGGAAGCAGTTATCCAGGGGAGAGCCATCATGATCTTCACCACGATGACGATTGTCTTCGTATGTAGTAGCAGTCCAGCATGACAATATCCCCAATACGCACTCTCAGAGCCCAGGGCTAACTCCTGCCTAGTTCCCGCTCGCATTCATTTCTGCGGTATTTGGGATGAACAATCCCGAATTAGACCCAGACGTGGCCGAGAAGGAAGGGAGGGAAGCCATGTCGCTTTCGTCACAGCTAAAATGGATTTGTAAGATATCTACCCGCCCATAGCCGCAAAGTGGATGGCATCTCATGTGGTGATTATAGTTGCCGGGGCAATTTGCACGTCCGCTCTGGTCATGGTTTTCGCCTTCAGCAATCTAATGCGCGCCCTCTTTCTGTCCACACTGCACAGGTTCATGATCTGGTTCGTGACCCGCTTCTGGATCTATCGCATTTGGGTCAAATTGCGCCAGAAGTGGGCCAGCGAGAGCCAGTGGCGGCAGACAGAAGCATACATCAGCAAGCAGAAGGCTGAGGAAGGCAACGCCGCGAGGCGACGCTTCGCGATGAAGGTGGAGGAAGCACGTAGGTTGCAGGCAATGCGGAAGAAAGACAGAGATGACTGGAGAAATGGCCGGAGTCAGTCGGAGGTGCCCAAGGAAGACGCCCAGCCGCGACGTCGATGGAAAAAGTCCAAGGAAGCCGGTTCACGGGAATCAGGAACCGTGGTTGACTTGTCAGGAAGTGGAAGTGGTTCTAGGAGATGGGATCGTCTTGGGGTATTAATGGGTTATAGAGGGAAGTGGCGAGAAGGAATTTCGTTGCCGAAACCGCAAGAGGGTGACGGGGCCGTTTGAACTTGGTTAGGATGCTGGAACGAAGTTTTTACTTGCTGGGCACCGACAAAATAGGATCACGTATTATTTTGGATACGCCTCGTTTTCAATACTAGTTCATGAGTGGCCGGGCCCGCGTATGCAAATAAATTCCTGATTACATACATAGCAAACCTCCATGTCATTTTGAGGACTCTTCTCAATAGCAACATATGATAACCTCCCTAGAGCATTCCTTTGCGGTAGCGTTTGTTCATGTAAGTTCGAATTGGCTTCATCTGTCGGGCCTTCTCTACGCAGTCAGCAGCCACGGCGCTCTTCTTCGGACCTTTTGTTCAAAGCTAGCAGCCACAGCGTTCCCCAGCCCGTCGTAGAGACCGCCGCTGACGTCTATGATTATCACTTGCTGTTCAACTAGCTTTTCCATAGCAATTCAACTAGCCATAAAGAAGACCCGTGTGTCGTCTATAGTAGCTAGAAAATCAAGAGCTTCTCAACACATCTAATCAGTCTATGCCACTTGCTTGATGCTCATAACTTGATAAAAAAAAGGCCGATTACAGTTCAGCCCAGCAGCCGTTTGAGAATCTCGACTTCCCCTTTTTGGCCGGTCAAACAAGAGGAAGGAACCATCGGAACTCAAACTTGAGCTGAGTCATGGTAAGTACCAAGAGTCTCAATGTCAAGTAACTCCCTTTTTGTAGGGATTTCTAACAGAATTGTTCTAGGAAACTCGAAGCAATGCAGAATCACTCTCTCCGCTGGAGCCGCTACCTGACACGAATACCAGAAGGAGGTGGAGTCTACCTACAAGCCCTGACGACACGAGACTTTGGGTTCTGTCGCATCCTTTATTTCAAAAATATAAGTCGGATTTGGCAGAATCCATGTCTAGGATGGAAACCGAACAGAAAGAAGCTCAAAACTCGAGCCAGGGGGGACAAGCCTTTTCATCGTTTCGACAACCTCGAACATGGCTTTGTCATGACCATATACTGTCCAGCGCTTGGAACGAGTTTGTTTCCATGGAAACTGCAGCTTCCAAGCAGCCAGCAAAGTTTCTCGTGATTCCTTCCGGTCGTCTGGCGGCTCGCTTGCACCTGAGCATTTTCAGTACATATCAGCACCGCATAAAGCTGAGATCTATGTACACATGCTATCGCTAGCCTTCATTCTCGTCGCTGACCTCGTCGCTGACCTCGTCGCGGGCTTCGGTGCCAGCTAGCCGCCGCTTTGCAGCACGCTCTCTCTTCTTCTCTAGTAGCTTCTCAAGCCTCTTGGCTGAGTTGAAGACGCCGTTCGTGCCTGCACCACAGGCAGCACAGGTCGGGTCTTTCCGATATCGCTTTAGTGCACACGACTCGCAGAAGTAATGCCCGCACCTGGTGACGATAGGCTCCTTGTAAGACGCCTTGCAGATGATGCAAGCAAAGGGTATGCTCTCCAAGGAGGTTTCCTCGTCGCTATCTTCTTCCTCTTTGGCCTTTTTGCCGTCGATGCTTGCGACTACTGTGCCGGGTACCTTCTTTTTCCCCCGGGTGGCGTCCTCCCATTCACGATCAAGCTGCCAACCCTGCTTGTAGTCTTCCCTGCTGTGGAGGAATTTGCAGTTATCTCCAAAGCCACAGAAACCGGTTTGTTTGTACTGGAGATAGTCAGTATACATAATCTTAGAGGTAAGATGATCAACCACTTACGTCTTTGCAAACGTCTGGGGCGAAATCCGTTGTCACTGTGGTGCGGACGTTGGTCGGCCTCTTTACCGGCCCCACGGCTCTTGCTGAATTGGTTGCGTCATTTTTGTTTGTTATGGGAACAGTGCGATCTGCTGCAAAGAGAGTCGGGAAAAGATCCTGTGAGGATGTCGTTGTCGACCCTTGTGCACTTGGGTTTGTTTTCAATCGCTTGACACGGGTTCCTCTCGGCTTGGTGTCGTCTTGGGATGAGGGGCTGTCGTCAGAGTCGCTGGACGATGCGGTTGAGAATGCGGGCCTTCTTTTCCTCAAGTTGGCCTTGCCACTGCTCCTTTTGAACTTGATGGTGGATTCCATGACGCTTGCTAGAGGACGGGAGATGGACTGATGAGCGGTCGATGGGTTTCGGTGGCGAGAAGCCGACATGTTAAAGGTGCTGGCTGAGTAAAGCAAAGCAGGAGCCAGTCACGTGGCCCGATCTCAATGCCAGCGCTGATGGGAGCTGATAAACAACTGAGCCGAAGTTGAGCCGGTGACCAGAAAAGGGCCACCTGTGCTGAGTCACGTGTCGCTTATGTTTCGTCTCATAATATCACTTCATTTGTATAGGGTTAGGGGATCCTCCGGGCTGCGTTGATGCCTCCTTAATGCCGCCGTCGGCCAAATTAGTGATGCTCGTGAGATTTCCTTATGTCAGATCCTAACAGCCAGGCCATGACCGAGCGCCTTCTCCTAATATCGCCATTGACAAGTACGAGGCAGACAATCCATGGCGGCCCAGTTTGGATAGAAAGACACGGGATGGACCGTGAGATCCGGGTAGCAGGTGTGAGCGGTAGATGGGTCCCAGTTCTGTGCCCTTACCCTGTTTTTCTTGGGTGGGATGAGAGTCTCATGCCGCCTCAGAAGCTGAATACTTTTGGTGAGTCTACTCCTCGACACGTTGGGGCCGGGTGAGTGGTGGTGAGCGGAAGTGAGCAGAAGCAAACATTAACTGAGCCTGGCCTGAGCGGTCCTGAATTTGCCCTGAGCGGAAGCGGCGTCGACTTACATAAGCAAGAACGCTAGTTCGTGTCTTGGTTGGAGTTGGTTGTGCAACAGATATACTGAGAGTAATCAGCGATAAAGGGAGCTGGCGGGAAGGAATTTCGGCGCAGAGACGGCAAGAAGGGGATGCGGCTGTTTGATCTTGGTTAGGGACAATATCTTCGCTTGTGCGGAATGATTCTTCCTGTTACTAGTCTCATCTAAATGTCTGTTTTGGATATTTCAACGGCACACTCTAATTCAAACTCCTCGGATTCTCTACTAGGCCGTAACTTCTACTTCAACTGCATGAAGCTCCTTTTCGAGAATATCAAAGTACAAATCATCCCTCAGCGCAACACCATTAACAAGCTCTCCGTAAGGAAACGGCCTCGACTCCCCCGTCCTCTGATACCCGCGCCGCATGTACCACAAGATGAGCTCCTCACGCGTCCAAATGACACTCATCTCCACCTTGCGAACACCCCAAGTCCGACGACAGTACTCCTCGGCGTGCGCGAGCACCTGGCGGCCGAGGCCGCGACCCTGGCGAAGCGGGTCCACGGCAAACATGCCGAAGTAGGCGAGGTCAGAACTCCGCTTGAGGACTTCGCAGCACGCAACGAGGACGCCCGCGTTTTCTCCATCTCCGTCGGTGGCTATTAGAATTGCGCTGTCCGGAGTGTTGATTTTGGCTATTATCCCATCGACGTTGATGCGGTCGTCGGCGACGAGGTCGGCCTCTGTCGTCCAGCCTTGCCTGCTCGTGTCGCCTCGGTATGCTGATTTGACAAAGGCTTGGAGTGGCGCTGCATCGTCTGGGGTTGCAACGCGGAACTGCAGGGTGTTTTGGGCCATTGTGTCGTTCGACTGACTGACTCTACTTCGTAGTGGACGTTGGGTGCGTTGCACGTGAGTTCGGGCAGGGGAAAGGGACCTCCTGGACAGGTCTAAACAGGCAAGAATCTGGCGTCCTGCAAGTCAAAATGGTTCGATGATGATTGGGCCCGATATATATGTGAGCTTCAACTAAGAGAGTTGAAGACGACAATGGAGTTCAGAAGAGTTGTTATCCTGTCATCTTCGATGGAAAAAGACGGGAACCTCGTCTCTCGTCTCGGGAAAAATATGCGACACTAGTCCAGGTCTTATGTTCCGAATCTACGAAGTAGAAGCCGAAAATTCCCATTAAGTTCAATGTTACGTATTATGTAATATCATTACCTCAAATCTGGCCGAAGCGGCCACGAAGTACGAAGTAGCGGCGAGCACCGATAACACTGGTGACTGATTGAATTGATCGACTAGGATCAAGGTTGGTTTGACAGAAAAGGGGCTTCAAATTTGGGCGTCAACCAGCCAAGCATCCTGGCGAGATCCTCGCAGCTTCCTGAGAACGTCGAGGAACGCCTTCAGACGACGTTCAAGACCCCGCAAGATCCATTCGACCTGTGATTGGTGCAACGAAATGCCAGAACTGAAACCGTGGTCCAGACTGCTGCAAGGGCGGAGCATAAAATCTCGCGAGTTGGCAACAGAACAACAATCCGCCCTGGTCCGTCTACATGTAGCTATTACCATCGTCTACACCTTTCTAATCTTAAGTATGAGGCTCACCGAGAGCTTCTCGCGCATTTCCGAATTCGAAGAAAGCGTGCCCCAATGCTGCCCTACCAACAGAAATCGTGGGTCTGAGTCGAGTCTGCTCAGGAATGTTTCGGAACTGAAAATCGGAAGGATCGCCATCTTACTGGTCAGTTCGCATTCGATTTCCGAATTAGGAAACTCACTCGCCCAACAAAGATTTAGACCAGACAATTGATGACTCTTGCGCCATGGAATGGAGCCCCTGATGGAACGGAGCCATCCATGACGAAAGTAGTAGCGTTCTCGAGGCGTCTACAATATAATTATTTTTTTTTTTTTTTTTAAGAATTTCTTTCATTAAAGACTTTTGTGAATAAGGAAAAAGCAAGAGGAAAATAGCAGGAATACGCACGACATTCAACCACGTCAAGAGCACTACTATATATGTGAGGACTCCCTTCCGGGTGAGGACTTGCTCATCTAAGCTGGCTACTCCGAGGAACGGGGTAGCATGCTTTCACTTCTTCAGTGTGTCCTCTTCGCATTATTTCTCTTCTGTGTCATCTCGACATCATTTCTTTTTTCCCTTCGCCACTGTGATCGTTCTTCTTCCGTTTACTTGTATTCCACTCAATCCCATCAGGCCTCCCAATTAGTCGAAGCCTCCTGGCTTTGAACTCATCGATCAGAGCCTTCTCCTTATCCGCCACCCTCTTCTCCAAGGCGTGTTCTCTGGCCTTGATCCTCCGACCTATCACAAACCCTTCGATGCTGTGGATAACCTTCGCGGCATCCAAGGAGGATCTCCCTGCATACCACTTTGACCCCTTCACCAGCGCTTTCGCCATGGCGATATCCCTCTGCTCACTCTTGAACGCTTCCCTAATCGTCTCGATTTCCTTCCTCTCCCTCTCTTCCTCAGTCCTGAGGGCGTTGACCTTGGGGACGAGCTCGAGGAAGAGATCCGTAAGAATTTGGCGGTTTTCCGAACCGACGTCCTCGAGGTATTTTTGGCCTTGGACGTGCGCTAGGATGGCGTTGTATCGCTTCTTGTCGATATCGATATCGGTTGGTATTTGGAACTTCGAATCCCGGGTAGTGTTTGATTCATCTTGAGACTTTTCCATGGTGTTTGATTTATTTTTCTTCCTCTTACCAAACTTCATTGGTCGACGCGATGTTGGTGTATTGGGGATCGCCAATATGATGGGGACGGCGGCAAACATGCCCGCAGCGAAGGTCAGTCGGTCTTTCAGCTTTCGATTCGCGTGTGCTACTCTCTTTTCGGGGAAGTGAACGATTTCCGGGAGTCTTCATATGTGAACATGGACGGGTCTGGGCATGGTAATGTTTAGCAAACCTCCTTTCTCGGGGCCGTCACGAGATATATATAGCCACGATCGATGTCAAACTTAAAACGGGAATGAGGCCAAACACCGTCCCTTACTGAGTTTACTAAATCACGACGGAGAGCAAATTATTTCATACTAGTCAAGGCTCGCGTTTCCCTCGTAAAGAATTTTGGAGAGCATTAGCATTAAAATAGGCACATGTGACTGGTATGTCGCCTCATACACGTAAAGTTTGAGATTAATCAATTAATATTTACATACATGCTCCGATGATCCGAATGGAATGCGTGATCAAAACCAGGGAACCGTTAGTAACGAAAGTGTAAAAGTAGAATCCCCGGAACAGCTCGCAACACATACTGACTTCGACATGCCTACTAGGAACCAGGTGCCGCGGGAACATTTGGGGAGAGACAAAGCCCTAATTGATTAATACCAGGGGAGAAACAAGTATCCACTGACAAGGTAGGATGGTAAATGTGAGGCTGGAAGTGCCATAGGTGCCGTGCCGTCAGGATGGATGAAGTCGTTGATGCAGCTGGTGCCGCTGGTACAGCTGGCTCATTTGCTCCTTGCCAACGGGGGAACGCGAGCTTGGCGAGCGATCAATTGTTATGCAGAGGGGCACATGGATTATGTGTCGTCGGAGGTTTGTTGGTCTTTCAACCCAGGTCTTTCGCACGATGAGCTCGAGCCGGGTTGGGATTGTACGGCAGTGATGAAGTTTTCGAGATCCGCTGGGGGAAATCACTCCGGTGTGGCACCGATTCGAGAAACCGAAATGTGTCCTCTGTGCCCCAGAAAAGAAAGCATTAGGCGAGTAGTCGTACTTCGAGCGTGTGGGAGGAGAGTTGGTCTTACCAGAGAATATTTGACGGAAGGGTTGGAATATCAGATGACTTGGTTTCCGCTCGCCGAGCATTTCTGGGACCCGAAGAGTCTCTCAGTGGAATCCCAAAGCTTCCCAGCGCCATCACCAACGGCGGACACCAGCGCAAAACCGGACAGGAACATGAAGAAGAGAGACCATGCGAAGGCTACGCCGATCAGAGCAAGTCAATAATCTCGAGTCCTTGTAACTTGGTTGGGGGGCGGAGGTAGACGAACACATTAGCCATTTTGTCGATGGTTGGAGAGTCTCCTTCGCTCAATGGACACCCCCGGCTGCTCGAGCCGCGGCATCAGGGATCAGTGTGAGCTGGTATACAAGTCTCAGCACCGGAGAGAAACACCGGATTAGATCGTAGTAGGACCGCGGCTGCTGAGACGACAAGAGGAGCGTAGCGATACGAGATAGGATAATACCTTGCATGAAGAGAAGGTGGGTGGCGAGGTCTCGGAAGAGAGCGGTCTGTTGCCGTTCGAGGGAAAATAGCGAGCCAAACAGGTCGGTAAGTCTCGCCAAGTGGTCCTGGCTACCATTGCCAGAGGCCCACAGTCCAACTGGGCAACTTGGCCGTTGTTGGCAGCGTCAGAGCCGGGAACCATCACAGCTCACCGACGCGAGGGGGAACAGAAGAGGAAGCAAAAAAAGGTGCTTTCTTCAATACGAGTCGTAATAGCGGCGTGGCTCCCAAGGGCTCCGACCGTTACAGCATTGCGTTGATCTGGGGGAAGATAGGCAAAGAGGGAACGAAGACGAGATATCGAAGCGGTATGGTTGGTGCCAATTCCGTCCATGGCACTCCCCACACTCGTTCCTTCTTCTTCTCCAGAAAGCTCTTGCCGGCTACAGCGAAACTTGGTACATTCCCAATCGTCGCACGATTCGCCCCCGCCTCGTACGGAAACTTGACGTCATTGCACATGTAAAATTGTATGCAACCGCTTCGTGGGACACCCCAAGCCTTTTACGGGTAGGTGCATTTGGTCGAATTTGCCAAACGGGAAGGGGTGTCCAATATCGTAGGTTGTAAAGTGTCGCTAATTAATGCGGAAGGAGGGCTCGGCAGAGAGTATGGGGAATTTAAGGAGGCTTTTAAGGAGTCCATGAGTGATGACGGCTCGGCAAACGTGGTGCGAGGGGCCCCTTGCGTATGGAGTGAGAGTGGTGGTAGTGAAGCAAAAAAACGGATCTTTGATTCAGGCTCCCTTCGATGCGTGGAAAGCGTGTTCTTCAGATTTGGAGAAACAGATCCCAAAGGCGTGGGAAAGTGGCATCTCTTGGAGGAAATGGCAATATCAACACTGTCATTTATCTGGCTGTCAATATAATTAAAACACCTCGGATCTTCTCCTTTCCGCACTGGCGTAGAATGGCAAGAGCACAGGAAGATGTCGATTTAGAGTTTAGGCGGCTGGCCGGCATGCACCCCTCAACTGGCGAAACTGATGCATCACAACATCATCCCCTCTCATAGCGTAAAGGCCCATTCAACACTTGGTCAGTTCCTCATAACACTCCTGCAATCCTTCCTGGATTACCTTACCTTTCTCTTAAAATTGTATTATAGATGTTCTGGAGAGTTTGGTTCTCCTCATGTAAACACCCAAGGCAAAGAACTGCATTGTCCCTATCCTCACTCGCTGTCCCGTCGGGGTAATGTTCCTCCGAAAACCAGTGTCCTAGCACCTCAAAGCGAGCCGATTTGGAAGGTCCTTCAGCCAAATGTGGTATTGGATGTTTGCCTCGACTTTGAAAATGAGGCGGGCACTTCACTTCCCCGCACCCCGGGTCCCTATCGCCGGGTTCATTATTAATCCAGAGCTCTACGCGGCAAGACACGTTTCCTCGCTTCACGGTTTGGAGCTCTTTTGACTTGGAAATGCTCTTTCATTGTGTTGTTGCGTTTGCCGCTTTTCATATCCTCCAAGCATTTGCTGGGGCAATTGTAACACCACCTGCAGCTACAAGCACAGTAGCTGTGGAGAAGAGAGACCAGCCGCTAACCGATCGGCCAGATCTGATTGGATATTTCGCCGGTTCCGACGTGACTTGTAAGTTATGTGATTGGGGCGGTCTTATGGCACTCCCTGTTAGCTGAATGGTTTTCAGGTGCTGAACTGGTTCTTACGAACAGATACACCGGCGTTCTGCGGGTCAGACTCCACCGTAACGACCCTCAGCGAGTCGCTATTCGCTTGCTGTTCCAGTGGCCAACCTTGCGAATTCCCAACATCGTGTGGAACGAGCGGCTACCTCTTGGGAACATGGATCGGGACCCCTAATCCGACGTGGACATATGACTGGTGGGTAGGCTTTAGCTTCAAATCCATGCGTAGAGGCTGAAGAGTGGCTAGCAACTACCAAATACTGCCCATGAGCTGTGGGCGGGGCTACGTATACGAGCACTTATCCAATACGGAGACAACGCCACTTACTCGGCACGTCTGTCAATTTTTTGATCCATTGGCGAAGGCTCCTGTGTACTACAGGACGTTGACAGAGGGAGTTAATAGTATGGTGCCAAACCCACCTTGTTCCTGCCAGATCGAAGACCTTGCTAAATATCATCTGCAGTTAACAATACGTTGCCTAATTACCTTCCGCCGGAGACTACGACTTCTCGTAAAACAAGCCAAGCATCCTCCACGAGTCGAACGACTGGCCCTTCCCAGACGAGTGGGGCGCCTCAATCAGAGGGTCTTGGTGGATCGAACTCCGAGGACGGAGAAGGAGCGGGAGGAACGAAAAATGAGGAGTCGGGAAATGGGAAGGAGTCGGAGGGTCTCAACGCGTCGGATAGAATTGCAATCGGCGTGGGTTTGGGCGTCGGCATCCCAACCGTGGCGATTGGTCTCCTAGCGTGGTTCTGCCCAAATCCATTCCGTCATCCCGGGCATGTAAGGGCAAGGGAGTAGCAGCCTTATATCTACATAGAGTTCACCGCCGACAGTAATTTATAGATATCCATCTGAATTTCGTTGTTGCTAGCGGGCCCGAGCTGCAATTTGATTCGACTTCAAAGACACAAGCGCAAATCCAGCTCTGAAGCTAGTCGCCAAGCACGACCTTGTCACATTTTTATTATAAGCCCACGGTGTGGCGTCGCCCCAATCACGTCTTGATGGGCGACAATGACCTCTACATTTCTGTGTTCGCGACGGCCTCGTAAATCCTGCAACTTGACGAGTCTCCGGGATGATCTAGCGCTCCAGATGTGTGGTACAGCGATGATTCATGCCTCAGCTTTGCAATCATCGACATCACGATATCCACTCGTACTCGACTGTCCGTAACGTGGGAGTCTTCCATACTCAGTAGACCCTCGTAGGAATCATGTGCCCCGTTTATTCGTACACGCTAGGTGAAGTTCAACTAGACTAAAGCCCGTCCGCCCCTCTTACAGCCCACTGAGTTGGCGTTCAATGTTACTAAGACGACCTGCTGGAAAGGCTGGTTGGGCAGTGGGGAGAGAAAGATGTCACAGGGATCAGGAGTAGCTTATGAAGTAACGGTGAGGAACACCATCGCGGACGTCACATAAAGGGTCGGAAGAGCAGTGTAGATATCTGTTTGCTCTGCAAGTGCTGATCAGGTGCCTTTGACTGTAAGAACTGTTTCCAGCAGTACCGTTCATGGCCCATCGAAACCCCACCCCAACCCCAAGCCAGCCGGTCCATGGTGAATCTCACTCATTATTCAAGGTTGGCCGCTTTCACACAGCAACTCTCTCATGATCATGTAGCCAAGAATCCTTTCGGCAGGTCAAGCTCCTTTGCAAGCGCAAATTTCCTTCTCACTATGAAACGTTAGACATCCACCGACAGATGCACGGCCAAGAATAATGATCTCCTTACCTCCATCCATGCCGGTGAAAAGTGGTTCTTGGTGTTCTGCAGAATATTGCCATAGCCGGCAACACCACAAGGCCACAAGTGCATCCAAAACTTCCCGGCGCAAAGTGGCTGTCACTACGAACCGATATTGATCTTCGCCCTCATCCTCCACGGCAATAGCGTTGCCTTCGGGATCCACCCATTCATACCTCCCACGTTTGTGGCGAAGTTCAAATACGGGCTTAGCATCTTTGAAAAAGGCCGGTTGGCCGTACTTGCTGCTCTTGCCTGAGACATCAACAGGCAACACCTTCCAATGCGATCTCATGTGGGACTTCTTCAGGCCCAAGTGCCCAACAGAGTTCTTCTTCGAGGTTGCCTGGATAAAGATCGGCGGGGATTTCGACTCCAGCGAACTTAGCGTGCCATAAACTCCTTTGATATGCTTGATATCGTAAATGTGCCTCGTTCGCGGCTTGATCGTCGGCTCGTCGTTGGCATCCTGCATGACCAACCTATCAACCCGCATAAACTCCACCTCTGACGTGGCGTACGACAGAGTTGCGATGCCCCGGTCTAGCAGGTAGAGCGGAGCGCCATGAGCGGACTCGGTGTGGATAGACTGTCCTGCGAGGACGTGGATGGTTGGTGAGACCAAGGCATTGACGTCATTACTCGCTCCGTCATCGTAGGACGGGGGCTGGTCATGGGCGTCAATGTCGGCGGTCATAGTGGTCTTTCAATTCAAGGCGGTTTCTTTTGTTTCTTTAGTTTTCTTTTTTCCTCCAAGGTCCCGTACCGAAGAGGTTTGTCAAGGCAAAGCTACAGAGTCTGGCATTCATCACTTTACCTCATAGATTCAACTGTTCTTGTTGAGAACCGTGTCCATGATCATTCCAAGAATTCCTCCGTTTCCACCCCCTCTTCCACATCCAAATATTACTAATGATTCCCCAATTGCCTGCCTGATAATTTAGGTTCCACTGAAGCGACGGTCCAACATCGAGGACAGTGAGTCACGTGAGGGGTCTACCTTGTCTGAATTGGAGACATTCGATCTTTGATTTCTCGCACGGATTGAATACATCGATGCCTCGAACAACGGCTTCAGTGAATAGAATCTCTTTCACTCTTTCATTTCGTAGGCGAGTCCGCGGTCCCGTTGCACCCTGCCTCAGCCGCTCTTTTATCCACCACTTAATGTTGTCCTACGTGTGTGCATTAGCAACGGAAAGCCATGTGGCTTCATCTGGAGCCGAGAATCATCGGCCGGACGGGCCTATCAATCATATTGATGGTAACTCATCGTTGCCGCAGCCGTTGTAGCAACTCCTAGAGCACCGAACGGCAAATTTCGACGCTGGAATTCTGTGAGCCAAGCCAATCTTTCTTTCCACGTACGGCGATAGAATCACATTAGGGAACCCACCTTCAACGGTGAACGTCTGCCCAAGGCGATCGGCGACTACCCGCAACTCCTCGGCTGCGGATCTCCTTTCCTCTTCTAGAGATGACAGAGGTGCGAGTAAATCTACTTATGCAATACTGGTTTCTACTTGCTGTTCAACATGGCGCGGCTAGCGCCGACTCAATGAACGACCGAACAAATAGTGGATGAAGAGAATCATGCCCCTGTGACCGCAATTCCTACTTTGAAAGATCCTCTCGAAATCGTGCTCCCCCATCTTGCAAGTACAGACACCTTTAAACCAACTGCTATAAATAGCGGTCAACGTTCCTAGCTTATCGTCTCGAGCAAGTCAAACGTCCTTGTCGAGCCGAATACTCGGGAGAAAGAAGATTGTAAAGTGACCATCAACCCTAATAAGTCCCCGCAGCCTAGGAATTTTACTACGCTCCTTGATTAATGGTCCGAGATTGACAGAGACAAGTAAGCAGTTAAAGGCTTCAAAGTTCTCCAGGGGATTTCAGGAACCCCGCAGGGTGGCTATTATTAGAGATGCGTTATAATTTAAGTTGTCTTAAGTGCTTTCTCACTCAGCACAGCTCATTATTATTCCTGCACTTCGTATTCCTCGGTCTCTCACTCAGAGACCGAGCCCGGCTTAGGTGCAGTAGCGTAATCTGCTGAAGGTTCGTCCCTAGCTCTATAGGGCTGGCCTTTACCGCAAAGAGTTAGAACGAGCTGGGGGTTGCCGAACATCCTTGACTTTTGGGCCAGGAGCACTAGAAAAGGCCCAAATGGCTTCTGATAGGACAGAGGACAGAGTTAAATCGAAGGTCATCGTTTCTACATCATGCACTGAAATCAACTAAGAGTGGTCGGAATGCAGACTAGAAGGAGAAATTTGAGTATATATAAAATTCGGTCTCTTAAGCAAGTGTCTTGTAAATTCAATTACACCACGAAGAGTAACTCTGAGTTGTCCGTCCAATGAACCATATGCTTGCCTAAGCCGGGAACAAGAAGTAGTGGTATTTAGCAGTTGAGGACAGCCGATCCGCAACCAGTCACAACCTTGTTGACGCCAGCGCTGGAGACAGGCTTCCTGGCACTTCCGCAGTATCGGCCAACGTTCTTTAAGAAGACATACGGTCAGTTTCTTCTTCATGTTGCGGAATAGATGCTAAACTTACGGTGCTGCCCTTGCAGAAAGCAACGCAGCAGCCATCCCCAAGAGAGGACTCCCAGATCCAAGACTTCACGGTGAAGCCAACGCTATGAGAGCCGTTGCTGGACCACGACTTCTGAGTGCCCTGGTAGTTGTCCTTGCTGTAGACGCTGATCTTGTAGGCGGAAGAGGTACCCACGAGGGCAGTAGCGGCGAGAAGGACGGTGGAGAGCTTCATCTTGAATGTGAGATGTACGTAAGGGACGGAGATGAAAGGCTGTCAACGGTGCTGGACTTTGAGGCAATGGTGTTTGGTGAGCTGAGCTTGGTGATCAAGGTAAATCAGAGACTCTCGATGAGGGATTCAAGGGTCCTTTTATAGACGAACTTCACGAAGCATCTCGCCTGAGGCGGCGTTGAATCTTGCCGACTTACTTCCGTTTTGAGGCCTCAGTGACGACGCATGAAGGAGGAGCAATTTATCGAGAGGCTGCATTGAATCTGCAATCAATCTCTCAAGATGTCGCGTTGAATCTCACGAGAGGCCGAGTTGAATCTCATGAGGGACGGCGCTGGATCTCCCCGGCTTACTTCTGCTTTGAAGCAACCGTGACGGTGTAGAAAGGCAGGAACAGCTAACCGAGATGCGAGGATGGATGATTTTCATCCAAAGTAGAATTACAGCGTTGCGGTGCATCCGGGCTGGACGACTTGGCGTGGCTGATAGGTTGGCGATTTCTCCATCCCCTTGCTCAAGTGTATCATGCAAACGGGTGCATCTTGTCTCGTCATGCCAAGGCACTGGTCTGGTATTGGACGGGAAAATACGAGAGTGTGCTCCGGACCTGATCTGTTGAGGGGAAATGCGACGTCTTGGGGCCGAAAATCGCAGGTCAACCGTGAGATATGCACAGCTGAGGAGAGAAATTGCCGCCCCAAGGTTGGGGTGACTGGGGTGACTGGGGCCGTGAAGAAACACACTCTTCACGGACATCCATCGATTGGTTCTGGATCATCTAAACACCTGCCTACTCTGGTGACCACCGCAGAACGCCACTCTTCAATGTTCCCACTTCCCGCTCCCCAACACCCACAACCCGTTCTTGATCTGCAGCTAACATGACACATGAAAGACCCGATTCGACGCCTCGTTTTGTCAATCTTAGAGATTCGTAAACTAATCAGACAAGGCGCTGCGGCTCGTGCATGCAGGGTAGGACCTCAAAACACTGTGCTCATCAGCTTTTTGAACATTCCCTCCTTGGAAGAGTGGACCACGTACCATCTTGGCTTATGGAGTGAGATTTTTTTTTTTTTTAGTTTCACTAACCACAGCTCCTTCTCCTTTGAGGGTGCATCGCAGCTATTCTGTAGCCCTCTAATGCACGACCCCTCCTTGATGACTCGTGCCTCACTTTATTTCAACGTAACCTTTCAGCTCGCAAATACCCCTCGCGTAGTTCCTTCGTATTCATCGTAATAGCGATTCCTGAGTCTGATTCTCCAGCTCAAAAAAGGAATGGAAGTCCAGGTCCAGGCCAATTGAAGATCGACTACGACTCCGCTTTGTGGCGAGTGTAGCCACTGTAATTTTCAAATTTAGGAACAGAGGGCCACTCTCCGGGTATTCGGCTCAAGTTCCGTCGAGCCCCATCGGTAAGAGAGTGTCTCAGTCCGCAGGTGGCCCCACGAAAATCTGCTTGGCGTTGAGCAGCCGCCACCGGAGTAGCTGTGCGTGCTCGCTAGCACTCCTGCAGAACACCTCCATCATTGATACCACCTCGTCCGAAGTACAAGTAGACAGCAGTTTCGAAGACGCTAGTATTCGGGACCCCATCTACCCCTACTGATCCCTGTGCATTAGCCTGGCGGGGTCACCGAGATCATGCTTTGCCACCCACACCCAGACGTTTCAAGAAACCGAAAGTTGTGAGATCCAGAAGAAATACAGTAGCTGCACAAATCTTAATGGTAGTGTCGGATTGATGAGATCAATCGTCAAGTAAGAGATCCCTCCCAGCAGTGAGCAGTCCCATTGACACGAAAGTGCCTATTCCACAGGACTGCCTAGCTCTGGCCTGAGATGCGGACGTTTACCCTACCAAAGTGTACCTCTCAGTAGCTCCCGACGGGAAAGAACTAGTGCTCCACCATGATCTGATAGTTTTGATCTAATCTACATATGCATGGCACCTTTGGGTGTATTGTGAGAAGAATGAATCTGCGGGAGGCCTATCGGCTATCATGGCGCTGGTGAGCCGAGGGACATTCTGGGCTTGAGAGCCGGCAACGAGCCTCTTTTAGAGACTATGCCCGCTGATGTGGTTTCCTCAATTCTTGCCGGGATTGTACGGTGAGTAGTAATCCGCGTAGTTGTGCCGTGATTGGCCCCTTACGTGTTTGACTGCTCAGGGCTCTCTGATGACTCGGTCCATGGCGGGCTTCGTGTCGGTTTCGAACTCATAACTCGAGCCCAATAGGATTGTTGGAAGCAACACCGAGATGCGTAAAGGTATGTCGGCCTTGATTCCGGGAGTAATCGAATTACACTTCTTAATATTTCTTCCTAGTATTGGCTCTGAAGACGCCCGTATTTATATTTCCACCTCAAGTCCTACGTCAGCTGGAAGCATTTAGAAGCTACTTCATTTCCTGCGTCCGAAATTGCGTCCGAATATAGATTGAGTTTGCATCGGACAGCTGAAGGCCCCGTATGCTCGGAGAAGTGGAGCTTTACCATGCAAGCTTTAGGGACCCGATGATGTCGCCAAATGACTAGACCGTAAGGCCGTTTCGGTTAAGTTGTTATGCACACAATATATATCTTGAAGAACGCTAGAGTTGCGCTTCTCACTAACGCTATTTAGACCTTCACGAAGCATAAGCACAACCAGGGAATGTTTATTGAGGACTCGGGGGGCTCTGCGGTCGTTCGTGTAGTACTGGCCATGCCATGGTTCAAGGGAAGCACAGGCTCCTGAGAGAGTTCCCGAATGGGGATCTATCTTCAGACCTCCCTATTGTTTTCCGTGTCCTTGGCTCTTCCTTCACCAATTAATCGTGATCTTAGAGCCATCAATGCTCACTATGCATAATACTCACGTCGCCTCTCGAACAATTACACAAGGACGGCCATATGCCTTAGTAGGTATTAATGCAACGATCGGAACTAAAGAATCATATCCTTCTGCTGCCCTGCCATGCTGGTAGCCTCCAAGTCTACCAGTCATTCCCAACCTTCTAAAACTTCACACCCGGGAGATACGCATGATCGCAGGTTTCCCGGCCGGTGTCTCTATCGATCAGAGAGACCGGGGAACTTGTCCGAGAGTCACCGGAATCTAGAAGCCATTACAACACCCTATGGAAAGTCTCCCTGAGAACACGTGGTTCGATCGCAGTTGCAAAGCCTTGATGATCCAGGTAGAAGACAAAGTCATCAGCAGCCACCTCGCCGTACATAAGAGAGTCTATCGTGGACCATTGATGAGCATCAGGATCAAAGATGCGGGGTCCAGTGTGTGCAACGTCGGGATTGTGGGTTTCAAATATAGCCCGATATGTAGAAACTCGAGTGTTCCGGGCGTGGTGTCTCTTTTTGCCCCAGGACGTAGACTCGAGATTGGTGTGCTGAAGGCGAATTGCAGTGAGTTGACCACCGCCAGTCTCATCCGCAAAGGCTTGCGCTGTTGCGTATAGATCAACGCCATGACTTATCCAGCGCCTGATTAGAAGACCAGGATTCTTGTCGTCGGCAACAATTACCAGCGACGAGTTCTGCTTCGGGTCGGCGGCTGTGTAGGTCCCGCAGAGTTTCTTACATGCTTGATGGAGGCTCGTCATTTCCAAAGCAGGAAGCAACTTTTGCATGACCAACTCCGCAGCAATCGTAATGGGGGAGCCACTACTCGAGCCAGCCGTGAGAATAGATACCGTCACTCCGTAGTCGGGGACAAGAATTAAAAGAGAGTTGTAGTTCCCAATGCTTCCGGACTTGACGTAGAGATCGACAACGCGGCCTTCGGTGATGTTCGTTTTCGCGCGCCATATTTCCCAAGGACTTCCAACTGAGAAAACCAGAGAGCTGGTGTGCGAGTTAGGTTTCATCCACCTTCTTGTATCGAGTGCTGAGAGTTGCTTGCTGGCCAAGATAGCGCGACCGAAAGCCGCTAAATCGCGAGAAGAAGAGAACATCCCAGCAGTCCTGATTTTCACCTGTCAGTCTACCTTCTCTGAAGTCTTGGGGAGTTAGATTGCTAGATATGCACTCACGGGGCCTCATCGCCGGCATCTTGGAACCAGCCACTATCGCCATTTGGAATAACCCAGGGTCCCTTGCCCTCCGGTCGATGTGAGCTTGACTGGCTAAGATTGAGGGGCTCCAGAACCGACGACCTCAAAAGCGACGAGTATGACGTGCCACTGAGTGCTTCAAGAACGTATCCCAGGATTCTAAATGCAGCATTTGAATATACGGGAGTCGTATCGGGAGGAAAAACAGCCTGTCTCTGGGTGAACCCTTGGAAATACTCTAATATACCAGAGTATGAGTACTTAAAGCAACCAAGTTGGTTTGAGGCAGAAACCCACCTTGGCGATTGCACGGCGGTAGACTCGCGTTGCCCGCACAGGAAGGGATATCTTCCATGGGCAGACTGGGTAGCCCCGCCTGCTCCCAGGGGAAGTTCTGGCTAGCCAAGTCACCATTGGCATCTCGTAAATTGTCAGCATATACTTCAGCACAAATAGGTAAGGAAATGATGGCAATTACACACAATCTCGCCCAATTCCGGAAAGTTGTGATGCCATAGCCCCGAGAGTTATGCTTTCCCAGTCAACAAGATCAACGGGATTTTCCATCCCCGGCTGGGCCGCTTCGCGCAACTCAGGAATGTAGTCCGTCACAGGATTATCCCAATGCTTCCTTCCGAAGTTCAACAGCAGCGCGTATACCGTGAAGAGCTTGGATATACTGCCAATGCGATACACCGAATCCTCCGTGATATTCGTCGTGCTTCCAGCCGTCTCATTGAGAAATGGTGAAGTGAAGTGGAAGTTGAAGAAAGGGATTTCCTCGCTATCCTCAGTCGACATGGTGGTGATTGACACCGAGGACGTGTTGCCCACGAAGTCACCGAAGTCGCTATGGCCCAGATGAAAGGTCTGATGTAGCGTGGTTGATAGGTCGATCAAGACAGGATTCATTATTCCTGTCCCCAACCCGGATGGGCGAGGCAAAACAGGACCGAGAAGCAGCGAACTCATTCTGGCAGGTAGGTAGAAACAGACTTGAAAGTATGTCTGGGTAGTTTGCAGGAGGCGTTATCACTCTTCATTGATTGTTTCCAAAGCTCGAGGTGGTTCATGTTTTTATACCTTGAAGCATCAGTTACCTGTAGGCTGTACAGGCGCATTTACGCCGAGAGGTGGTCATGGTGCGTACAAGTGCCAGTTGCCTTGCGGTCAGAAAAGGGACGACGACGGGACTTTTGCGGCGATTTACCTAGCGCTCCGTTTGTGACAATGTCCTAGTCTTCCAGCTAAGATCCTGGCAAGTCTGCGATTCCAATATGAATCCAACTACGGGAGATCCACAATCAATAGCGAGTGATTTGCTTTTGCTCGTGTATCCAGTGCGGCCATTCGCCGATTCCCTTGGGTCGCAATCTTAAGTTACACACAAACCCCCCGTGAGCTTATGTACGAATCCTTCACACATTCGATGAACGGCATTCCAAACGTTTTCTTACTTCTGTTATTGGTTCAGTTCAAGGTGACAAACGTCCTACTTCTCAGAGTCATACTTCTTCGGAAATAACGCGGCCTGGCGAGCCTTAATTAATCAGGTGTGCGGATGCCTTCATCCAGCAAAGCGATGTACTTATCTATCCGTGCAAGGACCCGTTCTGTGTCCTTGTGTGATATTGCTGTCGCTGCTGCCTCTCGTAGCAGTTTCGCTGCCCTCAAGTAGTTTTCAATCGTCGTCTTTCTTGGGTTCACATCTTCCCCGCTTCTTTGCCCTGGCGTTGTATCGAACTGGATTACATTCAATACCTCTCCATCGAACGTAGCTTTCCCGCGTAGGCAGATCCAAGTGCATGCCCCGGCACAAATGTTACGCACCACCTGCGGCGCGAGATCAACCAGAGATTTCTGCCCGAGTTCGGCGCCCTGGTTCCTATCCTGCTTGGCCCATACCGAGATATCAACAATGTCGTAAACCGCGCGGAGTGTCTCGTATCCAACACGGCAAGTGATCATTTCGCCCTCAATCGTGAATCGATCTTGGATGCCATACTGCGTGACGCAGCTTTCAATTTGCATATAGCAGTTGAGTTCCAGCAGCCATAAGACTACAGCATGCAGTAGCGCATGTTTATCTGCCCTCTTCTCGCCACTCATAAACACACGATTTGACCCTTTTGCTCTCTGTCGCCGTAAATGTGGTGGGCAGCTGTTGTTGCGCCAGTGATCAAGTTGGGAATAGAGACATTGGATATCGTCTATTTTAACTCCTCTTCGCCTAGTAGAGGCACAGCAAAGATTCTGCAGTGTTTTCCGTGCGATGATCGACAAGGCGAGCATAGCATCGAGGTAGCTTGCTGCCTCATGTCGCGGCAGACTTTCAGTGAGGTCAACATCATCGTCTTGGATACGTGATATGCTTTTATGGTCAAGATTGTGGAAGGCATCAAGACCATATACATGCCAGAATAGTAACGTACGCCGTTCATCAGCCCGCGCCAATGCGGTTGCGGTTGCCGAGGCGGAAGCGTGGGAACAGTGACTTTGGATCCTTGACCGCAATGTCATCAACACCAGAGAGTCATGCGTTAGAAATAGATGTCCAAGGTGAGTTTGAGCCGACGAATTTTGTGCATTGTCGTACTCAAAATTAACCATCAGTGCCAATGCTTCGAGATCATCAAGGCGTATTGACCCTTGGTTCGTCGCTGAATTCTGGGTCTCAAAGAACGCCTCTCTAAACTGGTGGGCAAGTTGTTGCTGCACGTCCCATTTGTTTACAACCGTGGTGAACGGTATCCCACGGCAGGCAATGGCGAATAATAGCGCAAAGCTGCACCTGCCAGCGCGATAGTCTTCCCAGAATGCATCCTCAAGAAGGACGGGTAGACACAGGGCAGCAAAGTCAAAGTAGGCATGCAATGCTGCCTCAAAAGTATCCGAGTCAAGATTTAAATTCAACCGCCGTGCCTCATGCATTCCGTGGTCAAACTGAGAGGCGCTTGTTGGTGTTGCCTGTGATGGATCGACGGCATAGCGCTCTGTCGCACCGCTCGACTGGTTCTGGTCAACTACTCGTGGCAGTTGATTGTCTTCCAGTGGCAACTCGTAGTCTCTCATGAAGATCTGATCGAGGAATGAGACACTATCTGCGCTAAGCCCTAAGGTAGAATCAAGGAAAAGAAAGTCGGGACCCTCATCCTGGAGGGAAATTGAACCATTAATCACCTCCGACGGCGAAGTAAATGAGGATCCAAAATCCACAGAGAACTGAGGGGGGGATTGTGAGGATGAATCAACAGTCTGTCTACCGCCTGGCGTGTTATGAGAAGTGTCGTTCTCGTTCTCCACAGCTATGGCACCCGGTGTTTGTGTTTGCTGTTCGCCCCTTCGCACTTGGCGCCTCTGACTGGGGCGTGATTTTGGCGAGCCCGAAGCCAAGGCCATGTCTGTTGTTCCGATTCGCCTGCGTCTCTGAATCCGAATATCATCGGAGTCATCGAGGAGGCACGCCGCCTGGCGAAGAGCGCATTGCGAACAGGTCATAATGCCCTCAGCCGCACGGGAGGCGCGGTCACATTTGATTTTCCGCCGATGGCAAAAGTCGCATGATGCACGCTCTATCCCCCGCTTTAGACGCATTGCAGATTTGGCGGAAATAGGTAGCGTGTAAACGAAAGCTCCGTCACTGCCGAAAGGTGATCGATTGCCGTTCTGAGAGAAAATCGCCCGCTGTCAGTGGACCAGTTGCGACGGAGCTTTGGCGGCGGAGGATTGTATAGATGTAAATTAATTTGCTGAGGCTAGGCAGCAGTTTTGTCGGTGCTTCGGCAAGATGAGCGGACGGGACTTAAGCGGCGAAATCGCGGAGATATTCCCCGCCGCAGAGGAAGTCCGCGTCAGCGACCAAACGGATTAAAATCAGGGATGTGGGGGGTTTTGTCTCATGATGTATGAAAAGCTCTGCCCTTATGTCAGTTCAGTTACGTTCTAGTGATCTATGCCGCTCTTCTTTCATTATGATCGCGACGAGCAACATGCCAACATCCCGCCCAACAAGGCTGGAGCACTCCTCTTTACGCTACTATTTTCTGTAAATGCCATTTTTCTCTTGGCGCTTCTACGGCTATACGACAAGATGTGGAGGACAGGCCGCGGGAGAGAACTTTCCCTCAACACGCGTACTACTGTTCTTACGACCGACATTGCCCCAGACCCAAGGTCTTCCGGGCCGAACAGAACCTGTCAGAACACCGATGCCTCTAGAAGTCACAGTCCGAACTTGTTAGCCACGTGCCTGGGTGCCCACTGAACCGCCATGAACCTCCAAGTCATCGAGGACAAGGGTCGACCCACCCCCCTTTGTCGACAGGCCGGTATAACCTCTTCCGCCGACTAGCTTGTTGAACTCCACATTGGGCGTGTGTCTTGAAGCCGTAAAATGTGTTATGCGGAGTGCCAGTAGTCTGATCAGATTGTAGGGTTTGCCCTCCTTCTCGACTTCTTTCTCGCCCCTCTCTCCCTATAGCTATGTGAAAAGATGGGTTATGTCACGGGGGTGAAAGACTATCCGTTCAGGATCAATTGCAATACAAATTAAGAAAGAACACCTCCTTCTCCCACAAAGTCGGTCTGAAGCACCGAGAAGGTGGCAAGAGCGAGATCATTCATCAAGAGGGAAAACAGGAACGCAAGTGTGGAACTCGAAGTACACAACTTCCTAAATCTCTCTTCCAGAACCATGTCACACCCCATTTCTCACTAAGCCTCGAAATTGCCGCTACCAAGGCCTCTTCTCGCCACCTCACTACCATGTGCATGCTACTTTGGCACTTGGTGTAAGAATGAAGGGGGCGCAAGGGAGTCCTTGGCATGAGCACCTGCCCAGATCCCGCTGAACAATTTTGAAACACGACTTCTGACCATTGATGAACCGATGAGCTCTCTTCTTAGAATAGTCGACACACATGCTCCATTCTTGACCACAAAAGTTGAAACTCTTGCATCCATCACTCGACACCTCCCAGGCGCCGCATTTGTTGCAGCCATCAGCGCGGTGGTTGACACGGAGGTAGTGTGCGTAGTAATACCCCTGGGCCGTAAGCATGTCGAATGAAGCATCGAAATCGGGGCAGGTCCCTTGGGAGCATCCGGATTGTATGCTAATATCTCCCGCGAGTGCTGAGACGTCCGAGGTGTTTGCATTTGTGATATCGAATGAGGTGACTTGACCGTCTGGTACAGAAAGGCTTTGGTCGACTGGGCTACCGTAGGCTCCTTGCATGGAGCATGACAGTATGATAGCCAAGACGATACGCTTGATACTGAACATTGTGTTGGACGGGGACTTGATGGGTCAATCAATGAATGGCCTGGCTTTGAGCCGATAGATGATAGTTTGAATGAGGATGGAGCGAAAGTCTCTTCGAAAAGCACTCGAGGAAAGCGGAAGAGAGATCACCTATATTCACCTTTTTTCTTTTTCCAAAAGGATGGCTCCTTCTCAGTTTACCTTACATATCATAAGGTCAATCCATGAGTCTACACCGCTCTCAATCGCGACCGAGTTTCTCTTTGCAGCAAATACAGTCGTTAGGGACCTGGCAGTTGAGATCTTCAACGACTCCCCAGAAGGATTCTTATTGTATTCCGAATAAGTCGAGTTTTCCCGCTCTGTCTCTGGTGTAGGAGTCTACCCCGCTTCCTGTGTCAGCAATACGAAGTAGTTCAAGTGCAACTTCGCGATAATTACATTATATACCTCAGTAATGGGCTGACGTTGAGGCTTTCCTTTAACGATCAGTAATCGGAAGGATTGCCATGCTATTTCGAATAGGGGCTAATGTCCGAAATCCTTCATCCTCGCAGCGCTCCATACTTCCTCATGGGATCTTGGATGGATACTGTCCTCTCACCTGCGTTTGCCAAGCTCTCTTTTGCAGGTTTTCCCCTCCTTGCCGTCGTATCTCTCCTCGGAACGATGCCGGTTCTCCCGCTCCGCGAACGGCACGGGCCGTCAACTGCCCCGTGGTCCCGATGTAGACCACAGTCATTGACTGCATGAAGGTCTCTGCACGCGGGGCCTCGGTATCTCACCGACATTGGCGTACCACAACCCCGCGTCGTGGCATCGAACACCACGCTCTCCCCAAAAACTATCACAACCTGTCGAATTCACAAAACGAAGGTGAAATGATTCTAGGATATGTAATTGGGAGAATAGGTATAGAATGGAGATATATGCTGGAAAGGCGACACCATCATCTACTCCTCTTTTTCTCAACTCTCTTAATAGCAGCAGCCGTTAGCTTCTGCCGGTCTATTAGCGCAACGACATCTTTCTTCCTCGTCTTCCGATCACCCATGCTGATCATCAATCCCGCCGTAATATTGCAGATGATGCTGACGCACAAGATGACTGTCGTAATGGCGACCGGGCGTGTGTGATAGTCAATGCCCCACGTAGTTGCCCCGAGGGATATTTGCAGGCACGAGTGGCAGTCAAGTAGAACGACAATGGCAATGAGATAGCTGAGGGGGAAGGCGTAATGTGTGAATGTCTCCTCCGGCTTGTAGAAGCTATGTGACTTGGCCAGCTTCTTTTGATGGTGACAAAAGCTCTTTTGCTGTTTGGGCGTCAATGCCAGTGCTTCGCCTTCATAATCCCGGCCGGTTTTCTTGGCACAATCTCCGCTCTCTGGATCTGCCGTGTCGCTGTTGACATTGGTGGAGGATCGATTCGCAGCGGTAATAGGGCTTGTCGATCGAGGGCTCACTGATGTAGGGCTAATCGATCGTTGTGGTTCTGTTTGCACATTGCCGTTATTGTTAATGTCGATATCTGGCTTTGCTTCCTTTCCGTCTGGTGATTCGAGGGGTGTCATCGCCATCTCTAGATCCGAGGCTTTGGATTTTCTCGCCTTCTCGATCATACGCGAGTAGCGCACAACGAAAATCAAATGGTAGGTATCTATGGCTCGAAGAGGGGCCATCCCGTCACCTACGATGGCGAAGAGGGCGACGAGCACGCTGTCGATAATGTGAATCGTGTAAACCTGTTTGTCACCCACGTAGATCCATCCGATGAGGAAAAGCACCCACGCCAGGCCGAAAAGGGTAATGAGAACGGCATATAGTGTAACGAAGAAACCGAGTGGCGTGCGGACATACTGGCCGAATCCTTTCAGACCGCGCTTGAAACGTGACCGGCGGGAGTGTAACATGTGGCGCACGCGATCTTCCAGCTCGAGTTTCTGGGCCTCGGTCCACCCGTCGAGAGTGGTGCCGTGCGGTAGTGCGGCATAGTGCGATTCCGTTAGGCGGGAGCTTATAGAGCTGAGGCGTTCTAGACGTGGACGTTCCTCCTCCTCTTTTACCTCCTCCTCCTCCTTTACGCGCTCAGCTTCCGGTCCCGGGGGGGCAGCGCCCGGCCGTCGGGGTCCTCCTTCGTAGTCTGAAAGCACGTAGGTAGGTCGGCGGTTGATGAGGTTTCCTAGATCGGGAACGAAAAGGGAGTTCTGGACATTTGTTAAAGTTGATAGTGTCTGAATTTCGGGGTCTGTGTTTTCAATTAGCATGACGATTGCTGACGCGGGGCAATAGATGGAGGACAAACCAAAAACATCTAGCCAGTCGATGAGGCTATCGTTGAACTCTTTGTCCTCGTTTCCATTCTGACTTCTCCTCTGCGTATCAAGGTTACCGACGCTCTGTCCCGGGCGCAGGAATCTGCTCAGCCTTCGCATTCCCGGGAATGGACGACGCAGGGCATGTCCATCCGGCTCTTCCGGAGTCATCGAAAATCGCCCGGCGGGCGGCTGCGTGGCCGGTAGAGAGCTTGATGATAGAGTTCGAGTAATCTCCGCCATACTGGGTCGGGGCCCTTCCTCTGTCAGACGCGGCATGGCCATTGGCGTTTGTGCCACTGTCGAATGGCGAGCCTGCTGGGGCCGACCGAACTCCCGCATGGCCACTTCCGGCACCGAGACGGCACGCGGACGCCCTCGAAGCGTTTCATCGTTGGCTGCGGTAATACCCGTCTGCTGGGAGTCGGGTAGGCTGGGTCCAACGGAGCCGGGTATGGTGGCCGAGCCGCGTCGCAGCCGAATGCTTGGGACACGACGTATTTGCCCCGCAACGTCCTCGTAGACCGATGTATTGAGCGAAGCGGTCGAGGGTGCGCGTGAGGTGCGTGGAGTAGAAGTCGCTAATGGAGGACGGACTGGTTGGGTGTTATCATCGGGAGCAACGTCGTCCGTATGTTCCGGTCGCGCCATTGTCGAGGGATCGGCCGATGGTCGGGAGGGCGATGTTGATAGTCTACCGGTCCGGTGTCGCAGTCGCGGGGCTGCAGCCAGCTGCAGGTAACCGAGCAGCCAAATCCTTTAGGGGTCGTCTCGTCGCCTGGCTGCGCTTCGACTGCCAGGAGTGTGTGCACCGTCTGAGCAAAGGCGATGGTGAGAACTGAGTGTCATGATGAGCCTGGTTGTCGAGCAACGCAGAGGGAAAAAAAAAAGGAGGATTAGTCAACTGGTGATAAATCTCGATTTTTTAGTCCATGATAACGTTAACCTCCTCGATGGATCGATCGGAACTTTAATATTACAGAAGTGGCCGAAAAGGGTTTAATAGGTTTCCGAACTGGGAGAAGATCGCGATTTGGTGTATTTCGTACCCAAATTTTGTCTTTGAGTAATTCTTACAAACGAAGCGATGACATCAGATGAAGATTAACTCCGAGACCGAGAACAGAATCAGAGAGACAAAATATCTTCTGTCTACGGAGTAGATAATCTAATCTACTATACGCAGGAGTACCGAGCTGGGTGAGGACTTCCAAATCGCCACCTCCCAACCAAAGAAATCTGTCCCTTCATCCCTTCATCCCTTCATTCCCCACTATAACATCGCCGCGGGCCCGGATAAATGGTGCGTCAAAGAAGCTGTGAGGATGTCGCCACCATCGCCGACAATTCCGTAGATGGCAAAAATGCTAAGACCTTCGTCGATAGAAATCAAGTACTTGTCCCTGTTTACAAGGAAGCGTCCAAATAGAAGTCACCTCCCTAGTTCTTGTTACCTTGGCCTGTAATTTCATTATTTTTGTTCTCCATCCTTCTGCCAACGGGATTGCGATCCCAATTTATTACCCATCCAGAAGGCGGTCCACCACGGCAAGATGCCAGAGTGGTTAATGGGTGTGACTAGAAATCACATGGCTTCGGCCGCACAGGTTCGAATCCTGTTCTTGTCGTTCGTTTTTTGCTCTCTCTTTCTTTGGTTCCTTTTTGTCTGTCAATCCTAAGATGATCAGGATGGAATTATATATGAAACTAGAAACAGTATGAGTAAGTAGAGTTAGAAACCTTGACTACTGACCACACGAAACTACTGGTGATGATTGCGTCTGCAGATTAAGTCAGACTTTTATGTTATTACTACGTGCATTACACTCAGTTTCTCAAGCCAGGAGACGCAATACCACCCCCTTTCCAACCGTTCCCATCGCGTATGATCTCTGGCTCAAGCTACAAGCCAGTGAGATTTCTCTCGAAAGTAGAAAGAAAAAAAAAAATAGCCACTGTCAGTAAAAATTATCTAAGGCAAAGACGAAGGATAAGACCGTCATGAGACGAAGAAGGATCTATTGAAGGTGAGGCGCAGCAGGCAACAATTTGAAGGCAAGGGCCGACCAACATTGTGGGGCTCAACTTAATTTCCTTCAAGATTGGTCGCTGTAACATTCATTTTGATCCTTGACTCTGTTCTCTTTCACCCTCCCGATGATTGCGGGCGAAACGATATACAAAATGAAGGCAACGTCCCCAAAATCCATTGCGCTGGCCACATCTCTTCTTGTCGGCTCGGCTCTCGCCGGGCATTTGTTGCAAGTCATTGGTATTCCCGAGTTTGTCGACCGGCGGTTATCTCAAGGCGAAGACGCTGTTTCATGGCTCAGGCTGGATTCCGAATCACAGAAACACGTCGAGTACTGGAGAAATCGACTTCTCGATGAATCTCTGCAAGTTGTTGGGCCGTGCCGCCTTCCCGAAGATGCGGCGCACGAATGCAAAGCACCGACCTTCCCCTTGTTTCCATTGCCCGATTACTACCGCAACGCGCTTCTGGGACGACCTCCTCCGGACATTGTACGCGCCAATATTGAACAGGCTACGAAGCGCGAGCTATCAAGTGTCGACGAGCTTATTGAAGCAGTTAACGCGAATCTTCACAACTTAGATGTCCTTGGTGATGATTCGCTGGCTCTCCTGGCGACAAACTTCCGCGAGCCTGAAGCTGGGCTGGCCGTTAGGGTGGGATGCGGCCCCATAAATTACGGTGAATGGCCAGAGGACCTACTGGTATCACAAGACGAGCAAAGGGCGCTTACGGCGGGATTTCTATATGCTCTGAGTGATCCCGGGTATCTTGGGCGACGAGATGCAGAATTGCAACAATACATCAAGCATCATGTTAAACCGAGGCAAGAGGAGCAATGTCAAGCTGACGTGCGAGGAGGTGCAAATCAATTCAGAGAAAGGGTAAAACAACTCGATACCGAGGTACTCATTCCGGAGGCGGAGTGGCTGGCACGGTACAATGAATATGTCGCAGCTCTGAGGGCAGAGTTATATGGGATGGTATCTGGCTCAAAACAAGGATGGGATCACTTCATACCCAAGATCGAAGATATCGTCTCTGTCTCCGAGGATATCGTGGGTGAAATGGTAGAGGAAGGTATACCCATGGCAGAGATGGGGTTTATTCGGTTCCTGGACGAAAATTATGATGAGATTCGACGTGAATTCCAGGAGCTTCACCCGGGAATTGTGCGGAGGGTTGCATATCGCCGATGGAAGACTTTGCCCCAGGAGAGTCAGGCAGCTTATTTACAACCTAGGTAGAAAGGAGACTTCTAAATTCCAGGGCCTATCCAAAATTGGAACAATGCCTTGAAGAAACTCAAACCCCCTTCTGCCATCGCAGAGAACGAATGATTGGCGATCAGAGCAACTAATTATCCTACAAAACATCAACCACCTGATAACTTATAAGTAGCTGACCCGGGTCGTTAGCGCCCATTTGACTGCCCAGCCCTCAGATGATCCCGTGGCTTCAATCCAGCAAGAAGTGCGACGAGCTCCCAAATGAACTAGGCTTCTTAGGCGTGATGGAGTAATTAGCCTTCGTGGGGCCTCCGTCCATCCAGTACTTCAGCCTAGTTATAAACGGCTCGTGGGGAATCCGATGATGATGAGTGTCCAAAAACTTTAGAACGCCGCGGTTAGCCCTGCTCGTATTCTCGCCCTCCTGACATACACTGGCTCAGTATTAACGGATCGTCAATAAATGGGTCACGGATCAGTCCCCACGGTTAAAGGAAACACTGCGTTCGTCCGATATTCCTTATGAGCAGGTAAAGGGCAGGCAAGGGACTACTGGTTGGTAATGGCTTTCTGCAAAACCTGCCGAGAATCATACTAAACAGTGTAGGACTACGGGCGTCAAGGGACTTCTGGCGGGTGCTGGCTATAGTTACAACCAAATATGTTTAAGAGCTCTCACAGCACTCTCCTTTTCATCAATGCCACCATAAATGCTGTGGAATTAGTTGACCATAGGACCCAAATATATAAGCCTCCGATCCCAGATGCTAGGGTGTGTCTGGTGAAATCGAATTAGTGGCGCCCTTCTTTTTGGGGCGTGGTAGAGTTATCGGCGCTGAGTACAAACCAGGGCAACTGAACGATAACATGGAAACATGTGGCGGTGTATTTCATACTTGTAGAAGATTCCTTTTCCTTTATTTTTTGCACAATTTCGTGGGATCTTTTCAGCTTTCCTGCACCCAGCTCGAGTACATAACAGCCCGGCGCCACGGCGGGACAAGGACAAATACCCGTGATTAAACCTGAGCCTTGAGGCCCATGGAGTGTGGCGTTGGTAGGCGCCGTAGGCCCATGTTATCTTCTTTAAGTTTGCGCACATCTGCACATTCGAGTACTGCAGCGTTTCCTGAGTGAGCTGATTCTCCTCTCGCCGTGTTTTTCCCTGGTATACCATCGCTGAAGTCAGTCGACACGCCACTCAACCGAATAAGTAGTCCTATTACTGTTTTCTGTCATCCGCTGGTCGGCCGCTTACTGCCGTCCTGCCATCATCCTCTGCCGTGTCCTACCGCCTTCGGGCCTGCATAAAGGTCAGCCCGTGATACTGAGAAGTTTGCTCTAGGATATCTATTCTATTATTTTAGTTGTCTATGACTAGAGACTGATATATCGAGTCGATAGTACAAATGTATGTTATAGTAAATGATATTTATCTGAGATGACACAAAGGTATGAGAGCAAACGCTGGGAACAGAGGTAGGTCTACCTAGACGATCGTAATGTCTACGCAGCCCTGTCCAGACTCTGCGCCTCACACATTTCCTTGTACATACCACCTTGGTTGATGAGCTCTTTATGCGAACCGGCCTCGACGATGCGACCCCCATAGAAAACAAAAATACAATTGGCCTCGCGCACAGTCGACAGCCGATGAGCCACGACAATAGTGATCCGCTCTCCAGAGCCGGAGGCTTCCATGAGCGCTGCTTGGACGACTCTCTCCGAGTCCGTGTCCAGTGCACTAGTCGCCTCGTCAAGGAGCAAGACACTAGGGTTGCGGATCAACGCCCGCGCAATGGCGATACGCTGCTTCTGTCCGCCAGACATCTGGCTGCCGGTGGTGCCACATGGGGTATCTAGCCCCTGAGGCAGAGAACTAACGAAGTCCCATGCGTTGGCAGCACGGAGTGCCCCCTCAAGGGCAGCATCTTCGGCTGTCGGTAGGCCGTAGGTGCCGGTCGTGTTTTCTCCCTTCAAATCGAAATCGACTCCCATAGAAACGTTAGCCCTGATAGTACTAGGGAACAGCGTCGGCTCCTGTTGCACCAAGGCGACTTTGTTTCGGTATAGCCAAGGGTTGAGAGTCTTCAGGTCGTGTGTGCCGTCTATGATAATTTGGCCACTCGTTGGATCGTAAAACCGCTGCAGCAATGATATCATTGTGCTCTTCCCACACCCTGTTACCTTGGTCAGCCCATAGTTTTAGTTAATTTATTTTTTTCTTTTTTTGCTGGGGGCTTTTTGGGAAGGAGGGATGGGGGGGGATTAAAGGGACCTTCGGGTTTGACAAACCTGAAGCGCCCACAAATGCAACGAATTGACCGTGAGAGATCTAGGCGCAGCACAACATTAGCCATGTATTCTGTTTGCCATCGCTCACAAGTTATTACTTACCTTTAGAGAAATTCCCTTCAGCACGCGATTGTCAGGAGCCAGCGGATATGAGAATTGAACGTTCTCGAAGTCGTATTGGCTGCATCTAGCCCCGAGGCCACGCTCCTGGTTCCCCTTAGTTTCTCGGACTGTCGGTTGAAGATTCGAAATCCAGAAGTAGTAACCGGCGGCGGCAGTGGCCTTGGTAAAGCCTGGAGATAAAGTAAGCATTAGACAGGAAGTTCCAATATTCCCGGTGAAGAATGGGGTTATTCTTACTACTTGCAAAGCTGAAGAGCTAGCCGTTTGCTTGGCCGGAGAAATAGACACCCATGAGGGAGACAATAAATTGATAGAAGTTGAGCTCTCCTTGGGAGAGCAATTTGGAACCCCACCTATTCATGCCATGTCAGTAATTCCGCGATAAATTCGTGTATGGGAATCTTGAGTCCAGTCTCACCAGAATCCCAAGGCAGGAATGAAGTACTCGATAGATTGAGTCAAAGAAAAGTAAACCATCATATGGAATAGAGGAGCCTTGGATTTCGAGATGGCTGTATCGAGTTCCTCGGTGTATCGGTTTAGAACAGTGGGTTCAATGGCGAGTGACGATACTGTGCGGATGGCCAAAATATTCTCTGATGCAATGGAAGCACTCTGGGAGAACCTCTTATCGGCATCGTTGTCCATTTTAGTCTCAACACGGTTACGGGTGTACCCGGCAAGTAGCATGGGTGACAAACCAGCAAAGACACCAACGAGGCCAAGCTTCCATGAGGTTACAATACCGAGGATACTTGAAGCTACGACGTTGATGAGTGCCATCACGATCAAGGCAATATTGAAGCCCATAAGCTCGTAAATAGACTCTAGGTAAGAGGACAAGCGACTGTTGAGAGCGCCAACTGTGTTTTCGGGTCTGTCAAAGAAACGGAGGTCTTGCCGGAGAGTGTGGTCAAGAATCTCGTTTCGGAGTCGTTGGTTGAGAGTCTGCCCCATGCGGGTTAGCTACGTCAGGGAAACCAACAAGAACGTGAACATTGTCGAGCGTCATAAGTGCTATTACATGGGCGTGTTCCTCACCTGAGTGATGACGTTGGTTGCCCAGCCCATGACAAAATAGGCCAAAAGACAGTCGAGGGACATAACAAAAAACATCAGTGAGATAAAGTTGCTGCGCTTCAACATATCAGGGGCGGAGAAAATGTCAAGAACATTTCCTAAGAGCACGGCCTGACTTGGGTAGACAGCAGCTGAGAAACATCATGTCAGTGGTCCGCTAGTTTCTTGTGTTCAGGCCTACTCTATGACACTCACCTCCAACAAAGCAAGACATAAGGACGATAAGATACCAGTACCGCAAATCCCAAGTGATTTTGATCAGCTTGAGAACAGACACTATGAGGCCTGGACCCTTGTAGAGCGAAAAGTCCTCTCGATCCTTAAGGGAGTCAAGATTGCGCGCCTCACTGGTATTATACCTCGCCAAGGACTGCATATTTTCCGCCTCTTGTCGAGGCTCGTCTTCCTGGCCGTCTTTAGTGGCATCATCTGGCGCGGATGTAGAGAGGTCCTGCGCTTTGACGAGGTGAGAATAGATGTTGCCAGCGGCCACAAGTTCGTCATGGCTGCCCTGCTCCACGATCTTGTCCTTGGACAGGACGACGATGTTATCAGCATCGCGGATGGTCTTGAGCTTGTGTGCGTTTACGATTGTTGTCCTGTCCTTGGATGCACGGTCCAGGGCCTGTTGAACGATTGCTTCGGCATGCGGGTCGAGGGCACTGGTCGCTTCGTCAAGAAGGAGGATCTTGGGCTGAGAGATGATGCTTCGGGCGATAGCAATCCTCTGCTTTTGGCCCCCCGATAAAAGACCGCCCCTTTCGCCGATCCGCGTGTTGTAGCCAAGAGGGAGCTGCTGGATAAAGCCATGGGCAAACGCCGTTTTTGCAGCCTCTTCGACCAACCGAAGCTTTACTTCTCTGGTGGAAAAATCCCATTGCGTACCCACAAGACCGTCGGAAATATTTTCAAACACCGTTCCATTGAAGAGGACCGGTTCCTAGGGAGAAGTTAGCCGCTGGACGGTAAGAGGAATTGTGAGGGAAGCCTGTGCCGGAATGCGACTTCGTGGTAATAAAGGCTCCAAAACACTTACTTGCTGCACAAGGCGCATGTTCGTTCTTAGCCACCGCAAATTCAAAGCGCCGATTTCCGTTCCGTCGAGCTTGATGCTTCCTGAGACCGGATTGTACCATCTCTCCAACAGCCCGATGATGGTGCTCTTTCCTGATCCGCTGGGGCCCTGTTCCGTCAACAGTCAGAGCACAACAACGACTCAAGTCAATCTACACCAGGAACAACGTACAACGAGCGCTGTAACTTTGCCAGCGGGTATGTGGAGCGTGAAGTCCTCCAGTACAGGAATGTTGGGTCTTGTCGGATAAGCGAAGTTGACCCCTTGCAAGTCGATGGCCCCATCGGTCTTTTCGGGCTTGCTACCACAATCGGAAAAAGGGTCGATTTTCGATTGCTGATCGATGAGGAGAAAGAGCTCGTTCGCCGCAGTTGATGCTCGGCTAAAGGCAAGCAAATGCGGAGCTAGAGAGTTGATAGAAGTGGCAGCAATGATTACGAAAAATAGGACTCTAGGCGTTTTTTTTTTTTTGGGTTCATGTCAGTATATATCTTCCCGGAGACCTCTGATCCGTCCAACAATCTCCAACAGGCAATCCCATATTCTCTCCCGATTCTGCAACCCCTTCAACTTTCCCCAATTCTCAGTGATCTCTCTATACAAAACATACCAGTTCGTCCCCGCAGCGGGCAGAGGCACAGGCCGCAGCCTCTCCATCTCCCTCTCTTCCTCCGAGGTCTCCGGCTCCTGCTACCTAAGTCCGCTGTGGTCTGCCCGCCGCTCACGGGATATGTCCGGCATGTCCTGGCGGATAACGTCTGCCCGGGAATGAAGGCTCAGCGAATATTCCCTCGACGCTTTCCACTGGGCTTCTTCGCGTTCGACTTGCTCCACGCCGTCCTTCGTCACCCACGGATACGGCGTCACGGCATTCGACCATGCTTCGTACAGCCAGGGCATCTCCTCGATTACGAGCCTGTGCCAAAGCGAGATGGGGAGATGCGTAAAAGCGCGTGAGGCGAGCCGCAGTGACGCAATGTCCGTAGAACCGAGATAGCCGACAACTTCGTAGATGAGCTCCTTCGGAAGCTTGAGAAATACGTCCACGCCTGAGGTGCTGCCGCTGGCTCGGATATTAGTAGCCCCACTCTCGCCCTCTTCACTACCCCTTTTGGACGGAAAAGGGCTGCTATCCATAGTGAAAGACCCATGAACCGTTGAGAGCGTAGCGGCGGCAACGATGGGCTCCAGGGCTGGATCAAGATCGGGTTGGCAGCGAGATATTCGGCGCCTTCGATGCACTGCCACACCTGCTCTGCTGCCTCGTGGACATCGGGTTGGTTTCTCTCTAGTATATTCTCCCTCTTTTTGTTGGCCGTGAGATCACGCAGGAGCATCAGGCCATCCACGTCGACTCTTCCTAGGATTATTAGCGAGGCCTGGCGGAAGAGTTCGAAATAGCTGGGGTGGAAGGGGAAGGCGATCTCTTCGATCTCTGCCGCGTCCTACGTAATGCTTCTCAGTTAAGGCGGTCTCGTAGATCCTGAAGAATACATATACAAAAAGGAGAGGACGGCGAATGAGGACAAGCCTTACAGCTATAGTGAATGCCGAAATATCTGCGTCCCGGTGCTCGACTCCATGTCTCCTAGGCCCGAAAATCAACCCCCAACCACCACTCGGCATGTGGGACGCGAGCCCGGTCAAATGGTAAGCAGAGTCAGCCTCAAAGTCACAGTCACCATCTTCCGGCTCCCAGTCGTCTGTCTTGGGAATAAGGCATTGAACAGTCGTGCAGCCGCGCATTTCCTCGGCCGAGATTCGGTGGCCAGAGTATTCCATTGGAGACTTGCACCCCGGGTCGGCAATGTGCTCGTAAACATCGCGTCGAGGAATCGCGGCCATTCCGTACAGGGGCGTACCTGCAGTAATGGGAGGGCCTTTTACTTCACTTAGAGGTAGGAAGTCGGTGTCGTGGGTGGGAAGGACAGGGCCGGATACCGTGAAAGTCCACTGTCGCTCATCACCAGCCTCAATTTCGCCGCCTCCATCGGAGTCAGCATCTAGGGAAGAAGAGCAGTCGCCTGATGCGTCCGAATCATACTCTAGCGGGTCACCATCACCCTCTGAGCCTGAAGGTGGTTGGTAGGTTTTATCTTCGGAGTCCTCAACAGTGTCTGGGTCATCCTCGTAGAGCAGTTGATTGAGGAAAGGATTGCGTGCACCGCGGTAGACGAGCGAGCAGCCAGTCGTTTCGTCGCAAGTTTCTTGTAATTAATAAATCATCAATCTTGATTAGTCTGGCATTGTGGCTTCAATTTTTTTTTTTCTTCTCGAGGTGTCAATCGGATGGCCGTACCAGAGTCAATTGGAAATGTGTCAGGACCCTGTCCGTCCCAGGCAGCCGAACGGGGTTCATCAGGCCTTCGATGGCGTCCGATGTTGAAACTGACGCCGCAAAGTTGGCAGAGAATCTGTAGGTTACGGTGAGTCTTAAAAAGCAATGGAGACACTAGGCAACGACCCGGATTTTTCTCACTTCGTAGTAACCTGGGAAGTGAACGCCAAGGCGGTGAGTGAGAACCCGAGAACGCAAGAGGTGGTGAAGATTTGGGGACTGGACTTACCCATTATATCCGCTTCAGTCTTCGTTCGTAATACCATAGCTGCTGGGAATATGTAATAGTGAGACTGCTCTTTTTAAAGGTTAAGGGAAGGCAAGAATGCGAAGTGTCAGAAGGACGAATTAATATGCAGACAGGCAGCCCACCTTACCAAATTTTGGTCGCCTTAGCCTGTCCTGCCCCTTGTCTGCACCTCCATCCACCCCGCACACAGGTTCAGCTACTATGATATTCAGCTTTGTGACATGGCAAGTAGAATCCCACAAACGCCAAAATTGCAGGCCTAAACTTGACCGCCACGATTCCTTGCCGACGTTAACCAATCAGGAACATCTTCCTTGGTCCAGTGGTCAGGATACCTGCTTGTCATTGAACAGGTCGCAGGTGGCCGGGGTTCGATTCCCCGAGGGAGAGTATAATTTTTTTTCCAACTTTTTGAGTCGTCCTCTTCCATATTATCTATAGTTTCAAATCGTCCCTATAGAGCTCTATCAATAGGGCTAATAGGGACAATAGGGGGTGTGCCTGGGGTGTCTGTACTGTAGCTTCCTAATAGATAAATTTTTGCACGTAAGCACCTTGTGGTCTCCAGGTGTTATTGGTAGCAAAACAAGGTTAAATCACCTCCTACTAAAGACCTATTTCATCTAGCTGAAAGAAGTCTTTGTAGAATTGGGGCTAACTTTAAAGTTCTGATATAAGGGACTATATAGCTGAGAGTGGGTTTATTAACACCACCTAGCAACAGGTTAACATCCTAGCCAGATTAAAGGGCAAAGGTCTTAAGTGCGAGGAGATTGACTAATGTGTATATCCCTTTGTGAGCTAGCTGGTCTAGGGGATTGTCTTCCTTGTCCTAATGCACACTATGGGCTGTAAATATGAAGAATGCTAGGCCCTAACTGCAAAGATGAAAGACGAGATCAAAAAGCGTAGGGAGTCTCATCCTTGCTATGGGGTGTAAGTTACTCTATAGTGCACCTGGTCTACTGTCTCTTCCTCCCCATTTATGGCAGACCGCCTGTCTATGGGCGGAAGCTTGAGGAGTAGCCTAGGACTTATAATAGAAAGTGTGCTGCTAGCAGCTTAGGTCGAGCAGTTCTGCTGGAGACTGAATTGTAATGTAGGCTTATGACTAGTCTATTTCAGGAGCATACGAGAACTTAAACTGAGACATATTAACACGGTAAAGGCGCGCACCAGGTCTCGTGTCATCTGGTGGCTGCCTTGTACACGACTGCCGTGATGAGTTAGCTCCCGGCCACAAATGATAAACAACCCCGGCGGACCTCTCCATTTCCACGCCTCATTCCTGATATGATTCTAATACGAGCAAAGGTAGAGATATCGTAGAAAACGCTAAAACAAGGCACGGATTTTCATTCGGACAGGCCCACGGGGGCTTGCAGTGACGCTCATCGTCTGGTAAGCATGGATCCCCAGTATTGCCTCCAGGTCAGACTGCAGAAACTTGGATCCCTCAGCCACCTGATGGTCGGTCAGTTCGAAATCGAACCAGCGCGCCGTCATCAACAAGGCAATCTTCATCTCCTCCATGGCGAGATTCTGGCCCAAGCACGACCGTAGACCTCTCTCGAATGGCCTGTAGGCATGGCGAGAGTAGGAAGGGTTGGAGTCCGTGAAACGGTCGGGGTTGAACCTTGTCGGCTCGGGGAAGATTTCGGGATTGAAGTGCATGGTGTGGGCGCAGATTCCAATCGCCTGGCCCTTTATGGGATATTTCTTATTATTGTGCTCAAAATATTTCCTGGTGGGGATGTTAGAAACGCAGGCACGGGTCGCGCGGCCTAAGGGCTAGCAAAACCGCAGTCTCCACGACAAGAGTACACTTACATATCGGGAGGTGGATCCCGGACGACGAAGCCGATTGGGAAGAGCCTCAAAGTCTCGTGAATGACGGCAGCGGTATACTTCATATCTTTTAGCAGAGCCGGGTTCTCCCGGACAAGTTCGAGTGTTTTGTCGAAAGACCTGTCGAAGACGCGATCGTGTTCCTCCCGGAGTTTCGCAAGGGTCTCGGGAAATGCGCCAAGCAACATGTAGGCGTACTGTTTCCCTCGTAAGCACTATCTTGCAAGAATCATTGGGGAGGGCCTGTAGTTACGCTTATCGTGTCTGAGGTAGTTCCGAATCCCGCTGCCATGAATCCGAGAGCACTAAGGATGGTTTGTTAGCAAAAAAAGAAGAAGAAAAAAAAAAAAAGACAGGGTCGTCCAGCAGAAGCAGGGGTATATATGACATCAGTGACTAGCATAGACGCACTTGTGAACTATTGGGGTTATGGCGGAATTGCTAAGTGGCTGGCTATTTTGTGCGTGGGGAGCGAGCATTCGATCCACGAGGTTCGTTGCGGTGGTGCGATTAGGAATGACTTTTTCTTGGTGGAGCGCCTCGAAGCGGCGCTCGATATAAGGCAAGATATCCCTCCACAGGTGTCGGATAACCTTCCATTCTTGAAATCGAATTCGGAGGGCCGTGAAAGGGTCCTTAGGGCCACTCTTCCGGCCAAGGATGTCGGCGAGAGATCTCACGCGGGCGTACAGCCCCGGGTTGTCATGTTGGGTGCCGATTCTCTCGCCGAAAAAGACTCGGGCGACGACTTCGAACGGGAATTTACCGAATTCAAGACCGAAGTCGATTACCTTTTCTGATGTTGCGAGTCTTCGAAATCGGTTGCGGAGTGCCACGGCCTCTTCGATAATGATATCGTGATAGGACCGAACAGCGGCAGGCGTGAGCCCTGGGGCGAGCATGTGGTGGAGATCCTTCCATTCCTTCCCGTTCGTGACCTCGATAAAAGATTCGCCGAGACTGGTGGAGAAATGATTCTTGACCAGGCGGCATTGCGGGAAGGCGGTGACTGTAGTTGGGATCGCGGCAGCGTCTGGTGAAGTAACGATGATAAATTCCGGACCCATGGGCCAGAGATCTAGGTACCAGATGTCGGGGAGGTTGTGCTCTTCCTTAAGCTGCGTGAGAACGGCTTGGAGATACATATTCGGCGGGAACTTTGCTAACGTCTCGCCCATGAGCCGAAGGTGGCCCCATAGTAGGGAGTGAGGCGGGCAGGGCTAAGGAACCAATAATTATTAGTAGAGTTGTCTCAAGTGTGATTGTTGAGTCGATCAAGGCCAGGCGCGCAGTGTCGCTCGTACCTTGTCTCGATAAAATCGACGGTGCGCCAGGAGTTTAACAATAGAGTATCCTAGCAGGGCCACGAAGCCGCAGCCTGCTATCCAAGGCGTACCAATGCTGCCAAAAGCCATTGGGAGAGTTTATCAAGCTAGGAAATGTTTCGTCGAAGTCAGCTCGTTTCTTGGAGACAGGGGCCAACGGCTTTATAATAAGTACCTGTTTCAAAGAGGAAGAGCAGGGATCGGCCGGGTCAGGAATCCTAGGATGCCACTTATGGTTCACCTAAGCCCCGAAGGAGCTTAGTGCTGACAGTTGCATACGCACTACGTAAGCAAACAGAGACAAACATTCTTTTCAAAGCCAAAGCAGCAAGATGTTGAAGTGCCTGCCTATGATGAAGGTACCGATAAAGGCGGACCAATTAGCTAGAGTGAGCACAACTCCAACTCCAGTTGCCCTGACATAGTGAGGCGCAAGGTTATTCGAAATCCACCCCTGGAAACATCACGTTAGCATGGCTGATCGTTGATAAATATGAATGCCATCTCTCTCCGTCTCTCTCTCTGTCTCAAGATGATGATATTGAACCTACCATGATAATCGGAGAAGCCTGGAAAACACCAACGGCGATAAAGAACGTTCCGGCATACGTGATGTTGTAGGAAACCCAACTGAACATGGTTGAGTAGATGTACGTTAAGGCGAATTGTGGCGATGGCAATGTAGACATAGTACAACCTAGTGGATTTTCCAAATTAGTCTCGCGATCGAATTCTAGAACCGCACCGCACCAGAGCCAGAGATTTGGGGCCCGTCAGGACATGATATTCAACTTACGAATACTTTGTGACCTCGGACATGAAATTCGGTGGTACCCCCTCGCTTAGGCTTGCGCCGGAGAGCACATTCATGAACTGGCCCATGACTAGGTTAACCAAGGCCAGGGCGACACCAGAGGCAATGGCGGCTGAGACTCCGACTGCCTCAAGAACATAGTCGGCATGTTGGCCATACTTGAAGACCCTCTGGCAGCAACAATATCTATGTCAATATTCAATTCGCAATATCAGAACTTCAGACAGAAGTCGGGACGACGTACGAGAAACCCCCCATGGTCTTCCACCTTGTCCGGTGCCTCTTTCTTGGACAGCTGTTCAACAGACCGCTCGTCTCTCAATTTCTCTATCTCTATTGGGTGGTCCGCCGGAGAGCCTGGGGTTTGCCATCTCGCCGCTGGTGTAAGCCGCGGGGTGGTACGGTTGATGATGGCCTTGGCAAGTGCCGGCAGTGCGACCGATAAAACGTCGAATGCTATTCGTAGGAAACTAGATAGACAAAGAAATAAAGAACGTGTAACGAGGGGCGAGAATGCGAGGGAAAGAGGAATGGTTAAACTTCTAAAGTAGAAAAAAAAATGGATGCACCACGACTGCTCCAAGGTTGAATAACAAAGAAGAATCGGCCCTCCTCTTATATTGGGAAAATTTCATCATCAGCCAAGAAATTCCATGTGTCCGGCAGGGGGAGGAGACGCGTATCTCCTTAGCAATCTATGCCTCGATGTTTGCGAATCAAGGCTATGCTGTAGGTTGTCGAGGCCATTTCTCTCCCTCCCTGTATCTGGCCTTGCCGAGTATTGACAGCAGACGGACAGACCCAGCGACGACAAAATGGACGAGATTTGCAAAAGGCTTGGCACGATATGCAAGTTTATCAACAATGACCGTCCTCTTCTGACCCCTCAAAGTTCACCCGCCAACCTTCAATCGGCATATGACGCGATGGAGGCGACGCCTGTTTCCTCTTTGACAGCCTCGGCATTGAGAGATGGCAAATCACCCGAGCCGGAGTATGAAGGGGAATCAACTCTATCAGCTCATACTGCCTTCGCGACCAGATTCCTTCAGACGGCTGTCAATATAGATCGTTCAGTGCCCATTCCTCCCAAGGCCGCCACAGCCTTGTGCAATCTGCAACGGAATGTAGAGACTCCCCCCCGCGAGGCAGAGTCACCCCGTGATCAGCTGCCCAATGCGGGCCTCTCGAACCGGCATACAGGGGTTTCAGCGCTTTCTATGCCCCCTGCACAAATTGGGCTCGCCTGTCTACGAATGGCCAACGGTTCGGATGGCACCCTAGAATAAGGAATTGCTTCCTAAATCAAGCATCACCACAACGTTCTAACGCGGGTATCATGCAGAACACTCTCGAATCCGATATGTCTGGGCGATGGAGTTCGAGTCCATGGAACACTTCCAGGGCTACTTTTTCAATGTCTATTCTTCGAGTTATCCTACCACTGCCGAACAAATCATTTTTTTTTCTCAGGGCTGTACATTCTCTTTTTAGAATGTGCTCCTGTAGCTGAAAACCAAGCGATGAGGGCTGAGTGCAAAATACAGGGGGAAGTGTGCCGGAAAAAACATGGAAACGCTGCTTGCCGGGCTTCCTTTCCACATGCCATGCACTTATGACTATGTCTTGGCGCTGGCGTTAGCGGTGAGTGAGCATGATTGCCCGGAGTGCATCCTATCTGAAGACACATAAACTGTGCATCTGCTGACGACGTTCCTTTCTAATATATTAGGCCGAGTATTACGTTGAAACGTGCAGGCCGACCCTGGCTTGGAACTTCAACTGCACGGCTGCCCGTATGAGCCAGGCTCTTGGGTTCCACAAGACCACTATGCAAGACCTCGAAAGCTTAGACGCGGCGCGGAGAAGGGTTCGACTCTTCGCCGTCATTTACGTGAACGATAAGATGCTCTCCCTCCGCCTCGGTTGCGCTTCCATGAGACGGGATAAAGAGATGCCTCCGGACCATAAAGCCATGATGAGGAGGGTAAACTCCGCACCCAATAAGTTACCGCCCTATTAGATAAGCTTTGCAAGAATACAGGGCTTAGTCTACGACAAGCTATACAGCTCGGCAGCCCTCCGGCAAACGCCAGAAGCCAGGCATGATACTGCTGTTGGTTTAGCCCAAGAACTTGATGCTCTCCTGAATGACGGCTGCGATATCAAAGTACGTACACCCCTTTTTGCCTGCATGGAATCCCTAGCTTTCTTGGAGAAGACTGAAGCTGACGAATAGGCTGTTCCTGCAGCCTGACTTCGACAAGGATGTAAGGAATGCCTCTGGGGATGAGATTTTCGGCCTGTTATTGCAAGGCGATCGAGTTTCGCAGCTTGCACTCAAGTGCTTGATTTATCGCACTCTTCTGCTCACAGCTGGATCTGCGTCTACATTTTCTGCTGAGTGCATCTCCGTCGCCAGGCGAGCCCTACTAGAACACCAAGTGGTTACGAACGGGTTGGTCCAGCACGAGAGCAGATTCCTGGAGCTGCACTACAATTGGTGAGTGGTGCACATAGCTTATCCAACTGTACCTTGATCGTCCAGCTAGTGAACTAATATTGTATCACTTCTGTTGTTGTCAGGGCCCTCCTTATGTCTCCCTTTGCGCCATTCATTGTGCTCCTATGCAACGTGGTCGAGACGTATAACCTCGCGGATCTTGAGTTGCTCGGCGTCGTGATTGAGTCGATAGAGGCGATTCGCCAGTCCATGCCTACCATCTCGCAACATCTCAGGCTTTTCAAACCCCTGTTCGAGGTGGCCAGTAAGTTTGTCGAGGTAAAAACCGCCCCGGTTCCGCGGACCGAGAACTTCAACGCGTTCTTGCTGGAAGCCAATATGGATCTTTCGTTTGAGCCGGCTCTGCTGTCGACGTTTAGTCAAGGCCACCAACCCGACGTGGTTTCGGGACAACCAGGCCATAGAGGCACCTCGTTTCTTGATGTCTGGAGTTATCTCGATTCGTCTCCACCATGTTGAGAGGCAGATGGCACGATGTAGTTTGGGCTTTTAGGATACCTATAACGATGGGCAAAATATTGCTTAAAAATGAATCCCGGATCTCGGGATGGGTGATTTTACACGGGCGGGTCGTGGCTTGCGTATGTAGACCTTTGTCATGCAGGACCCAGAGGCATGGAATGTTGACAATGGCCGGCGCCAGGCATTCGACTCCCTTTTAATTTCGGAGTTAGAACTAGACCCAAAAATCAAATTGAGATGCAGGTTCTTATGCCACGGAGACTCTGGAGTTGCTGGCGCACAAATTGTGGTGAGGTAATTTAACATCGATACTTGCGGAATGGATACGGCCTGATTCGAACGCCGGGCTGAGAAAGGGAGGGGACTTTTCCTTGCCATGAGTCTCAACACACCACATAGATCCGACCGTTGTCGCTTCTCAATTCATTTCCAAGTGCAAGCTCCCCCAAGCCACCCTCTAATGGCGGCGACTGCAAAGGCCGAGGTTTCCAAATTGACGACGGGTCGCTCCCCTTGGTGGACACAGAAATACAGTTAGTGATGGAGCTGACTGCCATTCCCCGGAATGTCATGGCAAGAAGTTGTTATGGAGTAACTTGACACATGAGCCCAAAATAAGGGGTCATGTGCAAGGAAGGCCATGAATACAGAGGGATCCCGGAATAGAGTGGGGACAGGCTATTCAGGCCCTCACGAACTTTGGGGAACTTTATCTTAGGCCTTCTTTGTCAAAGGACATCTTTCAGATCATGTATGTGCACCGTGATTGAACTTCACACCTTTCAGTCCAGCCCCCTCTCATATAGCACTGGGCCCCATCAATCTCCTAGTTGCCCCGCCCCGCGCCATCGTCCCTCTTAAACCAGAGAGCAGGCCGTTTTCTGCCGTATTAATGTCGCCGCTTTGGGATGAACAAGCCCATAACAGCGAACGACAGGTAAGTAGTTCCGAGTGGCCTAAACCTCCAAGTATTGCAATTGAGAATAATTAAAGACACATATAAAGGCTTTCTACGGCGGATACAGGCATCTTAATATCCTATTATTGTAAATTGAAAGTCCCGATATACTAATCCCGGCGCACACGGAGGCAACCACGGAGAAACCAATTTCGTAATTTTAATTAACATGTACCAGAAAAACAAGGCTGCAAAGACAGAGTAAGGACTTCAAGGAGCTCTGCCAGAAACTAAAGTAGTGCTAGAGAAGATGTAGTAAATCGAAGGGAAGTAGCAGGCAGTCTAGGTTTCCACATTCTTGCTGACGTTTTATACCCCTGGACCTCGAGTCTTTTGTCCCATCATATGCAAAAGCTCGGGTGTCTACAACAGCTCTTACGTTTCCCCGCATCTCGACCTCTGGCACTAGAAGAAGGCCGTGGCACTGACGTCGCCTTTACCGAGGTTGCCAAGGCCCCAGTTCTCCTCGACGGTCTTGATGAGACTGTAGTGGTTGTACTTCGTGTTGTCAACCGAGGGAATCTTCTTCGAGGACAGGGCACCTCCGAGGAGAACGGCATAAACCGTGTTACCTAGGACACCTTCATCGTAGGTCAGGATGATGAGAGTGCGGTCGGTATTGAATTTGGGATTGTCGAGCAGAGGGGTGATCCAGTTGCGAGCCCATTTAGCACCGTAGGCAAGGCCAGTATCGTGGCCATCGTTGTCTACAATTGAGAGAACGTTGGATTAGCGAATTAAATCTCTTCAAATAGTAGAAAAGAAAGAAAAAAAAAGCTGATGAAAACAGAGTGTTTTAGTATTACATACTCATATCAGGGGTAATAAATATCCACTGAGGGAGCACATCGTTATTGAGATCATCGAAGAACGAAGTAAAGTTCTTAGACTTTTCGAGGCGGCTAGGATTACCCGTGATTGATTGGTAGCACATAACAGGGCTACAGAACGGAACATGTTAGGATATACACACTAAATAACCAAATTGTAAGTAGTCTGACGTACTTATGTTTGCGGCGATATTGTTCGTGGCTCGATCCAGTGAATCCCGAGTAAGGCAGATCTTCCTGGTACGTGGCCCAGCTGATCCCGCCGGCCTCAAGGAGATCGATCACCGTTTTGACACTAGGGTCAAGGTTGTACTCGTCGTTGGAGTTCACACCATTGGTGCTTCCTCCGATGGCAGCAACATAGTTGGGCTAAATACATTTAGGCGATTTAGTTTTAATCTGCTAATCGAGGGCTCCGAAAATCTTACCTGGGATGGATGGGTAATCGCCTTGTAGTTGGTCAAGAGTCGCCCTTTAGTGGCAAGGTGGATCAGGTCCGCTATTGGGTTTGCGGAGTCAGCCATTCGTCTTCTACCATAGTGTCTGCAGCCCGAGCAGGATATTACTTACAGTTGAGAATAGCCAACAAGAAGTCTTGATTCTCAAGCCAAATCTGAACAAATCTGTCGAAAGTTTTCCCAGGAACGAAACTTCTGGGAGTGAGCGCCTCAGAGGGCAGAGCCATAGCATTCACCACAGCAAAGCTCCCCAACAACGCAACGAGGGAGGGACGCATCGTGATGGTTGACTCTTCGAGATTAAAATGCAACTATAGTACGGGCCAATTGCAGAGACATCAAGTAGTCTATGAGATAGGCGTCTCAGGAATGAGTGAGGCCAGGTTCGAGTGGGTCTATATATACAGGGTTATGGAGACATCATAGTATTACCACCAGCCTACCGAAAAGTTACTCCAACTTGCATCCTCCCCGCGTCTTAGAGAACTGCAATCCATTTGTCCGCAGAGGCATTTTCGACTCGACAGTTGTCGGTCATTTCCAAGTTTATTCGGCGGTTTTTGGGGGGGTCGATCACATGGCTCCTCGGGGCCTTTTGGAATGGGAAGGAATTCGGACCCCGAGGGCAGCGTTGCAGTATCAATATTGGAACTTTCCTATCATCATCTTGGCGACCATTACGAGCATTTGGGGAGCAAGTCCTGCAGAGCTCAAGCATAACCCACTCTTTATCTGGGTGGTTATGGAATTCATGGGACTGCGAGCAGCGGCCAGTCAGAGTGAAATGCTCAACATCGTGGTCAATGAGAGTTGAATCTGGATGCTTGGAGCCTGACACTTTTGTCAAGACTCTTTCGTCAACCTGCAAACGGCGTCGTATTGTCATTGTGGATGGCACACGCAGTTAACATTATCAAGAGTGGCAACGAAAAAGTCTGGAACATCGAAGAAATACGGATACGACGCTATGGCTGACAAGCCAAGGGCTGAGGTTAAGGACAGGAACAAGGGTCTCAAATCGGTCACCGAGAGGAACGCGGCAGAAGGGGGAGTTAATCCGTTCTTAGCTCCTCAGCGTCAAAGATGCTTCCCAGAGATCGATGCATCTCATCCAATCATTCAGTCTCGACATCATTCCATGCAGGCTGGCAGCCGCCAAGCCGCCCAGATTCCACCCTCGCGTCGGTGAAGCGAAAAAGAGCTTGGCCGGACTCTTCGGCTCCCCGTGGGGTCGCATTCTTGCCGATCAAGCTACCCAACGTGGGCCAAGCTCAACCGCAGTTGGCTTGAATGGGCTTGAGTGTTTCAATCACTTGCAGATGCATGACTGAGTCTGAAATGACGCCTGTCCAAGAGCGGTGCACGCATTCATCACAGGACTGGTCAGTCTCTGGGTTCGAATTGATCAATCACAGCCGAGGTATTGTAAACATTTCAAGCTCGCTCGTCAAACGTCCTGGATAGGAAATATTTCCACCTGCAGCCCTCAAAGCAGGGTACTGACGATAATGTGCGGTGCTATTCTCTCTTTCTAATAAAAAAAAAAAAAAAAAAAAAAAAAAAAAAAAACAAACACTATCTTATATACATCTCGTATATCTTAAGCCGGTCCCCCAGACGCTCCATTACCGTATCTCAATATTCTCCACCAAAAGGAAAAGAAGAAAGAAAGAAAATACAAAAATTAAGTTCCCAAATTCAACTGTAGGAGCCTATCTTTAATACACCTTTCCTAAATCAATTCTATTCTAATTATTCCTCCATAGGTCTTGACCAACCACACTGTCACTTCGCCATGGCATATTCACGCAGTCGCTTCCTGGCCGACCTTACACTGGGGTTCGCAGATGGTCTCACTGTGCCCTTTGCCCTCACAGCAGGTGTATCCTCTCTCGGCAAGACAGAGGTAGTCATCTATACTGGACTTGCAGAAGTCTGTGCTGGGTGTCTTAGCATGGGTGTAGGAGGATACCTTGCATCAAGGGGAGAGGCCCTTGATGCTAAAGACAAACTTACACAATATGCCGAGCTCACCCAAGATGACACTGATGTGGAGGATCTTGAAAAAGGTCTTCTCTCAGATGACGACAATAATGACGTTGCAAGGTCAGGGAAGCTTTTCAACAACCTCTCTTCACCTATTGCCCTCAGAGCACTCCAGGAGTACCTCGAACCTTTAAAACTCCCCAACCCAGTCCAGGATGCTGTCACAACCCATATTTTAAGCCATCCTCCTATACTCTCCAGGATCCTCTTATTAGGAATCGATGAGGTTGATCAATATCCTTGGTCGCCTGTCTTGACTGGCTTGTCGATTGCTTTGGGATATATTCTGGGTGGGTTATTACCACTTATCCCATACTTTTTTGTTGAACATGTTGGGCAGGGCCTCTTGTGGAGTACACTCCTGTGTATGCTAGCTCTATTCTTGTTTGGCTTTGGGAAGAGGTTGTTATCAACTGGCTTGAGGCGGGATAGGGTTGGCCGCTGCTTGTGGGAAGGGACTCAGATGGCGGCCCTTGGAGGGTTGGCAGCTGGGGCAGCTGTAGTATGCGTGAAGCTTCTTGAGAGAGGATATGATGAATGAGGGGGTTTCTCTTTGTAGTAGTGTCGTCGGTACGGTTGTCCCTAGTGAGGATGTGGCTGACGAAGGCTGGAAATTGCAACTGGCAATGGGAAACATGTAACAACAACTTCTTCGCTTGATAATTGATCTTCTTTATACGAGCGTCGAGCTTGTCATGCCTAATATATCTCCTCTAAATGATATCGATTACATCAGTACATTATAGTCGACCTTCTTAGTCTTCCCCTTAGATTTGATTAAGGAGAGCATTTCTAGTATCTTCATTGGAGTGTTCCGGCTTGATCGGGCGATACCGCGTAAACCACAGAGTAGAGCGTGGTTCCGTAAAGGGGCCGCATAACGATATGCCCTTTTCTACTTAACCAGCCACTCCTTCCACCACCCAAAGTCATCCCTATCTTCGACAGTGCAATCTGCATCACAAAGATCAATGAAGGGAGCTCAGGTAAGGTGCCAAGGACAGCAACTCATGACATGGACGAGGAAAAGGAGCCTACGTGATGATTAAGGCTTAGAGACCAAACTACCTTCTTGCAACAGTTGGGAAAACACTAGGATCCGGCAAACCACTTCGGGACCCAGAAACAGCGATCTGCATCTCATCGGCGCGGACTCGAATCAAGACGGTGACTTCATACAACTAAACATCCACAGTGATCCTTATGGCGGACGGATGCGGTCTAACTTGAATCCCGGACTGGCCATAAACCTGCGGACGTCGCAATGTATAGTAGCCCAGGCTGTCAGTTAATAGTCGCGATCATTAGTTTTATCATAGGGCTGTCGTCACCCGAGTGCATGCGTAGCATGCCCACTTGGGCAGCGAGCAAGAGACGGAGTACTTGGCTTTCGTAATATGATCTACTACTCTGAATAAAAGACAGTAAAAGTCGGACAAAGCCACCTGAAAATTTGTTTCGGTGGTGGCGGAGATTGGCGCTTCCTGCAGTGGTATCCTGCCTAGCTACCATAACATAAAGGGCTCTCTGGATAAGGGTAATGGGTCGATCTGCTGTGTAAATAGGGAATGCAAGAAGCAGCCCGGGTATTAATGGCATCGACCCAATTCCCTTATAAGCTGAAAATCAAAGTGATATTCCGAATCATCCTTTTTCTTGGACTATGCTCTCCGGCCCAAGGGCGGTTTACCTTTTCCTTGCCAAAATACACAAAGGACTTCTTTGTGAGTTCATGTCTTCTTCATCTGACTAGAAAAAAAAGGGTCCCATGCCTGTCTTTCTGGATCCTCCGCCGAAGCTCCAAGTGAGATGCATCCCGCATCCAACTTCTCCTTTGTCGCCAAGAATCGATCAGTTGCCCAATTTCGCTCCTTTAGTTCTACTATGAGAGCCTAAAAAGCGGCAACTTCACTCGCACCTGGCGGCGTGATGCCTGGGGCCAGATCGCCTTTCTCTGCCATCTTTCTCCACTCGAAACAAGAGAGTGGGGAGCGGTTCTCATTATTTAGTAGGCCCGGATCTACATTTTCGAGCCTATTTCCCAGATACCGAATCTGTTTTAAGGTCCCGTAAAGGGCAAGATAGTGTAGGATCGAGTTACCGTCAGAGTCAACGACGTCGACTTTCGCGCCCCTGGAGTACAAAAACTTGAAGAGAGAGAAACCCCTCGGTGATCTTAATGCGTGGAGGATTGGTGGGCGTTTCAATCGATAGGCGAGGTTCACGTCGGCGCCATCTGCTAGCAACATACGAACACAAGTCTCGGGTTTGTTTGGTATGCCTCTATAAGTAGCCGACTTGACGAGTATGTTTAACGGCTGCTCCCCTTCGCATGTTCGAGCATTTACGTCATCGCCTCCCTTGAGAAGAGACTCTACCGACCACTCGTAGAGGCGAGTCGTAACTACGAAAAGAAGAGGAGTCAACCTTGCAGCAGTGCGAGCGTTTGGATCGGCGTCGTGCTCGATAAGAAACTTAATGACGCTTCCCGAGGCTGATATAGCGGCCAAGAGCAACGAAGCTATCTTGGCTGATTGTGTCCACTTTGGCACCCCCATTGAGAAGCATTCGGGCGGCCTTGATGTCGCCTCTTAACGCAGCCCAGTGAAGAGGGGTGTGTCCAAGCTCATCCAGGGAGTCCACGTTGAAAGGTTGTTGTGCGATGGCCAGCTCTAACTGATAACTGCTGAACCCAAGGATGATATCGCGAATCAGGGTCAATTTTCGCGAAATGTGATCCTCTCGACCCTGTGAAGCTTTGTGTGGCATGGAATGAAGGTCTGGGTGGTGAGTTTGGCTGCCCAGAATGCTTAGAGGTCGACAGTTGATAATGAGGCTTGGAGTTAAACTTAAGTGTTCACTCTATGTATTGTTCTAACTCATGACCCTCATGAAATCACTGACGGGGTAAGGATTCGCAAATAATTTTTTTTTCCTTTTTTTAAATAGAAACGCTGTTTTCGACATGAGGTCAAGCAGGATGATCTACATTTCTCAAGGCTATAGTAAAACCAAAATCACTGCCTTGACGACACGATCGGCGTCGAGACATGTGAATGCGAGTACCGGGTTCCTCAAAACTGAACTAAGACGTTTTACGCAACCGGTTGACACACTGGGCCTACAGTATCCTAACCTCGGGTGATCCAGAATCTGGATCAGCAGGTCGTCAATGCGACTGTAATGTAGGTCCAGAATCGTCCCTAGTAGTGGAGGGCACCAGGATAGAGCG